ATCTAGAAATTCTATAAAGCCCTAGAATATAGTTATTAAGAAATTAGAAGAACCTTCTAGAGAATCTAATAGTAATACTATATTAATAAGCTACGAGCTTTAGTTAAGAAAGTAGTAACTAAATATAATACCTATATTCGAAATAAATCTATATACTATATACCTTATAGACTTATAGAATAGATACCTATTCTAAAGAAACTATAGAAAATAATATTATAGGACTTTATTATTAAACTTCTACTCTTAAGAGATCTAATAATAGAAGTTAAATATAATACGATCTTAGTTATAATAGAGAGACTTACTAAATATATAATCCTAATACTATATAAGGAGTTAAGTACTACTAAGGAGTTAGTATACGCTTTTATCTAGTACGTAGTTATAGACTATAGTACTCTAGAAGAAATAGTCTTAGACCGAGATAAGCTATTTATATCTAAATTCTAGACGGCTATAACTATCTATATAGAAATAAAAAGAAAGCTATTAATATTATTCTATCTATAAATAAATAGAGGTAATAAAAGAATAAACTAAGTAGTTAAAGTATACTTAAGATATTATATAAACTATAAGTAAGATAATTAGGTCGCCTTATTACTAATAGCCTAGTTCTCGTATAATAGTATAGCTATAGAAATAATATAAGTATTACTATTTAAAGCTAACTTTAGCTATAAGAAAACTACGTTCTAAGAACTCTATAATATATCTATCGACAATTAGGTAGAAAGGATCCTTATTAATAACCTTTTCTCTCTTTATAGATAACTCGTTAAAGAACTTAAGTTTATCTTAGAACGAAACGCGTTCTACTATAATAAGAAACGTAGTTAGGAGCCTATACTAAGAGAGGGGGATAGAGTTTATTTAATTAGACGAAATATCTAAATAAAACGACTAAGCGATAAACTAGATAATAAGAAACTAGGACTATTTAAAATTAAAACGTATAAAGGACCTTTAAATTATAAACTAGCTTTACTAAAGAGTATAAATATCTTTCTAGTATTCTATATATCTCTTCTCGAACTAGTACTACTAGGAGTACTACTAGCTCTAGTTATAGAAATAGAACTAGTAAACTCTAACACTAAGTATAAAGTCGAAGAAATCTTAGACTATAAACTTATTAGAGAAAAACTATATTATCTAATAAAGTAGAAGGACTACCTATAATTAGAAAATATATAGGAACTAATAAATAACCTTAACTACCCTAGGTAGCTTAAGAAGTTCTACTACTAGTATCTAGGGCCTCCTAGAAAGACCTAGGATCGAAATTTAGGTCGAGTAGCGAAGGGTCGTAAGCGGAGAAGTCGTCGGGCGGGGTAGAGTAGGTTAGTAGTCGTTCTACTTCTACCTTCCTCTCCTCCTTCTCTCTCTTCTTCTCCTCTTCTTACTCTCTTTTTTCTAACTCGTCTAACTCGTCTAGTAAGTTAAGACTAGCCGTAATTATTCTCTACTCTTTCTCGTCTAGAGTATTCTCTTCCTTTTTAAGCCGCTATAATTAGGTAGACGCCTCTTATAGACGGACTATCTTCTACCTCTTTAAAGTATATACCTTCCGCCGCTTATCCTCTAGAGATTCCTACTTAAACACCTCGGGTATTCGGTTAACTTAATAGATATTATAAGTCTTACTTTAACGAGTATACTTAGTATATCGGGATAGTTTCGTATCGCGAGGCGCGACGTAAGGGCGTTTACTCTTCTTATAACGGGAGTAGGGAGCTATATTTCTTTTACTAGTCTTTTCGATTAAATTTCCTAGGGAAATATAGCGACGATCGTTTATTCTCTTAGGTAGTATAATAGAAAGGAAGAAAGTCTATAGCTACTATATAATCCGATTCTTAGTTATACTTAAGCGTAAGGACACGCTAGTCCGAATAGAAGGTAGTGTTACGTGTACGGTATCTAGGAGCCTTATAACTCTAGAGTCGAGAGAACCCTAGAGTGTTACGTCTAGGACGTAATTAGATCTAGGATAAAGCCTTTAGGACTCGGCCTAGCCTAGAATAAGTGTCCTAGGGCGAGAGAGTTCTTAGGAGCGTCCTCCTAGATACTACTAGGTTTTAGGGACTATAAGTTACTTATTTATTACGCGGGTTATAGGGGTAAATAGTAAGATAGTTAGTTAACCCCCGGTTTCTTAGTTAGGAAGAAAAGTTACGTATTATAGTCGACTAGGTCGACTAGCGACTCGAGCGATTATCGACTAGGTCGACTAGCGACTAAGTCGACCGACCTACTATAAAGGTTCTATATAATAATTGTAATTTCCTTAGATAGGAGCTTCGTACTTAACTACTTATAGTAATAGTATATTATCGGTTTAACTTACTCTTATTATAACGAATAGATCTCTAAATCTATAAGTAATAATCTTACGCCTACTTCTTAATATACTAACCTTATAATAACCCTAGTCTACCCCGAGTAGAACCGAATTATTATATAATAATTTAAATAGTTTTACTATTTTTAGTTAAGTTTATTATATAATAACTTTACTTTATTAAAAAGATAACTATATAATAGTAAACTCTAAATAATATTATTTATTAAATCTAATATAGTAATAAGTATAAATAGACTTACTTTTTATTATTAACTTTCTCTTTATTAGTTTTACTTTACTTTTAATATTATAACTATTATAATATAAACTAATACTCTTTTAAATTAATTCTAAAAAGTTTAAAGTAAACTTTTACTTTAAAGAAAGAGAAATATAATAGTATACTATTATATATTTATATAGAAAGAGAGTCTAGAGTTTATATAAATAAAACTTAAAAGTACTAGAGTTAAATATAGTTTAAATTAATTTTAAGTTAAAATCTTAAGTATATAGCTAGTATATTTCTCTTAATATATTCTTTTTATCTTTTTATATTCTTAATATTAAATCTAGTATAATTTAATAAAATACTAAATATATATAACTATTTATTTCTATCTTAGTATTTATAAACTTATATTATTATAATTATATAATATATTATAATATTTATACTATACTATATAAGAAATTAAGATATAATAAGTTAATATTAAGATAGTTTTAATAAAAATTACTATTATAAGAAACTATAAATATATATTAAAAGAAATTAGCTATTTATTTAAGTAAATAATATTATATACTAATAAAAAAGGTAGTTTTAATAATTCTTAAAAATATATAGAAGTTATTCTCTTTAAAGATAAGTTTTAAGAGTAAATATAGACTAACAATTAGAGAGAGTACTATTCTCTTCTCTTATTAAAGGTTATATAGTAGACTTATAATTTAACTAGCTAGAGAGCTATATAATTATAGAATCTATACTAAATTTTTGTCTTTACTATATAAACTATATATAAGTCTCTCTCGATTTAATAAATTCTACCTATCTATTAAGCTCTATATTACCTACTATATTATCTTTTATAAGAGAGGGGCTAGCGAAGACGAATTCCTACCTATACGCGGTACTAGCTACGAACCTATAGAACTACTTAACTACTTCTATAGAGCTAAAGAAATACGTAGTTTAACTAGCTATTATTGTCGTACCGTACTTTACGGCTAACGATTAGCTACGATCGAGAACCGATACTTTAACGTAGTCTTTTCGACGTAACTCGGGCCCTTCGAGATAACGACGAATACTCTTCCGAACACTACCTCTATTCGAGAGACCGACCTATCTAAAGAGCTTTAAGGATATACTTAGAGATAAAGGGGGAAGAAAAAGGGGGAGGATTTCGCTTTTTGGGCTACCTTTTTAATCCTACTTTTAGTACGATTACGACGATTTATACCTTCGGTATAAGGGGCAACCCTTCTATACTACCTAACGCTCGAGGATAGCCTTAAAGAAGGGGGGAGGGAGCTTCGCTAGCCGTCTAGAGGTTCGGGGAGGAAAGGCTATTACTTAGTTAAGGAGGAGGTGATTCTAAGTTGTCTATAGTCGGACCTTAACCGGCGGAAGACCGGCGGTATACTATTTTGCTTTCTTACTCGAAATGTCTTCTCTTTAGGTTGTTAATAGTACTGTAACATCGCGGGATTGGGGACCCGGGTCTATTTAGGAAGCTCTTTTTAAAGCTCTAGAGAGGTACCCTAAGGAGTCCTTCTAGACGAGCTGTTTTTAGGCTCTCTTTTAGAATATTATATATAATTCCAGAGCTTGGCACGACTCCAGTACCCCCTAGGAGGTCTTTAAGGGTCCAGCCTCTGGCTGCCCGACGAGTCGAAAATAACTACTACTACTACTACTTTAATAAGGGGGGGAATAGTAAGAGATTCAGATTTATAGGGGCTCAGGGGAGTGTGCATGGGTTAGGAGAAATCTGCATCGTAGGGATCAGGGTTTTAATATGCATACGATCGGGCGATTGGAGTTCCCTTTTTGGTAGCATGCCTGGGGCCTGGGGAATAATGGCCGAGGCACAACTTGTAGGGCTGCAAATAATGCGAATTGTTCCTTATTTGCTGAGACAGTTAAATTTTCGAAACACACAAGTAATCAAAGCCAATCAAACGTGCTATAAATGTATGGAATAGAAATAGCTGCGAATAATGCCCATTTGTACAGAGGGTAGGAAGGCATAAGGTTGAGCTCTACCGCGGACAAAACGCATCAGAAGAATTGAGGGCGCAACGATAGTAAGATCTTACAATGACGGGACTTGAATCTAAGCTACAGGCCAGGTCATTTTCCACTGTTGATCTTGCTGCTGGTTTTACCAATGTTCACACGGGAGTGCATTGGCCAAAGCAAAAGGAGATTCTAGATCTGGACAGGCCTTGTGCGGGATTCGACATCGTACGATATGGGCAGGTGCTCGGGCTGGTCCTTCAAAAATCACAAGGAGAAGGACAATACTAATGAGGATATGAATGGACACATCCAATTCGTAGACGTGCAAAGCCCTGCGTCCCTTATCGATTGCACAGATCTGTATTCAAACGCCGTCATTGGATTGCTATTTTGAATCATCTAGACAATTATACGAAGTATCATTACAAGGCAGAGCGCCAAAGCTAGATCATTGGTGTTGGTACTTGGTACATGCGAAAGACTTCGCAAAACCGCGGTTAGGAGGGAAGGTAAGGTGTCGTTGACTTCTCTACATACAGGCCCGGGGGTCAATGAGATTTGTGACTCGCCATCTTCCCGCGTTTGGTCAATATTTTCTACAGCTTGTTCAGTGATTACCGGTTTGAGAAAATACGACATGCTGGTTGCTTTTTGTAATTGCAAGGGGTGTGGAGTGATATCCACGGATTGTGAGTCGCATGCCGACGGCACATTCGTGTTACCAACATTTAATACTGGTGAGGGCGCCCGAAAGTCGACGAATCCGGGAACCTTGGCCCCCTACTGCATGGGAGAAGTTAGATGTGGAACGGCGAATTTCACAGATCTGCAATCCAAAAATCCAAACATCCAAACCAGGGCCCGGATTATTTTCAAAATAATTGGATGAGCGTTACACACATGTTCTTTCAAGATAATAATAGCTAATTCTAACTCGCTCATCTCCAGATCTGTATTCATTTACTCCACTTATTAAGCTTGCAAGATGTATTGACTTGTGAAGTGACAAGCGCGCGGGTGATATATAATTAATATAATGGCAGATATCATAAATATATGTCGTAGATTGTGGTGGTACAGCCTTTGCAGGCTTGGGTCAACCTCTCCCAGATCCCCACGTGCGATATGTTCGGCACCCGGATGCCAAACGTTCTTCGATATTTGATCCGCTGCCGGCGTCGATAGTGGTGATCGAGAGTGCTTTATCGTTGCAACGCAATGGTGGGCTGCGGCTACATTATTCAATATAAAAGCGCTCGGTACATGATTACCATTCTCCCCGTTCCCACATCATGCAGTGCGAAGTAACAGCGATACTTATTGAGCAGTACACAAGAACAGCATCGTCACTCTCTGAGTCTCCCACCCAAAACTTGAGCAACATACTCGTAACCTGACTCGAATCATCCTCCACGGGCCCCACACTGGGAAACGACCTGGTCGCTCACGTGCAGGCGTTCAACATCATTATTATAGTATTGTGTGTGAACACAACATCTTCGCTTCATTTCGATTCCCAGATTCTCACGCAGGGGATGATTGAGATAACTTTTCTACCCGTATATCCATAGGGGATTGCACTTACGGCACGTCAGTCAAGTGACGCTGCTCTTCCAACTTTTATTTCGTTACCAACACAATAACAGTAACTTTCCGTTCTTCACCGCTCTAACATGATCCAGGAAACAGTAGTGTACGATCCTCTGTGGGCGTGCCGTAGGTGTAAATTTAGCCTCCGTTGGTGTTCAAAAAGAACGGCGCAGTGATGCTAGTAGTACAGCAGTTCTGCAAGTTTTTTGCAACACGAGAGACCTGCCGCATCTAACCTCGAACTTGCAAAAGTTTGGCGCCAGATAGGAAAAAGCTATCCTCGAGCTAGAAAAGCGTAAGACTTCGCACGTGGCAAATGTAACGGTTTCCGAACCGAAATATATCTCCTATATCCTCATCATCACGAGGGTCGCGGATGACTTGAACGCTGGGATTCGTCTTGATGTGGGTGCGAAACATACGAATTTTAGTGAGTTCATACAATCATACACATAAGTGGTTTTACGATGTATCGAAGGAAAATCGGGTCGACCTCAGGATCCTCGAGGTTGGATTACAGACCAATAATGTGTTCTAGTTCACATGAACCTGAGCATGCTCGGCAGAGCACCCCTTTTCCTTCAGCGCAACTGGCCTCGTCTTGTGTTCCACTTTCCCCAAAAAAAATACCGGTGAATTGATACTTGTACCGGGACATAATCATATCGTATCTATTATTCTTCGTTTTCATCTCCACGATTATTGTTATTCTTTCATCTTCCGCTGCTTAGATTGTTCGTCAGATCCCCATCTCCTGACCAGATAGACGGACCCACATCGTCTCCCCCACCGAGCATCTTCGTGAGATGAACACACTTCACTGCACAAGGGACCCACATCCAAATGTGGCACATCCGCGTCCCGCGTCGTCCATGGGTCATGATCCATCCCGCTCCCCTGTTTCTCCCTTACTGGCAGCGGTGCTGGGTCGTGGCCGCCCAATGCAAGTGCAGGGAGGGCAGCTCGCAAGGGTGGAAATCATGCCGTCCGACACACGGGTCATCGAGATTCAGCATCGCCGTCCATCGCTCTTGCTTGGATGCTTATTATGGGGACGATCATCTTCAACCTTACTTGATCTCATCCCCACCGACGGAGGTAGACGTTAGTCCTAGAACTAGAGCTAAAACGACTAAAACGACCTACGGGTCGGCGTGCTCGAAACGTGTTCTCCGTCCCTAGGCTGGGTGCTGGACAGTCGAGAATCGTCTCTAGGCACGTGCTAGGTACCTAGGTAGTCGTTACAGCGATATGTAAAAGGAGCACCACCGACCGGTACGACCTAGCGAATTCCTTTGGGGCTAGATCATTCTCTTCCAGCGCGGAGATCAGACTCGTTCGAGAGGAGAGTTCGAGAGGAGAGCTCGAGAGCTCGCTCAGAGAAAGCGAAGGCGAGATACCCCACGGAATACGGAGTACGCTGACCTGTCGTTTGTACGAAGTGCACCCAGATCTGATGATCTCATGGTGACCAGCACATTACTGGACCGAGATGTCATGAGTTCCGAGGATCTGTGGAGTGGACTGGTGGAGACGTGGGCTAGGAGTCTGGGAGTCAGGGACTGCGGAGTGTGCAGGTGGCCTGGTGGTGGTATTCTGAACACTCTTGCTCTCTCTCGCTTACGGATTGGCAGCGACAGCGGGAGACGGAGACGGAATCGATGGCGGATTCAGCCATGCAAAATACCTAGGTACCTACTAGGTACTGTACCGCGAAGTGCCAAAGTACAGTAAGTAGTACTGTTACTGTTGGTAGACTCTTGGTACAAGGGTATATATTATAGAATAGACAAATGTGTACCGCCTTCGGGCAAACTGGTGTATGGTAGCTATTCTCCTTTTGTGTTACGTTGGAACCTAGCAGATATCGCACACGCTTAATCCCCTTGGGTGGCTCGATACTCTTGGCATCGATCCCCATCCCATTCAAGAAGCAATCAAATCGCCAAGCCGCAGCTGTCACCATGGCGCAGAGCTTCACGATGGGCGGGGCGGGGTCGGAACCGAGGGCTGATGTAGGATCGATTACCGCATGCCATTGATCATTGTGTGCACCGAGTATTATTGAAGACGAGAAATATTCGGAGGAGGAGGAGGAGGAAGAAGAGGAAGAAGAGGAAGAAGAGGAAGAAGAGGAAGAAGAATACTTAGCAATAATAACGATGATCATAATAACAATAAAAAGCTGTAGCGGCGTAATGAATATTGCTCGGTGATCTGCCAAACTGCTTCGAGCGGTGATGAGGAACAATGTACGGTACGAGTACGGAGAACTAAACCGAGAACTGGAAAGATCTTCGAAAGTTTAGAAGCCACGGCCGCCGTAAACCTACATACCTGTGCCTGCCACCCTCGCAGGCTCGCACTCATATCGATACCTCGCCGTAGAGTACCTAGAGAGCCAGACCACTGAGACCAGGGCCCCAAGCACGGAGGCCTGTCCACACCATAAATCCCCTGTTGAGTGATGTTGGTCGGGAGCATCGGTGCTTGCATCTACGGCAGACGGCGCAGAGTCGCCAGATGGTGCAGTAAACCGAGTAAAAGTACAGAGTACTGTACTGTACGGTGACAATGTTCTCAAAAAAAAAAAGGTACTCCGTAGGTCTACGAACCTATCCTGAATGTTGCCGCAAAACATCTCCACGCGGCTACTGTAGTTCTTTCTGCGGGACCTCCATCATCCTCAACCCCCCTCGCCTTCTCACCACCATCTCCTCCCCTCCCTCCTGAGTCCTCACGGTCCTCAGCCAACCCGACCGTCAGAGATCCACTACGGCCATCTGGTCCAGCTCCGCGCCCCGTACCATCATCCCATCCATCGACTTAGCGCAAGCTTGAGATCGAGTAAGCAGAAGCAGAGCGGACGCAAGATGCCTTGATGCTTGGTTGTCATTGTTCACGATTATTCTCGTAACCTTACACCTTTGCAACAATCCAGCCTTTGTTGCTTCCATCAAAAGCGTCAGCCAAATCTGGCACTCCCACCACAGGATCTGGAATTTGCCTTTGACCGCGGGAAACTAGTGTTTTGCACCCACCGTCTGATCCGCTGGACAGCCTTGTGCCGCGACTTGGTACGACCTCAAACCACCAAACCCTTTGCTTCGCTGCACCACCAACTGCCACCACCACACACAACTCATCGGCCACGAGCGTATTCCGTACGAGAAGATTAGCAATCCCTTGTTATTAGACGACATCTGAGCCGCGCCGACTGTCCTCGTCGCCAAATTCTTCAGCTGTTCTCTTTTGCTTCGTTCGGTGCTGCCCTGCTTTCTCCGCCTGCCTGTGCCAGCGGTCTCACCTCCAACAACGCTGCCCTTACAACGGAATCCTCGATTGTCGACAGACGAGGGAGCGTAGAGGAGGACGCCTTGAGGGAGAACAGGACTCTGTCCTTCATTGTCCAGCACGTTGCCCTCTTGGACAGGTCAATTGTGATACCATCATTCCCCTTCTCCTGGAGCCACCAGTCTCCTGGCGGCGTGTTCGATCACTTGGAGCAGTGAACACAGGCTTCCCTAGCAGAAGAGATCACTCTCGTCGCATCCTTGTTGTGCGGGAAACTCGCTCCTCTTGACTTAGCGAAACCGATCGCCACAATCGACTCGAGATCTGACCTTCGGAGCGGAAGCGTACGGATTCCTCCAGACGCCACACAGGTTCATATAATTCGAGCTGACGATAATCAGTACGCTGGTGGATGGATTCCATACTCTACAAATCTACACCGACCTCTGCTCAGCGCGTCTCCCTCGATTCTCTTCGTTGATCCGATAATCAACTTCCCCATCGTACCCATCTGGAGACCATACTCGATTGAGCTGAGGAGGGTCCCAGATGGTGAGGTGAATAGTGTGACGGGGACACACACTTCGGAACGGGGAACAGCACGATATCTGTCCGCCGACCACGCATGCGTTCCGAATCTAACGATTGAGTACCAGCCTCCAGATTCTACTATGGAGGCAGCAGATTCTGCCAACAGGCAAAGGTTTGTTCCCCCAACAAGAGTCCAATCCATGGCCAACGAGTTTGAGATGCTGATGCTAACTATCACTGAATCACTAGTGGGATTCTATCAATTACCAACCGCGAGAGTGCTGACCGATTCAACACTGATCGAACATATACCTCCGCTCCCACAATGGCCACACTTGTGAGTCCCGCCTCGATATATTCGAATGGTCCCCCTCCTCCATATTCAAACTGGCCAGCGCCAGCAGCTGGTCTAGTTTCCCCGCCGGAGTCGCGGCGAACCTCGGACAACAAGGCAGATGCTCCCCCGCCTCTTCAAACCATCCCACCCCATCGACAGTCGCTACCATCAATACACGAAGCTCTCAATACGAAATCTTATACGTCTCCTGTATCCGCTTCTCTGCCACCAGCGCACCACCCCGCTCCATATTCCCAGGGCCCTGTGATTCCCCGAACATACCCCCCTTCAGATCACGCGCCGTATTCGACTCATATATGCTTATCGCAGACAAGGCATCCTTCTCCACCTCGCCCGATTCATCCACAACAAGCCCATGCCTTCTCTCACGTTGATCCGCCGCAAAATAACTACCAGGAGTCGCAGCGACATCCGGCAGCCACCGCACCGGCGGCTCCCTCTTCTCACGCTCAATACCCAAGTCACCGACATGATCCTCCTCGGTACGACCCAGACAGTCAGGCGTCAGAAAGACCCCTTAACAGCTATTCTCATCAGCCTCAGACGGGTCCTTATAGCTATCCTCCTAACTCGAACCAGATGTCCGGTCCCCACGATGCCTCTTATAATCAGCCTCGATATCCTCATGACCCTCGACCGGTTGATGAGGGGTGGAAAGGAAATACTGAAGATGATAGGACCAAAATCTCTCCATTTAAACAAGGGTTGAAACGTCGGTACATGGTCTGGGACTTTGAAAACTACCTCTCTGCTGTACGTAAACTGCTGCGGCGTCTTGGATTTTTTGCTAACGATCTGAGTAGATCAATGTTTCCTCGGGCAACATACAGAGCTGGTCACATCATTTTCACACCATAACACAAGAGCAACAACCTCGGGATCATCCGGCTGTTCCCGATCGTATGCCTTCCTTGGATTCTTGTAATGAAATGCTTGAGAATCAAGAAACGATCCGAATCTTTCTGGAAAAGATGAGAGATATGATATCTCAGCAAAATGAGCAGACGGCCATGCTCGAAGTGCAACATCGAGAAAATACTGGTAAAAGTGCAGCCTACTACGACCATGAAGCGCAGAATAACGTGTACATGCATGATCCTAAGGGTGAGGTGTTTGGGGGACCAGAAAGCAAGAAGCGTCGCGGGGTATGTGCATACGAAAGGAATCCAAAGAATAGATCAGTTCTAACGCGCAGATAGAGAGCGGCCCCTCCCGGTCGATGTCATAGCTGCAACAGAGCAGAAACTCCGGAATGGAGACGAGGTCCAGATGGCGCGCGAACGCTCTGTAATGCGTGCGGTCTGCACTACGCCAAGCTGACAAGGAAAAACACCATGAAGCAGTCGCAGATGGCTAACGGCTCTTCTATACGCCCCAAGTCCATGGACGGTGTTTCTCCTCGACCACTGTGAGAACGCCGATTGCGAGAATTTTCAACAACAAATTCTTTGTATAATAGATAATGTCTTGTACCGAAACTCGATGATACTAAAATTACTTCGGAGGACGGTCGAGTAGATTGGTCGGAAAGTTCGGAGAGTTGAAGAGGAATTTCAACTTGGTACATGTTTGGCACGCCTTTTATGGCGTCATTTATAGACTCCCTTTCAGGGGACAATGGCATACACAGGGAGCATTGTGTTTTTTTGGGCATCAGGGCTGATAGATGTCTCATGCTTGGTTTATCGGCTTTCGCCGATCTCACGGGTGTTGAGAGAACAGTATTCGAGAGAGCTCTGGCTCCGCTTTTAGGCGTTATGGACCATTCGATCGCAACTCAGAGTTGTGCTGATTTTAGGACGTGGCATGGGAGTCAATGAATTTCTGGCACGATTGCCATGCATTGAACGGCGTTATTTCAAAATTTACGCTTTACTGACCTCGCAAAATTTCGCTTTTCCCTTCTGGTCATCCGCCTCGATCTTCCACGCATACACAAGAGTGACGGTTTCGCATAAGGCTGAGTTTGTCCCGTATTATGCCAGACGACTCCACTACCTGCACCATCGCAGTTCATGCTTCAAGGGCGGCATCATACACTTCTCAAGGGCGGGGCATAGTATGTCACCAGCAGACCTAGAGCCCGAGTTATTTTCTCGATCTGTGTAATGGAGGGCGTGTTCAACGGTATCGGAAGCGAGTCGTCTGGGGTGCTACAAAGGAATGGAATCTAGTTTTGAATGAACAGAACGGCTAGGAAAGGCAAGCAGACAAGGAAGGAATACTTAGCTCACGGGCATTAGAAACTAAGAATAAAATATGGTTCAGATTCACTTGTGTCAGGCTTTCAATGGCATGCGGTGTTGGGCAAATTATTTTGCAGCAATCTGATGTATTTCCATCCTCATGAGAGCCAACTTCCGGCCGGTCACTGGTACTAACTACTGCAGAAGACTAGAAAGCTGTTTGCCACCTCGGTGCCGAGACAATGACATTCATCCTTCCGTCCTTCTGCCATAGAATTTTTTTTTCTTTTTTTGAAGATTATTCAAGGCTGGTGTGAGCACACAGCTCGATCTGCTCTCAGTATTTTACATTTGTGAAGATCCACTTGCAAAGTGGGTGTCACTGTTCCATTCTTGCAATCACACTTCTGCGGTCTTCTGGAATCCAATGTCAGAGTAGATTCAAATGACCCATTACACATGCGGGTGTGAACTATGATACGGTCCAGTACATGGTCACTTTGCGTGATGCGCATGGGTTGACATTATACAAGCTTGCTGGAACTGAAGGAATGATATTCTTTGGCTGAGCACTCCCCGGGTGGACATGGTGTTGACCACTGGGTCTTATAGCACCTTTCTTTCAGCATGTCGCTGAGCGACGTTGTGGTAATGGTCAGTTAATGTGGCACGACTCTACGTGTGATGAGAAGAACTTGGTGCTCATTTGAGGCGGGGCTCGAGACTCGACGGAGACCAAAGCGAGTTGAGTCGCACAGTAAGGGAGTTGGCTGGGTGAGTGAGGCGGATCTGTGTAACAGTTCGGTCGAGATCGAGCACCTGAAGATTCCGAGCGCGAGATCCGATGTGGTGGGTTGCACATGACGCTTGGGAGGTTTTGGAAACGAGGGTTTCTTTTTCAATTGCTTGTTTCTCACGCCGACTGCGTGTCAATTGCCGACTCTCTGAATGGTTATTAGGTGGCAATGTTTCTCGAGATTTTCCTTGACCGGACCTGTGTTCTACCATCGTCCCAGACTGGCTGTCTCTTTCGTTACAATCAGCTCTCGTTTCGACATGGATGAGCGAGGGTCTCCTTTACTGGGAAATACAAAGGGGTCATGTCGTGCCCTTAAGTACGTGGCAGGTGTTTGCTGGGTAAGGGAGGGAGACAACGATGACACAACACAAGCGGTTGAGCACCCAGGTGCAATGCAAAGGCGTGGTACCGATGAGGGGAATAGCGATTTAGTGTTCAGATCGAGGAAGCTTGCTCGGCTTTCACATTGTTGTCGCAGATTGTGTGCGTCTGCTTGGATTGAACGCTACAGAGCACAAGGCCTGTGTTACAACGGGTGGAACAGGATCACTGATGACTATACAACTAGACGGACGTAATAGGAAACATATACACTTACGTTCTACAGGAGCTGCCGTGTCTTCTTCCAACACATGTGTGTGTCTCAACTCATCGACGACATGCAGCAAATGGTAACCAACACATCGCCGCCGGCTTGAAGCGCCAGTGACCACCTCGCATCTATTCCATAAACCATACCACGTGAGATGTGATGTGGCAATGGGTCGATCATGTAGGTACGGTGTTGCTTGTGCTTGGCGAAGCGAGAGACACCTCAAAGTACAGGCCCAGGTAGGTTGCAGGATCGTGGGGATCGGTGTGCCAGGTGTGGGGGAACAAAGAATGAGGGGTTCATGCGAGGGGCCGATAGGAGCTCATTTGAGGGGGGCCGATGGATACTTGCGTGTCCTCTTTTCTTTTTCGTAGGACGAGGACGGGAACAGGAGGATAGGAATGGGCATGTGATGAAGGGTAGAGATAGAGCAAGTGAGATTCTAGGGCTTATCGTTGATTGTTATATCTTGAAGTCTGAAAAATCACTACTTGAGGCTTGTTGAGTGATGTGAGAAGTTGTATGGGCAAACCTGCCTTGAATACCGTTGCCCCGAGCAAACATCAACCAGCGAAGGGGCTCAAGAATGTGCAGAACGATCCGGTCGGAATACTCTTGATGCAAGATCCATATGAACACAGTGAACAATTTTGTATCTCAACTTTATCGTTCACATTGAAGTTACATCATCCGGTTTGTCTATCCGATTACAAGAGATTTGACACAGTATCATGCCTTCTTGTTGATGGAGATAAGATTGCAGTTTTGCACTATGCAGCACCTATGTGCTTGTAGGGCCTGGTTGTGGATTCATAATTCAAAATGACCACCGAGGCCCTGTCATGGTGTTGATATTCCCAATCCGGCTTAACGCATGATGATCCACCACAAACCTTACTTCGACCCCTCCTCGGAATTTGGGCAGGAGCATGGATGACGCCGGGCGCCATGGAAATTTGTAAGCATAAGAAAAAATTCACCCCACTACTCCACGATTCAGTATCAACGATCGTCTCTATCATTCTATCATTCTATCATTTCAATAAACCTCTTCCATCCTAAAAACCGAGCTGCACAGTATCATTATTGCCTATTGAAACCACTGTCATTGCTTTTGGAGCACGTTTTTTGCCCCCAATATTGCTACTTCATCTACCAGGCCTCAGACGTCAGTAAACGCCAGTACATATTACGTGCTTCTCTTCACAGACCTTGTTGTGGCTGCCGATATGGCGAATTGAGAGGTTGCAGAGGTGGGGGTTCTCGTTAGCATCGACAACGCGGCAGGCGTGGGCATTAATAGCAAGGCCTGCATCCAGAAAGTGTGTTTATAACTACTGACCAGGATTTGCAGCGAGGGGGCGGGCGAATAATTTTGTCACTGGTAAATTACCAATTCCAGGCGCGCGTCGCCTCCAGTATTCATACTTGTACCAACTTGATCGCAGTTCAGTGGCGATAGATATTACACTGGCACGCCATCAGATCGACGTGCGCTTCCGCGAATCGAACGCTTACCTTTATGACTGGCAGCAGACCATCTGGCTACGATTGGGAGAATAACCGCGTTTGCGAAAGGTGACACAAGATGGGTCTACTGTGAGTTGCCAGCTTGGGTATGGCTTAAATGGAATGCAGGATCTGACTGTTCGGGGGTGTAGGGCGCTGGGAACCCCGCTAGATTGGCCAGACGCAAAGCATAATGCAAACCATGTGAGGGAATGGGGAGTTAAGGTAAGACCTTTGTCCGAGCAAAAAAAACTCAAAACGCTATTTCGCTTGTTTCGTGCTAACATCGATTCCAGCAATTGTTGTCCGTGTGGAACAGAGCCAAGGGCAAAGAAAGAGACGCCTTACTCTGGGGAGATGAAGTTGGTACTCTAGTTACGTGGGCGAGACAACTCCTAAGTATGTGGTGTAGATCGAGTACCTTGTTGTGAACTTCAAGGAGCAAGAACCAAACGTCACACTGTCCCTGCGGCAGGCAGACATCTTGACTGCACTTGCTCAGGACGATAAGCTATGCCACGACGGAGGCTGCGTACCTGAATTACAGGACGTAGGGTGTGTAAAAGTCATTCATGGCTATGGTTCTGACTGATGATTTGCAGCGGTTCTCTCCCCATATTTCACCCGGAGTTCGGACGATTCATGCTCGAAGCTACCCCTGGTCAGCCATGGGGCATTGGATTTAAAGATCTCCTTGATGTTGAAAAGGACATGAAACTGAGGTAAGTGCGGCTTGTTTGTTTTCCGTTTCTTATCTCATCGTCCGTAGACGGAGGATAGCCAAAGAACATATGAACCCAGAGGAGTATCCAATAACTCTAACAACTTACCCGCGCCTCGGAAGCCCTGGCATATTTACTTCACCTTACTACCCACCCTCTGGAGAGAAGCTGCGGTCACAGTTCGTACCAGACGAAATAGCCAATCCACACATCCGTTTCCCCACCTTAGCGGCCAATATCAGATCTAGAAGGGGCCGCAAGGTACAGGTCAACGTTCCAGTGTATAGGGATACAAACACGTCGTGGCCTTGGAAAGACCCAACAGTCAACTACGACCTGACAAAATGGCCTGAGGATGCTGACGTACGGAACGGTGCTGCACCTGATAACTTTATACACATGGATGCGATGGCCTTTGGTATGGGAAGCTGCTGTTTACAAATTACCTTCCAAGCCAAGAGTATCGCAGAAGGCCGTCGCATGTACGATCAACTGAGTCCATTAGGTCCCATCCTCTTGGCTCTCACGGCAGCTACCCCAATATATAAGGGTTTTCTGGCTGACACGGATGTTCGGTGGAATCAAATAAGTGCGGCTGTGGACGATAGAACGCCAGAGGAGTTAGGAGAAGAGGTAATATCCCTCGTACCTCTCGGGGAGACATGCTAACCTCCGTAGCCTTTGAGGAACAACCGCTGGAGAATACCTAAATCTCGATATGCGGCAAACTCGACATATATCTCTAACGACCCTAGATTGAGAAAAGAGTACATGGACCCAGATCTTATCGTTGATGCTGATGTCAAACAACAGCTCATGGATGGCGGCATGGACTCGCTCCTGGCTACTCATTTCGCCCATCTTTTCATACGAGATCCTATTGTCATTTTTGCCGAGGATTTGAAGGAGCTCGACCTTTCGAAAAGCGACCACTTTGAGAACCTGCAATCAACCAATTGGCAGCACATACGTTTCAAGCCCCCACCAACTGGTAGTGATATCGGGTGGCGTGTGGAATTCAGGCCGATGGAAATTCAAATTACGGATTTCGAAAATGCCGCATTTTCGGTCTTCATTGTTCTCATCACGCGAGCAATTCTCAGCTTTGATCTCAACTTCTACATACCTGTTACTAAGACAGACGAAAACATGGAAACCGCCCACAGACGCGATGCAGTCTTGAACGATAAATTCTACTTTAGAAAAAACCCGTTTCCCACAAGAGCACCGAGACCATATTCGGCAAATGGAAGGTCCACCCCTACAGGAACATCAACACCTTCTGTACTTAGCCGACCTCCTACCCCTACAGGACCTGTGGAGGACGAATACGCTCTTATGGGAATTGACGAGATCATGAACGGAAGTAAAGACGGTTCCAATAATGAGTTTCCCGGTCTTATCCCTATTGTAGAGAGCTACCTTGATAGCATGAATGTCGATGTGGAGACGCGATGCGAGCTGACTGCGTATCTGAACCTGATTCGTAAGCGCTCTGACGGTACTCTTTGGACAGCTGCGAGGTGGATTCGCAGTTATGTACGAGGCCATGAAGAATATAAACATGATAGCGTTGTTAGTGAGAAGATTAATCATGATTTGATTGGCGCTGTTATCGACATGGAAGGCAAAGGTGAATGGAACATCCGGGATGCTGGGAAGCTTCTAGGAAAAGGGTTTTCGCCATGCAAGGAGGGCATTATGGCCTTGGCGCGGCCTCCGATAGTTGATCAAACCAGTTCAGGGCCTTAGCGTGAGGCATCTGGCTCTTCCGCACACGAGTCTCGTCCGGCAGGCAAGGTTTGAAACTATTAGAATGAATTACCTCGTATAAATCCCAATGAAGTGAACCTTTTACCTTTGACAGTATGCTCCTACATTCGTCAGTATTTCATGTTTCGTAAAAAGAGACAAGGTGCAAATTTACCATATCACGCTTCAGCTAACCTTCTATGTATTTTGCTCCACAATGATTGTCTATATGAATGTTCTCTAATCTCTGTCGTCAGCTAACAAATCCCCTAGTCTTGACACCTGACGATTGATGAACTGGTAGTAAGTAGTATATCTTATCACTCAGAGCGAACATATTCTGAACCATTGTAGTACATATATTGAATCCCATATTAATTAACCATCCTACAGCCGTCTCTGGTGTGGCTCAGCTGCAGTACTCAGCCTCCCCCATGACACCATAGGATGCTCGGTGGGCTGAGAATACAAACACTTCGACGATGCAGCTGAGATCTATCTTCGTCGTCGACACATCCCCACTCAACCATGGTGCCTTAAAGAAAGAATATCAAAAATGATAACCCGTAGAGCAACGAGTTCACCAAACTCCAGTATCGATTATTATCAGCCGTCAAACATGAAATACGCATACTCAAGTTGTTGGGGAAAAAAACAGGAGGGTAGAGTGCAAGCTAGGGCATAGCAGCTTAACATCGCGCAGCACATATTTTGCACTGTCCTACTGCTGGGACAATCAAGAAGATACACGCAACATCATTGTCGATGGTACCAAGATCCCAGTCACAAGGAATTTGGCATCAGCACCCAGATATTTTTGCAGAGCTGGATATATACGCGTATGGGCCGACGCGCTGTGTATCAATCAGAATGACACAGAAGAGCAAAGCCTGCAAGTACGCAGCTTGAGAACCATACACTTACAGGCTAGCAAGGTTGTTTGCTGGGTAGGCGAAGCCAGCCACGATGATGCGAAGGTCCTGGACTATATGTTAAAAGATATTCTACCTCTGAGTCTGACCCAACCGGATGATGAGATAAGCGACTGGGGGGGAGAGAAGATTCCAGTATTTCAGGCAATAAATACTGATCATGACGAGAATGGACTGCTGGAAACTACCGAATACCCCAGGCGGGAGAAGGAAGTCATACGGCTGCGGAACCAGGAACATTCTTCAGAATCTCTTCGGACAGCCTTATTGGAAAAGAGTGTGGTATGTAAATGTTGTGTCGACAAGATACCGGTGACTAATACACCATCGCTTTACAGTATCATCCAGGAGATATCTGCAGCAGTAGACGTAGCTGTCGTTTATGGCGATGTTGAATTCTCCTAGGATTATGTAGCAGAAATTCTTCGCCAAGTGAGGTCTTTTGTCAGACATCACGAGCACATAAATAGTATCCGTGCTTATACAAAAAGGTGTTATCACCACGCTGTAGAGTTGGTACAATTTCGCGATCAATTCCGCAATGGCAAGGGAAGAACCCTCCTTTCGGCCCTGCAGGCGAGTCACTCATGTCTTGCAAGTGACCCCCTCGGTAAGATATTTGCTCTCCTCGGGATAAAATCTGCCGGGTCAAGACTGATACCTGTGCCTAATTACACAATACCCATTGGGGATGTTCTCAGGAAATTGACTAAGGATCTGACCAAGGCTCAAAAGTCTTTGAACCTGATCTGCCTGAAGAGAATGGTTTCCACTGATCTTGTTCGCCCAACAAGTACAGCTTCTTGGATTCCTAACTGGGAAGTGCTTTGGACTCAAGGTACCACAGCCCTAGAAGTGGATATCTATAGGTCCATGGAAAAGAGCGCATGCTCAGAACATCCACTCCTGCAACATGCAAACGACGACGAACTCTGCTGCCGTGGTGAGTATCTTGGCAAAATACTCAGCTGTAGTAAAACCCTTGCTCTCTCTTCTCCGGTTACACTCCCTCCCCATGGACTAAAACAAAACGTCAAAGACAAAGGGTGCTGGCCGGAGTTCAAACCTACTCGTTTTTTCGGAGAAGCCTCGACCGTCTTACCCTCGGATACTGCCTTATCTTGGGTCGAAAAGTTGGGTATGCCAGAGGTGATCGGTGGAGTCCAGATAATGACATACATCGAAGTTCCATCTATGAATTTCTTGGCCAGATTCTTCAGGAATTCAATGACAGCGAGGAGACATCGTCTGTCTCTCGATGGTTTCAGGAAAATAAGACGATGTTAATTGGGTCCAAGAATTTGGAACCTCATCTCGAGGGTATTGTGGAAGGTATCGGCGTGGGATCTGCAGAACAAGTCGAGAATCGCTATCAAGTCGCAACTTACGCAGGCAATAGCATCCATCCCAATGCCCCTCTTGATTACGCAGAAGCTTATTCTAGATTCAGGAAGCATTGCCAGTCGATGTTGCCGAGTACACTCATGACGTTGCTCGAGTATTAGGTAGTTCCATTAAACTGGTGCTTTTAAGAGAGGGGTACTTCTAGAGGCAGAAGTCGACGACGAGCTGTGGATACTGAAAGGCTGTTCAGTTCCTGTTATAGTGAGGCCAGTGCAGAATTGGTGGTCGGAACGCCCCTGAAGTGCCGGCTTATTGGTGCTTGCTATGTGGAGCCAGAGGTTTGTTGGAGAGCCGCCGGCTGCTGCGAGGACCGGGGAGATATATGTTGTACTATCCTGAGAAATCTCATAAATTATTTTCACGCTTTCTATTTCTTGTACACTACGCGTGAGTGCTATTTATACCGTAGAAAAAACAACTGGTACTTTGTAAGCATTTGAACTAAATGTTTCTAGATAAGCTCTGACGGAACTACTTCAAGCCGCCCTTCAAAGCAACCAGCAGTTTAATAAGCCATCAATCCGAGAGGAGGTAAATTAGTTGAAGACTACCTCAATAGGCACACCCTCTTCAAATTCATTTAGAAGAGTTTTAGGACAGTAAGGGGAAGGTTTCGAATCTCGTTCGGGTCAACTAATAACTCTCGACTCGACCGACAATGCGTGAGAATCTCGAAACACTTCTCGCAGGCTGTTGGGTTTTTATTGGTTGTTCTAGTCGTTATATGGAGCCCAACTGACCGAGTAATCTTGTTGTATAGGAACTATTAGGTATTGTACGGGTACTCACTATATCCTTATCTATGTCCGGTTAAGGGTTGGATTGGTCGGAGGTGTGAGAACTATAGAATTCTCATTTCGGAGGCTTATTGAAGCTCCTTCACTGGTCGGCCTCCACAGATTTTGAAGACCGAGCACAAGAAGTCTCGAAAACCTCATTTTAAAACAGTAGATCACCAATTTAAGCCCTACAATCTCATCGAATCCGTATCATGCTATAGGCCAGAATTTGATCCACCGGACATAGATAAGAATAAAGGGAGTACGGGGTAGTCTGGGTTGGGTGAGCACCTGACCGAACGACTTGCACTTGGGCAATCGGGACCTCGGGAGCCGACCTCGGGATGCATAGCCACACAGCGCACCAGCCACATATATACGTCAGACAGGACTTGGCACACCCGGCCTGCAACTGCCAACTTCGCTTCCCCAGAAACCTTGGCGAACCCTGAAAACCCTGAAATTGCCCATGATAATCTTAACGCCATTAAACTTTTAAGGTGCTCTCCTGACAGCCCTGTCACAGCCATTTGACCCCTTTGACCCCTTTGACCCCTGGGAATAACCTCACAGAGCCAATGCGCGTCGGTAATGGATATGGAGTCGGCGCACACCTGGGCTCGGATGCAGGCTAGGCGTGGACAGATGCGTTGGCTGTCTCTGGTTCTGTTGGCTGGGCTGGTAACCGCAACCCATACACATCTTCCTGTTCCTCGCTGAACGCAATCTACCCTTGATTCTCGTCGACATGGGCGTATGTCATCGGCGAAGAAAAGGATGAAAACGAGGTAGGCAGCGAATCAGATGCTATCATACCCTTTTATTGGGACACTTCCTTGTTTTGGACGGCAACAGCTGTTCGCCCTGGCCTTTCAAGAGCAATGAACTGACACTGGCTTGCTTTTGAATAAATCTCTCCATCTCCCCGACCACGGTACTCTGCTATCTTTTGCTTTGCTCCCCAGACATTGTTCATCGCAAAATACTCGCAAAACTACACCCCCCCGAAGCAAAACTCTCTCCATCCTTTCACGAAGCGCCTCCAGCCTTCACCCCTATTGCCCAAGATGGCGAAGACTGGCTTCTTCCACCATATTGGTACTTTCCTGCTCTTCATTGGCACCGTTCTGCTTGTAATCACCACCATCTCGAGCCCGATTGTGGATCATATTGCTATCATGAACGTGAAGCTGGCAAATGGGACCAACACTCACGACACCCACGTTACCATGGGCACATTTGGTTACTGTCTGCTCGATGCTGCGTAAGTCTTGGCACCTAAAGAACTTATGGTTGAATACTAACAGAGTTACTAGTGATGGTCGAGACTACTGCACCGGAAAGCACATCGGATACAACCCGGCATCTTTCTTGGAGAACATTTATGATACCGACTTCAATGGCGCTCAAGTCAACACAAGCAAGGGCCTCACTCGCGTGATGGTCCTCCATCCTGTTGCTTGCGCTCTGGCATTCATCGCCTTCCTTAGTGCAGCTTCTTCTGGAATATGCGGTGCCTTGGTTGGAGCGATAACTGCCTCAGTCGCATTCATCATTACCGTTGTTGTGATGGCGACCGACTTTGTGTAAGTTTGATTTATTTTCAGCTCTGAAACAAATTGTGCTTGTTACTGATACCTCTTTGCAGGCTGTTTGGTATCATAAAGAGCCATGTCAATGATGACGGATCTGGAGCACGCGCTCAATTCTCGACCGGAATGTGGACGTTGGTGGCTGCCATGGCCTGTTTATTCTTGGGCACTATCGTCGTTTTCTTTACTTGCTGCTCCTCCAGAATGCACAGACAAAACCACACCTCTACGAAGCATGCAGAGACCGGCTACGCCAATGGCACCACCGTCACCAAGAGACATTTCTGGCAAAGAAGCTCCCGACGCACTCGGTACTAAATCGCCCATGCACAGGATAATGCATAGCATTGATAGCACTGAGTTGGATGAGCAAAAACATCGGGTGTAGGGGGTTTGTGGGAAGACTTTTACAATTTAGTACATGATTGATTTTTGAGCGGGCGCTTGCATTAGGAGATACCATTGGACGCTTATTTCTTCTGACGCTTTTAATAATAATACCCAATGAATTTCTATGATACCAGAAGAAGTGTTTCACTTTCTCAATTGGATTGAATTGGTGTAGTAGATATCCATATGTCTCCGCCAGTGGCTCAAAAACGTATCAAATGGTCAATCAATTCACAAGGCAACGGGACTCTCGTGAGCCTAAGCATAAGCCACAACGTGAATGTCATAATAGATATAACAGGAATATTACAACGAATGGTAACAGGAAACGAGAGAGAGTCGCGGTGGTAGGTACATTGCCCTTTTCCGCTATGTATACCTAGGTACTCTCTGATTGTTGGAGACCGTAAGATATGACGCTCTGTCCAATGTAACAATTGAGTGAAGTGGTAACTAACTGCTCGAATCAGTCGTACCTTCCGCACCCAGGGACGGAGCCATCTCTTCTGATTCGTGTCGCAAGAAAACAGAAGAAGTGACAACGACAACCGAGGGAACCTGAGGCATAAGGCATCCTTGCCCCTCCTGCGACACGACATCGAGGTTCACACCTGAGGCCGACTGCTACGGTTGTCGAGCCGCCGCTCTCCGACATTATTCGCTCGAGATGGCCGGACTTTTCTAAAAAGGAGACTCTACCAAAGCAATGCGGATGTTATATCGTGTATATGTTGTGTGTGAGATTTTTGAACGCCCATACTCATGGTCTATCGACTCGGGGCTCGTGTCGACCTTGCCATGGTTGTCGTGGTCGGGCTGGCACTTCAGCAACAAAGGTTGTCCCCGGCGACCGTAACTGCAGCCCAAAACCAGTTAGGCGGTTTTGCTGGAGAAGGCTCAGGGCTCGGCGCAGCCTTCCACTTGGATCCGGCTACAGCCTCATCGATTAACCTCTTTTCCCATCCTCAACACCACAACCTCGCCCTTGGGCATCGTGAGAGCACCTTATTGCCGCCAGAAGAGTGTCGCCCGTGTGTGGTTCTCTCAATTAATTGTTAGCTATGGAACCTTCAAGTAAAAAGCGCCGCCTTGCGCCCAAACTGGCAGAAAAGCCACTCCAGGAGCAGGTGAGTCCGTCAGGGAAACGACGTTTTCACCCCAATATTCTCATGCTAACGAATTGTGTAGTCTCCCCAGATGCGGTATGATTACAAGGCGATGCCACCAGTGCAAGACGCAGCACCCCCGCCAGAGCGTACCGACTTCGAGTCCTTTGCGCGTCATTTACAGGACGCAGCCATGCTCATATATGCTCAAGCCAATCGATCCCCATACACAAGTGCCACGGTACTCCTACTCCGGTGGGAGGATGAAATGAGCGTTGAGCCAGACCTTTCGTCGTTAGAAAAAATGTTCCGCGAGCGCTTCAATTATCGAACAGAGACATGGAGTATCCCGAGCTGTCCAAACCCCAGCGTGAAACTCACCATGCAAATGGCACAGCACATTGAATACGCTCGACCGGACCACCTCCTAATTGTATACTATGCTGGACATAGCTTTATAGGTTCTGATCACAACCTTTATTGGGCTTGGTAGGAGCAGGTGTAAATGACCTTGTAGACTAACGCTAATTACCGAGCAGTAATTCTCGCGAGGATTCGGCCAGACTGAAGTGGGAGGGTGTGAGATGTCTACTGGAAGACGCACAGTCTGATATACTGCTACTTCTGGACACTTGTGCGGTAGCGGATGCACCCACTGCTGGCAACCATGGCGTCAAGCAAGTAATCGCAGCGTATACTCCTGATCAAGCGGCACGTGAACCAGGTTCTCAGTCTTTCACATACAATCTAATAGAAGGCTTAAACAAACTTGGAAGCGGTCGGCCGTTTAGCATCCAGCGTCTGCATGAGGAGATAATCTCCCAAAAACACAACATGCTCCTCATGCAACAGCCACTGCTGCCGAACGGAACGAGCAAGCCTTCGTCGCCTCACGATCGAATGCCAGTCTGCTTCTCGTTAACACCTGGTACTCTACAAAGCATTACCCTTTCTCCTATAGGCATGCAGCAAGGCATGCAACAGGGCGGTGGCTCGGGCATATCCCCAATCGGCTCTCCGGACAATGAAGCTCAAATATTGCAGAATAATCTTAGTAGCCAACATGGAATCAAGGTCAATTCGAACTCGGATCTTACGTTCGAGGAAATGCGGGCTTTGGTATGTACAACATTTCTCGGAGAGCCCAGCCAGGACATGGCATCTTTTAAGCAATGGCTACATAATACCCCTCTTGCTGCTTCGAAGATTGCTGTGGAAGGCATGTTTCACGGGCCCCCGACAGTACTGCTTGTTTCCATGCCTATCGCAGTATGGAATGTGGTCGCTGCTGATCGAACTTGCGCTTTTCTTGGTTATGTGAATTCTCATAACATGTCAACGGAATACCAGCATTTAGTGGGCGGGATAGGGGGAATTTCACCGATTGGAAAGGCGGCAACATTCAAAGAGCTTGAAGATGGAAAAATACTTCTAGAAGCGCGTGAGGCAGCTTCTTCCACACCAGTCATGCTTCGCCATGAACAATCAAGAACATTGGCTACTCCGAGCACGGCCTCCCAGGTTGTCTACCCAGAATCGGGGTCTGGGACACTTCCCGAAGGAAAAGATGAGGTTGAGGACTCGGTTGAAATGCACGAAGCTGCTGAGCAGCTTAAAGCACTGAGTCATGTTCGCCATGTTAGTCACGATAACCTTGCCAACGAAAGGAATCATTCTCACATGCCGTTAGAGGAATCGCCCGGAATGAGATCTGCTCGCGACGAGTCAGTATCGTCTCAGGACCATGGAGAGTCGGGCCCCGAAGACCAGATGTACAGTTCTGAATACAATTCTCCCGCGTCACGACCCAAGCCTCGGCGATCTGTCCAGAAACAAGGGCCTAAGCAAGACACCAGATGCTCCCTTTGCAGTCACGCTCCATTTAAAGACTCTTCATCGCTTAGGAAACATATCGCCGCCGCTCATACTCGACCTTTCCCTTGCGCCTTTTCATTCGCAGGTTGTACGAGTACATTCGGCTCTAAAAACGAGTGGAAGCGACACATTGCCTCGCAGCATCTTTGTTTGACATACTACCGGTGCTCTTCGTGCCCTCAAAGTACTGTGGAAGGGAAGGGCAACGAGTTCAACCGGAAAGATCTTTTCACTCAGCACCTTCGCCGCATGCATGCGCCGTTTGCCATCAAAAAAGCAATTGCGAAAGGCGACAGCAAGTTGCAAGTTGAGTGGGAAACACATGTAAAGGACATGCAGGCGTCCTGCCTAGTCATTCGTCGTCAACCACCGCAGCGTTCCGCTTGTCCAAAGCCTGATTGCGCGAATCTATTTGAGGGTGCTGGCAGTTGGGATGACTGGACAGAGCATGTCGGCCGCCACATGGAAAAGGGCGAGGCTGGCCGCCTAGGTGTCGACAAGCTGCTTGCGCGATGGGCGTACGAGAACGGTATTATTGAGAGGAGAGACGATCATACATATCGGCTCGTTGGCGCAGAACGGGAAGGCAATGCTGGGGGCTATTACTCCGATGGGAATGGAGTGGAAAAGAAAGAACCGGACGAAAGGGGAGAGATCGAGAGCATGAATCTTGATGCAGGGCTGTGATATGTAGTATTGGATATAATACCAGGACCGGAAGGCTGGGATGGGGCTAGGCTGGAGTAGGGATTACAAAGGGTTATTGGGTTTCTTCTCACAATTACGTGGCGTATAAAGTTGTCTTCTTGTACATCTGTCATTTCCGTGGGCTTCATCAAAGGTTTTCGGCAATTTGATTGGGAGCTTGGTATATGTATACATATCATAAAGTTTTGTTCAAAACGGAAGAATTCAATCTCATCGAGAAATTAGCAGCAAGACAAGAGTGGATCGGCTAAAAGTGACTTTATTATTTGCTTTCTAGATAACTAAAGATATCTACAGTTAAGTCATTGTACCTGGTCGACAATTCAAGTTTCTTGTCTTTGTTAGGGAACTCTTTCACATATTATTTTGGGGGGTACCATTGCGAACTTGCGACTTTAGCTGAACTTAACCATTTCCATTTACTGCCCCGTTTGCGACCTAACAAACTCGTATCACTGAATTAGTAAATATCATGGACGATCTTTTGGCTTCCAACAACCTACATCGGAACCTTGTCGGCTTCGCTAAGTGTATACTGGCTCAACCTGGTCACGCACGCTCCCCCCTTTCCCCCCTTGTATCTAAGCGAGATAAATGTCCTATGGAGTAGATAACCCAGCCGGTGCCGAGTTGAATTTAAAAAAGGAGTTAGTTTGCATCAACCAAGTAACGCATGCTGGAGCAATGTTTCAGCTGATATTCAAGTTTGTGGGCTAGTAAAAGTTGTGGTCGTTGAGGCATCTCCAAGCTGATCCAAGAAAAAAAAAAGAAAAAAAAAACCGCGCGAGCAAGTATCGATTGACAGAGCTAGAACTTAATCCAGCCAAAGGTGCTTTACTGTTTCTTTACGCCTTTTGACTACTTGTCTCTCTGGGGGCCGTGAGTCGGCTTGGTTATCCGTGCACTTCCCTTCACTTCTTTCGATGGAGTCATGTGCAGATTAACCTGTTAAAAGTCCTCCGCTTAATCATTGACTATTTGTTCAAGTAATAGGACGGCAACCACAGTTTTCCCAGTCGACAAACACAGTTCGTTGTACCTCATAAGATGTCTTGACCTGGTCGAAAGATAACAGGTACAAGTCATAGTAGTTAGCTGATTCCTTATGCACTGATCGAAATTCATCTATGTGTCACTATTTTCGAATATCCGGAGATGGGTTACTTCTGAAACAGATTGAAATTATTCTCACTCGATACAACAATGTTTGGAGACGTATAGAAGATAGATAAGTAGACTAGTCGTTTGTACAACAATTTGCCCTTACATACACATACCGCTACACATCCAAAATTTCGGTAGGTCTGATTAATTATGCAAAAATATGTTTATCCTTCCTCGCTATACTTCTACCGCCACAAATATATGCTAAACTTTGAGAATCCTCAATTCTTGAGACATCAAAAGGTGTCAATGTTTCCATCTGCTGGGTATACAAACATTTCAATTAGGCAAAATGGGTAACAAGTAAGCAAATGTCAATGTAGCGCCTACGCTCTCAGAGCAGACTCCTTTCCTGTCCCATGCTTCATGATGCACATTGGTAAAAAAAGAAGTTCCCCTCCCGCAGACCCTGGTGAGAGACAACCATCAATAAGTTGAGATATTCCCGGGATAAATATCGTCCGATTAACGCCGTTACATAGAGTCGCAATTGTTGTCCATCCACGTATCTGCCATATGACTTTAGTCAGCTTCAGCAAGCTGAATAATAAGCTTCGAGGCAAGGTCGAGGAAAGGAAATGGCGATGTGACGTCTTTCTCTTCAAACAACATGCCATCAGGAGTCTCATAGCCGGCGCATTTGAAATCAACGAGGTAAACTCCAGGTTCCATCTCGTAGAGCTGAATGTCCAGATGCATAATAACGCCACCACTCGGATCTGATTTTGAAGCTGCATTCGTAATTGGCGATGGAAGATCCGAGGGGAGTGAGCCGCCGGCGCCGCTAAGAGAAGCAACTGATTGACGTCGAAGATCTGCGGAGCATGAGCATTGAACCTAGGGTAAGCACTATCGAAAATCTTACCATCTTTTCGCCATCTAACACGAAGAACCCAGGGATCCGCCGGAAGGTTATATTTTGAGCTTGAATCTAGCTTGCTAAACCTCAGATTGGAGGCCTCATGTGTGGGCAATGACTCTTCGCGATGCAGAGACGCGCCACTTCCATTTGAAACGAAGCTGTCGTTATTGGAGCTAAACGGGTGAGTGACTTGCTAAACCAAACTACAGAACGACTTACTGTGTGGTCTCTAGAGCTTCTCTCTGGCTTTTCTCCCAATCTTCATCCACAATCCACTCGGCGCCAAGCTTCTGCAACGCACGATATATACAACCGATAGCCTCCAATGGCTGGTTACGCGAGCGGATACCGAATTGCCACTTTGTTGGTTTTGCTTTCTTTTGGGGGACCGGAGTCATGCCAGCAGGTCTTTTACTAGCTTCATCAAGCTTGAGCTGACTTCTAGAGTGAGGATTAAGTCTCCTAGCCGTCTCAACTTTCTCGGCTTCAGTTTGTTCGTGAGGCTCGTTGACTTCAGCGTGCGTTGTTGAGAGTCCCTCTCCAATCTCTCTTCCATTCTTTCGAGCCTCCATGTAATCACGATGATACGAAGGGAGACTGCTGGGAAGAATTCCGATTTTGCTAACGTAAGAACGTGCAGACCTATCTGTCCCAATTGAGCTCGACGAACGTGGCGACACTGCATCCAGAAGAGGACTTGGTCGTGATGTTCGTTGGGACTTCTCTTCTATTTGGGTTGATGCCTTCGCAGCTGTGGACCCGGATGCCGCTGAATTGACGCCCTCAAGTTTAATGCCATCATTCCAGGCTGGTGGAGATGGAACCTGAAATAGTAACTTGCCGTTTTCATCAGCCAAATTTGCTGTTTTTTTGTTAGCACTGTTGCGCAAGGCCTTGGTGCGCAAACCATCTGAATCAAGGTTCTGAGGATGTTTAAGAGTGTTCAGGTCCGATTCTTTAGAAGAAACAGAGTCATGCTTACGATTTGCCTGCATTAGCTTGTTCTCTCTGACAATCAAATATGCATCTTTAATCGCAGATGGTTCATCGGCAGCTAATGCTTCTTGAACATCTTTGATCCCATAGCCCATGGTTTTACTGATCTTTTCCGTCACCTGAACGTGGAGCTGCTCTTGCACGGCGGGACTGGCGTGGGGAGCAATGTTCTTCGGGATAATGGCCTTGGAAGGATCCACGCCGGTATCAATAAACTCCTCAACAGGTGGTTGCAAATAAGCTGGCAGGTTCTTGACAAACCACGGATCCATTCGAATCTCATCAATGGTGGCGCGATGGACAGGGTTCACAGCCAGCATTTTCTTGATCAGCGCAGCTGCGCCAGAGCTCATATAATTGGGGACCACGTATTGACCTTTGGCAATCTTTGCGAAGAGAGACGGAATATGCTCATCGTCGAAGGGCAATCTTCCGACGAGAAGCACGTACAAGATGACTCCGCAACTCCACACATCCACTTCGGGGCCTGCATATAATTTCCCATTGATGACCTCTGGTGCCGCATAATTTGGGCTTCCACAGCTGGTCTTCAAGAAATTTCCATCAGTCATAATGTTGCTCAATCCGAAATCGGCGATTTTGACATTTAGATTTTCGTCCAGAAGCAGATTTTCGGGTTTCAAATCTCGGTGGACAATCTTGTGTCTATGGCAATATTCCACCGCACAAATGATCTGCTGGAAGAATCTTCTCGCCTCATCTTCCTTCATCTTCCCATTCTGAACAATGTAATCGAATAATTCACCGCCTGCATATTCGAGAACCATGATGATTTCAGTGGGTGTCTTGATCACTGTATATCTGCAGATCGAAGGTTAGCCTTCGCAAATATAGGATGGGCCTGAAGTGAAGCCCTACAGCTTAATAATATGAGGATGTCGGAGTAACTGAAGATATTCTATTTCCCGCTCCACCCGACCTGCCATATCGCGACTAATGAGCTTCTTCCTGGCAATAATCTTCAACGCCACCTGTTGGTTCGTAATCCGATGGGTCGCCAATTTGACCTTGCCAAAAGATCCCTCCCCTAGAGTTCTGATGATATGATAGGCACCAATGCGTTGTTCCGCCTTCTTCTGAGGGACGGGCTCAACGGATCCGTGGTTGATGCCATTCGGGACTCGACGAGTGCTGGCATCGGGAGGCTTATTGTTCGCGCGTCGGTTGGCAGACGAAGCCAGAGAGATCTCCAGCTCGCCATCATCGTAAGCCCCGTGAGGCATCATAGGGTGGTTGATGTAGAAGTTGGTTTGGCGGTTGAGCACAAGGGAGGGGGTGCGTCCCTGAGCCTGAGGTGATGCGCTGCCCCACCAAAAGACGTGCGTCTGCGTGTGCGAGCTAATCCTATGGACTCAAGCGTTGCGATCGCTGATCAGAGTACCTACAAAGTGGTAGCTAACGTTATGCGATAGCTGCTGAAGGTGGCATAGGTTACTTTTGAATCGCTTTCAAGTTTGTGGGAAAAAGAGAGCTTGGGTTGTTTGGTTGCGAAACTCACCCTCTTCTCGATTCGGGCGGTACACGAACCGAATTCAACTAACAAATTCCGAACTGTGGGGTGAGTGAGGTCACGGATCAATCTCCGTTTCTGACTGTCTTGAGGTGCATGGAAACTGTGTATTGTCTGTCTTGAAAACTATTGAGCATGATGATTGAGCATTTGTCTTCCTATCTTCCCCAAATTACACGTGTAGAGACGGAAGGCGGTATGTCCTTCCCAAATTCGAGTACATTAATTACAATTATTTACACAACGTAAACACGAGTACAGTTGAAGTCCGCCCTGTATAACGTATACGAGTAATTTCTTTGGTCAATTCATATGCAAGCTGCTCCAGCATCACGATCCAAGCTCTGTAAGTTACGCTTATTACGATCTTCTAAGTATGGCTTGTGGTGAGAACAAGGTACCTTGATGGGTGTGTAAGGGAACCAAGCTTTGCTGCTGATGTGTCCCCAGCAATCTGCGGAGAATAGACAACAGTGAGAGGGAGCTCATCAGAGACCTCCCTTCTTTTCCTCTTCCCGTAATCTCGAAATGAGCTTTTCCCTCAAGTAGTCGCTCAATCCCAATCTGCCATGATAGTTAGCAAAATAGGTCTCGAGGAGCACGAATTCTCACGGCCACCAAGAACACTCCAAAGCTCAACTTACATCCCTTCCCGTGTGATAATCCGATAGCTCCCGCTGCTTTGCCAATTCCCTACACTGCCATCCTCACCTTGGACGAATTGTCCCGTCCCATCAACCTCTAAACTCCCAAATATGTCCTCAGGAAACGCAATTCGCCCATAGTCTGGCGGCGCTCTCATATCACTGACATGTAACCATCCTCCTCGCCCACCCCCGCCCGCACCGCCTTGCGCACTCGCTCCACCAGCACCGTCGCCGCCACTACCACCGCCACCACCAGCGCGAGGTGTCTTCTTCTTTCGTTGCTGAGGGAAGAACATCCCACCAGAGCCCAGAGCAGATCCAGAGGTCGAGGCAAACGCTGCTGCTTGGCCTTGGACTATTGGGTCCTGTGCTGAATGTTCTTTCATGACTTCGTTGAGAATTGCAAGGAATTTAGGGTTTTCGGTTAGGGAGTCGGTCGTTGGAGGGACTTTTGTGGTAACACCTATAGATAGGCTTTCGGTGGGAGGGTTGGTAGGCAGAAGAGAGAGGATATGCGAATTACTGGATTTGGGAAATACATACTGCAATCTGATTAGCAGGCATACCAGAGATAGGGATCCTGGGAAAGAGTGCCTAGCATACAATATGAGGATTTGACTGCAAGGTAGAAATTGACCGAATGGCCTGCCGCAACGGCGATGCAGTAACCGCTCTGCGAAATGTCGAACAGATCATAGTGTTGTGTATCCGGGTAGAGATTCGATGATTCAGCACGGAATATTTCAGATTTCTGGGGAAGAGCCCAGAGCTTGGACTCCCGATCAGGCAATGAGCTTCACATGCACGTCATTCTGACAGTTATTCAGGAACCGCAAGGCTGAAAGCAACTTCTGGGAAGACACACGAGAAAGAAACGTGGTTTGCAAATACAAAGTGCTTATAGGATGCGTGTGCAGAGAATAGCGGTTTCGTGGGGTCAGCATGGTGGGGGTTGTCATGTCTTGTGATGAGAGTCCGATGATTGGGGTGGAACATCGATCTCAAATGACGCCAAAACGTGGGGAACAGACGTCAATCTAAATTTCAAAACGATTCATTCATTCGCCATCTGACTTCATCTCGTGAATTTACAAGGTAACTCCTGGATATAGAAGACCATGTAACAAAGTGTCGCTTGCAAGAAAAAGGACCATTCGCCATTCCATCACCACAATTGTGTACAAGCCCTGTGGCGTTTATGCAATTTACTTCTTCAACTCGGTACCGTCAAGTCCACCATAGATCTGGAACAAATTAGCGAAAATCAGCTAGAAGGACTGGGCTGACATACCGTCTCCATCATAATACCAGTGATTTGATATGGATCAGCATTGGAAGCTGGTCGTCTATCCTCGAAGTAACCGTAACCCTTGGCTCCACACTCTCTTGGAATACGGATGGATGCACCACGGTTGGCAACACCATAAGTGAAGGTATCGATGCTACCAGTCTCGTGTTTACCAGTGAGACGCATGGTGTTGTCCTCTCCGTAGACAGCAATGTGCTCCTTGTGGCGACCCTCAAGTTTCTTGATGGCTGCCTCAATGTGCTTCATACCACCCTCGACACGCATCTCCTTGGAGGAGAAGTTGCTGTGAAGACCAGCTCCGTTCCAGTCACCTGGGATTGGCTTGGGGTGGAAGGAGATCTTGGCACCGAACTCCTCCGCAATACGGTGTAGGAGGAAACGGGCTACCCAGAGGTGGTCACCCACTATAATTGCGGTTAGTGAATTTATGACTAACAGAAAGGCAAATACTGACTCTCGATGCCTGTGCAAGGGCCGACCTGAAATTCCCATTGAGCCGGCATGACCTCGGCATTGGTACCAGAGATCTTGACACCAGCATTGAGGCAAGCTTTGTAGTGAGCCTCAACAATATCTCTGCAGAAGACTTTGCCGGCGCCTACACCGCAGTAGTATGGACCTTGAGGACCGGGGAAACCGTTGGTTGGCCATCCGTAAGGCCTATCGGAGAAGTCGAGGAGCGTGTACTCTTGCTCGAGACCGAACCATGGCTCGTGAACTTTGTGGGCGTTCATCAGCTTGGCACACTCGGCGCGGTAGTTGAACTTGTTTGGGGTTCCATCGGGGTCCCAACATTCGGTCAAGACCAAGATGTTTGGAGCACCGCGGAATGGATCTGGGAAGATGGCGACAGGTCGGAGGTAAACATCAGAGTCTTCGCCGGGAGCTTGACCGGTGGAGGATCCATCGAAATTCCACTCTGGGAGATCTTCGAGAGCGAATTCACCAGATTCTGGGACCTTGAGAAGAGTCTGGTTCGGGCGAGTGGTCAGCGATGGTTTCCATGCGAGTTTGGTGAGAGTTGGATCGTGTACTCACCTTTGACTTAGATCGAACACCTCCTTGAGAATCAATCCAGATGTACCTTGACGAACTAATTAGTCGCAATGGCAATTTCCGCGTGCGAAAAGACTTACTCGGCCATGGCGCTTCCCTTCTGGTCGAGCTTCATGTATTTGAGGAGCTATCCCAACATCAGTCGCTGCACCGCGGGGTCAGGCTGAGGGGTGAGTGAACTTACATTCTGCGTGTAGGAAACGGTGGTTGAGGTCGCCATGATTGCGGTTTGACGCGAGAGTCAATTTGAAGTCTGGGTGTGTGACGGTGCGAGGGAATACAGACGAAGCTGTGAGGGGGATGTTTGAAAGAGGAAATGGAAAGTTGTTGAGCGGCGACAGACTGTTTATATCAAGCGAAAGGGCAGTCACCCCATCTACGATAAGGGACCCGCTTTTTCCGCGACAGGGGTGGTGTGACCTTGGCGAGTCGTCGGTTGAGCTAGGTAGATTCCAGGTTAGGAACAAACGACAACAATAATACTTCTAATTAAAGTGTGATTCGTGAAGCGTCAAGACGACCGATTAAGCGGCGGCGTGGAGAGACAACAAAACCCGGTCCAGATGCGTGGGATCGGGACGCTGTTTGTAGGGTCCCGCTAGGGTAAACTAGATACGAAATGGATGGCGCCGCCAATCACGGTTCCACCAGCAGCACTGTCAAAGAAGCAATAGGTCAATGATTCGGTCGCAACCAGATGAGGCACATATGATGGATTATTACCTAGGGAGCTGACCAGAAAACTCTTCTCTTCTCTCCTCAACCTTTCCCTCTGAATCAGCTTTGCAAAGTTTTCCGGCGCACACGACCTCGTTGAGGAAGATGCCATGCGGCAATTACCTCCGTACAGAAGTTTATATGAGCCTTTTCTGCACAACTAAAAAACCCTCCCATGCAGGGCCCCAGCCACCGAGCGTAATATTTGGGGGCAGATGGGGTTTCCAGTGATACATCGTCGACAATCCACGATAGGGGGTCCGTACATGCTTCGCGTTGCTTCTCTCCCATGAGGGGGTGCAAGAGAAGTGCAAGCAGCGTGCGAGAGGAGGACGAATGGAGCAATTGATCAAAGGGCATGTACTCGTAGCTCGGGAAGAAGCCATAGCCATCGAGGGGCCAGGCGCACCGGACACTAGTACTTCGAAGTACATGGAAAGCAACAGCTATTTTGGAATAGCGACGTCGCTGTGCTTCCCGCGAGGATTTTCTATTGGTGCTGTTGGAAGATCCTCCTCTCCGACATCGTCATCAGCATCATTTCCATCCCCCGAGTCGATGATAATTTGAGCGCGATAGTAGCAAAATCGCAACGCTGCGACATGATCGCGGTTGCAGGTGTTGAAGAGGAGCCCCCACTCCCACGTAGCGATACTTTGTTTTGATGGCAACCACGTCAACCTCTTAGTAGCACGCTGCAATAAACACCTCCCCGGAATCCCCTTAAACTATATACCATGTCTTTGTTGGAACATACTGTAGTAACTGTACGTATCAAAACCTCCCTCTCCTGCATCTCCTCCCTTACCCTTACCTACCACTCCACTCGCACTCGAATTGTACCACGCGAAACGCAAGCAGTATTCTCCCGACCCAACCACTTTTCGTGCCTTCATTATTTTCCCAACCCTTTCAATCATAGCATGGCCAAAGTTACCACACTCTACGACTCATAACCCAAACTATCCCCCTAAATAATCCAACTCATACCTCATCGAATTACCTCCATATTTGGTAATCCGAACGGGTCTCATTCGCTGTCGCGAAGCTATCGGTTCGGCTTCCCATCCGTCACAATCAGCGGGGTCGTAAGCCACGCTGCGATAAGAGCTTTACCAACAAGCTGATTGGCTGTGAAGTAAGCTGTCGGTGTCAAGCCGCCGTGAATGGGGACGGGAGGCAGTGAGGCCCCTGGCGAAGTTTTTAAATTCTGCCACTCTGCCTGACGGCGGGGTGTCCGAGGAGCCAAAGAGGAGCTAGTCTAGACTTGGCGGACGTTCCCGTATGATCACGTGTCGGTTTCCTTGACTCCATTTGAACCGTCCTCCTTTGTGTTATTATACATTACACGAGATGAACCAATTTTCGTCGACCGATCGTAAGAAAAATGTTAGTCGCTGTCTTGTCTTACCGTTTTGGACCTTCGCTAGCGCACACGCAAATTGAAGTCATACAGAGATGAAAATTCCCCGAGAAAGAGGCCACCAAAAGTGCAACATTCGGCTTTGACATGACTACCCGTGTTCTAGAAGTTTCACCTCGTCAGATGAGTCGTACTTCGTGGGACCAACAGTCGGTGGCCCTCGTCAGTTGTTGAGGCAGCGGTGAACGTCCAGAGCGCGCCAATGTGGTTCAGTTGAGGATGCGCCGCTTGAATGTGGTTGACACTGGGGAGGATGCCTGCATTTATAACTCTTGAAGCCATTCTGTCCGAAACTTTGTGTTGGACCTCCGCTTTGCCAGACCTATACCCATTCGATGAATTAGACCTGTCACTTTCGCAGAGTGGTCCGTTAGATCAGAGGATCAAATTTAGTCATTGGGATTTTGAGCGTCCAGAATGGTATTGACGTGCTGATGTCGCGAACTGTTGGATGAGAGTAAAGGCTATTCCAACATCTGATCGCTTTCCGAACAAAATGTCGGAGCAAGAAAGCTTCATCGAGGTTTGGACTTTCCCGTCTTTCCTGTAACCTTCTGTCAATACCGGATTGAGCATACCTATCATATCACTTCAAGGACGCTTTTCATATTCCAGTCACCCTCTGTTATAAAGTGTATTTCCTACGAACATTGAGCACAGAGAAGAAAATCCACGGTCAATAGACTAAGCGACTACTCAAGCGATGAGACATACTCATCTGACACGAGATGGTCTGGTGTGACAGACGGCCCTAACCACCAACTTCCAACAATCGACCAAGCGGCATGGAAGAGTGAGAAACCTTAACAGTGCAGGTGGGAGAAAAACCTGTCTAGCTCATCGATATAAGTTCATTCATATAGCCAGTTCTAACTCATTCTAGCCATGCTCAAAAGTACGCATAGTGGTATAACCTCCATTTCCATATCATAACGAAACACCAATTTCAAAAATTCCCGCTAAATCAATTCTCATCATTCACAACTCGTGTCCATCCTGTTTATCGTTCCAAATCCATCTTCGCTTCTCCGGCAGAAAATCCCTTAGCTCCACTGTCTCTGCTTCCCTCCCTGTACACTTCCCCGGAGTCGTTGTCGTAAGCCATGCTGACTTCGGTAATATCTTCCCCAACCTCCATCCATACATCGCTCGTGGCAGGGACCGGGAAGAATTTGCATAGTGCCCAATAGCTACCAGAAGCAACAATGAATCCACAGAAGAAGTTCAGACGATAGATGTACGTTGCACCCATAGGTACTGGTTTACCGATCGCACCGACAAAGCCAACGATGTTGATGAGAATGCCGCAAATATAAGCAGTGTAACCGCGCCAGTGGAACCCAAAGGTAAAGTAGTACGGTGAGTTGGCTCTGGCAGAGTACAGTTCCTTGACCTCGAGGTAGCCTTTTCGCACAATATAGTAGTCACAAATGATGACACCAGCAATGGAGGAAAGGAATACGGAATAAGCAGACAGGTAAGTAGTAAAGTTGTTCGCCGAGGAGAGAAGATTCCATGGGCACATCACAAGACCGACAAGAGCACAGACATAACCGCCGCGTCGAATGTTGAGGTACCGTGGGAGGAGGGCTGTCATGTCGGTTCCCGCTGAAACAGAATTGGCTGCAATATTGGTGCCAAGTTGGGCAAGACAGAATGCGCTAGCAATAAAGAACACACCGGCGCGATTCTTGGATCCGCCCTCGTTCAGGAATGACTGAAGGAGCTCAAGAGGGTTCCAGATTGGGTCGCCTTTGAAAATAACGGTAGAGGACGAAGACACAATAATGCCGATGAAAGAGGTAATGGCGAAACCGAGAGGAATTGTGAACAATTGCGACCAGAAGGCATCCTTTGGTTTCTTAGCGAAACGAGCGAAATCGGGGTCGTTAACGATGAGGGTTGCGAAATTGGCAATTGAAGACATGATTCCCATTACCATCCCCCAGCCCAACTTGGAGCCGCTGGCCTCCGCAGGTTGATGGACGATGGGTCCCAGACCATGAGCCCGAACGATAGCCCAAATAAAGAAGGCCAATCCGGCAGTAGGGACCACGATTGCTTTAGCAGTAAACAAATGGCGGATTTGGTGGACTGGAAACCAGATCGCGGGTAAGGATCCAGCCCAGAACAGGAAGAAGGCAACGAAATCCATCGTCGTCGTACCCGAGTTTGGAATACCGTTTGGAATCTTTTCGAACGATGGCCAAATGGAAGAGATCATGAGCTTGACACAATTGCCTCCAATCCATGCCTGCACACCGTACCAGATACAAGCCATCGCTGCTCGATTGAACACCGGCCACAGAGCACCCCAGATTCCAAACGAGGAACGAGCGACCACGGGAAAGGAGATGTGGTAGGTCGCACCGATACGTCCCGTCATCACAATAAAGCAAGCTGCAATGGAGTAGCCTAGCCAGACACAGATCCACGACTGCCACCACGAGAGACCGGAAGAAACAATCATGGACGACGAAATCATCCAGGTGTTGATGTTGAAGGAATCGGCCACCCAGAAGCCCACAAAATTCCAGGGACCCCATAGTCGTCGAGCTGGCTCTACCGGTTTCAAATCGTCTGGAAGGCAAAGATCAGTACTGTGGGTTTGGCAGTTTGGTCATATGACGCTGGTGCAGTACATACGGTTGTTTAACATCAGCTGGGCATTGGTGAGACCCGGCTCGCTCTCCACGGCGAGTTTGTCTACATAGTAGGCCAACTTGGTGTTTTTGACCTTCTCCATGATGAAATCGAAATACGTAGGTTCGTCTGAGGAGTGAAAATGAAGGACGTCGTGGGAATGTGTTGTCCTTTGAGCGTCGATGAATTGGCGACTCGCTGGAGCTCGCTTGAGAGTATTTGTACTATGACGTCTCGGAGAATGGAGGTTGGATGGCCTCGACGAACTCGCAAGGAGAGGTGCAGTTTCGCTTTCTTGAGCTGGCCCAGTAGTAGTAATGTCGAACTTGTCTGCGATTGACTTGCTGGTTCCTCCCAATTCTCGTGGGGACATGACCACTCATAAATAGCTGGCGTGGGTCGTCCCAAGCAGAGGGGGAAGAAGATCTTCTCAGGGTGTGCAGCGGGCCCCAGCTTGCATGCAGCCACTAACTCGGTATCTGTTGAAAAATCTGCGATATCAGCGCTCGATGGTGGATGGCAACGAATATTGACTTTCGACACGAGCTTGATAGGAATGCAATCTGGGTGTCTGCTTGGCTGGTTGCGCTTGCTTATCTTTGAAGGGGCATTTCCGGACGCGGTTTTTTAAGGTTGAGACTAGAACTACGAGTAAATGCCGTTCTAGACTTCTAAGGGTGCTGGAAGCAAGAATCTGAGAGGACTGCACCGCCAGAGGATACCTAGACGAGTAGCTCAGCAGCATCAACGGTTACGGGTTACCTCGTCTTGTACCCATGCCCAAGGAGCGTGACTTTGACCTTCCTTGTCGTCGTCCTGTGAGACTCGCGTGGGGTATCACCATCTAGGACGCTCAGAACAGTACGGCCGTGATCTCGTCACAGGCGACCGCGACCTCGCGACCTCACCAGCTATGCGGCAAGCGGCTGGCCGTTCCTGTCGCCGCGGCCGTGTCTGCGAGGCATGGCGTCTGGGAGACAGGAGGCTCGCTATCTTGACGATGTCTGCGAATGACAAGGCTGCACCATCTGAGGAGCTGAGAAGCTGAGGACCTGAGGAGCCGCGTTGTGGTGGAGATGTGTGGCCTGCGCTCGACGAAGATAAGCTTGCCGGTTTACTCGATGCCATTTCGTGTTTTGCGGGGAAATCGTTTGCCCGTGATTGGGTGCAAGGACGAGTGGAGCATGATCCTCCTCGGGCGGTCCGTTGAAGGGAAAATACCCAAAAACATCAACCCAAAGAGATGAAAAATTCCATCCCTGGTAATCTATAACATGAAATCATCTACTCGAGTACGTCGGCCCTTGACGACAAGTCGTGGTTACATCCAGATCTGATGTCCCAGAGACCAACAGAGGGGCTCTTGCTCAGATTATCAGGTAGAAGACTGTTGATGATCGGTCATTGCGTTTCTTGCTTCACATCTTCACCAAAAGCAACCTCATCCGTTTCGAGAGAATGGACATTCGCCCAGCGGCTCATAGCCAGTGAGTTCTCGGTCGATAAGAATCAACAAAGATAAAGATCTTGGAGTGGCTATTTCCACAGGCTGGGAGGCATTGGCAACCTTGGAGATGCAAGCCCCCACCATCCCCAAACACTGGAACCGAGAACTGTCTCTGAATTGGGACAAGATAACGTGAAAGTCAATGTGCCGACAGAACTGAGAAAAGGTCTTGCGTCAGAGCTCGCTAGATGCGAGACGTTGTTGACAACAAGTCTTGAAACTGTGAGCGTCTAAAGTTGGGGCCATCTCTGTTAATGATACAGGAGAAGTTGGAAAAAGGTGACATGGAAGAAGAAGAAGAAAGCGCACCATTTTCAAAATTTACCAAAGACTTGGAAAGTAGGAGGAAATATTCCTATCCTTGTCGCGTTTGCGAAGCGTTGTTGATATCTCTGCTGCTATTGCGATATCCCTCATAGCCAGAGTATTGTTCTGCTGGCCGTAAATTTCCGGGACGTTTGACTCCTGCTAAATGATTGATGTCGGTAGCTGATATTGACTTCGCTGTTGGCGACTAAAGCCTGCCGTAAAAATACACAAAAGACAAATCTCACCTGCAATATTGTCATTCAACAACCCAAGGGGAACGAAGTTTGGTTCTCTATACAAGGCGCCCTGGCTACGAGAAAGACAGCCGCAATGCAGCGAACTCTTGAAGCTAGCAGATCTGCCCATGCTTTGGCCAAACGTACTGTCCATGTAAAAATGTACCCAACTGCCAGGACGTTTGCTGAACGACGCGAGGTTCTGCGCGTTCTCGAGCAATTCGGAGAAGTTACCATGTTTCGCTCTCTCAAAGTAAAGCATTCCCGTATCACTCGCATCTGTAGCTAATACCTAATAGTACTTCCCTAAAACTCCAATTCCAAATGCCTTTCTTGCCATGTTCGTCGACGAGTCCGCAGCCATTGCCGCACAAAACTCCTCCACGCTCCGCTACCGCCTCACCATAACTCCTAATCCACCACCTCTAACACCCTCCCAAGAAATCGAAGCGTCCGTTGCTCCCCTGGATCCGTCGGATCCTGCAAACGCCCCTCCACCACAAAAAGAACCGATCGAGAAAATCTTCGAACTCCACATCTCCTCCACAAATTACGATCATGAGAAACATATCACATCTCCCTCCACCAATCCCCTCTATGGGCCCTTTGTGCCTGTCTCTCACACCCGATCATATATTGCGTCCAGTCTCAATCAGATTATACAACCAAGCCTCTGGGCTCCCGGTCTGAGAGATTGGGAAACTGATGGCTCGAATCTGAGAGACGAGGTTGAAATAGGAGAACGCGCTTCAAAGAGTAGTATTGAGTGGAGGGTCAATCAACGCGAGAGGAAGAGGAAAGAGAAGGGTATGTCGTGGATAATGAAGGGATTAAAACCCTTGAGAAACGAGTGGGAGGCCAAACAGCAGAAGCACGAAGATCAAGACAAGGCGACCATGAATCCTACCAACTCATCACCATGAACACCCCAACTCTCATCGACATCACAACAAAGAAAATGCCATGCAAACAAAGCGAGCCACAATAGCAATCGCGATAACGCAAGCTCCGTTAGTGGCATGTTCCACTGGCTCCAGCGGGATACGGCTTGTTTTAAAACCCGGCTGTTGGAAGTGGAAACCTCTTGAGATTGCAACTCATGATCGCGCTCAAATAGACTCTCAACCTGGGGTCCCGTACCCTCCTCCGTGAGCAACACTTGCGTACTGCGGGGGGAGACTAGTGATGCACTCATTTGACGAGTTGAACTTTCGTGCCCCGAACCAAAATGCCCATGGTAACATCGTTTTACCCGCGTCAAGAGCTCCCGGTGCATTTTGCTTGCAGTGAAATTAGGGATAACAGGCCGCGAGAATGAGGAGCAGGGGCTGTCAGGCAGTTTGTTGTTTGGGGAAACTCGTCAACAAATCTGAAAAGCTTAGTGAAATACTGTTTTCAATCTTCAATTTACGTCTATGAAAGCAGCTCATATACGAGTATCACCTATCCACCCTAATTTGAACTTTTGCTCCTCCACGCCCACCCACTAAAGCCTTCGCCAACATCTTCGACTTCCTGCACACCATGTCTTGCGCCGATCGTCTTCCATAGATTATCCGTCATTATCATAGCCATTCTGATCGAATCTTGGCGTCGAGCCATGCGTGTGACGTCTACTTCGTTAAACAGCAAAGGAAAAGTTACTCTCTTCTCGTCGCCCTTCTCCGCGCCACGTCGTTTCCCGCCGGAGGCTCAATGGGCAGTCGGCGGCTATCACGTCGGTCTCCTAGATCATTGCCCGTAAACATTAACTGATCCTCTGGATTTCTGGAGTAGCTCCGCTGAATATCTGGGTGGGCGTAGCGATCGTTGTCGGGGTTCAAAACATAACCTTGATTGTCACTGGGACCCCTTTGGTATCCCCGACTTGGTCTTGGGTCGTCCTGAGCCTGTAGTGGTGGTGGTTGTTGGCTCATCTGACGTGGTGGCGGCGGTGGTTTTTTGCCAAAGAATCTTTCCTCAACATCCTCAATCACTACGAGATTTGGATGCATAGCCTCGAGACTATTTGCGTCCACCAATCGATTCTTCCTACGGATTTCTTCCCATCGGGTCAGGCTTCCCATTTCCAAAATGTTCACTCTTCTTGTATGATGTGTCGGGTTTCCAATGATGATTGGTCGCCATGGTTCCTCCACCTCAGCCCCCTGGGCACGCATGAAGGCAGAGGTCTTTCGAGCGTTCTTCCATCTCGACATGTCATCTTTTTTCGCATCGGGGATGATTTGTACATCTTTGATGCGTACCAAAACAAGCAAAAGCAAGATTGAAAGTATCAAGAGAATTCCGGCAAATACCCCGGTTGCTGCTTGTTGTCCAAGCTGTCTTGTTACGGAACCTCCAATCCCAATGGAGATCGCTGAGAAAATGTAACCAATAGCTTGCGTGATCGCAAATGCAGATTGCACGCGAGGGAATGACGAGTAATTGGTTCTTTTTCCTTTCGCTTTGTCTCCGGCGGATCCTCGAGCACGACCAGCCATCCCAGGAGAGAGATCCGAGGTATCGAATGTTTCCATAAGAATTCCATGACATTCTGCCATGGCCAGGTTCGAAAGAAATCCTATCAATCCAGCGAACAAAATAGGCACAAGAAAATATACGGGGGGACCTGTTGATGAGAGGGTGTATGCAAGACCAGCGAATGGCAGAGTCAAGACAAAGATTGCACGCCGAACCATATGATCAGACCATGACAGCTTCTGCTTCTTATACGTATCGTCGTCGGCAGTGTCATCTTTAGACCGTGATCGACTGAAAATCGAGGCTTTCTGAAAGGGGATAGCAAGCATGGCCCCTACTGGTACGACCATCACACTCAGACCAACAAGGGGAGATATGAACTTGTACTTGTTGGACATCAGAGAACCCAAGAGCTAGTCCGACGCGTTAGCTTCTTTGTATCTGTATCACACGCTACATAAGTACTTACGATAATGATTAGCACAATTTGTGCATACATCCAACCCACATATACAGCCATAATGAGAAAACCAGGCTGAGTCATCATGCGCATGGAGAGAATTATCCCGTAATGAAACTCTTCACCCCACCATTTGGGTCCTGTTTGAACCATGTGCATTTTGACCTCACCTCGCGCTAGCCGGCGAGAGACCTTTTCGCCATTCTTGACTTCGGCAACAGATCTTCTGAATGCAGAACGTCTGACTTCGGGTGTGATGATATTAAGAAACAATACGCAGGCAATGATGAAGATGCTCACATAGAACCCCCAGGCCGGTGGCATGTGATTGATGATTACAGCACCGATCATAAAACCGAGTCCGATCGACCCCATCGCGGACCACGTCCACAAACCTAGCCATACTCCTAAGCCACCGCCATGGCGTCGCACGTCGTTCTCATCGACGATTTCTTGATGCGGGTTTTCAGATTGTAGAGAGGCGCCGAAGAGATCCGTGAGAGTTGATTTGAAGTTTATGTTTGCGAAACCCAGGCAAAAGCCCATTAGAGCTCGAGGAGCTATCAACCCGATTCTCCAATATCTGACATAGGGCGACCGGATAGAGCCCACTGCAACAGCTTGTGGAAACAGCAGAGGCATCGCCAGAGCCATGGAACCGAGAATATATGGTTTCCTACCATGAAGCAAGGGTAGCGGCCAGCAGAAGAAGGTTGGTATAGCTAGGCCGAGGTAGAAGAAGACATTCCCCAGTACGGTATAGTGATGGAAATCGACAATGTAGTACTGAATTGCAGGGACCTCTCCGGCATATATTCCAACAAGAATTCCGACCAACGCTGTACTGATACAAGCTACAGTAGCGCAGAATCTTTTTCGAGTGAGTTGCCAGTCTCTAGCAATCTTAGGCTTCTTGTGGGACTTCGCAAAGCTGAATCCTTTGTGTTGATTGGATCGCAGACTTAGATGGTTCTTACCTTTGAGTACGAACTCGGTGGAATTGCCATGCTTACGCCGTCGAGCTTTCTGAGTTTGCGGGAGATTTCGATCTGGCTCGTCCCTCAACTCGTACCCAGCTTGTGGCCTTTCCTCGCCCGGATCGCCTCCATTGTCATCAGAGTTTGGAGGATACCCACCGCCTCTATTTCCACCTCCGTTCCCACCTCCTCCTCCAGCGCCACCACCCCCAGTCTGATAGCCTCCATTGTCATTTAAATCTCTAGACGGGTACTCACGATATTCATCTGTCTGTCTCGAATCGTCCTGTCGGTTGTCGTATGGTGCTCTGGAATAGCCCCGGTTGTCATATGAGCCTCCGGCTGCCTGGTGGACATATTGATTCTGCTGTAATTGGCGCGAACCTATCTTCGCCTTTGCAGAGGCACCACGGGCGACATAGCCAACAGAGAAATCTACCTGTCCACTTGAATCTTCAGAGCCGTCCATACTGGATGTACACGGCACGGATCGTTCCAGAGTTGACGTCCTCTTGTCCTTCAATTTGCACGGTTGAACGAACGCTTGATCGACATCCTGCCAATCGTACGTTTGACCCGGTCTCAACTGATAGCCCTCGGCCTCGTTCTGTGCTTGTTCAGCTTTTTTATTGAGAGCTAAGGAGCTTTCCCTGGGATGTATCGGTGGGTTACGGAAGGTTTCAATATGTTCACGTACCTCTCGCTTGTTAGGAACCTCGTTCGCCGCAAGTCTTGACCTGACAGCCTCGTGGTCATCATCCGAGTGCCCTTGACTAGGGCATGGCCCCGAGAGGTTTCTGCTATGAGGCAAAGGAATTGGGCATTGATCGTCCGTGACTATCGTAGGCACCTGCTGCTTTGTAGGGCTGAGACGTCTTGGAGACCGCTCAGGCTCAAATCTCCGGGCCGTTCCGGTACTCGTGGGTGATCTGAACGGCTCAGGATTATAAAACTCGGGCGCTGGCCCAGAACCAATCAGCAACCCAAGGGCTTCCGGAGGATCCAGATCATCATTAGTTACTACAGATTTCGTATCGGAGCGGCGAAAATTAGATTGTTTTGCTGATGCCTTTGGTTCAGTGGGTTTGAACTTCTGGAAGTTCTCGTCACTGGCCATCAGCGGAACATCTGCATTCACTGAATCCCGTGAGAGCGAGTTCCTCTCCTTGTAAGGCCTGTAAGGTGTCGCCCTTCCGGTCTGTTTGCGTGTAGGTTTCTTAGGTGGTATCTCAATGCTTCTGCCATGCTGGTCGTGGTATAGAATCGGTGCACGATCTGCATATCGGTCGACATCACTTTCTATATCCGAATCTGTCACAACAGAATAGCTTCTCAAACTCTCGTGCATGCTTCCAAGCTCGGAGTCCTCGCCAGAGTATGTGTCGGTACGTCTTGAGCGTACGTTATTCCTTCGTGGCTGGTAACCTTCGGAAAGACCCTTACGGCCATTCTTCAGGATCTTCGCTGCGTGCTCCAAAATCTTTGGCATTCCCTTGGCGTCATCTTTTTGTGCAGCTAGTTGAGCGATGATGAGCGCTTCGTTGAGCAGCTGCTCGAGGTCATCAATTGTCCTCGTGAAATTCTCAGGAACAATCGTTGTTTCAGCCTCAAAATCTTGCCCTCGTTCTAAGTTGGCTGTGTGCGCATTTCCTGATGGGACTGTTTGCGATCTCGCACGACTGGATGAATTGTTATTAGCTCTTCTTGTTCTCGGCGGCAGAGCAGTCAAGCGCGGCTCATAGGGGCCTTTGCTGGAGAGTAATTCTCGAAGCCAATGAACCGTATTCTTCCGCGCAAGCTGTCTTCCGGGAGGTATGTTTGAGACGGTACTTCTATCATCAAGTGGGTCTAAAGCCTTCCGAGAAGGGAGGGCACTGATGGCCGACTCTGCTAGAGGATACCTGGCACGTGGAGATTCCGATGATGCTACAGATTGGAGATTGAGTCTTTCTTGTGGGACAAGAAGGTCAAATGAATGCTTGCGACCCCCAAGCGTTGCGTCTGGATTTATACGTGGTGGATTACCGGATCCCAGCTTCGTGCTCAGTACACGGTTCTTAGACGACCCACGATCTGGAATGACTTTCGGGGGTTTGGTTGACCTAGCTTTTGGTTCTCTGGTGACACTATTGAGTTGAGGTCGAGTGGTATAGTTTCCAAATCATTTCCTGGTTGGAAAGCATTCTTTGGTCTTTGAATTATATCGATCTTGTTCGTGCTCGCTATCGGCGTCAATGTTTGTTGGGCAGCTTGAGATGAATCTGGGCTGTTCCAAAGAGAGGGCCGCTTCAGATAATCATCAGCGTTTTTCGCAGCGTGGGAGAGCGAATCCGCCATAAGCAAGCGGTAAACCTCTGCTGCCTGATTTTTTGGCATCCCATGTGGAACCTTGGCCTCCTGAACTGCGTTGCGCACTGCGACCTGGACTGCATCCTCGACAGCTCCCTTCACTGCCGGACTGAAACCCCAGTAAGCTGCATCCACCGGGTTGGCTTCAGATGGTGGAGAATTTATATCTCGCTTGCCTACGTTTGCACCTCCGTTTTGGACATTTTGCTTAGCATCTTGAACTCTCTGACTCACGTTGTCGACTAATTCGATGGTCTTCTGTAGATTGGTCAAGTGGCCCGCAACCGCACCTGGGCCTACCTCCCGAAGTGTTTTATCGATTTTTGCACTTAGCTCCCGGTCAGGGTCGATCGCTGTTGTCCCTGGAATGTCGGTATTAGCAAGTTGGTCTGCTTCTGGCTCCGGCTCTGGATCCGGTATAAAAGTGTCTAGTTGGTCTCCAATGCTAGGTATTGTCGACAATACTGGTGGGGTCGGAGCTCCTAAATCAGCTGGCCCAACTTCCGACGCTGATGGTTTAAGTAAAGCGTGACGCTTGCTGGACGCTTTAGAAGTAACAGAAAATAGGGATTCTGTGTAATTTTTTGGCTTGATTGAAACTTCCGATCGCTTTCGAGGGAAAATAGGTCGGTCGTCCGTCTTCGGTTCTTTCTTGTACGGTTTCACGTCAGGAAGAGTTTTCATTTCCAGAGGCTTGATATCAGCAAGTTCTCCTGTAAGCTCTTGCGGGGGAATTTGTGCGGATTTGCGCTCCTCTCTAAATTTTGATGGTCTTTTGTTCTTTGGACCCGGGAGATTGAAATTTGTGAAGATGGTTGTCGAGAAGGTTGGCTGACTTGACTTCCTCGCCGCGAGTCTCTGGGACTGGGTAACATGTGGAAACGCATCGCTAGAAGTACCGCTGCCCCCGGACTTACTTTTCGGCGCCGAAAAGTTATCGTCTGTCCTGGATTTCTTGCTTCTTCTATTGCTATTTTCGGCAATAATGCGATCGAGGTCAGACGTCGGGTCCTTACCAATCGCTACCAGATCTTGAGGTCTGCTTCGGTGATCCAAAAGTGATGTTGATTGTGCACGACGCGGACTTGGATGTCTTGCGCAATTGGTCTCGCCTGGAGGACACCCGGCAAGGAAACAAGCAAGATCGGATCTCTCAGCTTCAATCGTCTTTGGCCACTCGCCATCACTGATTATATATTTCGAAGGCAATGATTCTGGAGGAGAACATGGTGGGCAGCACGTCAACTCCTCCTCGTGAATTTCTGCATCATTCTCGGGTATGTTGGAGCTGATTTCAACACATGATACCAGCTCTGGATCTTTATTTTTGGCTTTATCTGCTAGAACCAATTTCAGTCGTGGCTTTTTCTGGCCTGGTAACGAAGAAGGTCCATCTGTGAGATTCGAGACATCGACTGTTACGTCTTGGTTGAAAGCTTCTCGAACGTCATTTGCCGAACCCGAAGATCGGAGGGACGAGAACGGAAATCCAAGAACTGGTGGTTCCGGGTCTTGATTTTTCTGCGTGCCAAATATGTCCATACTAGGGCTAGCACTGGTTGTGGAAGCTCTCTGCGAATCTGGGAGACTCAACCTCTTTTCTCTTCGAGCGGCAATAGCAAGCTTCCTAGTGACCACGAGATTCAGGGTCGAGTCCTCTGAGCTACGATCTGGTGTTTCATCCGAGGGGAAAGGAGTTCTTGGTATCTCGGGCCCGTTGCGAGCTAGGAGTAGAGATCGAATTCGAGACAGGATATCGCCGTCGACTCGGCGGATAGTTGGAGTACTTAATGGTGTCGAGGGGATTGCTGAAGCTGCTCTTGGAGTGGGACTCCCTCCGAGCGGTCCCTCAGCTGGATTGAACATTAAACATAGGAGAGAAGAAGAGGATTTTAGGATGGTGAGATCGGATGTGGACGCCCGTAGTATTCAAACTACTGGACGGCACAGAAGGAAAATAATGAATGTAGCGAGACGAATGGACTGAAGCTGATAAGCTATCTATAGATATGAAGTGGAAGAAACAGCTTGGGAGAAGGAAAGATACCACAGCGTGCAAGGGAGAGCCGACACACATCGTGAGGCAGGAGCATCTTTGGAAGGCGACGATTATGTCACTTAAGGTAATCGACATGGCAGGAAGAAATGATCATACCTCTCCTCACCGCAACCCCATCGATGATTGAGGCAGAGCATACATTTCTATTGATTGACGTTTCCTGCCGTCGAATAAGTGAGCATAATTAATTCTCTGCATGTTATAAGGAAACTTGTAAACGGTAAAGAGCTCTCTCAGATCAATAAATTATTGCGATTTACGTTTTAATGATTTATACCATATAAGGATTTCTGGGCTGCTCAGCGCCCAGCTCGCACAGTGTTAACTGACAGGTTCGAAAGGTGTTCTTGGTTCGGATAAACATTCTTAACGAGCTTGAGGTCAGAGGACTACAATATAGATTTCATGCAGTTTAAACACACTTCGGAAACCTTTGCCCAAATGTGTCTGTAAATCACAATCCTTTTCTATTACAGTTCCCCACGAATGGGCTTCGAAGTACGGAAAGCCATTAGTTCTAGACCCCAGCCTAAAGTTGCTTTTCATGTTCCAGTCCGAAATCAAAATGTATATCTGTAATGAGGTCTCTGAAAATCTCCAGTTACCTTGCACCACTGAGTACCTTGAGAAATTGAATTATATAGTAATTATACAGGATGTGTAGAGTATTTTGTCTTCTCAAGAGCCTTACAAAAGCTTACCATCTCCAACATTGCATCGGCCACTTGCCCCGAAAAACCAACAAGGGGTGCAGCCGTAGCGGGGCCGACGGGCAGATCTCGCAAGGGAAGCTCAGTTCCAAGTCCCGGCCCGGAGAGCTTGTCACCTCCCACTCTACCGATAGTGGGCTGTGAGCTTCATAATCACAACATACCCAAGAAATGTACAGAACACTACGAACTTTTCGAGCAATATTCACACCCTTACAAGTTCAATCTCAAATACGTAAATACGCCCACAGAACAATCACAAGCATGGCAAATCTACTCAAAAAACCAGTAAAGCTTGGATTAATCCAATTAGCATCTGGTGACTGCCCCTCCTTCCCTCTGCACATCTCCATCTAACACCATTCCCAGGCGCAGACAAATCCAAAAACCTAACCCACGCCCGCTCCAAAGTCCTCGAAGCATCCAAAGCCGGTGCCAGAATAATCGTCCTCCCAGAATGTTTCAACAGTCCCTACGGCTGCGACTACTTCCCGTCGTACGCGGAAACCCTCCTCCCCTCACCCCCAAGCGCAGAACAATCACCCTCCTTCCACGCCCTATCATCCATAGCCAAAGAAACGGGCACATATCTAATCGGCGGCTCAATACCCGAGATCGAACCGGAGACGAAAAAATACTATAACACAAACCTGACGTTTAATCCGCAAGGCGAGCTCATCGCTACACATCGCAAAGTCCATCTCTTCGACATCGATATCCCAGGGAAGATCAAATTCAAGGAATCAGACATCCTAAGTCCGGGGAATAAAGTAACGGTCGTAGACTTACCCGAGTACGGAAAAGTAGCGATAGCAATATGTTACGATATCCGCTTCCCAGAACTCGCCATGATCGGTGCGCGACACGGAGCATTCGCCCTGATATATCCAGGTGCCTTTAACACGACGACGGGGCCGTTACATTGGAGGCTTCAAGGACAGGCGCGCGCGATGGATAATCAGGTTTATGTGGCCTTGTGCAGTCCGGCGCGAGATACGACGGCGACTTATCATGCGTATGGACATAGTTTGGTGGTTGATCCCATGGCGAAGGTATTGGTGGAGGCCGGGGAGAGTGAGGAGATCGTGTATGCGGATTTGGAGGGTGGGGAAATTGATAGTGCGAGGAAGGGGATTCCGATTTATGATCAGAGGAGGTGGGATGTTTATCCTGATGTGAGTAAGGAGGGCGTCAGGTTCGAAGAATAGATGTCGCCAAGATGATGATATCCAAACCTCAAGCATGTAACACAGTGTAATCCGGTGTAGATGTAGATGCAGTGTAATATGTAACCAATTACGTACCATTTACCAAAATAAAAAATAAAACCAGTCTCCAGATATCTTAATGTGTTCACAGTTGAGGAAGGCATGATTTGAAGTGATCTTCAATGGAATTCTATGCTAGGTTACCCAAGAATCATGAAATGAAACATGACACTCTCTAAAAAAGCAAATAACTTTTGGATATTGCCATGTGCCTGTGTCGTAGCACAGCTGCTCTCTCCCACCCAGCCGAAAACCATGGTATCAAAAGCAAAAAAGCAAGACATTTCGTTGCTTTTTCCCGGCCGGAGAAAGCCAACACAAATTTCCTGCTGTCTCATAACCATGTATCACAAAGCCACATTTATAAGAACGTGCTCTCGCATATATCTTGACAAACTGCGCTAACGTGTGTAACGACTTCTCATCTCAACGCATTACGAGCGAAGGTTGGGAGAATGAAGGAAGCTTTGTGAATATCGGCATTGTAATAGCGGTTGACCTTCTCTTCTTCCTCTGCGGTCCAGCTTCTTAATGGCTTCGTAACATCACGGTTGGCGTCTTTGCAGCAGACCATGAAGCCAATTTGGCCAGATGGGTAGGTCGGAATGGTAGTGTAAGCATACTCGACCGTTGGGAATACTTCCTTGCAGTCCTTCTTCAACTTGGTGATCAGTGGCAAGTGAAGCCATTGATTCTCAGCTGCGCAAGTTAGCATGTGCTGAACATGTGAGAGGACAAAAAGGAGACAGATGGTTTAACGAAGCACCCAAATACCCCTCGCTTGATCGCAAACGCTTCCAACAAAACGCAATACAACGCCACGATTGAAATTCAAATAATGCGAGAAAACATGAAGCCCGAAGTTGCAATACAGCAGCAAAGAAATATATATACAAAGAAATCACCAAATCCACGCTGATATAGGAGAACGTACAACCTTGTGTGGTAATCACGCCACCTTCCTTGAGTGCGCCGAATAGGAGCTCGAAGTAGGGCTTTTGGAAGAGAGACTCTGCCGGGCCTTCTGGGTCCGATGAGTCGGTGATAATGACATCGAACTCATTTTTGTAGTCATCCAAAAACTTAAATCCATCTCCAACGTGGACCTTCACTTTTGGGTGTTGGAAGCCCACAGCCATTCCTGGGAGGTACTTCTTGGACAATCGAATAACAGCCTAATTGGATAATGTCAGATATGCATGGCAATCACGAGGCATAAGCAACACAACCCACCTCATCGATGTCGCACAGGATGGCCTCCTCGACACAGTCATGCTTAATGACTTCACGCAACACACCTCCGTCGCCTCCTCCAATGACAAGGACTTTCTTTGGGTCTGGGTGCGAGTTCATAGCCAAATGGGTAATCATTTCTTGGTAGGCAAACTCGTCGCGCTCGGTGCATTGTATCACGTTGTCCAAAACCAACACGGTTCCATAGTCGGTGGACTCAAAGATGAGGACATCTTGGTATTTGGATTTCTCGTGGTGGATGATGTTCTTGACCTTGAGAGTCATGGCCTGGCCCGGCCACATCTCAGAGATCTCACGGAACCAGCCATCTGTGGGTTACCGTTTGTCAGCTTTGAATACAGGGAGGCTTCAGGTGTAGAAGTTAATCAATGCCGGATAAAGTGGTGGAGGGAGGTGCAGATGCCAGGGAACGGCGCAAAGATCGGGAGCAAAAGAGGTACTCGAGATGATGCCTTGCTCCGTAGCGAGCTGCCAAATTGCCCCTCGGCCAGTCGATCAGGCAGTTGTTGCAAGAGAGCCGAAAGTAGGACGAACGTATGGCGGAAGCAAGTAAATATTGAGCGGCGAGAGCACAACGAACTGCTTCTTTCTAGGGCATTGAAAGGGAAATGGAAGACGATCTCGACTTACCCTTGATTGTTGGGTGGGTGATGTCTGACATTTTGACGGCGGTTTGTGTAACTTTTGGTGATGGCACTGACGAGTGGTGGTGGAAGAGTGAGATGCGGGGTCTTGATGATGGACGAAGTGAGCAGCGTACAGATGCGAACGAGCGCGGGGCACGAGCGAAGAGATGGGGGTGAATGGTGGGTAGGCTCGAAAGCGGATTGAGGGAATTGACCGTCGAGGAGAAGAACGGCGACTGAGAGAGGAAGATAGGTTTTTGTATTATTGTTGTGTTTTTGAGGTGTGGGGTGTTTTTTAAAAGTTGCGAAAATGAATAATTTTCATGCCCCACGCGAGAATTTTTAGCTACGCAGCAGCAGCAGCATCGAAATTCCGTGTCCCGTCAGCGGCAGCTTCCCTTCTTCGTTCACTCCACCTCCACAATCGAGCTCCAGTTAATGGCACTACAGCACCCAGCAGCTATCTGCGACTAACCAAACCAGGGACGTACTTTTAGTATGGCCTCGAATCACTTTATTCTTCGACTAAGCTACGTGAGTCCCTCGTACTACTGTATAGGGCGGGTTGGACAGCAGACTGCTTTATCCGTTGCAGAGCTACTGATGGGGAGGTATCAGAGTCGTGCACGGAGGTTGAAAAAGCTTACAGGTGAGGCGCTGACAGCCTGACACCGGCATCGACGCCCTGTCTCTGGGGAGAAGTGACTGCGAGAAGGACATTTTTTCATGGCGGCGATGGCGCAAACGACGCGGAAGAGATTTGTCTCTGCTCACCAAAGCAGAGCTCCCCAAAGGTCCAAAGCAGACAAGGTGCAGCAGTACGGGCTACTGCCACCCCTCCGCATCCTTTGCGCCAATCAGTGATGCAGCCCACGAGCCTTCAACGTGCTCCCACCCCAGCACCGCGTGTTTTTTCCAGAACATCCAGGGTCTCTTACGGGTGCCACCACTGCCATGCCCATCTGTTGCAGCTCTGAGCTCTCGCAGACTCGCAGCTCTTCGCAGCCCTCCTGGGCGTCTTCTTCATGCTCACCAGCCGTCGTCCAGTCGATGCGCTGCACCGCGAAATCGGCAGAACCAAAGTGACTGTTGCACGACGCAAGAGCTTATGTTGCGTGCCTCCGACACGGGAAGATGAGAGTGCTGATACCTGGGATGAGGCAGTTGTTGAATATGAATACGCAGTTGTTGATGGTAATACTACTCCTTGATACAATACGTGAATACAGTAATAAATACATATACATAGTGAATACATATAATAATACATATATACCTATATACCTACTTCTATATAAATACACATATATATATTTCTACAGTAATATCCACCTTCGCCTACCGGCAATCCTGCTGCGCTGTTTCGGCGGGCCATTTGCTTCGTCGTCCAGCCTGTTTGCCAAACCAGTGTGCTCGTGAGCCTCGCGAGACATCGTGGTACGCAACACATCAGATACATGGCTCCCCCGTCACACCAGTCCCAGAGGTACTTCGCGGGCTGAAGTTCTGAACTGGATAGCCGGCGCTGGTGCTTGGGAGGAGGAGTGGAGGGAGACAACCATCTCATCGCCACAACGGACGGATACGCACGTCGCTACCCGAGACACGACACTACACCAGCTGCGAGAAGAGAGTGCTCGAGATCTTGCAGCTCTGCCCGGTGAATACAAGCAAACGCAGTGCAAATTTTCTTCTTCTATAGCCGTCCAAATACTGTTAATAATTATCGCCGTCTGGGATAGCCTTACTTCGCATGAATGAAATCCATGATTCGAGTGCCTAACGCTGCCTCGTCCTCGTCCGAATCTGCTGCCCTGAATATCATACTGAGCCGTCCCACTTGGTGACTTGGGGTCCATCTACCGTGCTCGATCCCCTGAACCCGGAATAAAAAGGTGTCTTAACGCACTGACACTTGCGCGCCCAGTCCATGTGTTGTAGAGCTTCCCTGGGTACTCCGTATATTTATTCTCGCTGGACGGCCATGATGATTCTTTGGACCTGATGAGCAACTGCTGACAGGCATTTTGGCGTCTTCCCCCCCCTTCCACTCCCCCTTCGACTGCATATGCCCCATGCCCCCCCGTCGCCTTTGATACATTAACGGCTGGAACCCTCTACGCTGCCGTGACTCGAGCACAAACATCCCATTCGAGCCTCTGGTCGCTATCACCGTCGCAGCAACCAGCCTGCCATCCTCCTCCAACAACCATCACCACCACCACCACCACCACCGTTTGCGAAATACCACCATTTCCCCCCGCATTCGCTCCCAATACCTTCACCACGCCTCAATCAATCAAGATGTGTTTCGGGGGAAGGAGGGGTGAGGATGAGTACAAGAAGAGTCGGGAAATCGATGCAATGATCCATCGGGACGAGAAGGAGATGGCAAAGGTCGTCAAGCTCTTATTATTGGGTGAGCCACCGCTTTCCCACAGCAATACCTAACGCGCCATTTTGTTGGCAGTCGCAACGACGAACACATGGCTAATTACCTGATTAATTCGCTGCAGGTGCTGGAGAAAGCGGGAAATCGACCATCCTGAAGCAGATGAAATTGATCTACACCAAAGAGGGCATCTCCAAGAGCGAAAAGGAGGAATGGCGAGTCATCATCTTCAACAACCTGCTCGATGGACTACGGATGATTATCGATGCCATGGAGGATATGGGTATCGATTTCCAATACGATAACACGACGGTGAGTGAGGACAGGATGCGAGACATGTCGTCGGTGTTGTGGACGGTCGTGCCGTGCTTGACTTGACAGCCAGCCACTAACGCCTGCTAACTATTTGTCCGATGTAGGTGCATCTACCAGTGATCATTCAAGAAAAGGACCTGCGACCGTTCGAGCCAATACCCACCGAATATCTTCGAGCATTTAAGGATTTATGGAAGGACCCGGGAATGAAAAAGGCCGTGGCGAGGGGAAATGAGTATGCACTTCACGATAATCTGGGATAGTAAGACAACCCCCACCAGCCTCGATATGTTTCAGGCGGGATGCTGATTCGCATGGGATTAGTTTCTTCGAAGACCTCGACCGATTGTTTAACAAAGATTTCGTGCCAACCGACCAAGATGTCCTCCGAGCGAGATTACGAACGACGGGAATCACAGAAACCGTGTTTGACCTGGGATCCTTACAATATCGCATGTTTGATGTGGGTGGACAGCGATCGGAAAGAAAGAAGTGGATTCATTGCTTCGAAAATGTCAACGCACTACTGTTCTTGGTAGCAATCAGCGGTTACGATCAATGTCTCGCGGAAGACAAGGACGGCGTAAGCAAGAATCCGATGGGTGAGAACGCACACCGCTAACGATCCATCTAGAATCAAATGCAGGAGGCTCTGATGTTATGGGAATCGATCGCGAATTCTCACTGGTTTAAGAATTCTGCGCTCATCCTCTTCATGAACAAGATTGATCTTTTCAAGCAAAAAATATCTGCCAGCCCTATCACCGACTTTGGCTTCTCTGACTTCACGGGAGACCCAACCAGCTGGCAGCAAACCAGCAAATACTTTATGGATAAATTCACGGCGCTAAACCGGAACCCGGCCAGAGATGTCTACGGACACTTTACCAATGCGACCGATACGGATCTTCTCAAGGTCACGATGAATTCGGTTCAGGATATGATCATTCAGAAGAATTTGCAAAAACTTATACTTTGAGTACGCCCAGATCATTTTGGATATATTGCTTTCTAATATCTTTAAAGATATTGACCCTGTTTCTGGGTATCATGTGCGAAACCATCCCGCCCACGCGAAAATCTATCCGGCTGTGTCGTGGCGCACCGTTTCTCACATCTCACGAATCTTGGAGGCGCATCAACCAGCCATTTACAATACCCCGATGCAACATGTTTGGATTTCGATATGGAGGAGAGGATGGACCAAGGTTTTGGCCACATTTGAATATTTCCCCTCGATACTGTACATCAAGGCGATCTGCTTGAGTTTAAAAGACCACCACCAATTTTCTCGAATTTCTAGCGACTGGAGGCATACTTTGGATTTCTGTGTATTTGGGATTCACTTTTCTCCCTCCAACGTGGTTGGGCTGGCACAGGCTACCGCTCAACGCCCTTCAGGATATGATCCTTTGAGCTATAATTCCCCTACGTCGAGCACATTTTAGAGACGGCGGTCTTTCCTATGAATGAGGTAGGAATAGTTTTAGAAGGAAAGAATGCTTCAAACTCCCATCACACATATGTAGATAGAGCAAAGAATTGCTTGTATTCTGAACCTCGAATTGATTCAACGTTTCACCGATGTCCCTTTCCAATCATCCCATTTATGAAACCTCATTTTTGACGGAGTGGGAAAACCCCGCATGTTTTAAAGAAACATCCGCAGAACGTAGCACACACTTGAGATCTTACACTCGCATGAACACAGCTGCACATTTGATAGGGAGCCAATCGCGAGGCTGCAGAAAAAAAAAGAAACGGTTCTTGCCTAAATGAACCCGCACACATGTATTACACATGGTTCCCTTTCCCAATGCCCAAAGAAGAAGGTCGGTCATACCCCGCCACCATTCTGCGGGTTCATCTGCCATGTTGAGTTGGTTAGTGGTCCAATTTCGCTTTAATTCGCTCTTGGTACGAGCGAGCAAAGGATTCCTTCGTGTGAGTTGGGGTCCGGGGATGCGACGAGCATGCGAGATGAGATGGACATGGCATTTGCAAGCGATTGGGATGTCGGGCAGGGCGTCTGCACCGTCTGGATAATGCCGAAAGGATTGCGTTTGTTTGTTGGGATGAAAACGTTATCCTTGTGTATTATTTGGTACTTCATTTGGACGTCTAACATTTTCAAGTTCAAGCGCGCTTTTCTCTCGATCGCTTACAAGAAATATGCAGCTATCCAACGCGGACTAATGAGCGCATCGATGTTCCAATCATTAGATCTTCAACGGTGGAAAACGTGTCGGGCCACGTGCGGAAGAGATAAGACATGCTTTCGTATAATAAAAGCGTGCTATAACTAGGACATAGCCAATAGAACGATGGATCTCGTGTTTTCTCCGACTGGTCACGTCGGTAGTTCTAGTTTTAGATGTGGTGCTACTTTTCTTAAATCAAGCATAAGTAACCTTAATATTAGTTGCTTCGGTGAGGGCATTTCGTTCACACTCCTCTTCAAGTCTTTAGCAACAGAAGAGCGGCCGGACTACATCAACCAAGAGCAGCAACACATAATCCTAGGAAATGAAGAGAATATTGGTATGGATCTTCAATGGTACATGTATGAAGATGGCGCAATCAGACTCAGTACCGTGATTAGGGCCAGCCAGCTGTGCCGCAGGTATGCAGCAGCAGCTTGTGCACAAAGGGATGCTGACTGGAGATGGAGAAGAGGGGATCGACTCTGCGATATCTCGATTCTCGACCATACTGTACGCAACCAATACATCGAGCCAAAGAGGCAAGATCACCACGCTTCGTCTGGAGACGAGGTAAGACTTTGTGTTTGGTTATCTGGAATCAAATAACCATCCTCCATGGCAAAAAGCAACTTTGTGCATGTACGACCAACAAAGGTGTGCATCGTGCGGCAGTTCGGCCGTCGAAGCGCCGGAGGACTCCATATTGGACTGTTGTCGCCGAATTGTCGGTGGTGGAGATGGAGGAGGTGGATGGAGAAGCGGAAGAGATCAGCGGGAGCGGGTGTGCCCGTTTGTCGAAGACAATTTTTCGCTTAAATTCCGACGTTGGTTTCCATTATTTCATTCGCAAGCCATGTGTTTGTCAAAGCTTTTCGGAGGATATTTCTATTTGAAGACTGACCGCTTCAAACTCTGTCGTTTCATGTGTCATGATCGAATGATACTGTGGGTGGGGAAACTTATGAAACTGGAAAACCTACTATTCTAATTATTGTGATGCAGATTTTACTAATGGTTCTATTGAAGCTTATGCATTAAATTTTGAGAATGTTCGAGGTACTCAGGTTAATATTCCATCACAACTCGTGTTTTTAGAATGTGCTATCTAAAAACCAACTTTCATACCAAATCAGTTTTGCTCGTCAAAATTGTGGCATTGTGCTAAGCGGGTAACGTCTACACTCCAGCTGCAACGCAGAGAAACAGCTAATCGAAACCTTTGCTGACATCCTTGGTGGCTCAAGTGCTAGTTTGAGACATGAGTAAAGATTATACTTTGTATAAAGAAATCGTTTCCAGGTATCTGAAACATGAAACAACGGGTCACCTTGTGATCCTATGACCTCTGGAATTTAGCTTAAGTTGAGACTTGAACAAAGCGAAATTCACAAGCAAGAAGCATACGATACTGCGGAACAGTCTCTGAAAGAGGAAATTGAAATATAGAGAGAGAGCCACATGGTCCTATATAGAGGACCAGAAAACGCCAACGAGCCATCCTTGGTACCTAAACACAGTCATCTATAATACCTTGACCACCAACTTCATTCCCTTCAGCAACAACCAATCGCAGACTTAACATATTTCTTATCTCAACCACAAACTTCGGTACTTTCAGCAGTGATTGCATCGGCGCACAATATCCCCGAAACATGTCTTCGGGCTCTCCCCTGCACCATTTGATATGCTGGTTTTGTAGATTTAGCAATCCATCTGACTGCAAAGAATGCGGATCATGCTCCAGGGTGACAATACCATCCATAGGGGAAAGAAAGATTATTAAAGGGATGTCATCCCATTTGGCACACTTGCCTTGCCACTACATAGGCAACCTACTTATACTCGTCCCGCGGGCATTGCTACCCTAATGACTTGGGCCGAAAGATCGTTTACAATTCGTATGGGTGATGGCAACAATGCGGCTCTTTTATACGATGCACTAATGGAGAAGTGAGGCTGTTTATTGTAGAAGCAGGTCAACCCGATATTCCATGAGTAGGAGTGTCTACAATCACTGCCCAGCACAGGATGCTTTTCGACCGACGGGTAGATTTGATTCTATGAGATGAGGCGGGTTGCAAGATGGCTCTAGTCTAATTCTATACACCGCGTAGGAGTTCAAGACCAAACATGACTGTAATTAACGCTAATTGAGATTCTAGATAGTTGGTTAGGAGTTCAAAGTCAATTCATGCTTATGATTATGACTTTTAGATGGAGGATCAGGGGTTTTCCTCCACCGACAAACACTTAATACATTATAGAATATTGAAATATGAGCAACTCGACATTGTGCAAATGAACAAGGAAGAAAGAGTATCATTTTAGCCTTCATCGACAAGATATCATTTGCACAGTATTTCTGCAAACAGCGGTGAAGTCATGGTTTTTTGGGATATGGTTGAATGAAATTCGTGGAGTTGATCAGCTGAAGTAAACAAAAAGCTCCGCAAGCAGTTCATAACTATACTGGACAATGAGATGAAAGCAATTTAGAAAGAAGATACCAAATGCAAGGATGTTTTCATGTCATGATTTTGTGCAACGAGGAATTATGCCCCCCAAAAAACAACTCGAAAAAAGCGCGCCAACCCAAGGCACTCAGAATTTGCGTTACAGCAACACGTATGGAACCCCCACCATTTTCCCTTTACAGAAAGTTTCCAACTTGAGCTTCTCTCGATGCTTGGGAGAGAGTTCTTGTACTTTCGTAATTAATCCACAGTGAACTACGCACAAGCATATGAGTGGCCACACTAGTCATGTTCTTTCAACGGGATATTTTGAGCTTAAAAATAACTTGAAACTTGATCAAATGCTATTTCCTGATGTCAAATTCTAACCAAGACAAATTACGCATAAGCCTCTTTGCGGCGACTCTTGTTCTTTCATCTGTGATTTTTCAGATTGCTGATTGGTGACATAGAGCGCGTTCCACATAGGATAGAAATTGTCAGGAATTAAAGGAAAAAAGTGCTTTCGGAGATATAAATGAATGTGGAGAAACTGCTATAACAATGAAGAATCGTAACAAAATTGAACAAAAATGAAAGACTTTTTGAGAAATAAAGATGCGTTGGGTTCGTACCAAACATCGGAAAAGACCACAATCTTGCCTTCTAAGCAAGGAACGAAGAATGTACTTTCAGCACTAAAGCTAATAACATATACCTCATTCCAGCTGGGAAATACATACTCAAGTTTATAATTCTGGATTCCCAACTCACTAAGGCATATTAGTTCTTTTCAAGTAACAGAATTGAGCCCCAACCACACTTCAAGAGGATTGTATTTTGGACAGAACAGTATTACGAACATGTTCTTGTGGAAGCCATCAAGCAAAAGAACCCAATAACCGCCCCGTTCGCAACGTCTAGAGCTGAACGACTTTTGGAAAATATGACATGCTGGTCGTTCATTAGCAAGCGCTGGATTCCTAACGGGGCCGGGAGCCAATGATAATGAGTCGTGCAAGCAAATAAAAGTAAATTGTGGCGTTCTAGGAAGTTCCTTAACTACAACAGGATTCCGATTAGGACTTAAAGAGTTTCACGTCAGACCTGCTCTCGCGCGAATGGTTGAAATTGGGGTGGTGGAACAATTTATTACAAGCGCTGTAGCAAGGTCAGTCGCTAATAAGCCTTAAGCTGGGTGCGGGAAATTTGCAACTGATTGTAGAGTACATTTTCACCAATAACTCCATCCTTAAACGCCATGACCAGTGAGAAATGCTCCATCCATCCAATAGCCGAGCCCTAATTTCTTTTGGTACGTTGCCATAATGATGTAGACGCATTGCTTCAGGTAATACCAAGATCTATCCTTCACGATCCACGTTTACCAAGCAATTACCTCCGGTCTGGTCCCTGATCTTGACCCGGGAAACCAGGAGGCGCTCCAGGCATTGGGGGAAACCCAGGCGGTGGCTGAAAGCCTCCTGGTAGAGGTGGCATTTGAAAATTTGGGGGAAGGCCACCTGGTGGTGGAAATGGCATGCCTGGTATTGGAAACGGTGGAGCTCCTGGCCCGCCAGGAAATGGGGGCATTGGCATACCGCGGCCTCCAGGAGGTGGTATCATTCCGGGTGGTAAAGCTCCAGGTGGTGGCAGCGGCATGCCCGGCATGGGAAATGGGGGAGGTGCACCTAGCAGTATGTTAGAGTTTAATCTCGCCAGTTTGATGGACAGTGAAGACGAGTAAGGAAGACGGAAATAAAACAGGGGACATACCTCCTGGAAATGCGAATGGGGGAGGTGGGTGGACTCCAGGATTTTGGCCAAGCATGGGATTTGATGAAGACTGCCCCTCGGCAGCATATGAAGATGTTATCGAGTCGATAACAGATTGAGCTTTCTCATGGCCAATCTCTAAAAACTCTCGTTAACAAGGCCTTGACGACGTAGCGAAGACAAAAACGTACGCTGGTAGTAATCCACAACATTACGCAGATGATTCCTTCCACTGTTGTGTGCTTTCCTAACACTCATCGAGTCATGGGTGAGATAGACATCGCAGTAATCGCCTGGTATCGTTAGTTGACATTCCTCCGTTTCGTGCTTAAGCTTGGTAGAGCTATAGAATTGCGACCGAGTTTGTGGAGGGACAGAAACGTACAAAAGACTAGTCATATGTTAGTAGATATCGCAACCACGTGGCGGGCGGTGGGCTTACATTTTGGCATGTTCGCAGATCTAGGGAAGTTGGTTGATTGATAGAATTGCGATATATTCTTTTCTGATGTTCGGTGAGGTTCGCGAATTCTAGGTTGCGCCGCGGCGCGCGATTTAGACCATCACGTGCAAACGCCTAGATCCTGGTTTCCCTTTTTGGAATGGAGCTCCACGACTCCAAGTAACACCTCCGCAAAGCGAATTTGCGCCGTGATGAACTCCTCGAGAGTTTCAGGAACAATAAAAACACATGTTACGCGGACGAGATTAAAACCGAATCTTAGATGGAGACGACCGAACAATCGCTATGGGTATTGCTCTGCTTGCGACGCTGCTGGCTTACCAGATTCGCCAAAAGCCAAAAAAAGTACTCCGACATTAAAACCCCTCGAACCCCCCCCAGCAGACCACAGGATTATAGGTGTTCAACGGGAATTGTTCACAACATCCAAATACAGCCCTGGATCCGCGATTTTCCTTCCGAATGGTACAAAGATATTCAATAGGCTCACAAACTTTCTGCGCTCGCAATATGAGCATTACGGGTTCCAGGAGGTTATCAGTCCAACCATCTACAAGAAATCGTTGTGGGAAAAGTCGGGTCATTGGGAGAATTATGCAGAGGATATGTACTCAGTGAGCGGCCATGGAGCTGAGGGGAAAAAAGAAGATCGCCAGGTTGGGGAGGATGAAGAGTATGGTTTAAAGCCTATGAATTGTCCTGGACATTGTCTGATATTTGCTTCTAAGAAACGAAGCTATCGAGACTTGCCCATCCGTTATGCAGACTTCAGCCCGCTGCACCGTAACGAATTGACTGGCGCCCTGAGTGGGCTAACTCGCGGTAGAAGGTTTCATCAGGATGATGGACACATCTTCTGTCGACCTTCGCAAATCCGAGACGAGATATCAAAATCTTTAGACTTCGTGCGACAAGCTTACGGCGTTTTAGGCCTGGGCTCGTACAGGCTCGCTTTGTCAACAAGACCGGCTGATCATTTCATTGGAACAATTGCAGAGTGGGACAACGCCGAGGCTGCTCTGCGAGAGTCCCTCAATTCAACACAGCTTCCTTGGACACTCAATGAAGGGGATGGTGCCTTTTACGGGCCAAAAATTGACATCATTTTAAAAGACTCAGATGGAAAAGAGCACCAAACTGCCACAATCCAACTTGATTTTCAACTTCCTAAGCGATTCGAACTCGAATATCAAGCTCCAGCGCCGGAACTCGAACAGAGGGGTATGACAACCAATGATTCGGAACTGCTGGCAGTTGAGGGATCGGTGACTCCAGTCATGATACACCGAGCTGTATTGGGGTCTGTTGAAAGAATGATGGCGTTGATGATAGAGCGATATGACACTTCCTGGCCGTTCTGGCTAAACCCTAATCAGGTTGTCATTGTAACGTTGAACGATACCCCTGAATTGGTCGAATATGCGCTAAAAGTCAAGAAAACGATACAAAGTGCTGACAACCGAACAACCGCTGGATTTCCATATAGCAACCTTCCTCAAGTGAACGGGCTTTCTGTGGCGATAGACAATAATCCTGAGCCATTGAAAAAGAAGATAGCTGATGCAAAGTCTAAGAAATTTGGGATCATAGTTGTTGTTGGTAATAAGAATATCGATCAGCAAAACATCAACGTCGATTTCGCAGGTTTGAGCAAGAGCCAATATGATGTTGCAAACCACCCCATATTGCAAACTTGGCTCGAGGGACAGTCGAAACCCAAATCATCAGGCACGGCTATCAAGTCCGCCCAAGTCACACATGAACCTTCAACCACAGAACAAATCCTTGAGGTCACAAAGGCCAAGCCTGAATCCGAAATTCTTGAGAGAACATTAGAATCAGACGGCGGCAAGAGTGTCGCGGAAAATAGTAAGCCACCAAATCCTCTCACCACAAAGCAGTTGAGAAATGTCGACTTAAGCCCGGCAAATTTAAGGGTGATACTTGAAGACTTGCGAGCCGCTTACGTATAGGAAAACCCAAAGTTGTAAAACAATGTACTATAGATTACATGTAAGATACCATGTCTAGACGGAAAACCTTAACTCGATAATTCTTATGTACTTACATCGGGTTGTACATGTTTGGATTGCTCGTTTTCCTCCATCAGTGTCTCGAATCAGGTTGCCACTAAATTGTAAGAGATAGCATGTTAACCTAGCATAAATGTGTATTCTCAAAATCTGCCAATTGAAGACTAGTAAAGCTGTTACTCCAGCTCACATCAATGCTGTTAGGTTGTACCTAAAGTGATCCATTGACGTCTGAGTGGGTATGCGAAATGAGTCGAAACTCGATCATTATCTAATCTGATACATATACGCTCAGCTGATAGTACAATCGGCAAGTGTTTGCTCCGTATGCTGCGTCGTTGATGTTCTAAACAACTGGCAAAGTAAGAAACCCGCAGTAGTATGTCTATCTTCCGAACTTGACAACCGACCATGACAGCTCCCACCAATTTTTGTTGTCATCGCCTCATTCCGTCATCAACCTGACCTCCCAATTCTTCAATTTTGGCCACCAACCTCCGTCTCTCATCCAACTGGGCTCGCATGAAATCAACCGTTTTCTTCAGAACCACGCTTTCACTACGGCCCTGCCCCTCTAAGCCAGGAACCAGCTCGGTCAGACGATCAAAGCCTTCGCGAATCGCTTGTCGGCGCTTTTGTTCTAGAATATGATTTAGCTTCAATTTCAAGTGGACCCACAGGGCGAGGGAAAGACGTGTATACCAGATGCAATGTGGTTTGCCTTCTTCTCGTGTTCAGAAAGTCTTGGTTTCTCATCCAGATTGCCGTTTGAAGAACCGGCATTAGCAGATCCCTCGCGGGTGGGTGATGCAGACATAATGTCTCGTTTTCAGGTAAACGTCTATCATCTGAGGATTACCGTCGTGAGCGAATCATTCTTTTCAAGACGAGAACAATTCCGAACGATATGAGGGTGGTTCTGCTAGGTCAGAGATGTCTTCGATCACATGCGCTTGACGGAATTGCAGCTCTCAGCCTTGTCGGGTGAACCACGGTTAATTTATGGGGAGAGGCTTTACAACTTCGCGAGGTTTCGAATGCCGTACTGAAATATTAGACATTCACCTAACCAGTCTACGACCCGAGAAAATGTCTGATAAGATAGTAGAAAAAGACGCCTCGACAGCTGCGCCTTCCTATGATGCGGCAGCCGTACAACACGGTGCATTACCTACACGAAATGGATCCGTAGAGCGCAGAGGCACCTTGCAACGCGGCCCCTTTTTCCTCGATATACCCGTTTTAAACCAATTGAGAGGCAAGAGATGCATACTGGCATCACAGAGTCCACGGCGAAAACAGATACTCGCACCGGTAGCTCCAAGTGTCTGTCGTACCTAATTTGAAGCTGATCACATCTAGCTTGGGTTAAATTTCGAAGTCACTCCTTCAAAAAAGCCAGAAAACCTTTCCAAAGAAGACTTAGGACCTCTCCAATATGTCTTGAAAACGGCAGAACAGAAGTGCTTGGATGTGTACGAATTGGCGCTGGAAAATTCTATGAAGTCGATACCGGATCCTTCACTTGTCATATCGGCGGACACCATTATAGTTACCAACTCTGGTCGGATACTTGAGAAGCCTCGTAGTCAAGCAGATCATATTGCGATGTTGAAGATGCTTAGAGATCAAAAGTCACACAAGGTCAATACGGCCGTTGTAGTATTAGCCCCGAGAGAGGATGCCAGAGATCCAGGATACAACTTCGAGACATCGGTGGAGGAGACGAAAGTGTTCTTTGACGAAAGTGTCAGCGATGAGTTGATCGAGGCGTATGTTAGGACAAGGGAAGGAGTAGACAAAGCTGGGGGCTACGGATTGCAGGGCATGGGAAGCCTATTGGTAGAGAAGATCGAGGGGAGCTCAGATAACGTTGTGGGATTACCTCTAAGGGTCACTCTAGGCTTGATTGAGAAAGCGGTCTTGAACACAGGCGACGAGGAGGACGAAGCCGGAGATGCGGATGATGAATAGGCGAAATAATACTAAGCCTTGCATTCTCTGGCGTTGGGGCAAATTGTTTGTTTTTCGACCAAGGTAGGAGCGTCAATGTGCAACCATCCTGATCGTGGCGGCCTTCCTGCAGGCCGGATAGAGGAACCTTTCTTGGTATGTCGTTATGTCGGCTATGAGCGCTTCATCGAAACTCAGTTGTGACTCGGCAAAACTCTTCCTTCAACCTGTTAACCTTTAGAGCTCCCTCCATTTCGTCTGGAACATACCTAGGTACTCAGAATCCTTTAGCCTCGTCGGTAAGAAAGTCGCCTTTCTCCACCGTCCGGTGCTACTAAGGTCGCTTATGGCTATCTTCATTGTCTTTCGTTCGTTCGTATCTCGTTGCAACAGCCCAAGCCATCGTCTCCAATCTTCAGCGCCAACGGTGCATGAGACTCGAGAACTTGGGAAAATGGTGTATCTGTCACCCGGAGATCGCTCCTATTAAGAGTGTAGGACTCGATATGGTGCGAAAAGTTATGAGAAATGAATGGCACGTGATCTTTTATCGGCCGTAATGAGCGCGGACTTTGGAGGTTTGATGTTGTGCATTAGATTTTGCAGTCGGCCAAGTCTGGTGATGCGCTTGAGATATTGTACATGCCTTAAGAGTGGGTAATGTCTGAAAGTAGATGGTAGACGAGATGAAGAGGATCAACTTCTATCGGTTTAGTCTCGCCATGGCCGAGCAAAGTAGGATTAAACGCAAACGCCGAACGAACTAAGTCGAAAAGAGCTGACAAAAGATAGAATAGAGTGTACTCTCGCATTTTTCCGGATGTTCTCTTCACAATGTACCAGCATGTCTTCTGCAACCCTTTCATAGCGCATTACGCACCTTACTCAGTCATCGATCTCAAGCACAAGAGCTTCCCCCTAAACCCCTCGGCTATGATCAATCGCTTGTTGTTGGCCGGTCAGCGGTCCAATTGAAGTCTCAACGGCCTCGAGTTGTCCCGTTCGAACATGCACTCCATACTGCTTGCCACAATTGACACGTAAATTTACAAACCGCAGCAACCCCTTTGTAACAAGATGTCGTGTGCCAACAGCCCAATTCCACTTATCTCCGTCCAAACTCGAGGTTGCACAGTACCGAGGAGTAGGATGTGCCGCGCAGGGGTCGCGAAGCGAGCCAGAAAACAGATCAAAGAGGGGACAACATATCTTGGTAGACAGCCACAGGAAGACGATATATGAAGAGCGCAATCTGCTTTTGTCATCAACCTTATACACGATCTTGGAAACCATTCCCCCGTTACACGCTCAAGATGGCACAAAATTCATTTCCCCTGTTCTCTCAGCTCCCACTCGAGCTTCGGCTTCAAATATGGCATCACGCCTTGCCGCCGCCATCACAAGTTTACGAACTTAGCATGTATGCAGCGAATTTCTACGCAGCTGCAGCGCTGGACGACGAGATAGATGAGTGGGCTCTTCCAGAGGGATATCTGGGCGATTTGTGGAATATCCTACAGATCCCAAGACGCTCCACGCCTGGCATATATCAAACCTGCCAAGAGGCACGCAGACTCAGCCGACGACATTACATCGCCCATGAGCGAGGCTGGGAATTAAACGACACCTCACTTATCCCCTATGTTGAGAAACAGCAGCAGCCGGTTAAGGGCGATGCAACACTTGATGTTATCTTTCATCATCAAGTGCCTCATCCAACGACATCAAGACGCAAATCACATATCTTATGTTCCAGTGACGACCTCATCCACTTCTTACCATTTGACGACAGATTACGTGACGGCACCGAGTTTTCAACACGAATCATCTCAGACGACGAGCTTGTTCAAAGATTCGAAGGGATACGATATCTAGCCATCTCATTACCAGATCTCGATGGTTGGCTTTGGCAATGCCCACGCTCGAGACTGTATTTCTCTCAGGTGGACGTACTGTTTGTGTTACGGAAAGAGACGGAGTGTTCGGAGAATTATAGTATTAATTGGGACAACTATCCGAAACGTGTGAAGAATTATTCCGGTCAGGCAACGGATTCGAATCCGATTGCGGCGAAGAGTACAATGTTTGTGGAGACTTTGGAAGCAGCGGTGCTGGAAATTGAAAAGATTGTCACTCGACAGGAAGGTAGTTAGCGGCTTGATATCCTCCAAACAATTTAAGCTTTGATAATGTCATTTTGCTTCTCCGTCGTGATCTTACATAAACGGGCACGGAGAATATACTGCATAGTACAAAGCCGAGCACCATTTCTAGCACTCTAGCCCGGGCATCATCACTTAAACTTCTTTTGAGGTCAAGCGGCTATGAGTGACTGTACTAAGCGATCATAAGGTCTGGTTTTGAACATAGCGAGCGATAAAATTGATATCCCTCGGTAGGATAGCCCTGGCAGCAATGTAGCATGCATCGTGACGGAGACGATGTACACGGTTTTGGGACCTCATAAGAGGTATGGCTATGGGTGCTAAGACTGCTATCAAGACCTTGGGCGAATGTGGTGCCAACATGTTCGCTAGGCCTTGAACTGATGAGCATTTTCATACTTTGTACTCAATTGTTATGACGACAGGCCCCTGATGCCATCTAGAACTTCTGAACTACAGTATTCTCGTGCTTGTATTGGCTCAGGCAATAGTAACACTCAAGTGCCTGTCTAATACCATTCCTCCATGAAGCAAAACTATCTATTTGGAGTCAGGACAGCGTCGATTGTGACGAGCGACATCATCACAGTAAGTGATTGGTATGCCGCGACTTCAGATACATAATTGCTCCAGGTAGTATCGAAAGATGGATCAATATTCAAGTGAAAGCCATCAACTTAACTTAAATATGGCGTCTGATATAGCCTGCTAGGCTGAGATCGTGAATGATTAGGAAGCCCCTTCGCTTATCAATGTGATGACTGTTCTTAGATATTGGTTTTCACCAGCCATAGTCAATAAACGTTTAGCATTCAGATCCCAAAGAGACTGGTTCCCTCTCCCCCGCCTGCTCTTAATGTCAGGTTCGTTACGACGTTACCCACCTTAGCTTTTATTTCGTTGATGGGAACATGAATTTGGGATAATTGACTGTTGTGTTTTTGGAACAGATCGCTTGTGATATCCTTCGTTTCCTGAGAAGGAGCTTTCAACGCCCAAGCTATGCTGATATGGAATGCGCTTGAAGGATCCCCAAGGCCTGTCCAATCGGATGCAATCGTTGGTGCCTTACTCGAACTTGTGCTCTTGCCATCTGGCCTCCGGAGTCTCTTTGGGCTTGGAGTGTCTTGTGGCAGCTTTCTTGCATACAGCGGGGGCTGGCCAAATATTCCGACGGCATCGTTACACAAATGAAGAAGTTTGTTCAAACCGTCGTGAGGAGGTTTCAGCAACCTTAGAACAAGAAACCAGCGCGTGTTATCAAAATTCGAAACCCAATCTACGCCTGAGATGGTGACGTCGAAGCTAAGGGGTTAGTGATAGCACTAAACACTGCGGGAAGAACATTGACTTACGGCCGAATTCCACATGTACGGATCACCCGCTCCAACAGCTCAACAAAGTTTTCTTTGTCCGCAGTAACCAAGCCTATGGGTCGAGAAAGACTGATGTGAAGAGGCAAAGGTGCCCCGAGGTCACTGGACAGGAAAGAACATATGGCGAAGTCGTTTTGAGTGGCAGTGGCTTCTATGAGCTTTGCTAAAAAGTCGCTCACTACTATATGTTCTGTCGTCGGAGGACACCCTCACATGGGTTAGTGAAGCTCCCCTGATCTGGCGAGGTTATGACGGAGAACGTACACTCGATGTAGAGATGTGTCGGCCAATTTCCCTCAATGTGAGGTGTCCCTCTTTTTCGGCCACTATGTAAACTCGGGTCATCTCTCGTACTAGCCCTCGTCGTGGACGCATAAAGATCATGGAATTTCGAAGGCAATGGAGGGAGATTCTCAAATTCTTTGGTGTCATGTTTGCGTTTTCCTCCTATGACTTGGTCCTTAGATGCGGTTGAGTTTTTGGGGTTGTCTTCATCGCTGGAAGAAGAAGTATAATCAACGAGTGCCATGCTGTTCGAACGATGGTCATGAGATTTGAATGAAAGATGCAAGTCACGTTATTGGACGTCCAGTTTGACGTGGACGTGTACTTCGCTTGCTATTTTCAACAACGGCATCGAGGTCGTTTTAGCGCCAAGAACGGCGGCACCGTTGATAGAATTCAGATCGATCTAATGTCTAGGCACGGACCGGGCCAAGTCACGGGACGGCGGGGACAACGCAAAAGGACGCGCAAACGTCACGACCGGCAACGAGGGAGCGCCCTGTTAACGCCGACCTTGGGCCTTGGAGCCCCGTACTAAGCCAGGAACTCCGTAAAGGATGCACTTGACAGCGCAGTCTGAGTTTGGAGTATAGCTGTAACTCATATAAATGCCTCGTGCGATTCGGTACATGAAGAACACCAATTTAGAGTTTTCTGTATTCGTACTTCGTACTGCTCAGTCCGCACGATGTGCGCATAGTGGAGTTATTATTAGACATCTTTCGAGTCTCGATGCCACCACCATATCTTCCCCGAGACTGCCGAGATGATGTGGAAGAGTGGTGCCTGGTTATTAAGGTCTGACGCTCATCTGTACATACAAACGGTTCAGGCAGCGATGGAAAAGACCCAGCATTTTCATCAGCGAATGACGTACCCTCCCCCCCCCCTTGTCATGCAGCAGTCGACGCTCGTCCGTGCCGTTGAAGGCCCTTGCCGATGCTGTGCTGCTTGACAGCACACCCGGACTCTCGACTGCTTGACGGCGTTCATATCTCTGCATCCCCCCATGAGGTATCTCTCTCAACCTGCTTCCTGCTTCACTTTACTCCATTTTCACCAATACTCCGTATCAGTACACTACAGAGTATCAATTGTCCCTTGAAGCCGTTCTCTATTCGTCGTCGAGAACCGTGATATATAAAACAAACAATTTCCATCCACTATGGAGTCCTCTTCGGATAAGCATTGGGTAAGTCGCCTTTTGTCTCGCACACTTTTCGAGGCTACAAATCGCAATTCCGGCCATAAATATGCGGTTGCGAATCAGACGCTAATACGTACGATTCGCAGGCGCAAAAGTATCTACTCGATCCCTTGAATGCGCCCGAACCCAGTGACGAGACGGGGCCTGGTTCAAATTTTACTAGAGATCCGTCGGTAACCAAAGGGTTTGCAACCTCAGTTGCCCACGAGAAAGATTCAAAGTCACCAAGCGTTTCCACATCCTCAAAAGGTGTCATAACACCGTCTACTTCGGCCTATCCTACGCCGCCATCTTCGGCAAGCCCAACAAGAAGTACCTTCCATCCAACAAACCCTTATTCCTCCGCTTCGTCGTCGTCCCATCGGCAATCTGCTTTCGGTGGCTATGCCAAACCAGGCCCTAGCCGCTTGAGCGGAGAGGAACCACTTGCGCAAGGCCCTGGAAGAAGAAGAGGCAGTTCTCTAGGAGAACGTTTCCCGGGTGATATGTCACATAGGCCACTCGATCAAATACGCAGTCAAAACAAAGCAGCAAACCGAGCACCGCATTTGCGAAAGAAGCACATTCCAGGCGCTGATACCATTGACTCGCTTGACCGTTCCGTCTTCGGCGGTGCCTATCACCATGAAGGACCATATGATGCCACTTTGCTTGCACGAAATACTAGCTACCAAAGCTCTCCAGTTGCGGCAGTAAGAGAGTCGAATGAAGAAGCCTTGAGAGCCACCCCGAGGGAAAAGATTCAAGACTCGCTGGTTAAAAGGGTTCCACTCTCCGGTGTTGCCGTTATTCCCCCAGGAATGGCCGGATTGGATGGGAAAGTGATGAATTACAAAGAAGGCGCCGACTTAATGCGGGAGCCTGACGCTCAAGGTGGGGCCTATAAGAGGTGGGAGCATGTTGTAAGTAATTGTTCCTTTATGAAATTGCCGCAAACTAATATCCGGAAAGAAATATCTTCCAGAAGACTTGAAAGGCAAAGGAGAGCCTTCTTACTCTATTGAGAAAGCACTTAAAGACCACAAACACTCCCACCGACGAAACGTCTCCGAAGGTCAAGGCTACGAGATGCAGCCTCAACGTCGGAGACCTGAGATTGCTCACCAGCGAAGTATGAGCGGAAATAACGTCCATGAATACGCACAATCCACAAGCTCCTCATTGAACGTGCCTCAAACCGATATGAACGTCCAGCGGAGTAACACGACTGGTCGTCGTGTTGGAGAAGGGTTAAAAAAGAGATTTGGCAGTCTGAGGAGAAGCAAAAAAGCCGCTGCTGAAGTTTAAATAATCTCTGGGTTCGGAAGAGGGGGCCGGAAGAGGGGGGATAAAGGACTTGATGGTTCAAGATTTTTGCAGTGATGGGCATAATAATGGGATGGGAATGAAATTACTACTGTATTTATAATAGAAGGAATTGGGAAATCGGCACATGGCTTTGCATGGTAACTGTATAATATGAATAATGGGTTATAGACAGTACGCTGTGAGTTCTTCAGCGATCAGCTGTTTGGGACATCATGCTTTTGATTTTTTAACGTGACATGTACTTCTCCCCCCTGAACTACAGACCCCCAAGCTCGCTTGACCTGCTCCACCTCTATGGAACATCGCCTCTTCCTGCTATGTGCAGAATGACACTATTAGCCATGTTCAAGTTCTGTATAACAGGTCGGGCATAGAACGTTGATATCCTGGTCTTACCTCCAGGAAGGCGGCCCATATTTTCTGTGGTTGGCTATTACTTGAGTCGGAGTTAAGCACTAAACGTCTTCTGTGGTACATGAGCACATATGAGGTTGAAACTAGAGTGAGCATCTCTTACATGAATGAACTGAGCCCTGGAGAAAATTACTTGAATGATCTAGTAATTAGCATACAAAGCAAGACAATGGGGTCAGCAATTGAGAAGTCCTAACCCCTTTATTCTCGCTTAGTGTCCAACTATTTTCTAAGGTTGTCGCACTGCATCATTCAAATACATATATGATGTACCATTTTCACAGATCACCGAGCTTAGCCAGGTTGCGTTAATCGGCTCCTCCAAATCGTAACGCTATTTCATAGATTAGGAGTGAACGCGCTTTCGACAGCCCTTCTTCTTCTTCTTCTCTTTCCTCCTCTCTTTAATTGGTCGGTAGACCACAAAGCCTGGCCAAATGGCTTTGTAAATATGTGTGCTAGTGTACGAGATGCCCTTGTAATCTGTCTTCTCGAGAAAGAAAGAGGAGGACTTCATCAAGGGGGGTGAGAAGGTAAAGGGATTCGTGTTGAATAAAAATTTATAGTGCCCAGCTGAATTTGAATTTCTCTCGAAGATCTCTCTCGAAGCATGTCAACCGGAAGACCGCAGGATTTTACATCACTGATATCACCGCGCCATTGGCGTTCTTTATGACACTCTTATGTACGACTATCTGTTAGTGGCTTATTTACGAGTAGCAAACTATCAGATACTATTTGTGAGGTTATCGTAACTCTCTCTGAACAAATTTGATATGTGTGATATGTCAAGTATGGATTTAGTCGAAACTTCATGAGTGTAAGGCGCTGCTATGCCCAGCATCTCTCGACATTCGCTAAGCTGTATTGGATACAATGTTGGTATTGAAACCAATAGCAATTATTCATCTCGTTTTAAGTACCGACACGTGTAGTGTTTTGACATTTATTTATGGTTTCGAAGTCATTGCAATGAAGTGATACTTGTTTGGGAGTTCTCTAGGTGGCAAAGCACATGTCTAGAAATAGTATCTTGCTTTGGCGAAGAGCTATTCAAGCTATTTCCATCTATACATAACTTAGGTTAAAGTGGTTTCATTCTCCTGCGTCTTAATGCAATTGCCGAACCCAGAATAAAATCTTGGAAAGCAATAGGATATCCCATATCTACTTGTGTTGCTTATCTGATCGAAAACGTTAATCTCTCGATGTACAAAGTTCTCATCATGACTTGCTGCTCCCCCCAATGAATTCCCGCAGTACATGTCATTCGAGAATGTAGAAGCCTAGGGATTGGTCAAATTTCAAGTTGATCCAGGTCAACTGAGTTCTCGCGAGTTGGCAATTTTGGCGTGAGTGGAGTGATGTTCTCGACCTTAGTAAGCAGATAACATGAGGCGTACATATTGACTCTGGAGATTGTTAGCTGGTTTCTGTTTATGCACGAGGTAATAAAATACCGATCAATACACGTGTTTCCAATCCTAGCTCCAACCCTTTTTGCGACAAAACCAAGTGACTCAAAGTGGGCGATGTACCAAGGTTTCAGTGCCGCAGATCTAAGCAGAACGCGACCTCCTAACTTGAGAGCCCGGTTCAATTTGGATATTTGAACATTTGCCGCTTCTGCTCCAGGATCGAACCAATCCATCGAATCCATAATCACTGCAACTGTAAGCGTGCCAGGAGCAAGTCGATTGACCACCTCATTGATCTCGTCAGTATGGACACGAAGACCATCAAAAGCACTACCGCGAGAGAGTTTTTGGTGTGACTTTGGTTTGAGATAATCGGGATGGCAGCGTTGAGAGTATGATCCCTGGAGGCAGACGAGATAGTAAGGATTGTCGTCGCCAATCAATGAAGTCTCGATGACTGGATCAAGAGTTTGAACCATATATTCCCACACGGCCTGACCCCTGCTGGAATTCAATTCTTTTTCAGAATGTCCAAGCGGCAAACTTGACGACGAAGTGTTTGTAATTGACTCAGAGGTGAGGTAATCTGCTTCCAACATGGCAAGCTGGTTATGAGGGACACCAAGAGCAGCCCATAAAAACTTCTCTGAGGATACTATGAAGTATGAAAGTAAACGAGACATCAGGAGAGGACGGATTTTGCTGTGCCATATCTCTCGCTGCTCGTTGAGTGTCTTAGCCTGGAGAAGTTTCTTTATCTGCGATCGGAAACCCAGAGCAACGGCGAGAAGTCTTACGACGCGAATTGCATGACGGGAGCCGCCAGTATCATAGAGACCTCTACCTTGCTTGGATTCGAAAATGTGAGCATTGTTGACCCAATATTGGAAGGCGCGAGATGACAGGTGAGGCGATAAACGAGAATGAAGAAGCGAGCGAAAATTCGCATGCTTACCCTCTCCGAATAATTTCCAGAAGTCTACATATGATAGGGCGGTATATGAGGCAACTTTAAGTTCGAGAAGATGGTTCTGATTTGGATTGAGATCCACAGCATGAATTCGCGCTGGCGATGATAAGGCGTAGGAAAGGATATTATCCCCGGCACTCGTGATTGCAAGGACAACGTCGTGTGAATCAAGTTTTAGCAACCGATGATCTACACGAGAGTCTTCCCAGGTGAAAGCATAGATGTATTCATGCTTGAATTGCGCATGCTTCTTCAAAGTATCGTCATAGTAAATCCGCCAATGGTGATTTTGGTAGAAGAATGAAGGTAACGGTAAATTTGCAGACAAATTAACGACGGCCGCATCAAATGCTTTGGATCTAAGCTCTGGAGGTGTTGATCGCTCGACGTAAGTCGATATTGCTTTCGTGTGGTTGATTGGTGACAGGTAGGGAGATTCGGTGACGGCAGCGTCAAGTCGCTCTACTATCTCGTGAGGATAACTTGGTGTAGCTAAAAAGGAGCTTGGACGTTTGGAGCATCCTATCCAAACGTAATACGGGATAGAGCCCAAAAGATAGTTGCGGGAATCCGCGCTGAGAACCGAGCCGAATCGATACTCAAGGTAATCTCTCCGTCCAGCCTCCAGACCAACACGGTCTATGTCAAACCACGCCCGCCAGAAATGACGTGCAAACCAATTGACGTGGCGATTGATAGCACCCCCGGTATAGTTTCTGCAACTGAGATCAACAATTGATTGAACGTAGAAGTCCACAACCCCAATAACGCCAGCTGGAGCGAGTAGACTACTCAAGGAATCGATTACCGAATAGAAGTCTGGCTACACTTGAATGAGCTATGGAAAACGGAGGAGTTTTGCGAAGATTTCTTACTATCATAGAAAGACTGTAGGAAAGTGTGAGAAGTTCTGCGCCTCCCACACTGCCTTCGTCACGCTGGGTTCCAAAGTAATTCGAGGTTGGTGAAGGGATAGCAGCTTCATAGCTCTCAGAGCCATGCTCGTGATCCTCCAAGCGAAAGGTTCTAGCATCTTGGCAAATTACTTTGACATTACTCCAGCCTAAACGAGCGAAGCGCTTGCGAGCTACCTCGCAAAGAGATGGAGAAAAGTCGACCAGGTATACACTGGAGAAGAAGTCTGGCACAGAAACAAAGGCAGACATAGCCTCAATGTTCCATCCCGTTCCACCACCAATCTGTCAGAAAAGGGTCAGTAGTTATCTAGATAGAGCTTTGGAAGTGATGTTCCATACATCTACCCATATACGCTTGCTATCGTGTGTTCTCTCATTTGAGGCCTTATTGACGAGTTGAGCAGCCACCAACTCTAGCATGTCTTCGCGGCCGCGTAAAAGCCTTTTTCTCGTGGCATCATACACGCCGGCTTGTGCCTGATAGAAGCTCTCCAAAGCGTCTTGTTGCCCATTTCCTGTTTCGTCACCAGTATGCGGCTTCAAGAATGATGCATAGAAGAATCGTAGAAATGATGTGAAGGTGTTATGGTCTTCTTCGACTTGCTTGGTTCGCGGAAATGTACGAGCAAATATAATGCCAATGAGAATGAACAACGTTGCTCCAACTAAAAAAATCTGAACATGAGGCCCCAGAAGTATGTTAAGGGTAAGAGAATCCATGATACTCTCTCATTGCTATGAGAAAAGGGAATGGAGATTCGAGGAGGTTGAAACTTGCATGAGATTCAGTGGATTGAAACAGAATACAAGACAGGAGGAAGTAGATGGATAGTATATCACAAGAAAGTATATGCTGCCAGAGTTAGTGCAAACGACCCCTCCATCTCTATGGCATTGCCCCTCCATTTTTTTTTAGCGGCCGGACTCGGGGTTGATTGAGTTCTGGCCTGTCATAAGCCCACATGTCTCTCGAGGAAGCAGGGACCTGCAAGTAAATATCCCGCTGGCTCAACCAGGAAAAGCTTCGCGCCGAATAAGGGGCATCTGACACGACATCGGGAATTGTTACCTACCGATAGATCGATCCGAGGCCATGACGGAAAATCTTGAAAAAGAGCAAAGAGTTATTGTTTGGTGATGTTCAACCTGAAACGACAGACCCAACAGCGTACCGAGAAAATGTAAGATTTGAGTGCGTGTTTTTGTGTTTCTCGTCTTCAACCAATAATTCAAGATTCTGCGTGGTTGAATGACGGGATCCTGAGCAGCTCGGTTGAGTCCCACATTTGCTCATCTTGAAGCTGCACCGAACATGTGGAACATCATCGTACGCATGTTTGACGTTGAGATATTGAGACTTGAAGTCGAGACTTGAACAAAATGAGGTTGTAACGAAGCGATCTCGCTTGAGCTCATTGACCACTCATACGGACCACGATCCGAGTAGGCGGTCACTGATTGGCCAAGACGGTATCACAGCCAAGATGATGATCAGGCTAATCTGTCGAGAAATAAAGCTCTGTATTGTGTATTAGCGTCCATTCCTTTTCCGGTGAGGATATTTCGAGTAACATGCCATATCAAACGAGCAAGATTTATGTAGGTTGAGGCATATACAGTGTCACGTGATGGACCCCCCCTGGTGGTGCATTAAGACTAACGAGAGGATGAAAGTCGAGCTAGGTATCTCAAGCAACTATGCTGATTCTTTTATTTTTTTGATGGTAGCTTAAACCTGGTCTTATAGGTTCGAAGTGGGCAATAAACTGCAAGATTTGCCCCGTTACAATGGAACATATTACCGATACGTCTCTTGTGTAGTCCTTGATGTTTTAGACAGTTGAGGTATCCAATGCTGTGGAGCTACGGCTTAGAAATTGAGAGTCGAAGCGCGAGCAGAAGACTCAAGAAGGAAGAGTGGGCCAAGAGCAATGCCATGTGAATTTGACTTCCACGGATCAGTTGCCCACGCTGGTACTAACATAAGATCATTGAGCTGCTTTAGAGAATATCGATGTCGACAAGATCTGGGCCACTGGACTTGATACAGGATCCACACATGTCTGCCATACCTGGATGCGCCAACCAATGCCCTAGAATGTGGTACAACAGCAGGTGGTATTCATGAGCTATCTTTCCTACCTGAAACCCGCGAGGGGAATGCCTCAGTCATGATTCTTTTACGCCAAACTCCGACCAATTCATGGGAAGATGATTAATCAATCATCATCATCCGAGAACCCAGCCTCCGAGTCTTCTTCCTCCTCTGCATCATCCATACTCTCACCGTCACTTTCAGGAGCGGCTTTTCCCTTTTCGCGATCAAGCTGCCTTTTTCTTTCCTCTTCTCTGCGACTTTCTTCGAGGACTTTAGCTTTCTCCTCTCTCTGCTTCCTTTGACCCACGACAAAAGCGCCCAGAGGCGTCTTCTCCCATTCGAATCCTTTCAAGAAGCCTTCCACCCCAGCGCGATTGTTTGGCGCAAAATCAACCTTTGCTCGCTTCTCCTCTATCCACTTCCCATTTGCCTCTATTTTCTGGACAAGAAGAACCAGCCCTGAATTTATCTTGTTGTTTTTATTCCCAGAACTCTTGTTTCCTGCATCTTTTAACCATCGCTTAATCATGACTATCACTGGTAGGGACAATTCTGGAAACGCGATACTGGTAGACCAAAGCACGAAAAACTCGGCTAATAATTCCATAATCTGCTCCCCAACTCCATCTTGATACACCCGCGTCCGCAAATAAGACTTGGGTGCTTTGTAATTCGATGCGAAATCTAAACTCTTCAATGTGCTTGCCTTAGGGGGCTTCTTCATTTCTGCCGAGTTCAAAACTTCCAAGAGAGCAGACGCTAAGGGTATGTATGTGCCCGTAGCTCGAGACAAACGTAAAAGTGAACGAATTAACTGAAAGCGTAACGGAAAGTATGTTGCAGTTGGAATAAGACGCATCGCTCCCAGGGTAACCTGTACGGTAGGATATATCAACAGCCTTAGTTGCGACTCTTTGCCACTCTCAGCTTCCTTTACTGGGCTACAATGTTCGGAAAGTACACATGACCAGAAGTCTAGTGAGTGAACATATTGCCAATTGTATACAGTTTTGTAGCTCTCTTTCTGGTTGTTTGTGATACTACTTCGAAGATGTATAGCGAGTTGTCGGATAAAGGTAAAGCCAGTAGCATATCCTACATCTTGGTCGATCCCCCATAACTCAGCGGCAGAGTTTTTCATCAAATTGATTCCTTGGACCGTGTGCACAGACGTCGTCCGACTTCCCTTAATCAACCCTTGGTAAACTGTCTTCAATACGGCTTCCCGGAGGCCTGGATCCCCAATCACCGCCAATCTCCGCAGCACAAGGAAGGCTGTGATCTTTGTGGCTTCAGAGCTCGAGGCGTCGGACCATATATCAACAACTGTCTTGACGATGTTTTTAAGAACTTTCTTGAAGGATAGAAGATAAGGAAGTAGAGGAGTTATAGAAGAAAGAGTGAGCTTTAGAGTGGCTGCGTCCGAGAGTGTTGTGAGGAGATGATGGACAGACGAAGTGTGTGATTTTAGGAGTGGTGTGAGCGTCTTGAATTTCTTCGAGTCGGTGGAGACTCTGACTTTGCCAGCGGCACTTTCCTTCACTGGCAAATGATGGCCAAGAACTTTGGGAACATTCGTAAGTGTCGACAAGAGAAGTTCGTGGTAGACATTAGGGTCTGATATGGTGTACTTGTACTCCTTCCCTTCATCCTCATTTACATGCGCGGCTGCTCTGAATGCGAGCACCACTTGTCGCATAGCTCGTAATGAATGCTGCTCAGTCATGGATTTCGTCCACTTTGCAACCATTGCTGCGGATACCTCTGCCGAATCTGTCTCATCCTCTTCCGAAGTCTCATCGTCCTCCTCAGCCTGGGCCTCCTTCTTTTTCGATTTCTTCTGCTTCTTCTTCTTAGGAGGTTCATCAGCTTCACTGGCACTTAACCCGTCGACCTCGGCCAAATCTGCATCTTCGTCAAATTCCAAAGCTTCTGGGTCATTCTCCTTCAGGTATTTGTAGAATGCTGGATCGTTCTTGGCAAGTGCATCCATAGCTCCTTTACTCATACCAGTCTCGTCCTGCGAATCACTCCCGCCCTCGCTGTCGCTCAAAACAGGCGCTTCCTCGATTGAAACGTCTGACTCTTCAGCGTCGCTGTGTTCCTCAGCTTCTGCTGAACGTTTGCGTTTGCCAAGTTTCTCGTTGGTAGATTTTGACTTCGATTTCGACTTTGGCTTTTCAGGAATCTCAAACCCGCCTTGAAAGAAGTCATCAACATTCATTTTCCCAAACGGATCCTCCTTCGCCGGTACGATCGGCTTCTGATCTCCTTCCCCATCTTTACCCCCCAAGAACTCGGCATCTTTTGCATTTCGCGCCTGTCGTTTGGCTTTGACTTGCTGTCGCTGCTTGATTTTCGCACCAGCTTTTCTTTTCTCAAGAACATCTTTAAGATGATTCTTCTCGAATTTCCGAGTGGATTTCTTGGTGCTTTTAGCCATTCTGAAGCGGTAAGTATGACAGAAATGAATGCGATTGCGGTTGCGATCGCTGCAACTCTGCTCTCCAGCTTTTTTTTTGGGAAATTTTTGGACTTGATGGTAACAGGTGGGGCTGAGCTCGGACCAATGACCCTGGGGTCGTATCGTGATAACAATAATTTCTGCCAGTTCTCACCGCCTTTACTCGGAAAAAAAGTGACCATTGTTCGAAGCCACTGTGGAAGAGCACAACCTGTTTGCGTTTTCCTAAATGTTGTGAGGTTTCCTTGAGTCTAAACTTCCCACTGGCTCCCTCAATTCGAGTACTTGCGCTACTCGCAAAGCGAGCTAGGAGCTCAATATCTGCTATGGCACTTGTCGAGATCAAGCAACCGACCTTGTCGCAAAGTTCCCCAACGGTCGAAGAGAAGCAACCCGAATCCGCGAATACTAGACCTTCGTCAGTACTGGTCACACCTTGTGACCCATGGCCAAGACCCTACTATCTTGAAAACGGTCTGCGACGTGTTGCGCCGTATCATTTTACATACAATACATACTGCAAAGAAAGATGGAGAGGACGTGAGCTTCTGAATGTATTCTCCAGCGAATTTCGTGATAGGCCGCAAGAATATTATGTATGATCCCTCTTCATATGGACGGAAATATGCAAAAGCTAACAGTTTTAGAAAGATGCAATCGAGCGCGGAGTTGTAGTCGTGAATGGAAAACAAGTCCCGACGAGCCATATTGTCAAAAATGGCGACGTTATTTCCCATACTCTTCACCGACACGAGCCTCCTGTCACCGCACTCCCAATTGGTATAATACATGAAGATGATGATATGATAGTCATCAATAAACCGACCGGAGTGCCCGTTCATCCTGCTGGCCGGTATAATTATAATTCCGTGGTCGAAATCATGCGCGCCGAGCGAGGGTATGGCTGGAACCCATTGCCTTGTAACAGGCTTGACAGGTTGACTAGTGGGATTATGTTTATTGGTAAGCACCCCAAGGCTGCAGAGAAGCTCAGTCTTGAAATACAAGCGCGAACCGTCCGAAAGGAGTATATAGCGCGAGTCCAAGGCGAATTTCCAGATGGTGAAATCGTTTGTGATATGCCAATTCTACAAATATCGCCGAAACTGGGTTTGAATAGAGTACGTGCAAACGGGAAAGCTGCTCGAACCGTTTTCAAAAAGCTGGCGTACTATCCACCTAGGCCCGTCCAGAACATAGACACCATCGCCGAGAAAGCTGGCCAACGTGTCCCAGACAGCGAGCTGTCTAAAGACCAAGGGTACACTATCGTCAGATGTCTTCCCGTGACCGGACGAACTCATCAGTTAAGGGTTCACTTGCAATTCTTGGGTCATCCGATCGCGAACGATCCTATCTATGCCAATCGAAGAGTTTGGGGGTCGAGTCTAGGAGCGAACGATCGCGATGGCTCGCAGGACACCGATGAGGACATAATAACTCGTCTTTCTCGTATGGGAAAGAGTGAAGTCGCAGATGCTGTAGCGTACCATGATGAGATGGTTGAAGAGTATGAAAAGAAGAAAGCTGAAAAAATGTCGGGCGAGCTCTGCGACGTATGCCAGACACCTCTCTACACCGACCCCGGGCAGCAGGAACTTACTCTATGGCTCCATAGCCTTCGCTACGAAGATGCTGGCGGTTCGTGGAGCTACGTCAGCCCTCTACCAACGTGGGCTATGCCTCCAGGTCAGTCAGAACAAAACCTTCCTCATAGCATTGTTTCCAAAAACTGCAAACCAAGCTGCGACCCAAAGACACTATTGATCGAGAAAACTGCTAACAATATACATAGACGGCATGGAGGGACCGACAGAGGTTGGAGGCATGGACGAACTGGTGATAGCCGTGAAAGAGGAAAACCCCGAAATCGCATAATACAGATATGCGACTGGTGAACTCTGACTAGTCCTGCTTCATATGTAATAATCCTATGATGCTAGATTTCGAATCTTCGATCCATGATCGCACTTAATCGCAAGCGGTTCAAGTTCTCCACGACTGTTGACGAGAAGCTCAACTTGTGTACACAAAATCGGGTGCTGAGTAAGGAAATTATGTGAATGGATGAAGTACAGCACTCGGGGATTTGTGTCTGTTCGGGCAATTCGGGTACGCGTGAAGCGCTGCGAGGTGTCGAGCGTTAGCGAGCGCACCGAAGCAGCGATGAAATGCTCTCACAGTACAATATGAGATTCAACAGAGTGTAGCCAAGCATTACTTTCGAGTCGAGATAGTCTCCCGGGAAGTCCCTTCATGTAACTAAATAATTTTCGTAAAACATAGAAGAATTTCATACATGGAATTTATTCTTTGGGCTTCAAAGGAACCCTTCCAGTCAGTAGTCTAACATATTGTGCAATAAGACTCCTGCGCTAGCATAGAGTAATTAGTCGCTGGTGCCTCTTACATATCACCAGTGTATGCTATTGAGTTATTTTTAAGCTATGTCACGACTTATGCCACAAGGACCTTAGTCGTCTATTTTAAACATAAATTTCAAAGTGTAAACGAGTCCATAGTCCATAACTAACAAGGTCATACAAGGAGGCAGCAAACAACCTTTTTCTTACGATGAAATGCGAGGCAGGTAACGTGACTTCGTGTGTGTCCTCGCGTTTGGGATCGCGTCAACCCCACAATCCATATCAATCGCATGGTAACGACAGCAATACATATGGCTCGCGCAGCCGGTTTAGAGGAGGAGCTGAGCGACGATGATGCGTTTGAGGACAGACATGGTAGAGGGGGCGGATTGATGAATGCTGACCAGTATATCGAAAGTTTGTCACGGCCGCAGCTATCTCTCTGATCACTCAGCTAATGATTTCCAGGAGTGGTGGGCCCTCGTGACGATGATCTTACTAACTCAGACGTCGAAATCACAGAAGTGAGAGCGAAAAGGCGGGAAAGTGCAGAGTCTCTGCTTGGGGAAAAAGTCGGATGGTCTGATGATGATAGCGATAATGTTTACGAGAAATTTAAGTCTCGAAAGACTACCAAGCGAAAGAAGGTTGCAGCCACAAAGAAAAAGCTCACAGCCATAGCCAAAACTGCCGCTCTTGATAGGAAGAAGGCAAAGCAGACAGGAGAGCCAGTGAAGAAGAAGCAGAGGGTATATGGGGATGCCTCCGATGATGATCCACTGGATGATGATATCCCCGAATACATCCTCGATAGAAGAAGAAAGTTTGACAAGGGCCAAGAGAAGCTTGGAAGCGCTGGTCTTTGGCTTCCGCCATCTTACGATAGCATTGAATTTTCCGACGATGAGCGACTGGAGGAACTTGAGGAAAGACCGGATTTCCCTCCCAGCCTGGAGCGATCGCAACCTTACGAGGATGTTGTGCTCCCTAATTCGCTGGGTGTGATACCTGCATCTATTTCACAGTACCTAAGAGACTATCAAATTGAAGGCGTAAAGTTCCTTCACCATCTATTTGTGTTTCAAAAGGGTGGGATATTGGGTGACGATATGGGTTTGGGGAAGACCGTCCAAGTGGCTGCGTTTCTGATAGCGGCATTCGGCAAGACTGGGGATGAGAGGGATAACAAGCGAATGAGGAAGATGAGAAGAGCTGCCGGCAATCTCTGGTATCCTCGAGTCCTAATAGTATGCCCTGGATCTCTTATTCAAAATTGGATCAACGAATTGAACCGCTGGGGATGGTGGCATGTTGACAAATACCACGGTACTCCCAAAGAAAGAGAAGGGGTTCTTGATGCGGCAGCTTCAGGGCGGTTAGAAACCGTTGTCACAACCTATACTACTTACAGGAATCATATGGGACAACTTAATCTCATACCGTGGGATTGTGTCATAGCAGATGAATGCCATCAAATCAAAGAACGATCGTCTGCTACAACCCAAGCAATGAATGAAGTTAATGCACTGTGTCGGATTGGGCTAACGGGCACTGCAATTCAGAATAAGTATTCAGAACTATGGACTTTGCTAAATTGGTGCTCTCCCGGCAGACTGGGTCCGATCTCAACCTGGGAGAATAGTATAAGTTGGCCGCTAAAGCGAGGGCAGTCGTAAGTCATCCACTAATTTTAACATGCGTATGATGTTGACATCGCACAGCCACGAAGCTACTTTCCATCAACTGAAAATGGCGAGAGAGACAGCAGATAAGCTGGTCAATAATTTACTTCCGGAATTCTTCTTGCGACGAATGAAGAGCTTAATCGCTCATCAGCTTCCGAAAAAGACGGATCGTGTAGTATTCTGCCCTCTTACAGAAATACAAAAGATTGCATACGAACGTTTTCTTGACAGCGATTTGGTCGAGCTAGTTAAATACTCCACTGAATTATGTGATTGCAATTCGGGGAAACGACGAGGGTGGTGCTGCTACACTACCGCTGAAGGGAGTAACACAAGTTGGAAGGTATGCCTCTTGCTCTTTGGAAATATTGTTTATAGCTAATCATTGCAAGGCTTTGGTGTTTCCAGTGATCACCAATCTCCAAAAGCTAGCAAATCATCTCGCGCTCTTAATCCCTAACGCCAAAGACCCAATGGACAAGCAGGAGCGAGATCTAGAGTTTCTCAAAAAGATGGTACCAGATCGTTGGAGAGAGTTGTACGCCAACCGAGAATCTCTATTCAATCTAGCTAACCCTGATTTCTGCGGAAAGGCAAGTCAGCCCTTATAGCCATGGCTCAATCCTTCGGCTGACTCAAGCAGTGGAAATTATTGAAGAAGCTGCTGAAGCAATGGTACGACAGCGGGGATAAAGTTCTTATTTTCTCCCACAGTGTCAGATTGCTTAAGATGCTACACCATCTCTTCAATAACACAAGCTATAACGTTAGCTTTCTCAGCGGCGAAATGAATATTAACGATCGTCAGCAAACAGTGGATGATTTTAATTCCGATCCAAACCAATTCGTTTTCCTAATATCAACCAAAGCTGGAGGTAAGTCATGTTCGACTAACTTCTATTGTAATAACCTGCAGAACTCGCTCTAACGTGCTTTACACAGGCGTTGGCCTGAATATTACTAGTGCAAACAAAGTAGTAATTTTTGATCCAAATTGGAATCCGAGTTATGATCTCCAAGCGCAAGATCGCGCCTATCGCATAGGACAACTTCGAGATGTGGAAGTATACAGATTGGTATCTGCCGGGACAGTGGAGGAAATTGTATATGCACGCCAAATTTACAAACAACAACAAGCCAATATCGGCTACAAAGCGTCAATGGAACGGCGATACTTTAAAGGGGTTCAGAACAATGCAACTCAGAAGGGGGAGATCTTTGGATTGATCAATCTCCTCACCTTCCACGGTGATGATGTTGTGCTGCGAGACATCGTCAACAAAACCAACGTTGCAGAAGCCAAGCGCGGTATCGAGATGATAGAGCTCAATACAGATGAACTTTTAGACGACGATGATGATCCTTTGAAAGTTGACAACGACGACGGAAATGGTAAATGTTCATTTCTCAGCTTTGTCACTGCCTTGTGGCAATTCTTTTTGAATACCCGTTCGAATTTCAAGTATGTAAAGTATACTAACCCGGCATTAGGCGCAATGAGCCAACTCGCCGCTCTCATCGAAAAAGGCGAAGACCTGAAGACGGTCCCTAGCAAAAGTAAGACCAAGGTCGACCCGATAGCAGCAATTCTAGCATCGGCAGGAGTTCAATACACCCACGAGAATTCAGAAGTGGTAGGGAGCTCAAAAGTCGAAGAGGAATTAAGTCGACGAGCTCAAGAGGCAGGTAACGATGTCGATTACGGCGAGCAAAGACTCTTCTCGGAATCACAATCGCAGAGGGATGACCCAAACAGGATTCAATACGAGTTTCATCCACCGGAAGATGTTATGACAAGACAGTTTTGTACAATGGCTAAGACCTTTGGGTTCGATAATGCTACTGAGTTCGCGCTGGTCGTGGAGGGATGGACGCAGAAGCAACGAAGAGATTGCTTGGAGCGATTCTATATCAGGAGGAGGGCGAGGTTGACAGATCTAGGGATGGATATGAAAGAAAATAATGCGGATGTTACTGGCGATTCTTTTGGCAGCGCGTCAAGGTCGCGGGCAGCCAGCCCTCCTCGTGCTGGCATCGAGACGCAAGCCGAAAACAGAAGTGGGGTTGTATCCATTGTTGATATGGACACGAGAGTCCCAGATACTCCGCCCGATGTCGCAGCTGGACCTGACATCGGAAGCGAAACCGAATCAGACGAAGATGATGAACTTTAGGGATATACCCGGAATTAAGGCGGTAAAGTGCGGGAGTGTGTACAAATATGCTATTTGTTCAAGCCACCAATGCTATCTATGCAAAGACTCTTGCTTTCATCTCATGGTATAATGAATGCTTGGGGTATCACCAAATCTCCTCCCTGAATAGTACAACAAGACATCTACTCACTAGCAGAGTCATCTTCACTAGTAGCCTTCATTTCCTTCTTTTGCACGCCGGCTCCCTTGCCCTTGAGTCCCTTCTTCCCCTTTGCTCCTTTTCCTCTCAGTCCGATTGGGACTTCTTTCTTTACAACACCATCTTCGTACAATACACCAATGTCTGCTCGTCGACCAACTGCTTTCTTCCAGTACTTTTTCTCTAGGACACCTTCGGCGTTACCTACTGTAACGACGTTTCCACTCTCTGTTTTCGCCCAGGCGATTTTAGGCTCTTTTTCCATCACGGCGCGGAGGTCGATGTAGATTGATACATCGGCGTCGCTGGATTTCCTCTCCTCGGTTCCGTCCTCATTTATTTGGATACTTGCGAATTGCAAATGGGGTTGTCCACCGGCTCGCTTGATACCGCCAGATTGTAGGATGAGAGGGTAATTAGCGTAGGAAGTCTCATACACAATCAAGTCTGGCAGGTCCTCAGTTGTGGTGCTGAGAGGTGTAAGCTTTTGGGTTGTGGCGGAGGGGGTGGTAGAAGGAATGGCGGAGGCAATCATGCGGATCAGGTAGTCTGACTCGTCTGCTTCTTCTGCGTCGGAGTCGGACTTGAGCTTTACAGCGAAGCGGGATTTAGGTGATGTTACAACTGAGTGGAGCTCCTCGAATGTTACTTCGAGAGATTTGAGGTTTTCTTTCTCGAGCTGTGAAGAGAATCCGTTAGTGGGATGCTATTTTTCATGGGGGTCCAAAGTAAACATACGACATCCTCGCAGTCAACCCAGCCATCTGCATCGGCTACAAGTTTCTCCTCGGTACCCTCTTCTTGTTTCTCGCCTTCCTTGATAGTCCTCTTCAGGACAAAGGTAAGAGCTTTAGAGATGAGAGCCTCTCGGTCCTCGACAACTGAGTATCCACGACCACGTCCTCCCTTCTTAGCAACACTGCCACCGTGCTTGCTTCTACCATGGCGAGAAGAGTTTCCAGAAACAGGAGATGGGGCCATGATTCCGCCATCCAAAGAAAGACCTTGCATTGGAGTCATAACTGCTGCTGCCATTTTTCAAAAGAGGGTAAATGGGGCGGTACGTTGGTATAGAATTGGTGTACAAACTGGAATATTGGGTATTGGGTATCGAATGAATAGAAGAGAGTGAGATGGTAGAGTGGAATAAGTGCGAACGAAGAAGTTAAACTCACAAAAACCGTGAGAGAAAGGTACTCAGAAGTGGGCAGAGAAAAGATCAACATATATAGGAAACGCCGAGACACGTTGGCTACCCGCTGTCTCCGTATAATTCGATGAAGACAGGAAAGCAACGCCATCTCATCTGGCTTAGACCATTGTTCCCATGTCCTAAGCAGCGCCAAGACGGGGGTTTTGGAGCAAACTAACAAGATAATGCATTTACCCAGCTCGAGATGCATCGAAGATGCACCAAGTCATAGGCACCTGCTTGCTCTGTTCGAACATCCTTGTGGAGACATGGAGTCTTCGATCCTGTAAAGCGCTGCTCGCGTTCAGAAACCCAGAGAATTTAAACTCAGACATACATTATTAAAGCGGTGTGGATCCATTATCGGTCGGTCTGCGTGAACAACAAAGCAATACTGATGCTGCGAAAGCGCCTGAAGGCATATCATACATGAACCACGGTCCAGTTAGACCTCGAAATGTCCGCGGCTCGACCCGCTCTGAGATGCGTGCGACCTTCTTCTCCGTTCATAGAGATCCTATGGGGCCTGGCCGAGCGAATGATGTGAAACTAAGAGGAGGGGGAAGGAGCGGTGTACAGACCGTTTAGGCGATATGAATCACGTGCTTTGCCTCCTGGAGCGCTTCTGGCGGTATTTGTTTGGGTCCAACATTGACGGGTAATCCCAGAGTGGCAAACTCTATTATGTGTTGACTAATTTGAGGCATTTGAAAGCGCAGTAGCAGCAAAGGTGTGTTGTCGTTGTTTACTCGAGCGAGACGAGGTTGGGCTGAGCTGCGAGGTACCAACTTCCATGAATTTGACTTGTCAAGCTGCATGTAGCTACCCCTCACCCGTGATCATTGACCCCTCCCCCGTGACGAGTTACCCATTGTAGACTTGCTCACATAGAATGTGAGTGGCTCTTGACGTGTCCTGTACAGACAATTCGAGGAACTTCTTCAGCCGTTTCTAGCTCCTGCCGTTTCACGATCGATAGTCCAGTCACAGCAGTACAAGTTACACTGCCTAACTGTACCCAAGTACAAGGTGGCCTATCAGCTATCCCGTCGACTTTGGATAGAATGCGTAAAGCATGGGTGGGGTCGTCAGTAGCTACCGCACGTGTTCCTGTATTTGCGACCGGTTTGTCTTGTCTGCCTCTGCCTCTGCTTCATCATCGCCGTCAAGCCGAACCTCGTGGCCGTCTCCATCCTTGACAAAGTTGCTAGCAAAACAGCTGAGAAAACCGAATCCAGCAAGCACCCAAAAGGTAATTCCAACCACTCCATTTTTGAGACCCACTCCATATACCCATCCACTAAGGGCTGGTCCGACGGTTCTAGCCGCTGCTGATGCACTTTGCCCGATTCCATGCACTGTCCCAAGAACAGTGGGGTGCGGACAGCAGTTGTTAAGCAGGATCTGAGCAGCGGGAGCTGCAAACGTTCTCCCAAGAACAAACAAAAGTATTAGAGAGGTAAGAGTAAACCAAAAAATAAAGCCTGTCTTTTCCGCTGGCGGTGCAGAGGTTGATGGAATGAGAGCCAGGAACGGAGTCAGAGCGTAACAGATCGGAAAGCAATATAAGAATATACGCCAGGACCGCACTGTCCCTAGTCTTGTGTTCACTGCTGGATACACAACAAGCTGAAGAGCTATACCGACAAGGCCTAAAACTGCCATCGAAAACCCGATTTCCCGAGGTGAGAGACCTGTGCCGCCTGTAAAGACAAATGGCAGGTGTTGTGTGTAATCTGGACGTGATTGCGAGTCGTAGACTGGAGTCGAGAGAAAGGTATAGAAGACACTTTGAAAAGTCCCCATGCCGAGCGCAAGTAAAGCATGACTTATGAGTGTGCTTGTGACATTATATGTAAATATCCGTCGAAGTGACAAAGTGTTCGAATATTTGGGAGAGACTCTTTTTGTTGAATTCGCAGAGAGTGGTGATAGTTCGACAACAGGAGTATTTGAATCGTCGCCGTTGATAGGCATATATTCATGTTTCCCATTTCCGCGCTTGCCGAGCAGGCTTCTCCAGAGAGACGCAATTTTGCGACTGGAAATGACTCCGTAATCCTCCTGGTGAGTGAAATTTGCGTGAGTCTACACTTGTCAATTGGATACCATGTGCTAGGATGTACACAAAGCTCACCTCTTCCATGCCAAGCCACACAGCAAGTGACGCAGCCGCAAGTATCATGGCGCTCAAAATATTCGGTGGAGAATATGGATATTTTTCAAGCCATTTAACACCGCCGAAGAGACCAGGATATGCAGCCACTGGATCACTCGTTAGCCCACCTAGCATTGGCCCAATGATTACGCCAATGTTAGCAGTCATCGGAAGTATCAAGAACGCCCTTGACTGGAACCTTTCATCATTAGTATGGACACAACTTCTTCATAAGAAACTCACTTCTTTTCCTTGATGATCTCAGACACCATGGTTCTCATTACACCCACGTTACCGTTCAGAGCTCCACCTAGACTGCGAAATATCAACGCCTGGTAGAATGTGGTAGAGAAGCCGAAGCCAATACAGGACAAAGTTGCGCCAGCAAGACCCAAGAGAATCACACTCTTTCTTCCTCTTCGATCTGACATCTGACCCCATAATATTGCAGTACACAACTGGGCCGCAGCAAAGGCTCCAGTGATAATCCCGGCCTGGGTAGCAATTGTCGAATCTGGCAGAGTCTTGTCAAACGATTTTAGTTGGTAAAATATGTACGACTGTAGCATGTTAGACCGATACACATAAATGGTTATTGTCTCGGTAATCATTTTGTAAAGCCATCGTGTCTGACATTCTCTCACAAACGAGACCCCAATCTATAAGACACAGGGTTTTTTGTAGCAGCAGGCATCACTAACCCTTAAAGATGACTGCACCAACGGCTCTGATAATCTCGCAAACGTCAGGAGTGCAAGTTGACCCTTATGAGGAAGAGACATCCATGTGACGATTTGTCCCTCATCTACAGCCTGCGTCGATGGTGGGATCTCGAGCACCAACAAATTGTTGTTTCTTTGATCCGGAGGACTTCCCGGCAGGCTTCCTGCCTGTTCGGCATTCTTTTGTCGTAACAATTGAGCATTGCCCTCCGCGTTTGGCGTTGAGGCAAATCGGTCACTGCCGCTATCCGAAACGGTCGACTGGTGACGGTCCATACGATGAGAGCTTGACATAGCTCATAGAAGAGATAGCAACGGAGCTCGTTGCGGTCTTCAAGATGTAATAAACGTCAACTCGGCTGTTTGATGCCCATCACGGGCGTAACGGAACTGGATGCTTCATTATCGCCGCCACTTGACGCAATGAGGAATCGTTGGTATGCCCCTGTCAATCGAGTTGGCCGGCGTCGGCATGGAGTCGGCAGGTACATGATATGCTGTCCACGGGTAACATGATACGATGTATTTCTGACGAAGACTGCAACGCCTTCCAGGACGGGTTCGGTCAATTGCACTATGTGACATGCGCCTGTCAATGGAAGTGAGAGACAACGGGAGTGACAGCGACGGCGTACAAAATATTTCAGAGCTCAATGAGCGAATGAGCGGCACGGGCCAAGGGCTGGGCCGACGCGGAAGCGAGAAACCTGTTAACAACTTCAGAGTACATAGCGCTAGCATCTAAAACCATCATGAGGGCATGGTGAGAAGCTAAATTGTTTATGACGCTAATATAGAACGGCATAAAAGAAGTAATAACTTGACTCGGCAATCGTGCTAATAGTTCATAAAATCGATAAGCATTCGAATCCCTGACCTCTGAGATCTTTTGGGTATACTGTAAAAAGCATTAATTACATTACTCCCCTTCTATTAACATTCCTTCATTTCGTAGACCAGCAAAATCCAAAATATGTCCCCCACACAGCTCACTTAGCAAGTTCCATCAGCGTTAGCACCATAACCACCACAGCTTCCACCCTTGAAGCTACCGTTGGGACATCCACCAACAGCACAGATCTTGCCATAAGTAGCAGCGTAGCTGGCCAGCTCGTAGGTGTAACTCTGGCTGACAGAGTAGAAGTCTGATCCTCTGTATTGACCGAGGTTGGTGGCATAATCAGAGGCCCACGACTCGCTGTACATGGAGCAGTACATTCCCTCGGGTTGGTTGTTCTTGGAGAGAACATACACGTTGACTTGGTTGCAGACGGATGGCTTTCCAGTGGCAGGTGGGTGACGGCCATTGTAAGCGGTTTGCGCCTTGCAAGCAGTGGTACAGGCGAGAACACCCTGGGAGAAAGCCGGGTAATCGGTGAAAGAGAAAAACTTGTATCCCATATAGGTGTTGGTCTTGGTCTTTGGATCAAGGGGTGCGTTGAGAGCGCCACCAAGAACAGATGGACCGTTGAAGCCGTCTTGTGGCCCTGGTGGGGCAATCTTATTGTAACCGTTTGAGCCGGCAATGACAACCGAGAAGTTTCCTGGAATTTCGTTAGTTGGGTTGATCAGTGGACCGGGAGAGTTACATACCTCTGGTTTGACCCTTATTGACAACAGTTGCAGTGGAAACTGCAGCTCCCCATCGGACACACTTAATGTTAGTCAATGAAGGTGGGTTGTCGCAGCTAGCGTCATTGGGGTCCACGGTTGGATCACGTTCGTAGTAGAGGTTGAAGGCGGTGCAACCTTCTTGCTGATCACAGTAGACTTGACATGCGATTGGATCATACTTGTCGAGGGTCTTGAATCCTAGGTATGGGAGCATTGAGGTCGATGCCTTGAGGTTGCTGAAACCAAGAGTGTATCCTTGAGGAACGTTTGCTGGTAGAGCATAGAAGTTTGCCTTATCGGAAAACAGCTGGTAGTCCTTGAAGGTCTGGGCATCATCCGGACTATTACAATTAGCCGAGTTTTACTCTCAATGAGCATTGCTACTTACGAGACAGCTGGACCTGTTCCCGCTGGCTGAACAGAGCAGATTTGGCCTCTCTTGGAGAGGTTATCACCCTCATCTAAAAAAGATCGTTTCACAGTCGTCGCAACCTCGGTGACTGCGGCTTCAGCAGCAGCTACAACAGCAGCCTTGGGGAGAATGTCAACAGTGTCAACGCTGACATCAACTGGAACGACGACCGGGGTGCTGTCAGGAACTGCGTCGATTTGGTCGAACTCGATCTCCTGAGGACGAGGAGCTGCAAGAGCAAGAGCCGCAAAAGCGGAAACGATGATGGTGGAACGCATGTTAGCTGTAGCGAGGGTATTCTAAGATGGATGGTGAGGGACGAGATGAGGTTGATCGTTGCTGGATTAGGAGAACTGAGGGGGGGGCAACCGACACTTATAGAAATGTAAACACTCCCTAGAAAGTCAGTGAGCTGCTCCCTGGTCTAGCTAAAGCCACAATGGCACTGCAAGCGCCTCATTTACACAAAAAATCTATGGGTCCGTCTAGAAACGTGAAGAGCGGGTGAGGCTGCGTTCTCGTGGCAGGTCTGGCTTCACACGGCTCTGAAAGCTGCCACACGATAAAGAAGTGGTCTGAGAAGCATGTCCAGGAAACCCGACCCAACGAAAGAGGTAAGAGCCAAAACTGTAAATGTGCATTTTGGCGTAACTATTGATACAGTTCGATTGTGTACCCAAGTACAGCAGCAGATTGGTTGCAATCGACCTGCAAGCATCCCACGTCAAGTCCACATGGCAGCTGAATGACATTAGCTGGGATTTGGCTTTCATCTACGAAGTCAACACCCTGCTAGGAACGACTAAATTTGGAACAAGTGCCAAGAGAGACCGTCTTTTCTATCAACAACAATTCGGTGTTCGACAATTTGTGCCAAAATGGGAATCATACGCTTCGACAGCCAAGACTAAGTGTTTGAAAGCAGGCTAGCCATCAACAAAGCGGCACGCTTGGCCGATTTGAGCCACCTAGTTACCGAGCTCTGTCAATCTGTGAAGCATCAGAAGTATTTCGCATTAATTCTCCGAATGCTCAGCGACTGCCGGAAAAGAGTAACGCAAGTGCTGCTATCAAAACGCGGACTCCGTGGTGAAAAGAAGATAGTTGTGGCTTGAGAGCAGCTCACAAACATGATTTTGCCAAGTGCCTCCCCATCAACCTCGTATCTGAAGTTTGAGTTTACTCTAACCCCTCCTATGATCACGATGTACATTTAGACAGCTGCACTGGAGCCTCTGAGGTCTACTGCTACTGTGGCTTGCGCCGGTACCCCGGTGTTTTGGTCTGCATATATGATTTAAGAGCCAATGATAAATTCCGGTTCCGTATAGCAGAACAAGTCGACGAGTCATCCAAGTCGAGCTATAGCAACAGAGGAACCGACACAACACATCGGCGAGGTTCAATAAGTAAAGCATCCCATGCCCAGGTATGTACTCGTATGTGGTGCAGTTCGCAACACTTACGCCTTTTCACGGGCTTTCAAGGGCCCAAGGAGCTGAACACCGTCCAAGGCTTCCAAAAAAGGGTGAGAGGTCCGAAAAGGGCGCAACATGGTATTCTCGAAGATTTCCATGTCCTCAGATCTCGCGGCTAGATATTTTCTTTTCTTTTCCTTATAGGTTACTTCGCCGAGTTGTGTAACACGGTTGTGTTCAGCTCGTATACAGTAAAAGCCTGACTCCGTGAGCCCCAGGTTCTGGAAGAGTGGAACTGAAAGCAAAAGTCTGGTGATCTGGGATAACATCTGCTCGCATCAGTCGATCTCCCGTCCATGACTTTGGAATTGGGAAGCTGGGCTGGGATATTGTTTTGACCCGACCTGCTGAATAGCCTGGATGCCAGTGGATATTGCTGAGATCCCCTGCAGAAGCGCTGCAATAGTGTTGTTTAGTGACTCGATAGCACATAGCCCTGGCCGCAGCTTTAACCAGATCCAGGTTGGGCCAGAGATTGCACCAACACTTACAACGCACCGGTGAAGCTCCAGCAAGCAGCGTCTACGATCTCGTGCATTATAACCTGACCGCTTGTCGATGTGCTGGGCTGCCAGAGCTACTCCTGTACCTAACAGGTGGTCCGCGTTGATGAATCACCGTTCGGGGTTGGAGATGAAGGGTGCTGGCGAGAGATGAGGTTGGAGATCAGATCGGAGGTTGACGATTTTCCTCGCTTGCTGGAAAACGCACGGGCCACGGAGCAATTGCACGTCCATATTTAGCTGAGCCCCAGTTTGGTGAGCCTCCGGTTGGACACAAAGTCCGGGCAGATATCGGACTGTCCTAACATGGCAGTACTAGGCAGTACCAAGGTACAAGCACGAGTATTGTCTGGTTGACAGCACTTCGTCCTCCGCTCCCGTACCTCCGTACCTCGTCCAACACGAAATAGCCCCCCCATCTCTAGCATCTCAAGACCTCTAGTTCTAGCCAACACCCTCTCATCTCGAACCACGTGCTAAGCCCAGCTTCCCAAAATTGTCAAGGCACTTGAGCACCTACCGTGTTCGTACGGGGTAGCGAGCACAATGCAGTATGTATGTCTAGCCCTGTCCCATTCCGTTTGCTGGAGAAGAGGGCAGTTTTTCCGGGCCTCGAACAATCCCATGCTTTCAGCCGGGAAGTTAACAACACTATTCTTTCCAGTGTTTCAGCGCCAGAGTGAAAAGCCTCAAAGCCTTCTTTGGGACCGTTGTTATCGGCCAAAGACTAGATGCGTCTGGCTGAGGGAATCAAACCTCAACACGTTCGGGGTCCGCGGTTGCATATTATTGGGAATGCAATGAAAGAGTGCTGTGTACCGTTTCAGCTGCCGCCTGCGTTGCATATAGCCCTATGCACATTGCCAATGTAACGATTTCTGGTTGCGAAGTATCTCTTGGCTCGAATTAGCGTGATAAAATGCATAAGGTACTTACTAGACGCCGAAGATACTTCTTCCCCGAGAGGCAGTTATCGTGGTGTGCCTGCTGGGTACGAAGGACTCGGAAAATAAGTACGTACCCATGAGTATACGTGTCGCGGCCACAACGAGCGGCATTGATACGATGCGCTGCTAAGGCACTAAAAGTCGATAAGGTACGTGAAGTTTCTGATGAAAGGGGAGAGTGTAAAAGTTGCAAGCGAGAAGCTACCCAAGGTAGCTGTCAATTCAATGCTATTCATGAAGCGTTGAAGCAGGACACGACACTCACTTGACAATCAGCCGAAAGTCCGCCAATTTTTAACATCTATGCGAATTTTGCTAATCTATGAGTGAGAAAGGAAACTCGTACATCAGTCATCGCATCGTTACAGTCCCTCCTTCGCATGGCGTCGCCAAATATGTTACTATCTGCGAGCTTGTAAAGCTCTGGTATCAAACAGCTGGCCTCTCCGTTGATCCCACGCCGCCATTTGTCTGTCCCTCAGGCAGGTACTCTCCGATACCAGCTTCAACTTGTTCAGCGCAGTCCATTCGCTTGAAGGCCATGTCAACTTGGTGGTCCCAATCACTCCATGCAACGACGATCCATTCGAGAGCACCGACGAGATAGAGTGCGATACATTGTCCAACCCAGAGACCAGCAAGACCCCAACCATGGAACGCAAGCCAGATTCCAAGTGGAAGGGCTCCCATGTAGTAACTGACAAGATTGACCGCGGCACCAATATGTTGTCTTCCCATTCCTCGCAGACTTCCACCACAGCTGCCGTTGAGACCGTCTGCAATTTGGAAGAGTGCGACGTATGGCATGACCTCTGCTGTAAGTCGCACAACATTGACATCATCATTGAAGATTTTAGCATAGAAGTCTTTCACTGCCATGAGAACAATAAGCACCAACAGACCCATGAACATGCTTAACCACGCAGCAACATTTGCGGCTCTGGCTGCTCCTTTGGCGTTTCTAGCACCGAGAAGGTTTCCGACTCGGGCAGAAGCTGCAACACCAATGCCGAACGGTATGGTATTCATGACCTGATCTGTTGTCATGATAACGCTCTGAGCAGCGAGAGGGATTGTGCCTAACCGGCCGGCAGCTAGTGCAACAATCTCGAAAGCCCACCATTCGGTACCAACGTGTACGACTCCGAGAATGGCCAACCTAGCAAACGTGCTCATGTTTTGGAGGCACGCTCGGGACCAACCACCCCAGCATCGAGACCCCGCAACGAAGCGCGCATAGGCGACCAGCAAGAGAAAGGAGATCCAGTAAGAAAGTCCTGTCGCGAGAGGAGCACCAATGAGATGGAGCTTGAATGTGTAGACAAAGAGGTAGTTGAGACCGGCGCTGAGGGGCGAGGTAAGTAGAAGTACGTACGTACCGGGCCGCATGATCTCTGATATGAGTTAGCGTTGATCAGACTGACGGAATGAGTCTCATACCTTGTGCTTGAAGATACTTCTTCATGGTTTCAAAGTATACGTATCCCAGCCCACCTGGGATCAGAGCTGTCAAGAACTTGGCGCTATCAACACAAATATATTCTTCTTGGCCAAGTAGTCGAAAAACTGGGGCGGAGCACGCCCACAAAATCGCAACTGGAACATAGAAAGCTGTAAGAACAATGAAAGATCGCTGTAACAATACCCCAAGATCGTGAGGGTTTTTGCTTCCTGTGAACGTCGACGATGCTAGTGTATCGAGGGCGGTGGATCCTCCTAACGCAATCAACCAAGCTGTTGACATGGCGAACATATAACTAAATGCAGCTGTAGCAAGAGCCTCCGGACTCAATCTACCCACTATCAAGACTGATATTGTTTGTAGCGAGTTCTGCAAGGTATATGCGAGGATCACAGGAAGTGACCCTCGAAGCAAGAGAAGGAATTCTGATAGCCATTGTTTCGTCTTTGATGTCTCTTCATCAACTTCGTATGTTTCTCCTTCGGTGGCTGAGGAGGATACTGATTGACTGTTTGCCGGTTTGGGAATGAGGGGTTCCCGCTCGTTTGGTGGGGTAGAAGTAGGTGAGGATTTGGCCTGAAGAAACTTTGGCAGCCATGACTTGGAGTCGTTTGGGTTATCCATGTTTGCAGGAGGATCTCAAGATCAATTGAGATGGCAATTGAAGGTGAAGTTGTAGGGAAGTAGAACAATTACGACTCTCACCACCCTTTGTCTCTTTTGAAGATCTTGATTATCCGCCAGCGGACATGATATCTCAGATTGCATGACAGAACTTTTGGTAATATGGACAAGGGAAAAGTAGTAACAAAGACGTAAAGGTATGAACAACGAATACTCGCACCATAAGGACCAGTAAGATCTGCAATTGGGAGGCAGTTGCATTCGCCATCGAAGAAAGCTTGCCCCAGTGGTTCGGCACCATGGCACGCATCCGCGAATGGAATCACGGAAATTGGTCAATGATATAAATGATGGAGGAAACGACGATGTTTTGTGGACAGAAGACTCGGCCGAGTGCAGCCTAAGCGGACGCTATGCTGCATATTTGTAAGTTGAAAGGCAATTGTTGGATGAAAAAGTTACCTTATCTCTGGCTGAGCGAGATGACATGTATCTTTGACGAATAGCGTGTCGTAATAGTTGAAGCGTGCTGCACGTGAGGATGGAGGAATACTTACATAAAGCTGAGTCCTTGCTTTTACACATAATATGGAGATAAATCGCAAAGATGGGATGGCCGAATTTCATAAATGGAGGTCGCTATCGATAGGATGCGGAGAGAGATTGTTGTTGATGAGAGACTGGAGATGGATTTTAGCTGGGCAGCTGGGGGACTCGGGGTTTTGTCCATAGCAGGGGTCTTAATCACGAGATGTTCATACGTCAAATTCGAATTCAATCTGGATTGATAATGGAATATGTAATTAGATGTTGAAATTATGCCTTTAGTCCCTATCCATGGTCTAAGTATTCCAAATCTATCGAAGGTTATTTCTTATCGCCAGTGTACCAGTAAATCCTAATTCATCAATCATTTGGTGCGGAGCTTGCAGTGGACAAAATAAGTGGCAGTCGAAACACGATAGCTTCGCTGTATGGGAGTTGAGGAAGTATCGTATACCCATCACATAATCCGTCCATCATTTCAAATGTATGAATTACGTGCTCAAGCTCTATTCGAAGTCGACTTATTCAGTCTCAAGATGGCTGGCTCTTTTCCGCGACGAAGGTAGGTCGCTCACGAATTAACAGACTTCAACTCTTAAACCTGTCGAGTGAATAAGTATCTTTTTAGTTTCCTTCCCCAAAGCATATACTATCCAAACCTAGGCAATGTACCTAATTTAGCAATATGACTTGCATGTCGTTTGAAGACCTCTTCAGTCACATGTACTCACGTGCCTTGCTCGAACGACCGTTTGTTTTTGTAGGCATAGTGCTCTGCCGAACAAGTGCCCCTCATTTTAGAGTTAAAGTGAGGATTTCGAGGGGATTCGAGATGTCTCCTTCGCCGTTCTAATCAGGCATGCGCAAACAGATTTGGCGATACTGAGCGGTTTCGCGGAGGACAAAATAAGTATGTCAGTCGCCTACCCACGAATCTTGAACTGAATGATAAGTCGACTTCGAGTAGAGCTTAAAAGTCTTGTTTTCTTAAAACAATTGACGAAATAGTAATAATGTTCCAAGTTAATACACTAAATATACGATATTTCGTCAACGTAATTGAAGAAATGTCGTGGTTCGACTGCCACTTATTATCGAAATCACTATTTTGTCCTCCGTGAGGAAAAGTGTCACGAGTGAGGCACGTGCGCAGCTCGTCGTTACAGCCGCCCCTATTATGACTCGCTACCTAAGCGAGGCATGACCAACCTCCTGGTTAAATAAAAAAGTTCTGATTTCGTGAATACGTACCAGGAAAATCGGAAAAAAATAGGAAAAATTACCAGAACCCCCCCAGTGTACTCTAGTGTTTTGTAAATTAATTTGGATGCCATAGGTATTGCCGTTGTCGAGGTATCTCGAGTGTGTAAAATCCGTCCAGCGCGTGAATGGGTGACGAAAACGAATAATTATTTTGGTTGTGGATCAAGCCACTAACTGAGACCGTGTATTTCCAAGACTTTCGGCCTGTTTGTACTCCATAAAAAGCCTTCATCCGTGCTGTACCATTGGCTGTGCTGAAGTGACGCCAGCACATTTTTCAGGATAGTGTATATAATACAAACATTTTAGGTGAATGTACATTTAAGATCGCGCTATTCGCCGGCCTAGGATGTCATCAAAAATGAATCAGAGTCTCCACCGAATCCCATCGAAGTCCACAAAGTCCAATGGAAAGCCCCAATTCACCTCGACGCTCCAAACCACTAGCGCCAAATCCACCTCCCATGAAGTATAAAGATCTCGCTCCCCTCTGTCCATTTCCTTTTCTTTTCTTCTTTCTTCTTTAGCTCTCTTTGCCTATTGGCTTAGATCAAGTGTAGTATCTGTTCTTTTCAGTTTAATCTCTGAAAGTTGACTACGGTCAACACAAAGATTATACTTATTTTTGTACCTCGGAGAAGAACCGCCAGGCTTGCCTGTGTTCCTCGCCACTGTGTTCTTGGTCTTACACTGCCTCCAAGTAACGCGACCCATTTTCATTACGCCTTCTGCTTGTCAGGATCGTGAAGAAGATGTTGAGATGAAGGGGAGGAAATGACAGAAGAGTACGCTGGTCTCCAGAATACTACTGATTGTCATGTCCCTTGGTCGATTTAATTTTCAGTAATCAGAAACTGTGGATGTTCTGCGAGATATTTGGGTCTTATCGTTATGGAAAGGATTCGTTGGATTCGTCGGATTCGCGACCTTGTAGTTAGAATAACTCAACAACGAAACCCTACATATTATCGAGACTAGACTACATGAAAGAGCGTTCCTTTCTTTCTATGCTGGTATTTTTCACCATTTTAAAAGAATGTGCTGGTCGAGGTAGATCGAGAGATTCAACTTTGTCAAATCCAGCGAATTTTCATCACCGCGCGCCATCGTTGAATCGATCTCGTTCTCGGTTGGCACCTATGGAGCAAGTAGCATCTAATGAGCAAGCGAATGATAATTTACGAGTAGCACAGTATTATCTTCCCATCGATGAGAATGCACCATCATTCCGCGTGTTGAGCAGCAGCAATTTGAAAATTTTCACCATCCACCGAGGTACTGCCGCGATCTAGAAATCCTGGATCACGACGAAACCAACAGCAGCTGGCTCCGAATCAAGATGTACCTGGACGCGATTAAAATATAGAAATAAGGACACGAGCATCTCGCAGTAAGGACAGAGCTGATCGTCGTCGTCATTATGCCGGTCGAGGCGTCGCACTCTATTTAGGTACAAAGGGCATCACTTCCGATCTGATCTTGTCTCTTGCTACAATGGAATATTAAGATGTGTACCTCTCCTCGATAGTGGGCTCGATATATGACAGTCATGCTACCAGCTCTGCCCAGATGGTTGAATATAAACCTTCCGAACGAGGATCCCTCAGGTGGGCAAGATAAGTGCCAGTCGAAACACGATATTTCTTCGATTATTTTCAGTAAATAGGATTTCAGCAATTTAGAGTCTATTTTTTTAAATTAACTCGCGCGCTCCAAATCCAACTTCAAGCTGACAGAATAGACTGGGAAATTTGCCCCTCAAATGGTCCTCTGCGAGGACGCTTCGGCTCTGCCAGCAACGCGACGATAAATGCGCGGAGTACAGTCTGCTACTAAAAACCCTCCCTTCGAGCACCAAACGCGAAGCAAATACCCCTCTTCTCCACGAACTTCGCGACCTAGGGTTGTCATTGCCCTTCTCCTGGTCCTCATCTTCACGCTCCATGCTTGAACGAAGACAGGATCTGCGATTCTTATTCGTATAAGCTACAAGGGAAGGAACACATTGCACTGGACGAGTGATTGATGAGGAGGCATACATGGCGGATGAGGTTAGGGAAATGATGGCGAATTTGTTAGGGACATTGGAGGTTTTGGCACCAACTCTTAGCCATCAATATATTTCCGACTCTTGAGGGCAAATTCTTTCGCGCTCCAGTTGTTATAGAACATGCGAAACAAACATATAAAACGCAAGGCTCCAAAATCAGATTAGGTCTGTTGAAAATTAACTTGTACAAATCGCCGGCAGATAATCAAGATAAGTAGGACCTTGGAATAAGGAAAAGTACTACCATGGCACTATTCATATCATATTACTCTCATGCGCTTCCATTTCACCTTTCGTTGCCCCGAATAAGGTCCGCTTTTCAACCACAAGACACCGTCCGGATATTGACGGCAGTGGAGAAGAGTATTTGATAACCTGGAACGTTTGGTTGACGACGCTAGGCTGTACATGAGGAGGATTCTACTGAATTGGGCATCGAATGGCTTGAGGCTATTGATAGTGATCCTCATCATTGAACGCTTTGATGGTATGTGTTGCTAAAAAAGGATTGTTACAGAACTGAAGAGACGACTAGTTCGATCTCCAAAATTATTATGGCATGCAATTTATATTTCCTTCCCTTTCAAGCATAATCTGACCAGAATTTTCAGGATTCGAGACTTGACTGCACAGCAGCCTAATCAGAAAATCGCGTCTTCAACAATCTCACACTCTCATCGCCTGCCCCGCCAGCTACCAGCGCCGCTTCATATGCCAGTCTATACCTCTCCAATGCCCTCGAAAACAACGGTCTGCTCTCTTTCCAACCCGTGAGATTCCTCAACTTCTCACTCCCAACCCACTGACCAAACCCAAATATCACACGAGCAAAGTTGACATCCGGACGATCGCCCTCTGGCCAGACATCTGGTTTGAAGATCGCACCACCTTCGATCCCGTACTCTCTGACCAGACCATCGGCAGTCTCTTCAAGTGTCTCATAGCGGTACGAAGAAATATTGAAACATTCTCCCCGAAACTTGGATCGTTCTTTCAAGCCCAGCTCTACCAGAGCGACATATGCATCGCCGCAATCGTCGACATGCATCGCATGGAGAATAGTTTTTGGATCCTCATCGAACTCGAGGACACCTTTCTCCTTGGCCTCGACGGCCTTCTTGAAGAAAACGGAGTAATAACTCGAGCCTAAGCCGTACACATTAGTCGGGCGAACAACCGCCGCATCGAAACTCTCAAAACAGTCGAAGATTCTGAGAGCATAATTCGTGCGATTGGCTAGAACGGGTGGCGGATTGAGTGGTGATGTCTCCGTGTGAGGTTGCAAGTTGGGAGTCTCAGCATTAACACCCTCCATCCAGCCATAATCCTTACAACCGCTCGTAAATATGACCAGAGGTTTCTCCTTTCCAGCTGAGACTGACAACTCAGCTGCCTTCCGCAAAAGCTTTACGGTATCCTCGTAATGAGCGACGTAGTTGTCAAGCTGCTCTGTAGTTGAGACGACCGCTTCGAATGTCACGCCCTGAGAAGCGAGCTTGTGGAGGAATGGAAAGGTTTGATCGCAAAAGTTCCCAACTACAGGCATGACTTCGTCTCGTGCAAGAGCTAGCGTGTGTCGGTCTGAACGAACAAGACCGTATGTATTCCAGCCTTTACGTGCGAACGAGCGTGCTACTGCTCCTCCAATGTAGCCATTTGCTCCGGTCACCAGGACGCTTTTGCTGGTTGGATCGTTGGACATGGCGAAAGTTTGCTCGTCCGTACAATAGTAAAGCTAAGTCAAGTTGGTGGATTAGCACAAAGTATAGTTCTCTGGGGATCGAAACAGACCTAGGGCTTCCCTTCAAGATATAAATAATATTAGCATATGCCTCACAATGACGATCTAGCCTTATACCACGCCAAGGTTGTAACAAGCCAAATTTGTATAAAGTGACGTTCTAGTGCCGTTCAGATTATGTTCAAGTTACTCGGTATTTCTTCACAACGTGGCTTTCGAAGCAAAAGATCTCGGGAGATGCAGTGCTTGTTATCAACGCTGTAGAATGACGATCTAGCGTGCTTCTTGGCCAGGGATTATATCACCCCAAACATTCGGTGAGATCTTTCCCCAGCTTTATTCCCTTCCCAAGTTTTCGAAAGAAATTCGGGTATTACAGTTGTAGGAAGCTGATGGAGGTAGATTTAGGAGGAGGTACACCGCGTGCTTTATATAGTAGTTGTGTATTTATGAAGTTGCTGCAAAACAACCAGAACACCTTTCCCCATGTAACAAGCCAAGAAAGGATGCATGTCCCCTCCTCGTCTCTTTGGACACACAAAACAAAACAGCAGGTATTTATCAATTGCATTGCAGGATATCTGGTATTCTAGACAACTTGCCCTAACTCATTAAACGCCAGATCAAGCGCCAACCCCTTCGACATCCAACCCATAATGGACGAATGTTAATACTACGTGGTATAACCCAGAACTCCCAACGCCTTTTTTAGCGCCTCTCCAAAGCCAAAACCTTTCGTCCTTTCCAGCCATCACTTATCTCCTCCATTGTCATTCACTGCATCTCTTGATGCGCTTCCCGTATTCTGTGCTTGAGTAGGCTTCGATCGCATCGACTTATCCTTCCCCGTCCCATCCACCCATGCCTTCACTTTGGCTACTTCAAGATTCTTTGCTCCTTTGATATCATACCCCATTGAGCCAATCCTCCTTTGATCATCTTTGTGCAGTTTCAATGTATCCTCAGGACAGATCATATCCATGGAGAGCAAACCTCCAGCGGCATTGACACCAACATCTTTGATATTGCGGCCGTATAGTTCTTGATAAACCCTCTCCAGGATGTAATCCGGTACGCCCATACTCAGGAGCTCATCCAATCCCTTGAAGTATTTGAGTTTCTCGGCGTTCGTATGCTTGGCACCCATATTGGCACTGACTATGTTGGCAGGGTCATAATAGACGATTGCCTCCAGAGGATCAACTCGTACACCCGGGAGTATAATCATAACTGGCTGGCAAGTTCGAAGACGCGGCGCGTGCATGTTGAGAGCGTCATAATAATCAAGATCGATTTTGGCATTAACACGGAAAATATAACCGAAGACGCAGAAATCATGGGGGTCACGCCTTTGGATTGGACGAATATTTGGTTGATCTGGTATAATTAGCATTTCCATAGAATTGGGGGGGTGGGTGGAGGGTGAGTACCAAGAATGTTCAGATGCCATTCCCAATCTTTTAAGAAGCCAACTCCAACGAATTCGGATCCAGGATAAGCGACAAGAAATTCTGTATACCGAAGATGATGGTTGTATATAAAGAGGTATTCGCCCAACAGCAAGCCATTTCGGTCTTTGCGGTATGGAGCGTTGTGGAGGACACTGTCTAGATTCTTAGGGTCAAAATTCTCCATTATGATTTTTGAGCGTGGTGCGGTTTGACTCAAGAAGACGTTCTGAATGGATTTCTTGAGATTTAGAATGCAGGATCTCGGGAATGCACTGAAGAACTACGGTTGACTCGAGGGTTCTTGAATGCGCAGAGGACAGGAGAGGCTCCGTAGATCGGTTTTGTTAGATAGGTCTGTAGCGCTCCGATAATTCACCAGTGACTAGATTGTTTTCCAATAAAGTCGATGTGCCCTATTTCAAAGGTGAAAGCATAGACATTCACGTCTACTAATCCTAATCATCAAACAAGTGAACTTGTAAATTATCGCATAACGAATTCGAAGACATATCCAGCTTTTCTCCTGCAACGAACATAATTCAATGGCAGATACTCCGATGACAACAAAAGTATTCACTAGGACGAACAGTAGATGTCTTCATACACCAAGGATCGGGAGCAAGTTTTGCTCTCATGAATATCGACCATGTTCCCAGGCACGAGGTGTACTTCCCAAGATAGGTTTTCTGCCGGAAGCTACGACCTGTGTTGGAAACCAGCTCTCAATACTGTATGAAGCAGAAAATTTCAGAAGGTCGCACCTAAAGTTGCTTTTTGTGTCACTAAATCCGTATATACTCTTTGGCGGCTTGTTGCTGGCTCCTGTGTTGGTTCTCGTCCTTATTCTGAGATGTGTGCTCTACATCCCCAAAGCTAACGTTCTACTGAGAAGAGGAGAAGAGGACACCAGGGTGACTAACGGCGTTATGTGAACCATGCTAACTATGATTATAACTTCGTAAATCCCTCTTTCGGTGGCTGTAGCCAATTCCTCGCATCGTAATCCGCTCCATCTCCTTCAATGACATGAAATGTGTAAATAATTCTCCCCTTCTGGCTAACATTCTTCTCACTCTTATGCAGTAAGTTCCCGTGTATCAACACGAGAGTTCCAGCCTTCACCTCTCCAAGTTTATATTCTCCATCGGCTTCCGCGGCTTCTGCCGTCCGGTATTTTTCCCCTGGCGGGAATTTCTTGCCGGTCGTATCAATAAACTCCGTCCCAGATCCATCTCCCTTTCTCACAAATCTTTTCTCGATGGCTGCGCCCCTGTGGCTTCCCGGTAGGAAGCTAAGACACCCATTCTCTACGGTCGCATCCTCCAGAGCATACCAAAAACCAACAGCTGAAGGCGGATCTGTATACAAAAATGTCGAGTCTTGATGCGGCGGTACAGCACCACCGATTTCAGGTTGTTTGCAAATAATCATACTTTGCAGACATCTAGGGTCTCGAAAGCCCAAGGACCGGGCAATGGCACTGGGAGAATGCGTCGAAGAGGGAGAAAGTAGGGAGGCGAATGGCGGGGAGAGGACATGAAGATAATGGCCTATTTTGTTTATCGCGCGGGATTTGGGTTTGGTCAGTTTGCCGGAGGCATCGAATGCATCTGAACATCGTTAGAGTCTGTAGAGGTAAGGGGAGACTATGGAGCGGTACCTTCTTCGAAGAAGAATCGGATCTTGTCACCACTACTCAAGAAATAATCGTCGCCGACATGTTCGCCATCTTTTCCTTCTCCAGTGGAGAATTTCGTCATGGGATGGTCATCAAGTGAGAAGTTGTCAAGCATAGAATGTGTTTCTTCTAGAAGAGAGGCAACAGTCGACGGGCCTAAAGCGTCGGGAATGAGTAGATAACCATCTTTATCGAAAGTTGCAAGCTGCTCTTTAGAAAGCCCTTGGGAGACTTCAGATTGAGGGCCTGGAGAAATGCGAGAAGGAGCCATAATAATATATTTGTATGCAAGACGAGGCGATAGAGCAGTACGCTGTACCTGGGTAACAAGGTAGTCAAAAGGTGGGGTACTGCTGTGTTGTACGGTAGCAACTTTTCGGTTGATAACTCAGCCCTATAAGCCCCCGCGCTGTATTCAGATATATTTTGTATCGTCTTACCTTTTTATGGAAGAGGTTGACGGGGAATTGAACAACTTGAGACGTGACCTGGGAGTCTATTTGGTATGCCATCATATCTGGGCTCATGTGATTGCTTGCTTCATTTCGCAAGCTTTCAGCCAATTTTGGCTCTTACCTACTTGAATAGACAGCAATCTGGAATCTGGCATTGCAGGTAGCAAACAAAACGTTTACCAAAAAAGAACCACGGGCAAACGGAACAAACACATGTGAAATGCAAAAAAGTAATGATGCTGACTCAGGGGTTCGAACCCTGGCTCGTTTCCGAAGCGGTGTTCAGATTGCTAAATTTCTCGCGAAATCCAGATGACTTAAAACCGCCGCCTTAGACCACTCGGCCAAATCAGCTTTTGATTGGCTAAGAACTTTGTATTCTTTAATATATAATCCTAATTCGTAAAACCCCACCCCACTTCATAAGCACATTTATGGATATCTTGTTCGTTGTTCGAAAATTCGTCTTATCGTCTACATCCCAAAGGGCTGGGATTTGTTGCTAGTATTAATCAAAAATGGCTACAAGACCACTAGTCACTATATTCAATCAGATTTTTCTGCAGCACGGAATAGCTCTAGAACAATAGCCTCCTCTTCCTGTCGGCCAATAATAATTCATCTCACTAATTTCAGAGGAATCTGTTGTCCAGCTACCTTAGGCACTGATTATTCAAAGGGGCATGAGGCTGGTAAATTTTGATGCTACAATACCAGAAGTTCAACAAACAAGGTCCGAATTTTGCAATGCACTTATTGCAGATTTATGACTATATATTAACTACAAAACGTATTGGAACCGTGAACGAGCTATAGATATCACTATTGGTTCCTACTAACAAACAGCGGTAGAGAACTGAATGTATGATTAGAAGCCCGTCCGGAGAGACGCGTATCCCCTATGCTTCGTGAACCGGTGAGATTATCTCACAAAAGGGGAACCGCTTTTCCCAAAGATTCAATTTTTACCATTCGCAGCTCAATAATTTCGTCGGCTGCCATCAAATCCCCTGAATACACCATGTTTGCAAACAAGAACACTTGCTTAACCCCTAGCGTAAGGGTGGAATCCTCGCTGTCCGCCCCTGCCGCCACCACGATAATTCGCACCTGGTTTACCAGCATTCTTTGGACCGGTTGGAGCACCAGCTGGTGGGGTACTGGCTGGGCCACTTTGTGGAGGTGCAGAGCCGCGATTGCTTCCACTTGATCCTCCCCTGCCACCCTGAAATCCTCCTCGACTAGCCCCTCCACTTGGGACTGCTGGTTGCGGGACATCATCATACATGCCCTCCCATGAAGTTGGACCACCTGCGCCTCCCATACCATATCCTCCACCACCATACTGTTGATCACGACCACCTCGTCTCATCTGTTGTTGCTGTTCGTATTTCTGCTGCTCGAACATCTGTTGCTCATAGGCGTTGTAACCAGGCGTACCCATCCGACCTCCAGGATTAGTTCCAGCAGCATTTCCAGATCCCATATTCGCACCTCCACCCATACCTTGCATCCCCATTTGTTGCATTTGCTGCATTTGTGCCATCATCTGAGGGTTCATGCCTTGCATGCCTGCCATAGCGCCCCCAGGACTCTGAGGGCTCTGACTTCGAGCACCGGCACCAGCACCGGCAGCGGCACCGCCTTGCATTTGCTGCTGCATCTGCTGCATCTGTTGCATTTGCATCATTTGCTGCATCATCTGAGGGTTCATCCCATTAGGCATCCCAGGCATGCCTCTACCCATAGCCATTTGTGATTGCATCATTGCAAAATATTGTTGCATTCGCTGCCAGTACTGTGCCATTAGTTGCGGAGTCATACCACCCGCACCGCCCATCTGTCCCCCGCCATTCTGCGGCGCTTGCTGTTGATGTTGTACCTCCTCGTTACCACCTTTACGGAAACGGCCCCCTACACCTCCTCCTCCTCTGTTCCCACGGGCTTCTTCTTCTTCGCGCATATTGCCACGTGGCTGAGCTTTCTTAACTTCAATCGGTTTCCCAAGGATTTCAAGAGGACCTTCGAGACATGCCTCAACAGCCGCTTCGCTGTCGAATGTAACGAACCCGAAGCCTCGAGGTCTGCCAGTATCTTTGTCCATCATAAGCGTTGCGTCTACAACCCGACCAAATTGCATAAAGTACTGCTTGAAATCTTGTTCTGTCGCTTCCTGGCTAACACCACCGACAAAAATCTTGCTCGTGCGTTCTTGCTCATCTCGAGGAATCGCTCTTTTAGGGTCGATCTTGAAATTTCACATTAGCATGGCTTTATGAGAAACAAATGAAACAAATGTCTCAAAATAAACAAAATGTATGTTATGAACACCTAACTTACGATCTTGCCATCAAGGTAATGCTCCTTTACCATCACAATGTTGACGGTGCGAGCATCTTTAAATGTGAGGAATCCAAATCCTCGTGATCGACCTGAGGCGCCATCTCGCATTACTGTGCACTCCAAGACCTCACCAAACTGTGAAAAGTATTCCTTCAATGACTCTGAGAGTTGTCAAGTCAGTTTCTACTATTGTATCATGAATTCCTATATGCTTACCATCCGTGGTCTCCCAGTTCAATCCACCAATGAACATCTTCCTATAAGAAACAACTAGTCAGCAACCGAAAATTCTAAAGCATTCCCAAAAAAGCCACAGTTCGCTCTACTATAATGACAGTGGTGCTAGCTGCAACTCCTCAGCTACGTTGCTGCCCGCTCATGATCCCTTGCTCTTCAATGGCCCAACTCCTCGCTTAGGTCCTCGCTCCAGCAATTCCAGAGCGTCAAGGATTCATTACTCAGAGCAAGCAAGCTGGGCATATCCGTGAAATTTGAAGCTTTTCGTGCTATTGTGAGGACGAGCTCTGGTTGATGAACTTCAATGTCGCGGCTTCAATCCATCCAATTACTACATGACACAACAAAGTTGTCATTCAATTGAAAGCCAGGGAAGTCATGAAATGAAGGCTGACACCAGAAGATCCAAGATCAATCGTATGTTTTGCTATCGTCATGCTAGGTACTGATGTCGTGCGCTAGACGCTGCTTTCTCTTCTATGCCTGTTCTGGCAAAGTTTGAAGCTCTATGAAGATATCTCAACAATAGGCTATGTAGGCTTCTTGACTATGGCTGCTGTGGTTGTCGAGTGCATGGTGAACTCCTAGTTCCCTGACCAGCTCCCTCATTACTTTGGCGCCACTGATTCTGCAGTAAATGTGTATGCCTAGCTCTGAAACACCCCCGTTCTTCGCTCCGCCCATGTTTGTACCCGATTATCGCCAACTTGCACCCAACCAATCTTGACTTGAATGATATCTCCCGGATGAACGTCTCCCAACCTAAACTTGACGAATCTGTAGGCAATGTAGATTTCGATACCCAAGCATCAACCTAGCTCCGAGGCTTCTCTTACTGATTGGGACACATTCAAGATCCCTATCCCCTTTCACGCTTTCGATTCCTTTCTAACCAGAACACGACTATGAAACATAGCCGCCCAAACATGAACTTTAAAGCTCGAAAAGCATAGTTCGTGAATCGCACCATCGTGATAATCATTATTTCAAAGCCGAATTGACGCGCAAACTGTAGTGTGAGAGAAAAAATGGAAAACCGTCTTACCCGTCTTCTTTGATTCCAGGCCCATGGGCGTCATGGTTTGCTGGGGAATCGTATCCATTACCATTACCAAGATTGAAGTCTATATCATCATCCTCGTCCGGCTCAGCATCGTAAGTCTGTACCTCCATATTCCCATTTGGGTCATGTTGTTCCACAGCGTCTTCCAGCTTTGGCTCAACAACAGCAGGTGGATCTTCCTTCACATGGGTAGGCTCGACCTTTGGCGCGACATCGTCTTCGGTATACCTGTAGATTTATCAGCCTGCTTGATGTTTTGGACGTTGGTCTGACGGATGAGAAAGCCGTTAAGATAATAAGGAACCCCAACAAAAAGGATGCTGTGGATTTGGAATACGTACAGATCTGCGAACAGATCATCCTCAAAAGCTTCACCGTCAGCCATTGTGCTGGCAACCGATTTTGTTCAAGCTTGTGTAGACGATGTAACAGACTAATTCCACGCACGAGCTGAAGCTGAAGGATGTGCGGAGGTTGGCGTGTCGGGTTCTCTGAGGGCACCTGGGCAGTTGATTAATGTGCAGTCTGGTTAGTCACAAGTGTACAATGCGTAGCTGTCTCGTCGTTTGTCAGAAAATGGCAAATAAATGAGCGGATGAAAATGAAGATGAGAGTGAAGGAAGTGGACTTGAGGAGTCGTACGAAAATACGTTCGTTGAGAGGTTGTTCGTTCAGGCAGAGGCGGCGCGAATCTCAGGCTCTTCAGTCGCGCCCACGCTTACATAATAGCGACTTCCACCTGCAAAACACGTGAGCATGGGACCGCAGTTAGCAACACAACTGAAAGAGAGCTTTGGATGAGGAAACAAGTCTGGAACTGAGGTTGCCAGCATGTTTTCTTCATCGAATGGTAGCAAAAAACCGGCACAACAGGTACGCTAGATGTTTCTTATTCTGGACAGCGACACAGCTGACATTTATCTCTTCCATAGGAGATGGTCCAAGTTGGTCAGTCGATACCCCTCCCAAGACTCCGGCCAGCTTCCTTGTCGCTATGTATTAAACGCCATGGTGCTGACTTTCTATAGAGAGATCTGAGTACGTTGTATAACAGGCAGGAAGCTAGCAGCATGGCTTAGAGTAGACGATTGGAAAGCTTTGGACTGACAATATACTTCAGATCCGCATCCCCGTTTTGGAGAGGACGAAGTTCTGGCCATCGGGATGCCTCCCCAAAGAAAATACAACCACAAGCTGGAATCGTAGTGGGCGCTTCATACTCGCACACCGATATCTTAAAGATTGACAATTTGTATGTTCTTACACACTTTTACTTGACGGTGCTAACGTACTTTCGAGGAACCTATCTTCGAATTCTACCCGGCCACGGACACCACCTACATCTACATCCCAGAAAACCCGCAGCGATACTCCGCCGCTCAACAGAGGAGCTTCTGGTCTATCCTCTCCGCCGCGGCGAACATATACAGACTTTTTATCCCACACGAATAATGATTGGAAAATGGCAGCGGATGACGACGAGGATGAGGATGATTATTATAATGATGACGGCGACGATTTTGGGTTACCAAGTATGTCAAGTATGAAACGTAAAACAAAGAAGAAGTCGATGGGTGGTAGCTTGGAGGCTGGAAGTGGCACCACACCATTTGGCTCAGCTTTACAGGGAGGATTTGGAGGATTTGGTCCCAGGCGTATGTCGAACAGTGCAGATATTGCAATAGAGAGACCTGCGCCAAGTTATCCTGTGGCCAAGAAAAGCGAAGGGAAGATCTTGAGGCCTCAATACAAAGAGATATTGAGAGACCCTGCAAATTCTTTACATCTCATCAACCATCCTCCGATACCACTAGGCGCCACGTCTAAGGAAATTGATGTACATGGCGCGCGGATCTCCCGAATCAACAAGTTCAAGCGAATCTTGCAAGCCACGTCAATATCATTAACGGATCTACGTTCTGCTGCGTGGTCTGGTGTGCCCGAAGAAGTTCGAGCTATGACATGGCAATTGCTCCTAGGCTATCTGCCCACAAGCAGTGAGAGACGAGTTAGCACACTTGAAAGAAAAAGAAAAGAGTATCTGGACGGTGTCCGACAAGCTTTCGAGAGAGGGGGCAATTCCACCCCTGCAGGTAAAATCAGAGGCCTAGATGAAGCAGTTTGGCATCAAATTAGCATTGACGTCCCTCGAACAAATCCTCACTTAGAGTTATATGGATATGAAGCGACGCAGCGGTCTTTAGAACGAATATTATATGTATGGGCAGTGCGGCATCCCGCAAGCGGCTATGTCCAGGGGATTAATGACCTGGTAACGCCATTTTGGCAAGTCTTCCTCGCGAGTTACATAACAGATTCAGATGTGGAAAGTGGAATGGATCCAGGCCAGCTACCCAAAGCAGTTCTTGATGCCGTTGAAGCAGATTCGTTTTGGTGTCTAACCAAGCTTTTGGATGGCATCCAGGATAACTATATATTTGCTCAGCCAGGAATACAACGGCAGGTCGCAGCTCTCCATGATCTTACGGCACGTATTGACCAAGCTCTGGCGAAGCATCTTGAGCAGGAAGGTGTTGAGTTCATACAGTTCAGCTTCCGCTGGATGAATTGCCTGCTCATGCGAGAAATAAGTGTTCAAAACACCATCAGAATGTGGGACACCTACATGGTTAGTTCTTTGCTTTGTACATTGTTTGCTCAGTACTAACAACGCAAACAGGCCGAGGAGCAAGGCTTTTCTGAATTCCACCTATATGTTTGTGTTGCCTTCCTTGTAAAATGGTCGGACAAGCTACGGAAAATGGATTTTCAAGAAGTAATGATGTTCTTACAAGCCCTCCCAACCCGAGATTGGACTGAAAAGGACATCGAGCTTCTGCTTAGCGAAGCTTTCATTTGGCAGTCCCTGTTTAAGGGCTCAGCTTCTCACCTGAGAGGCGGTTCAGATAAAACTCCTTCGAACACTTCTATTGGTACCTGAGAAGGGTTAAACCACGCATGGGCTTGGCCTAACTAAGCTGCCCCTCAACACATCTCGACTAGGTACTCCCAGAGCTACGACGCTCGCTACCGTACCGCATTCAGTGCTCAAGCACGAACACCAAGCATGATCGAGCTCCTTGAGCCAATCTTGCAAGCGGCAAAAACACTACACCGCGCTCCTCCAAGCGACTGAAGAAAAGGAGGATAAAAAAGCCTTTGGCTTGCGCTTCCGTGGGATTCGGTCCCGCAGCTTACATGTAAACGCTCGATGCCGCATGGGTACCTAGAACGGAATCGTACTAGTCATCAGTGAGATAATCAAACGCTGTTTTTGCCGACAGAATGGGATGATATCAAGCTTTCGGAAGATGGTCAAATCCATACACACTATGCGCCTCAATGATTTACTGTGTGAAGTTTGCATTATTCCCATGAGTATCGTACGAAGCTCAGCCAAGCTAGAGCCAAGCTAATTCAACCATAAAACCATTAATGCTCCCATGGTATCCAGTAATCATAACGCCAAGAAATGTACTTTTAGCAGAAACCCTTCCCATAAGTTGCCGGTAGGCTACAATTTTGAAGCCATTAATTTGGTCTATTCAGCAGCATCCTCAACCTTGGCCTTTTTGGATGACTCGGAGTCCTCTTCAGGTTCATCTTCGGCCTTTCTCTTTCCGTTCGTATTCATCACCTCAGTCGCGTCATCCTCAACTGTATCCTTCTTGTCCTTCTTTCTTACAAGGCTCGAGAGATCATTAGCACCCTTCTTTGCTTCTTCAATTCGAGCTGCTGCTTCCGATGGAGATTCTCCGATTGTCGCTCCCAGAATTCCACCCATTGAGTTACCACCTGACATTCCAAGAGCGGATTTGAGACCATCTACATCAACCGGACCTCCCTTCAATTCGGCGAGCTAAGAAAGAATGTTAATGAAACTCTTTGAGGTGGGGTTACAACATACTCGGTTCTCCATATCAGCAACGATTTCCTTGACATCCACAATTTGAGCTCTCGTGATTTCATTGTCATCTGGTGAATGACAAGTTGCCAATTCAACTTCCTTTGCCTGTAGTTTGAGATTTGTACTGTTGATAGCGGCTTGCAATTCTTTGACTGCCTCATCTCGAAGTGCTTGACCAGCTGCGACTTCATCCTCGGTCGAATTTTGTTCCTCGTCACCTTCTTTTTTTTCATTTGTCGTTGATGCAAATTCTAAGGCAAGCGAGAGCTTAAAATGTGCTTCAGCTATAATTTCTGATTCTTCAGGATAAAGTTGCTGCTTGTAAAGAAGGGAGGCTCGAGAATCAGATACTGCCGCTGGGAATCTGCATGATATAGTTAGACACGTCGAAGAATGAAATTGCTTGGGACACATTACCTCTCATTCTCCAGAGAGATCTCCGCTAGTAGATCATGAGTATCTGCAATTCTTTCCTTAAGATGCCGTGTCATTGGCGGATCTCCAGTCTCTTTCCCTTTTCCTTCACCATCTTCTGGCGCTTCTAATCGCTTTTCGAAAAGCACGCGAGCAAGGTCTAGGACCTCGAATGCCGCGGCAAGATCATCCTCTTCCTCTTCCTCATCGTCACCCGCTTCCTACAAGAGTATTAGTCGGTATGAAATGCCCATCGTGTGAATGTCTCACTTCTGCATCATCATCATCAGAATCCTCGAAGTTTTCGTCGCCTGTAAACTGGAACAGTGGCTTCTTAGCATCGACATCCTCGGTTTTCGCACCACCATTTTGCTCCGCTACAATTCCTACGCCTGCTTCGGTGATCTTCTGGCGCTCTGACTCCTCCGTCTTCTTTGGTTTCGCGCTTCCACTGCTTTTCTTCTTCTCCCCCGACGCTTTACCACCTAGAACGTCGCTTTTGCTTTGCCCAACTTTGAATAGGGAGCGACCGTATAGAAACAGAATCTCAGCATTGTCGGGTGACATGTCTCCATTCAGCTCAGCCTGTAACTCCGAAGCTCGCGCAAAGAGGTCTGAAGCTTCATCGTAATTCTTGTGCGCATATTGAGCTGTCCCTTTCGCGCACAAGTCGGCGAGCGATACTTTGACGGAATTGAAGACTTCTGTGGCGGTGGATGATTCGTCTGGAGTCGCAACCTCAGAGAAAGTAACGGGTGGTTCAATAGGTTCCGCCATTGTTGATGGTGGGAAAGGAAATAGTTTGTAGGAAGAATCTGATGGGGATATGGATTATATGCGATGGAATTGAGTATTCAGCTATGAAATCATACGATGGGCATTTGTTTGAGAAGCGTGAGGAGAGCGAGCGTGTTTGCGACAGACTTGGAGCTCTCCAAGCTTGGTTGGCAGGGGTGGTAGATGCACTCTACGCCAGAACGCGAAAAGACGCGTCTTCCAGCCGAGTCGGATCTGAAATATTTGGACGTCAACAAAACACGAATAACGACTTTATGAGAAACGAAATCATGAGCAAAGCACAGCCAAATGGAAAGCCTCGCGCGGCTGCTATTTTCAAATTACCAGAAACTCCAGCTTCAAACAACCCAATTCCATCCTCATCTCCAGCTTTCGCAACTCCAGTGCATCCCATCAGACCGTTCAATCCGGCTGCGATTGCGCCAAAGGCTAGCATTTTGCCAGTTCTGCTCCCACCTGCGACACTGAGGCCTCTTGCATTTCGGACCTTCACGAAGAAGCACAGTTTAACGATCACCTCCTCCGCCCTCCAGATAATCGCAACGTTTATAGGAAGGCATTGTGGGACAGGATGGCGGGAAGAGGGACTGGCCGAGAAGGTGCTAGAGGAGGTTGCAAAAAGTTGGAAGAGTCGGAATGGAGGAGTCATCGTCGATGGAGACCGAAGCGAATTAAAGGATATCCTAAAGAATCTGGAGGGTAGTATGGTAGGTGGCAGAATAGTTTCTTCTAGGGAATTGAGTCGGCAGAATAGTCTGGTTCTCGGATCCTCACAGGGTGGAGAGGTGTCACACACGAGATTGGGACTACGTCCGATATCCCTGGGGAGAGAAGATAGCCAGTCAAGCTTAGGGTTGAGCCATCTCGAAGTTGAAGACGGGGAGGACGAAGATGATTTGAAAGATCCCAGAAAATGGCTCAAAGTTATAGATGCATTTGAGCAACCCCGGTTATTGTATAATGTTGGCAAGAAGCATTTTGATCGGTATGAAGGACGTGACAGCCTTAAAGAGTTCTGCTTACATTTCCGGTAGAGATCCATCGAAACCTTCGCTGCTTCCTCAGCCTTCACATAAGACACAGCTTTTTCGGAATCGATATAACCTCATCCAACAACGTCTCTTACGGAATGAGTCTTTTCAGGCGCCAACGTTTGAAACAACCAAAACGTCACAAAAACGCTCTTCGTCAAGCCTGGAAACACCACAGCAAGCATACAAACTGACCCCTATCGCTAATTTACTTGGTCGTAATGGGACAACCCATATGCTGCTTGGCCTCCTCACAATATCTCCAACCGGAAATCTAGCAATCAACGATTTAACAGGAAGTATTGCTTTAGATTTAACTCATGCCAAACCCATCCCTGAAGACGGGGCATGGTTCGCACCTGGTATGATCGTATTGGTAGATGGAACCTATGAGGAAGATGATAATAACGCAGGTGGCCTTGGAGGAAGCGGAGGCATTGGAGGCACTATTGGCGGCAAGTTCATTGGGTTCTTCATTGGAGGGCCACCTTGCGAGCGGAGGCAAACTACTTTAGGCCTGACAGGAAAGGGTGGTGACGGAGATATCGCAGCTGGTGGAGGGTTTGGCTGGGTCGATTTCTTGGGGGTAGGGAGTGAGCGTGCTGTTGGATCGAAAATGCGAAAGATCGAGCAACGACTAATAAGGGCCCCAATCGACTCGCTCGATGGTGGAGGACGAGGTCGACTGGTGATCATTGGAGAAGTCAATCTTGATCAGCCACGAACTTTGCAAGCTCTGAAGAAGCTATTCGGTCTCTATGCTGCAGAATCAGAAGAGGATACACCTATGACGTTTATACTGACCGGCAATTTCGTCCAGCATGCTATTATGGCACGTGGTGGGAGTGGCGGAAGTATCGAGTATAAGGAATACTTTGACGGACTTGCTTCAACATTAAGCGAGTATCCTACACTCCTCCAGTCTTCCACCTTCATCTTTGTGCCTGGAGACAATGACGGTTGGGCATCTTCATTCTCGGCTGGCGCCGCTACCGCCTTACCGAGGAAAGCAGTACCAGAGATGTTCACGTCAAGGATAAAACGTGCCTTCACAACGGCAAATGCGGAAGCAGAAAAGGAGAAAGGGGTGAAAGGTGATGGAGAGGCAATCTGGACGACGAATCCGTCGCGCTTGTCACTCTTTGGACCTACTCACGAGATAATCCTTTTCAGAGACAACATGACAAGCAGGCTCCGCCGAACCGCCATCAAATTCTCCTCTTCACAGCCAGAAACAACAGAAGAAGACGTAGAAATGGGAAACATCCCACCACCTACGGCCTCACCACCACCAGAACCGGAAGTCGATTCAGCATCTTCACCGCCCCCCGACAACACTCCTCCAGAAGTTATCACGCCGTTGACGGATCCGGATCTTCTCACATCTCGCAAATTGGTCAAAACTCTACTAGATCAAGGAACACTAACGCCATTCCCTCTTACTCATCGTCCAGTCCTTTGGGACTACACATCTGCGCTTCAGATCTACCCGCTACCTACCGCGATGGTACTAGCGGACCCAGATGCGCCAGCCTTCTGTGTCACTTATGAGGGGTGTCATGTTATAAATCCTGGGTCTGTTATTGCTCCTGGAAGGAGGGGTGTGGCTAAATGGGTGGAGTATGGGATTAGTCGGGGGGTGGGGAAGGTTAGGGAATGTACATTTTAAGGTTGGATGTAAATGGATTCGGAATATGGTTCGGGAAGGAGTTTGGATAGCTGATACAGCTTGGTATAATGGTTAGGAATGGGTAAACGATTACTGCTGTCATCATTGCAATTACATGAGATCTTTTACCCTTATGAAATTACTAGAATTGGCCTCGAGATATGATTCTGAGTTCACAACCGCATCGAAACTTATAGTACCCACGCTTATCAAAGCACATTTGACACTTTCAATGTATTGTTTTGGCAAAGTCAAAGTAGACGTGCTAACAGAGCCAAACCGCCCAGATATGTGCCGGCAATAAGACATTTATGCATTGTCTTCTGATATAACCCCCTTGCATTTATATTTAGTTTTAGAACACCAAGTTCGGTCTCAAACAGTCAGTAGTTTGACCGAACAACCATGTCGGTAGAAGAAGCCGAATATAAAGCTGAAGAAAGTAGCAGTTTTAGCGGTAAAAGAAATCCAAACGTAATCTATGAGAATACTTAATTGTTTACGCTTTACCAAGTCCTCAAAACCCCTTTCCTAACCTAATAGTCTCTCCACCACCATACCAAAGTGTCCCCTGTCTAAAATCCAGCCCCTTCTCCATACCCACAACCCACTCGAATCCCTCCTCATCTTCCCCATTACTCGGCCAAAACTCCTTTTCCAACCACACATTAACCTCCTCTATCTTCTCCATCCAAGCCTTTCGCTTCTCAATTGAATCATGATCACCCTGTCCCAAGAACCGCCCAATAGTGATGTGCGAACTCGGAACCACGTATCGGCTATCTACTTGCACACCTGCTCTCTTCGCTATACTGAAGAGATCGCGACGGAGATGATGATATGTGAAGTTATCTTCTTCCTTCCCGGCGGCAGGGAGGAAGGAGAGTGCAATTGCTGCGGTGTCGTAGGAGAGTGTTGGTTTGATGAGACGGGCACGATGGGTCAGTGTGTAGTCTGTCATTTCTGTGTAGGCGGGTGAGCCGAGAGAGGAGACTATGGCTTCCGTCTCGGGGAACGTGAGAGAATGGCAGAGTTCGAGGGCTGTGAGGTGGAGGTTTTGGAGGGGCATTAGCCAGAGGTCTGGGGACTTGTTAGTGCAACGGGTTCAAGCATTCTGCAGCAACATGTTGTCTTGTGAGTCGTTCTATGATCGAGCATCATCTAGAATTCATTTCATGAACCTCAAGAAGAATTAACTCCCAAAAGATGCAACACTCACGTGGCGCGACCTTCCTAAGTTCCTGCTGCGCCCTCCCCACAAGATCCCTGATATGACCTGGCGGTCTTGCCCAGAACACCAGGCAATTCCTCGGGTCCATAAACCCTGGTTCAATGCTTGGATCCTCAAGCTTCTTCAAGATAGGGTCTATAAGCAAGTCCTCGAAATCAGGAGCTATGATCTTGGCTTTCTGTTGTGCATTACGGGTTACACGGTGGGTTTCATAGCGTGCTTGGATTTGAGCCTGGATGTATGTTATTATGAGCACAATGAATTGAGTCAATTGTCTGGCTGTGTGAAGATTGATGATTAGGATGAAGATGTTTCTAAAGTGTTTGACTCACCGGATCATTCTTACAAGCTTCGATCAGAGCATCGTATGGATTTTCATATTTAGTGATATCCACTCCTGACAAATCCTCAAACTTGTTCTTTGCATCTACAGAATCTGGGAGTGTGGCGACCATTTCTCAGGTTATTTGTCTTTGGGTGAGGTTATGTATAGTTGAGATGTAGTTGATCTAAGAAAATACGAGGCCCTGTGGGGTACAGCAAGGTGGGGTAGCGAGTTCAAAGGGCTGAATCCACTTCGACCTTCAGCGATTCGAATGACTGTCGTGAAAAGGAAAACTCACTCTTGGGTATGTTTAATATAAGATCTCTTGTTCCAATCCAGAATAACTTGACTGATGGCTAATTGAACATGCAATAAATATTTGCGAAGTCTACTCTGAAATACTTGACCGAGTCGCGAGTTACTGCCAGCTCGATTTGTTAAAACAAAACACTCGCAAAAGGACTAATAAAGGAATACAATTCTATCGTCTAAAAAATTATACAAGGTTAGCCTTACCATCAATCATCAGCGGTCACGTAATGCCTATTGTCTTCAAGCTCCCCTCTCCATACCTTCCTCCCATTCCTCATCTTCAACAACTCCTAAGAGACCACCATCTTCTCTAGGTGTCTGCTCCTTGAGAAGTTCTTCAGGCTCAGCCCAACCTGTCCCAGCTTGTACAAGCACCATCACAAGAGCTAACCCTACTCCGGACAAAAACAGTGCTCGAAACGCACCTGTGTACCCAAAAATTGCCACAGTCTTCTCGACGCCTTCTAATGTCCTGACGAGAGCCGGGCTACCCAAAAGTCTTCTAACTAAATTCTGTCTACCAGCTAGGCCTCCATTTTTCTCGAAACCTTCTTCGAGCCCGCTCTTTAGAACTCGAACGAAAAGACCGCCGCCAATTGCAGAGCCAAAAGATCCAGCAAACCCGCGAAAAGTGGTGAGTAACGATGTAGAGATAAAGTGCGTTGATGGCGGAGTCAAATGAAGAAGATGAGCCAAAGTGTAATTCAATGCTGCGCCAGTGGATAGGCCATTAAGGAAGACCGTGAGGAAGTAGAGAGCTGGTGCCGTTGTTGGAACAGAGATTGAAGCTAGCAGAAGCAGAGTGGCAGCGAAACAAATGTATGACAGTACACAAGGACTGGTATTGTCAGTGAGAAAAAGGATGAAGATGGTGGGGATAAATCTTACAGCCAGAATGAACCTCCGCGCTTGATGTGCAACCATCCTACAAGAACACCGCCAACTGCGAATCCCAGATTTGTTGGGATAAGAATCGTGCCTGCTGAAGCTGGAGACCATTCTAACACCGCAATCGCGTAAGCTGGCGTGTAAAACAAGACCATCCATCTAGCAGCCATGATCCCGAGCTGAGCAATGCAGGAAAAAAGTGCGCCTCTAGATTTGAGCACGGAGATGGGAATGATAGGATCCTTGGCGAATCGTAGCTCAACAGCCACAAAGAGAGCAAGGAGAGCGACAGAAACGACGATTGGAATATATAGTATTTTAGCGAAGGACATGCCGTAAAGGAAAAGGCAAATCGTGCTCGACTATTTTGATTAGCATGTGTACACGATGAGTCTAAGAATGCTTACTAGAAGAGCAGCACCTAGATAGTCGATCTTCGCCAACTTTTGAGAGACAGATAAATCGCCAATATCCTTCTGTCCTGAAGTGAAAGTTTTTGGTATGCTGAAGAAGATTCCTACCCCCGCGATGACAGCCAGGGGACTCTGAATCCAAAACAGAAACCTCTAACAACACATCAGCTCACGCACCACTTCACACGAGGTTTCAGTCAACTCACCCAGCCAGTAACATCCAAAAGCCCACCTGCAATAACAGCTCCAAGACTGACACCAGTGGTAAATCCTGTATTTACCAACCCAATAAACAAACCTCTCCTCTTTTTGCCACTCAACTCCAAGACTAAGATAAATGAAATGGTCATGATGCCAGCACCTGCCATACCACTGATTGCCCTTCCGAGCAAGAAGACTCTAAGATTAGGAGCTTGAGAAGTGACTATTCCTCCAAGCGAGAAGAGGAGAGACGCAATGAAAATACAGTTTCTCGGAGAGAAGATTTGAGCGAGGCGAGCTGTCAAGGGAGACATAGAGGACATTGCTATCTACAATTCGGTTAATTCATTGAACATAAAATATTAAGATAGAGTCAAGTAATTTACTAGATAAGCGGAAGTAAACCACGATGCACTCGCAAAAGCATCAAGGTCTTCGGCAATCTTTGATTGTGTAGTCGTTATCCCCGACATATTTGAAGCTACAATTCAATATCAGCATATTCCAAGAATTAAATCATGTTAAATAAGAATGATAATACCTTGCAAAAAGATCAATCCCCAAACACTCAGACAAATCAGCACTCCCCTCCCCGTTCCAACATACTGATTCGCTTTATCCGGATCTGCCAATTCCTCATCTTCATCTTGGGAGTCTCTTAAAGTGCCCGAGCTTCTATCATCGTCCCTCAGCAGCGGGCTTTCCTCACCAGCCGCGGGTGTAGCGTCGCGTGTAACCATATTTAGTTGGTGATGTCGTGACTCTATGTCACCACTTTTGCCAAGTTTCCTACTAAGCTACCCACTTCGGATGCCAAAGGTTTTTGCAATGTAAAGAGGAAATTCGTGGATTTTAGCAATTGATACAAAGTCTGGAATACATGTTTAGATGTCAGAATATGTGTCTGACGGAGTGGGATGATGTTGCTATTTGACAATAAGACAACTAACTAAATGCCGTTTTAGCTCCTCCGTCCGATTGATAATCATTACCGGTGGATTTATTCGTCCGCCGAAGTCATCGTTCATTGGCTAGAAGATACAGATGTGGGGGCCGTTCCTGCATGTCAACGGTTCAGCCACTTGCAGAAAGACGTCACCCCACCTTGAGCTGGTGGTGCGAGGTGGTTGTGGTGTATTTTCTAACCTTCCAAAATGAAGCAAAAATCAGATTGTTATTTCTTTGAACTTCCATCTTATTTGACTTATTCTAATTGACAACTGCGCAGTCAATCATAACTCCACCTTGTGTTTAATACAGGAATTCCACACTACCCTCTCAACAAGCAGTTCACGAGCACGGAACAATATACAACCCCACGGCATACGGTCGCGAGTCTTGGTAGAAATTAAATTCAACCCCACCAACGCTTGAAACTTCATAGGTGAAAGTTCCAGCTCTGCAAGGAAAAGTTGCAATCGTGTAATTGTTGCCAGGTACAATCTTTGTCTTGCCGTAATTTGTATCAACTGGGGCGATATCATTGTAAGTAGTGCTGGAATCCGCAACTCCCGAGAGAAGAGCAAAGTTTAGACCGCCATTTGAACCAACCTCCTGCTCAAGCCCAGAGAAGTAAAAGGTTGGCTCATTGTGCCAAGCGAGCTGAGACCGGTATGGGAATTGGAAGACCAAACCACACGTACCAAGATACGGAGCTTGGTCTGGAATATCAAAATTGAATAAAGTGGTGTTGGTGGGGGAGATATAAGCCTTATAACTATTTCCAAAGGCGTGATCAGGACTCTGAGGGGACGTTGGGACGATAAGATGTGGATACTGAAATATGCCAGAACGAATATCATTAGGGCATGATGCTTCAGCCCGCACCACTGTCTCGACGGTCGGGTATGGTGCTGTTGTGACTGTGACGGTAGTGTGGGTCGTTATTTGGCCCTGGATTGTGGTTGTCGATCCCGGTGAGTCCACCGAAGACGTAGAAGATACTCCAGGACTGGAAGGACGGCCAAGTGCAGCGCATGCGAAGCCTCCAGCGAGTATTTCCACGGCATAACACCCAGTTTTATCTTGCTTTGCATCACTAAAAATAATGCTGCTGCCATCATTGCTGGGGCCGTCTGCTGGGCATGCCAGCCAATTTGAGTTGCGGTCATGTTCGACATAGTTGTTGTCGGACAAAGAGAAAGGCGTATTATTTGGAAGTCCTGCAGTGCACTGGAGTTGTGATGATCCTTCAGCAATAATGCATGTGTGCCCGCGTGAGTCCTTGAGCGAACCATTTTCGATAATGTAGGTGTTCTTAGGATACATGCCACCGATTCGGGGTTGACCGATTGTGTCTTGCCTGATACTGCCATTCTCCATGCCAACTGCCGTCAGAGAAAAAGTACATGGAACGGCTTCTCTTGGTACAGCGATAGCAAGCACGTCGCAGGCCAAGCTTAGAAGAGCCACGGACTTCAAACCCATTTTGCTTGATGGAAGAAGAGCGTCCCGAATTGAAAGTATATTTTTCTCCTGAGTAGATGCAGAGCGCTAGGTCGATGAAAATGGAACCCAAAATCCTTTCTTTTAGCGGACACCGTGATCTTCGTCCTCTTCTTGATTCCAAAAGTTGTCGTGGGCCGCGGGGTTCTCGATCAATTCTGCGAATGATGATGAGCAGTCGTCCAACGACGCCTGGAGAGCAAAGGAAGGGTCTATTGTAGCAATAGCCGGAACTTTAAAACTTTTCGAAGCAGGAGCAGGTAGCGTACTTTGCTGGGCTGTTGGGATCGAGAGCAAAGGCTGGAGAAGCTCTTTTTATCTTCGCTCTGACAAGAGACGACTCGATTGAGTATATGAGCCTATGCGCACATTGTAATAAGAAATTCGTAATAGAAAGCACAAACAAACATTGGAATACGGTGAGAAAACACGGGACTGATCTGTCATGCAGTACCAACGTACTTATCATTTCTTCTTGCTAGAAGATTTGTTTCCTGAATTTAGTCGTACTTCCCTGAAACTCGTATTCTTGCTGAACAGCGGGTACCAAGTGGCAGGTGATGTTGATCTTGATCGTTTTGGTGCCCTGAAAAACCATCCTGCGGGGAACCTGGATAAATGCAGGTGAGTTGTACGATGAAGCTGAGAAAACCAAGTCGACAAGAGCCGTCATTAGATCTGTTCCTGAAATCTACCGAGAGATCTGCAATGTTGGCCCACAATGAGCTGGATGTTGACGAAGTTGCCGTCGGTTAGAGACATTTGGTAGAACATTATCGTGGTTTCCTGGCCTTGTGCAAGTCGTCTGTTACGACCACCCAAGGCAAGAGAGCCGTCATTGTACGTTGCCAAGAAACGATGCCAACGAGGTAGAGGTACAGCAACATTTCCTGTACTGTCTAACCAAGATCCGGAAGTGAGTTCGCATACCTATTTCAAAGATTTCCAGAAATTTTTACGGATGCCATCCTTCGAACCCAGTGGTGGACGTCCCGGGTGGATCGCCAGGATCAATTGGATTAGAAAGATTCCTAAATCGTACGCGATATCCAGAAGTGTAAAGTCCATGATGGATACCTAGCCAAAAGACTCTGGTTTTGAGAATGCCTCGTGAAAGTAAAATGCATTCTTACTCTTTCTCGATGCAATGGTGCAGCCAGAGGAGGTGAGTGAGCGAGGTGAGAAGAAGCCTTCGTCTGTGCCGTACGGTGCTTCGTGCCGGGTGAACCTCGGTAAAAATGTCACATTGGTTGCAGCCTGCAGGTGGCCTTTGGTTCGGCGATAAGATTGCAATAATCCAGAAAAAAGTTCCTCCCCACTTCGAAATCGCATCCTGGTATCGACAACGAGAATTGCCGCTTCAAACCACCACAGCAATGGGGAAACTCAAGAACCCAAAGCGCAACAGCGCAGCTTCTTCTTCCCCGTACGCCAAAGCCGAAAAAGCTACCAATAATGTGTTCAAGTTCAACACCAATGTCGGTCAACATATCCTCAAAAACCCCGGAGTGGCAGAAGCCATAGTCGCAAAAGCTTTCCTCAAACCCTCCGACACAGTGCTTGAAGTCGGACCGGGAACAGGAAACTTGACAGTCAGAATACTTGAAAAAGCGAAGAAAGTTATTGCGGTCGAATTAGATCCTCGAATGGCGGCGGAAGTGACCAAACGTGTGCAGGGGAAGCCAGAACAGAAGCGGTTGGAGGTATTGCTTGGGGATGTGATCAAGATGGAGACGCTACCACAGTTTGATGTTTGTATTAGCAATACTCCGTATCAGGTACTTCTTCCTACTCCAGTGCGTCTGTACGAAGCTAACATTTAGCTAGATTTCATCCCCATTAGTATTCAAGCTTTTGTCTCTACCTAATCCACCTCGGGTCAGCGTACTCATGTTCCAACGTGAATTTGCCCTCCGTTTAACCGCTCGTCCTGGAGATTCCTTATACTGTCGTCTGAGTGTGAATGCGCAATTCTGGGCCAAGATAACGCACATCATGAAAGTTGGAAAAAACAACTTTAAACCCCCGCCACAAGTCGAATCGAGCGTTGTGCGTATAGAACCGAAAATGGGTAGCGAGCGCCCTGGTGTGAGCTGGGATGAGTGGGACGGCATGTTGAGAATATGCTTCGTACGGAGAGGGAGGACGATGAGAGCGTCTTGGTTAGGAAGCAGAGAGGTGTTAGGGTTGTGTGAGCGGAATTACAGAGTCTGGTGCGCGATGAATAATATCCCACTAGATGATACTCCGCTTGATCTTACGAACGGTGCCGACGAAATGGAAATCGACACCCCAGCGGCAGACGATGATGAAGAGTTCCAAGGATTCTCTGACCATGAAGCCGATGATGATACTCCAGCATTTTTCAAGGAGCTGAATGCGAAACAAACCAACTTTCCTAAGACAGTAGGGAAGAAGAAGAAGACGAGGGTTGCTGAGCTCATAAAAGAGAAGATCAGAAAAGTGTTGGAAGATGTCACGGACTTGGCTGATAAGCGAGCTGGAAAGTGTGATGAGAATGATTTTCTGCGGTTGCTGAGTGCATTTAACGAAGAGGGGCTGCATTTTGCTTGATAGGTTCATCTAAGACGGAAAAGGCGAGCCTTTTTCACAGTGTAATTGTTAGCATGGTGTTTGGAGTTTTGGAGGCTCAGGGGAGAGCTGGGGAGATTTACGGAAAATTCGAACTGTGGTATTTACCAAGTATCAAGGATATTTAGAGAAGAAAGAAACAGCCGTAACGTGGAACCACAAACCAGCTTGATTGCTTACACTGTCATCATTTCATAATCTAAAATCACTCGCCCAGCCCGGTATCTTAAATGCTAACGCCCTTAACCCTCAACGCCTCAAATACTGCTATGCCGAAATCAAGGTCTGCTCGGATCCTTCGAAGTCCGACTCTGCTCACTTCTGCCCGCCGGCCTTGCAACCTTTCGTCTGCTGAGCTGGTAAACATCATTAAAATTCATGACTACACCTAAAAACCTCATATCCACATCTTGCTGGTATGCCAAGTCACCGAGTAAGATACAGACTCGCTGCTTGAAGTGACCACCTAACGATTGAAGTCGTTCTTGTAGAACCGGAAACTCATCAGTTATAGAATCATCACTTGCCAGTATAGATTCCGGCAGACTAGACTCGCCACGACGGGACGTTGCGTTGGTAGAAAGGTCGTCATCGTCATGACGATCGGCACGAACTGAAATACCTTGCCTGACTGTGAAGTCCGATACTGACCAGCTGTATAGACCATCTACTGCGTCGCGATAACTAAGCATTAGACGAAGAATTTCGCCGAGTTGGACCATGAATGTGTTATCGTCGTCGCCACTGCTTGTCTTCTTCTTTGCGCCCAGGAGACCTTTGTGGGTAATGGCGTTGAGGTACTTGGTGTGTGCTTTGATAAGATCGTCAAGTGTGCAGCCTTCTTTGTGAATGGCAGTCTGTAATTCATCCCAAGAGGACTCGATGACTTCGAAGAGGATATAATACTGAAGTTGACCTATAAAGTGGATCATCTCAGCCAATACCCCTCTGGTGAGCTTCCAGGTCTGTGCGACGTTTGCGTCCTCCCCTTGGAGGACACCTCGAGCTCCCGTCATGCATTTTCGCCAGGTCGTTGATATGGCGAACTCTACACGTTTGATACGCCACAAGAAGTTGAAGACTTTCAGATATTGTCGGTTGCCCCATTCTGTCACTACCACATCAACGGGGGCATCGATTTTATACTCCAACGTGAAGCAGTCCCAACCTATGTCTCCGTGGGACAACTGAAGCATTCTAGCGTCAAGTCTCCGAAGCACTTCTGGGGAATCGTATTGTGCATTCGAGCCTCTGATGGCGTGTTCCAGCTGCGCGGTAAGGGTGTGGCGATACTGCGCTCCTGCTGGCCGATCGAGGTTGGAGGAAAGTGACTCCATCAGTAGAGCAATGAAGTCTCCCTGACCAAGAAGGATGTAGTTTTTAAGAGCTTTCAGGTGGTCGAACAAGTGAAATTTCTCGGACATTAGATGTATAAGCCGAGCCATGGTCGTCTTATAGGCTTCGTCAATCCATGTTTCCAATGTAGCTGTATCGCCGTATCGTAGTTCTTTCGAGGCGCCCTTTGAATAATCTTCCACCCACTGAGAATCACCACATCCGTATCGAATGAAGTTTAAAGACTTCCCAATAAGAAACACCTTTTGAGCAAAATCTTGCGTAATGATGCTTGGAACCATATCTTCATCTAGCTTGTATTTGGCCTCCCAGACACTACTAGCTGCTCCACGACTTCTACCATCTTGCGCTTCATTACTCACCACATTGGGATCCTGCTCAGAAACAAAGAATTCATAGTAAGGATCTGACAACTCTCCGTCGTAAATCCATTGTCGTAGCATGTCGTAGAACGGGCGCGTAACATGTGTCAGTAAGCGTTCTGCGAATGCACCAACCATTGGGTCACCATGTGACGAGGAGAACCCATGGATCAAGGAAATTAATTGGCCCCCTCTTTTGCTTTTCGACTCTTCACTAATCAAACTCATCAAACGGAGACCCATCGTCGCTTCACGGGTCCAGACTACGCATCGTTTGAGAGTCACACCAGCCTTTCCAATTCCGCCACGGGGTTGGTTTTCATCTAGCGAAGACAATGCTCTACGGATCTGTCCTTCTAGAGTCGCTACCAAGCCAAGGTATGAACGAAGTTCACCGGATATGGCAGCACGCAAACTTTGTCCAAGAAGTCCACCGTCCGCAGTCTTCACAAATTCCGAAAGTCCCCTGTACAATAATGACGGCTCTGCCAAGGTATGGAGAATTGATATGATAGGTACAGGTAAGCTTGGTGGTAACTTCAAGGTCGCACTGGAAGAGAACGGTAGGTTTGTTGAAGATAAGCCTTGCAGCGTAAATGGCAAATCTCGTAAAAGCGCAGTTTCGGGTGGGTTGATCTCAACATAGTTCTCAGCTAACAAAGCAGTTTTCAGAGCCAGGTCTTCACGCTGCGAAGCTGGTGTTTTGGCAAATGTTTGCTCCTCCTCTTTTCTGTCCCTCTGGCCACCCTCTCGCGCTGGGAGCTTCTTGAGACCACCTGGAGCAAAAGCCTCTTCAAATGGGCGGCCATCTACCTGAGATCCATATCCAGGTGACCTAGGCGCCCGAAATTCGGGATTTCTTGATTCTCGGGGGTTCTTCACCGGGCTTTTGAATGGACTCGTCAGGACTGGGGTCGTCCTCGGTTGGTCACCCCCAAGCTGGTATAAGAAGTATAACACGGCCCATTTCTGATTGATCGCTGGGATCGAAAGAAGTCTGCTGTATAAGTTCGTAAAGCGAAGTGCTTTCTCAGGGCTTGGATTTGTTTGTATAAGTCGTTTTTTAATTAAGTCCGAGGCCTGGTTTACATCTGCAACAATCGCCGGCTCCCTCGCATTGCTTGAAAACATCAGTTAAGGAAACAAAAGTTAGGATGCCTCCGACTGTACCTCTCAAGTAATTCTCTTGCGAATTCCACCGCGTTATTTCTCCTCTCGTGAGTCGCATCGGGATCTTCGCCAGGTATAGCCACAAGCAATTTCTGAACTAGGCCATTGATGCCTTTATTTATTCGCGCCTCTTGGGAGGACATAATCGCATCTTCGAAGTCTGTGTATTAGCATCAGTCTTGCTGCGATTTTTGTTGTCACAATACTCCTTGTACATGTGGGATACGCGACTGACGCGCAGCATCCATACAAGTGATCCGCTTTTCCCCCACGACCCTCGAAGCTCGCTTCAACCTTAGGCATCCATTGGGGCTTCTGAACGTCACTTCGACCAAACCGTAGGAAAGTGCTCCTGTCGCGCCATCTCTCACGACCCAACATTGCGTCGGATCATCGCCATCTTACATCTATAGGCGCGGCTTGAACCATACCTTTCATGGGCCCTTGAAATTTTCGCAAGTCGCGCTTCGCCGGCCGCAAAGGCGCGACTGAATAAAATGCCTGACATAGATCCAGCGGCCCTGAGCAGGCCGCCAATCTCGACAACTCCCATCCTGCCTCCGAAAACTCTCAGCGCATCAATTATTCCCCCTCCGAAGGTTGCGAAATCCAATCATGTCCCTCCTCGGATTGACCTGGAACCGCTCTATACCGCGCTCAAAGCTGCGATTGGGGAGAATTGGAAGACGTATAAGGAAGCATTGGGTCTTTTCATGTTGGGTTTGTAGACCCTCGCTCATTGAATTATAGGCTCCTACTGACCTGTAGTTTTGCAGGCAAACTTGACCAGTCAGAATTATCTAAGCGAATTGATTGGTTTCTGATTACTCCAGCTGGGGAGATCGAGCATTGTCATAACCAGCTCATTGCAGCAATATATGCAAATGTTACTAGGGAAATTCCAGATGCGGGCGTGGCTAGTTGGGTCAGCGCCAATGATAAGCCTACGGTGGGAACGGGAAGCAAGCCAGTTACTGGCGATGCGGCCGAACAAAGACTGAAAACGGAGGTCATGCAATTGCCTAGTAGAGATCGAAGAAGGATAAAAGACCTTAGTTTAAACGAGGTATGGCAGCTTGTCCCCAGAATATTGATCCTCCACTGATGGGTCCTGTAGACTGATCCCCAGGATGCCTTTACAATCGTTTTTGGCGAACATCGCCGACCGAAGGTTGCTAGAATCACAGATACAGTTCCCGCCAGCGCTGGGGGGCTCAACAAAACAAGTAAGACATCATCTCAACCCATCATCAAGGTTCTGAATGTTAACATATTTCAGACTGGGACCTAGAGATTCGTAAAAGATACGCACAGACACTTGCGGTTGAGTCAGGCGAGTTTCCGGACATGCAAGGTATTGAGTCGCGGATGTTGCCCATCTGTTATGAAGGCGGCCTTACTTCTGGACACGTTCCGGATGCTGCCCAATTTATGTCTGTTGCAACCGAAACATTTTTGAAGGAAGTGCTTTCCTCAATTTTTAGCAAGACGAGGAGTAATGGCCCTGGAACAGCTGGAAGCGCTGGTACAGGTGGTGGTGCTGCTTGGATTCAAACCCAGAAATATCGTGTTCAACTCGAAAAGGAGGAAGAAGCTTGGTTGCGAGGAGAGATACAGAGAGATAAAGTCGGACTGTTACCGGTTGAAGCCAAAGCAGCCAGTGACCGAGCGCCACTGGGGATGGCAGATGTTCGAACTGCTCTCGAGCTAGGTGATTGTGGTCTAGGTCAGATGCCTGTTGTTATGGAGCAGATAGTGTTTGGTTACCGAGAAGGGGAGCTGGAGGCGTGGGATGACTATTCTTACCTTGAGGGATATTCTATTCCTCCAATCCAAGACATCGACGGAGACACTACAATGGGGGGCACAAATGGTGTCAGCGGTACGAACGGCGTCAACCATGATTACGATGCTGAAAGCGATTCAGGATGGGTCGGTGGCGAATTTGAAGACAAGGCTGAGCTTGACGATCTTCTTGATTCATGTCTTGCTATTGGAGCTTAACAGTAAGCTCTTGTACACGTTCCGTAGGCGTTGAGATATTGCATTTTGGACAGGCTGCATTGCATGGCATGCATGGCGTACGCGGTACTCTGATGTTTTACACTTCGGTTTTATTTGTATAAACAGGTGCATACGGAGCAGGGCGTCTGGGAATCGGGATTCTTATGGAGGACGATACCCTGGCAGGTTCTTTCAAAGCGAATCGATAGTAATCTTACCATATTATATAGCTAACAAAGAGATATACACTCAAAAAGATACAACATATATATAGGTATATCATCTTACTCGCTTAGTCTAGACATAGTTTCTGAGGGATTAGCTACTTAGCCAGGTAATTACTTAGCTCAGTCGTTACCTAGGTACGTAGGTAGGTAGATCTCGAGCAGACCTGGGCCTGGGGACCTCCTACGAACTTCGCATCCTCGCACCCTTGTACAGAGCATCCCTGAAGTGGGGCATGCTGCAACCCCGAACACCCAAACATCCCACCTCAGCCTCGCTATTTGTGTCAGCCTTGGTTTGAGGACGAAACTACCCTTTTACTTGTATCCAACAAAGGCGCAGGAACATTGTTTTTAGAAACGCTGATTGATAAGTACTTCAAAGCATCATGTCTGTCACGATTGAGAAAATCCTCGCAGCTTCGCCCAACACAGAGCGGGGTCGTCCAACGCAGCTCTCCACGGATCCTAAGGGAGAGCGTATAGCATACGCCGTAAGTGTCAGCACAGCTAAGCATCATTAACTTTTGTTGACATGTTGAAAAGTCTGGGAAATCAGTATTCCTGCGGTCTCTTGATGATCCCTCTCTCAGCAAGCAGTACACAACTCACACTGCCCAAACGACAGTTGCGCGATTCTCACCTTCTGGGTTCTATATCGCGTCTGGCGATGTCTCCGGGGCCGTCAAAGTATGGGACGCAGTTGAGGGTGTCAACACAAAAGGTAAATTCTTTCCCGTAGTAAGAATCGTGCAAATACTGATTGCAATCGTAGGGGAATACCATATCATATCCGGCCGGATAAACGATATCGCATGGGACGGAGACTCCCAACGTATAATCGCAGTAGGTGATGGACGAGAAAGATTCGGCCACTGCATAACAGCAGACAGCGGGAATTCTGTCGGTGAAATCAGTGGTCACTCAGCTATCATCAACTCCGTTTCCATCCGCCAACAACGCCCTCTCAGAGCTGCTACGGGTGCGGATGATAGTAGCATGGTCTTCCTCCATGGAGCACCTTTCAAATACCAAAACAAGTTGGGAGGTTTACACAAAGGGTATCTTTATGGTGTCGGGTTCTCACCGGATGGAAGTCAACTTGTTAGTGTAGGTGCGGACAGGAGAATTCAACTTTATGATGGGAAGAGCGGTGAACCGACAACGCAGATAGGAGAGGGTGAGCATAAGGGAAGCATATTTGGAGTGTCTTGGGCCAAAGACTCCAAAAGATTTGTCACCGCCAGTGCCGATCAGACAGTGAAACTCTGGGATGTGGAAGCCGGAAAGGCTGTTCAGACTTGGAGGTTTGGTGGAGATGGAAATGTCAGTATTCCAGATCATCAGGTTGGTGTGGTCTGGCCAGCGGGACGTAGCGACGGTATGGTTGTGAGTCTGAATCTAGCTGGTGATCTCAACTATCTTGCGGAAGGAACCCCTACTCCTACAAAGGTCGTTCAAGGCCATAACAAGAGTGTGACCGCATTTGGGAGCAGTCAGGATGGAAAAAGTCAGACTTTCTGGACAGGCAGTTTCGAGGGTCGGGTCTGCTCATGGGACAGCGAAACGGGTGTTGGTTCTGCTGTTGACGGCCAAACCCACTCCAACCAAGTATCGTCATTTACAACAACTAACGGTAGAGCTTATAGCGTTGGCTGGGACGACACGTTGAGAATCGCTGATACGTCAAATAATACATTCCTCGGAGATGCCTCAAAGCTTTCTGGCCAGCCGAAGGGTGTTTCGTCCGCCGATGGACGAATATTCATAGCCACAACATCAGGAATCGAAATATTCTCGAATGACAAGGCAGTGGGCTCTCTACTGACGAAAGACTTCACACCTACCGCAATTGCCGCTTCAGGAACTACTGTAGCTGTCGGCGACGATCAGAATGTTATCCATATTTACTCAGTGGATTCCAGCAATAAGTTGACAGAGAAGGAGAAACTTACAGTTTCCACCTCTCAGATAACCACCCTCTCTTTTACCTCGTCAGGCTCTTTTCTCGCTGCAGGTAATTCCGCGGGCAAGATCTACGTCTTCGACAGCGGCTCATGGAAAGTGAAGACTGATCGCTGGTCCGCCCACACTGCTAGGGTAACCTGCATAGCCTGGAATGACGAGGAGACGCACGCGGTTAGCGGTGGTCTCGATACCAACGTCTTCGTATGGAGTCTGAAAGCGCCTGGAAAGAGAGTCAAGGCAGCGAATGCCCATAAGGATGGTGTCAATGGTGTTGTCTGGGTCGGCTCTGGGAAGGTAGCTAGCAGTGGTGGTGATGCGGCTTTGAAGATTTGGAAGGTTGCGGGCTTAGAATAGACTTTAGAAGTTATTTGCTAGATCTGTGGCTTCAAAATATCAAAAGTTATGATTAGAAGGTTTTTTTTGGGTTAAGCAACGTATTTGAGGATTTGGCACGCATGCAAGAATCTTGCATCTGTAGGTAAAATCAACATGAAAAGCAGAATCTGGTCTATAATATGATATATGCATCCCATCAAGTACTGTAATTATTAGGGCTCAGCAGATTGCGCAAAATTCAGCAAGCGTAATTTTGGAAAAGATCGCTTCATCAACCACAAACACAGAACGACCTCCTTACCAGGGAAGCACAAGCACACAAAGCACATCAGAAGTGAGTAAAGTAATTCGTGTTTCATCGAATTGATTGGTGGTATAAAAATGTCAACGCTCTCCTAAACTTAAACGCCACTCGTTCTTATGCTACTTTAAGGGATATGTCTTCTTCGTGTACTTAGGTATCCTACATCATGTGCAGCATTTCGTATTCTATGCCGAAAACGTGTCTAATGTTACTGCAATTTCAACAATTCTTCATCCACAGCCCCAAATAGCATCTCAACTTCTTTTTCTACTTTGCCAATCTCTTCTGCAAGTTGGCCTGTGACGAGCGCGTACGCATATATCAACTCGTAATCTTCGTCTTTCGCTACCACAACGCTCGGATCTTCACTGCTAGATGCAGATTTCCTGTAATGGAATATCTTGGTTAGAAGGCGATCGCGAGGATTGGCAGCGCTAGGAAGAGCATCGTTCATAGGGTATTCGAGTTTGAGGGACGAGGCAAGAACCTGGAAGAGATGAGAGATTCGAGCGCAGAGTTGGGTACGTTCTTCAACCGTATACTTGAGCAATATCGTTTCGCCTGGCGAAGGGTTTGGATCCTTTTGCATGACAACATTCATAGCGTGGAATGCGTCAAGCATTTTGTTTGTAGAGTCTAATATTCTCCCATATGCTTTGAGCGGAAAGGGTCCCCGAAGTTCAAATTCGCTTGCCGCGGAGTTTTTGAGATTTTCGAGCCGTAGAACTATACACAATTAGAATTGAGAGTTGAAAATCAGGAGAAAGAATAGCGAGAGCCTACCGTATCTCTGCAGTGCAAACTCCTCCCGAAGATTCATATAGCTTTCTGCAGACTCTCCGTCGATGAGAGCAGATAAAGGATCTCTTTTCCAAATAAGACCCATGCGTAACCAAAGTAAAGATAACCCATCCTTAAACTTTTGCCTCGCTGAGATCGGCCAGATGACTCTTGATATGATCAAACCCCACACCACTCCTAGCAGAACAGACACAACTCTATGCGCCGCGATTTCTACGATCGCGGGAGTCTCTCCACCCTCATCGTCGTCGTATTCAGCTTCTCGTGCAGAAAGACTGTAAGCGTACAAGCACGAGAGGTTATAAGTCAGGAGGAGAAATCGACCGAGAGGTCCTTTACCTTTCGCGACGATAAGGTAGAAGCAAGGCATGCTGACGAGCCATCCACAAATTGCGAGTGCAAATGGATTTGCTTGGCAGCTGGCCCAAACTATAGCAGCAACAATAGCACCAATAAAGGTACCACCAAAACGAGCGAATCCTGTAGTATTTGATGCTCCAATAGTCATACTGCACACCAACATAAAAGATAGCAGTCCCCATTCTCCTCTCCAGTGTCGATATATAGGCCGCGTCTCGGGAATGAATGCGAAGAGTGCCCATAGTGAGGCGCCAATGCCAACCTTCATAGCGAAACGTACTTATTATGTGTCAGTGACGGCGAACGCGTACAAAATGGGAGCAACACTCACTGTCATCTCTCTCTAAGAATCTTACAATAGACAGCAGCCACTGGTAAATCCCTATTGTGCTACTCTCTTGTCCCTCGGTATCAGATTTCCAAGATCTTGATTGCCGTCGTTGAAGAACCAAGTTAGGCAAGTCCTTTGGTACTGAGGTCTCAGCATTCTGATCTATAAGATTCTCTTGCTCTGGATCTTGATGATTTTTGCTCGGTTGACTATTTTGCCAAAATCGCACCCATTTCCACGACCTTTGCGGTCGGTTTTTAATAACATCTTTCAACTCCTCAAGAATTCCAAGGAAATTTTGCATTTCCTCGGCGAAAGATTCAAGTGAAAAACTGAAATGCCCACAACTAGCAGCTACTTCCTCAAAATCTGCTTCAACGCTGGCCGGTCTATCACGGTCCATCTCCTTAGATTTGTAGAGTTCTTTTAGCGCTTCGGAGCGAGCACTACTATAGAGTTTCCTAGAAGATATCAGAACATTGGAGACATACGACAAAAACTCAGACCTACAAAGCTTCCGTCAAACTGGTTTGGAAATTGTCATTGATAGCTATTTCGTACGCTGGCCCTTCTCCAAACGGTAGTTCGTCGAGGATTTGTGAGAGGGTATAAGCCAAGGATTTCATAGAAGGGCCTAGCTGCATGATAAATTGAGAGAATATTTCGGAAGGTGTTCGTACAGTTGGCAATAGACTACTGGTTGTACTCCCTTGCCTACGCACCTGCTGGGGACGCGGCTGCTCCCCTTGATCTTCGGCACCACTGCCTTCCTCAGATGCCTCTTCGATAGCTGTCAATATGGCAAAACGATCTTGCTTGACTGTAGAGGAGACCGAGCCTTGCATTTTTGGAATCGAGAAGGAGTTCTCATAGGGTGTGTTGCCCCCGTTCCCGGATTCTCGTAGTAGTGCAAATTGGGTTGTTGCAGCGCTGCGAAGGCCACCTATAGATTGTGCAAGAGTTTGCAGGCAGTTTACAAGCTTAGTTTCCAGTTTATACTGTTCTTCTCTGCCCAGAAAATAATGCTCAAACTTAGCTTCCCTGAGATTTTTGGTCATTTGTGTAAAGACTGCTTTATACTGACCCAAAGCTTTGTTGAAGGATGATGATCGTAGGTCGCTTTCAGATCCGCTGAGAAATCCCCTGGTGATCATCGTGAGCATAGATGAAAGTGAGTCGGTCGTCTTGATCATGGTCTCGCGAAGCTCAGTCCGCGCTGAGACTGGCCATACCAAGAGACAAACCACAAAAGATGTAGACAAGCCCATTATCACCATCTTTAGAACCTGAACTATCTTGTCATCAGAAAACACGCCAGTCACGATGGCATTCTCCTTCGTCAATACGGTGATGATGGCAATACTAGCCAAGCTCGCAGCAACATTTACCAAAGGCGAGTTGAACCTCTGCTTCAGCCATCCCACCAAGCCGAGACCTCCGCCACAAAATACCACAATTACCAGGGCGTATGCGACTTCGATTTGATTTAACTGGGTTTCGAAGAACACTGAAGTCGCCATACTGGAAATAGATATGAATGTCGCATACAAAAAGGCAGCTATTCCGAGTAGAGCCCCCTCCTCCATGGAGCCAGCAGACCTTGCAGGATGGAAGTAGACAGTGATGGTCGCTACGATGTGTTTGCCATCTTGTTTACCCAGAAAGCTAGCAATGAAAGGCACAAATGTTGCCATGCTTCCGATCAAATATGCCAAAGAGCATTTCAGGACGCCTTTCGCGACAGGAGTTTGAAGCCATTGCCAAAATTCTTTCACGGAAGCCGTAGTGTTTTCTACGGCGTTTCTGTACGTCCCAGCTCTCGAGTAAGTCCGGCGCAGAGGTGGAAAGTGGCTTTCGCCATCGTTTTCGTCGATCGAGGACGGTCCCGAATAGTTCGCTGGGTTTCGCAATGTTATTTGCCGTCGCACTCGCTCACCAGTCGCAGGTAGTATGAATGTACCGTTCCTAGGCTTCTGTGTATCCCACCAATGTGTTAGCCGTAGCGGTTGTACTCTTGATCGAAGCTGGAACTAACGTTTCGTCGTGACCAACGACTTAATCTTCGCCCTGTGGGAGGCGATGGGCCGTCTAGAGCTGACGGGGAGCTCATTTCTGTTTTCGCATATTCTTCTACTTCGCGCTGTAAATGAGCGTGTTGTTGTTGATGACGATGATGGGGGTCGCAGGTTTTACATAAAATAGCTCTGGTGTTGTTGATCTTGGACATGCGTGGTCAATGACAACCATGCTTTTCCCCGGATTCTGGCGGCTGCAAGAGCTCCCCTGTCATCATCTATGTCTTGGCAATCTACCAACCTAATCCACTCGCCTAACATCGACATGATGGGAGAAACGAAGCAGGTTCTGAACATTGTCATGTTTCAGCTATTTGTTCGATGCTATAGCGACTTGGAAGAATTTAATCAAAGTGGCTAGACGTGATTTCTTTCTACTTCTCAATGTGGAGACGGATCACTTCATCTAAGGGAACGTCACATACGGGCATATGAAAGCAGTCACTTACAAACGTGAGAGAAAACGAAGGTGTTTTTGACTTAATATCCCACTAACAAAAGCATGTGGCCAACACACCTAAATTTAGGATTAAGTAGCAATTTTTTAACATGCAATGAGAAGTACGGGATGAATTCTGTTGGGGCGTCGATCGCTGAAGTATAGTTATCTGACAAGATTGACCGATATTAGGACCTCTTTTAATATGCTTCCCCTAGTGCCATGATATAAGTCGTCCTGGCTCTGCTCCCGATTTCTTAAAATGATTTCAATGCCAGGTACCTTTTTAAACACTGGTGCTCAATAGTATTTGCATCCCATCTGCTCCACGATGCAATGTGTACCAATTCCACCGAGTCGACAAAACAGTTATGCGAATAGAATTTCCTGCTCGAATCACCGAAAAATTCAGACTAATTAGCCAAGTATGATATGCTAGTTTAAGTCCTTCGGAGTTGTATAACTGTAGCTCTTTCATACTTGAAAGCGCCCTTGGAATATTGCTCTCTGCCAATCTTGTAATTGGAGTCAAGAGTCCAAAGGCCAGTTAACAGTGAAGAGAGGATCTTCGATTGAAAAGAGCCTCGGATTTGATTAGCCATCACTGTCGTCCCCAACACCGCTACCGTCAGAGTAGTCCTCGTCACTAGTGTCATCGATTTTAGTCGGGTCGTCGGGCATTTCGTATTGCCGAGGTATCAGCTCGACTTCGTCTTCCTCTTCCTCTGGACCATCAAGTGGTGCTTCCCAAGCAATCATGAGCTCTTCAAAACACCTCCTAACATTCCGTTTTACTTCTACCTCCAGATGGCTTCTGAGCCGCTCCTCTTCGCTCTTGCATTCTTCTTTAGTGCAGTTGAGCGTAAGTTCTTCGAACTCCGCCCGCGCCTGTTCAATCACTGGGTCTGTACCTTTGGCAAACTCGTCGGGAAGAGAAGCCCAGACTTGAGATAAATCTTCTCTGATTGCCAAGCTACACTTTTTAAGCATACGGTCGCTTGATTGTTTCGCATGCTCGTTATGAGTATCTATATTCCGTTTGAAATGACCTCTTCCTATAAGTCGGGAATCAGAAAGTCTCAAGTATTAACGTTTTAGTTGTAGCTTACCATATTGCTCACCGCACAGAACGAATGTATTATCCCAAACTGTTCTGACAACAGGTTTGACTTTACGATGAGCTTCCCGAGCACCTTCTTGTATTGTTTCAGCGAATATTCTCGCACTGTTCTTCTCAAGAGCGGCTGGCGTTCTCAGCGTGCTCTCCTTCAAGTCTTGAAAAGCATCATACAGCTGAGGATAAGGAACAAGAATTCGTTGTTGAAGGGCAGTAACAAACGATTCAATGCATTCGGCGACTTTACTATCGTAACCCCCTTTCAGTGCGGGAATTGCTTTATGAATTGTTTTCAACCATTGATTTGTCAAAGGTTCAAGATAAATCCCAACTCTAATACAATTATTATCGTACGTAACCAAATTACAGAGGGGCAATCAAAACTTACAGATCGTCGCACCAGCTGAGTTGCAGACCCCCACTAGTAGTCCAAGTTCCCAGTGCGCGATTGCACGCTCTATGGCTTGCCCAGTGGACAGGCTTCTGTGCCCATCTATTGACGGTGAGTTGAACAGTTGATACTCCCTTGCGCTCAATCTCTTCCATAGCGTCAGAGAAATCACCAGCAATCAGCTCCTCGCATGAGTCGATAAGATCTTGTAAAACAATTTGGAAATGCTGGCCGCGAAGATTAGAAAACGCACTCCCCAACATTTCTAATGATCCATCAGAATACATACCTTGATCAAATCCTGTAAGGCTGACTCAAAGTCTCTGCATATGGCTTCTTTCTCAGCTCCATTCAGTTTCGAATCGATTGAACTGTCCGATAGCCAAGGTCCCATAGAGATCTGAAAATGCTTGAAGCTTTCCAAGAAAGCCACTGCATTGTCATTGCGGGTGTCTAGTGTTGTCTTTGTCATCCATCGGCGAAGTTTACTGATCCCCGTATCGCTCCTCTTGGGAAATCCTGGGACAAGATCCGAGCTGGTACGCCACAGTGAGTGTGCGGTGGAAGACACGCAAAATACTTGAAGCAAACTACCAGCAGCCGGCGAAAGCGGATTAGGGACAGATTCGAAGTCTTGCCTGAGCTCAAACGTCGATGTTTCGTTACGCTTGTTGATGCAAGCTCCTTTCTGTCTGCTTTCTAAAACTTCGAGGTTATATTGGAGTGTTTCTATATGCTCATTCGACTTCACAAGAAATCTGGCAGTTCTAGCGGCCTGCTTCTCATGTGCAGCTATTCTTGCCTCCAACTCCATCAGATTGTTTCGCATAGCTTGTTCTTCTGGTTTCCCCGGTACCCCGTGTAAGGTTACAGCTATAATATAGTATTAGAATTGAAAGTCAAAGCGATAAAGAGAACCATCTTACCTGATGCTTCGGCTTCATCATTGCGCTTGCGTTTCTTTGAAGATTTTCCTCGCAGAGCACCCAACGCCCGTGAGGCTTGCTTATGCTCTTTACGGAGCGACTTTCCTAGTTCTGTCTCAGACCTTGATGTTGCTTGTGCTTCGCCAAAATATATCTTCCATGTGTTCAGATTTTCGGAATAATCTTTGTGTAACTGGAGCTCGCCCGCAATGGCCGCTTCAACATCAGGATTTTGCTGAAGATAACGTTTGACGTTTATCGAAGCGTCGGTTTTGGTAACGATAAAGCACAAGTTCTCGGTAGAAAAGCGATTATCGAGCTGCAAACTTAGCTGTAGAGCTTTCCCCAGCAGATCTTGAGCCTGCAAATAATTAGTACGTGTAAATTAAGGTACATTTGGCAATACCTACCGGTTTGTCTGTTGCTGCTCTTGTTGCAGGTGCCACAACACAAGTGACTTTAAGATTCTTTTGGTATTTTTCAGCGATGATACCTCGTGCTACATTCGAGTCGGCAGATCCAGGCAGATCCACAAGTACTAAGCCATGCTCGAGGAGTGGTGCGGGGATTCGCAGGCGTACAAGCTTCACTAATGGCCATTGCGCATAAGTTTTACCAAGTCCACCATTCGTAGCACCGCTGGCAATAAATGGCCTGATTTCTGCTGCAAACTTATCTCTGTTTTTGTGAATTATTTGGTGGTCCTTCCCTAGAATACCTTTGACGTTGGGGTGAGATAAGAGACCTTTCGCAGTGTAGTCTTGCAAGTCCTTTGGATTCTTGATCTCTGGATATACACACTTGATTTTCGAAAATGCTGTCTTGATTCGATATTCTCGCTCGAGATCTGGTTCTTCGTCTTCGCAAGTGGCAACTTTTTCTCGGTCATCCAGATCTTTAAAAAGTTGATTCAACTCACTTTGCCAGTCTTCTTTGTCGATGCGTTCCACGACAGCCTCATACTCTAATTCTGCATTGAATGAAATTTCGACCACGCTGGCGGTGCAAGCTTTTTCATCATCTGCTGGGAGTAAATCTTCGTGCTCTAGTAAGACGTTGATGAGAGATGATTTGCCGGCACCGGACACCCCTAAAAATCCAACGAGTAATCTGCATTTCTTGTGATTCTCTCTGATCTTCTCTACCACAGAGTGTTAGTTCTGGTCAATGAACCGATTTTGATCTGTAAAGGGCATGGGAGGAACGCAGACTGGGTTGAGAAATTTTCTCGTCTCAGACTTACCAATTGCTGCGATGTGCCTAGCAAGGCTTTTGATACCAGTAGTGCTATGAAGAATCTTTTCAATACGATCCATACAGGCTAAGCTATCATCAACAGCTCTTTCTTTCACCTCAATTTGTTGAAGCCGCTCGAGATCCTCGCAATTTTGCCACAATGGTTTGTTGACCTCTCGGTTGGAAAGTTGTTCTTGTCCAAGATCGGCATTGACAAGCAGATCTGGAGCTGTGTTGGGGAGCATGTTTGATTCACAGTTGACAGTTTGATCGAATGTTCCTGGTTCATTCAATTCAGCGGCATGTGCCGAATTGAATTCTTCCTTGATCTTGCAGTTTGCCATTTTTGTAACGTAAGTCGGAGTTTCGCGGGATATTGGATGAGTTCTGACGATGGGCCGATCTTAGCTTCTTGACGTCTTCCATGCGTAAGTCAGGTGGGATGTTAAGGGAAGAATGAAGGTGAGGGCATACTCCCAAATCCGTATTCGAATTGCTAGATTGTTGTGATATAGCTGGAAGTTTAAATAATGGTAGAAAGGGCCCCAACCTTGAATTGCGGAGCTTCCCCAAAGCTACTATAGAGTATATCTCAAATATAGAAAAGAAAAAGTATGTATTCCCAGATCGATAAGGAGTGCGTATGGTCCGCAAGGTAGAAGCGGCGAATAAGCAATTTGAATAGTGAAGGCGAGGATATGTGAACTGAGTGCTAGATTCTATCTCCAAAGCTGAAACGGCGAACGCTTGTAAATCGTGTTCGAGGTGCTAAATATGGACAAATCAATGAGGCTAAGGAGACTTGAGAAGATAACACCTTGGAGATGATAAATAAGGGATGTCGAATATTTGCCGAGACGCAGGACTGATCAATTGAGCGTTGGGTTGAGGAAGAAATATAGGAAGGTAAGTGTAGTATCGCGGGACTATTCGATTCAAACTAAGCGTCAGGATGTGATGTAATTGACACTGCTTGAATCGATTCTACGAAGGTGAGCTGCTGATAGCTCTTAGGTCTGGATCTTAAGTAGTGGGCGAGCAAAGATAACCACCATGTTAAAAGAAAGCGAAGACGAGAGGAAGATCGCAGAATGACATGGGATAATCTGGGGAAACAGAGAGATACAGCCAATGCCCGATGCGACATTGGAATGTGCCTGCTGCTCCTTATGATAGAACACAACCAAAACACGTCAGAACACGATCGCCCAGTTTTTCATCCTACTGAAATGAATCATCGATGGCTGGTCTTCATTAAGTACAACTGAGGACCGCATTATAGATTAGCGACTTTTTGTATAGAACGTCGAATTCAGGAAGCGTCAAACTATCATCGGTGGGAAGACACAATCACACTTACTCTTGAGGACCCGTAGATTATAGACGCCCACGCAAATCAGTTTTAAGCTCCTGTTGCTTAACAGCCGAATGACAGGTTTGACACAGCTTAAACTGCCGAGCAGCAACTCCGAATGTCCTGAGATAGATTAGTATAACCCACGATCCCCAGAGATTATCAGGACGTGCTAGTCTAGAAAATGATTAGTAAATGGAGGTTTCTGCGTCCTAATAGGAGCACCCCAATGATATAGACGTCTCGAAAGCCTAACGACTAGGTTTCATGCCACATTCTGCGCACCGGCAAGGTTGTAGAACTCGAATGAGCGGCGCAAAGTTTCGATTTATACGTTTGTGCTGAGTACCTAGTTGTTTCCAATCTCCCCCTAATTATACATTGCTCCTTGCACAATTCCTCTACCAGTAAACTCCAAATATAGACAATGCTTTATCGTACATTCACGATCGTAAGATAGACGTGACTAGCCAGCGGTATTCTGGATTCGTGAACTCTCGACTTTACACCAGTTTCTTGATTGCATCGATCGCAAAGGGTGCTGCAGATCACTTGTTAGCAAGACTGCATTCAAGGCTGCTGTGTATCTTCGACTTACACAAGTACAGCAGAACGGCTCCAACAATAACTCTTTGCACTGTCACGATCGCTTCATCCTCCTGCGCCTTCAGCTGAATTTCACCTCAGTCAGTCAACAGATCCAGCAAAGAAAATAATCAAGAATTGCCGTCACAAACCTCGGCAGCACTTAAAGACGGTGGTGCTTAACAGATGTCAGCATTCGTCTAGTCTCAGCAGAGTAGATTTACTTACGTCCTCCAAACATGATGGCAGTCGGGTAAGAATAGGATTATTTTTGGTTTTGTCGTTGCAAATGAGGCTTGACAGGCTTGTGAGGTGACGGGAATAACTGAAAATACAGCGCAAGCCATCTCGGCTCGGGCAAATCGGAAAATCATTCCACCGAGATGACCCCAATTATGCATGCAGATAGCTCGGTTCCGTTATCGCCCCTCCGTAAGAGGGAAAGCTGCCGAGCTTTAAATTTATATTTCTATCTCGATTCTGGACCGAGTACAGTATCTTCCGACCTAATTGCCCGACATCTTTGATTGAAATCAAAACTTCAGATAAAATATTTTCTTTGCCCAATTTGCTCTTTGCTCTTGGAGCTCCACGATTGACAGGTTATCAATCACATTATGATGGGACGCTGACCGCCTACCCTCCTGCGCCAACCCCCACCAACGACGGTCAAAGAATTAACACGCGACTGCCAATTCATACGTTTCTCTGAATTCGACACGACTGCATGTTATTACAATGTTAATCTCTAGCTCTGCCGTTCGAACGCAGATTCGACGAGTTGCATCCCAGAAAACCTCTACGACATTTCGAAATAGCTCCCACCGAACTCTTCTTGCGAATCCGTGTCGATGCCCACCGCCGACCTACATATCTAAGAATAATGGTGCAAGGACTTTCTGGTCAAGCTCTACCAAGGATGGGTCAAATATAGAGAAAAGTGTGGTGGATGCACGAGGAGCCTATCCGCCTTTAGACACCTTCGCTCGCCGACATATTGGCCCTACGCCAGATGCTACGGAGCAGATGTTGAAAGCTTTAGACCCACCAGTCAGCAGTTTAGATGAATTTGTCAAGCAGGTCTTACCTAGCGACATTTTGTCCTCCTCCGATCTTGACATCGATTCAACAAATAATGGTAGCGAGGAGGGCTTCACAGAGTCGCAATTACTAGCACGACTACGCGCAATTGCTTCTCAGAACAAAATTGTTAGAAGCTACATTGGATGTGGATATGCGGGAACTCGAGTTCCGGAGGTCATAAAACGAAATGTTTTGGAAGGCCCAGGATGGTATACCAGCTACACACCATACCAGCCAGAGATCAGTCAAGGTCGACTGGAGTCATTGTTAAACTTTCAGACACTGGTGTGCGACCTCACGGCTTTACCAATATCGAATGCGTCGTTACTCGACGAAGGTACTGCTGCTGCAGAGGCCATGACTTTATCTATGAACGCACTTCCAATGGCTCGACAGAAGAGCAAGAACAAGACCTTTTTTGTTAGCCACTTGGTTCACCCACAGACTAAAGCTGTTTTGCAAAGTCGAGCAGATGGTTTTGACATCAAGATTGAGATTGGAGATGTACTTGCCGACGGAGGGCAACGGATCAAGGAGCTAGGGAATGATTTAATAGGCGTGCTTGTGCAATACCCAGATACTGAAGGTGGTGTTGAGGACTTCAAGGCACTTGGGGAAACCATTCATAAGCAAGGAGCAACTTTCAGCGTTGCGACGGACTTGCTCGCTCTGACTGTGCTCAGCCCACCAGGTGAATTTGGTGCAGATATTGCATTTGGAAATGCTCAGCGCTTCGGAGTACCCTTCGGATACGGAGGGCCTCACGCTGCTTTCTTTGCTGTCAGCGAAAAATATAAGCGGAAGATTCCAGGCCGTCTTATAGGTGTATCGAAGGACAGATTGGGTGACAAAGCTATGAGATTGGCATTGCAAACTCGCGAGCAACATATTAGGCGAGAGAAGGCAACGAGCAATGTATGCACAGCCCAAGCTTTGCTTGCGAACATGAGTGCTTTCTACGCTGTGTACCATGGGCCTCAAGGTCTAAAGAATATTGCAGAGCGAGCAATACTTGGCGCGAGAATCATTCAAGAGGGCGTTAACAAGCTTGGCTACGAAACGGGAACACGAGGCAAAGATGAAAACGGAAGAGTTCTGTTTGATACGGTAGTAGTCACGGTTGGAGAGGACAAGGTGGCCGCCTTTTTGGAGAGTGCGGAGCAGGAGCACAACATCAACCTACGAAACTTTGAGGATGGGAGAGTTGGTGTCACCATTGACGAGACTGTAGACTACCAAGATCTTCATGACATCCTCGCACTCTTCAGCTCGCATTCAAACAGTTCGCAGCAAAGCATTACTGTTGATCAGCTTGTGGAGTCACTACCTGGAAAAGGAAAAGTTGACATCCCGGAAGTATTCAAGAGAACTTCACGTTATCTTGATCATCCAGTGTTCAACTCTCACCACTCCGAGACCGAGCTTCTGCGATATATCCATCACTTACAATCCAAAGATCTTTCTCTTACTCATTCAATGATTCCGCTAGGATCATGTACGATGAAGCTTAACGCGACCACCGAGATGGCGCCCGTGACTTGGCCAGAGTTTGCATCTATACATCCGTTTGCCCCTGTTGCACAAGCTGGAGGCTACAAAACTATGATCGATGAGTTGGAGATGGACCTAGCCAAGATCACAGGCTTTGATGCCGTTTCATTACAGCCAAACTCTGGTGCGCAAGGCGAATTCACGGGTTTGCGAGTCATTCGTAAGTTCCAAGAACAACAGCCAGGGAAGAAACGAGATATCTGTTTGATTCCTGTCTCTGCACATGGAACAAATCCTGCCTCTGCAGCCATGGCTGGAATGCGTGTTGTAACCGTCAAGTGTGATACTAAATCTGGTAACCTTGATATGGCGGATCTCAAGTCAAAGTGCGAGAAATACAGCGAAGAATTGGGCGCCATTATGATCACATATCCTAGCACTTTTGGGGTATTTGAACCTGAAATCAAGGCAGTATGCGAAGTGGTTCATCAACATGGAGGGCAAGTCTACATGGATGGCGCGAACATGAACGCCCAAATTGGATTGTGCTCACCAGGAGAAATTGGAGCGGACGTGTGTCATCTCAACTTGCACAAGACTTTCTGTATTCCTCATGGTGGTGGCGGGCCAGGTGTTGGACCCATAGGAGTGAAATCACATCTCGCGCCATTCCTTCCTGGGCATCCATTGGTAGCAACTGGAGGGGACAAGGGGATTTCACCTGTGAGCGCTGCCCCGTGGGGTAGTGCCAGTATTTTGCCTATCAGTTGGGCCTACGTGAAAATGATGGGTAAGTAAGACTCTACTAGTGGACAAGTATAATGCTTACATTTATTAGGTGGTCGAGGATTGACACATGCAACCAAGATAACCTTGCTCAACGCCAACTATATCATGTCTCGGCTCCGCCCACACTATCCGATCTTATATACCAACTCGAATTCTCGTTGCGCGCACGAATTCATCTTGGACGTTCGAGGATTCAAAGAAACTGCTGGAATTGAAGCCATTGATGTTGCAAAGCGTCTCCAAGATTATGGTTTCCATGCACCAACCATGAGTTGGCCAGTTGCTAATACTCTCATGATTGAACCTACGGAATCCGAGAGTAAGGAGGAGCTCGACCGATTCATTGATGCTTTGATCTCAATCCGCGGTGAGATCCAGGCTGTTGAAGACGGAAAGGTTGAGAGGTCTGGCAATGTTCTCAAAAATTCGCCTCATTCACAGAAAGATCTACTCATCGGTCAATGGGATCGTTCATACACTCGCGAACAAGCTGCATACCCGCTCCCTTGGCTGAAAGAAAAGAAATTCTGGCCAACTGTCACCAGACTGGACGATGGTAAGTCTCTTCTAAGTAACTGCTGCTTTGACCACTCTAACATTGTATCAGCTTATGGAGATCTCAATCTCTTCTGTACCTGTGGGCCTGTAGAGCCAGTTGACGAGTCCGAAGACGGCATCACCGGTGCTTCGGCTCCGAACCCTACATAATGTAATTGCACTATAGATTCGGCGGACACACAAAAAGTGGGCGCTTGCTGAGTTTAAATAATTTCAACATTAGACTATTCTAGCGAGGGCGTTTTGTGAATAAGTCCTCGAATCGAGGCAAGGTGGCTTGGAGATTTCTTGCATGGCGTTTGAGATTTAGATATTGGAAATGGCTTCAACTGCCAAAATTTTAGACAGTTTAGATGATATAAATGACAAATCAGAGATGGTCCTTTGAGGCTTATGACCTACGAAGACACACTTCTTGTTTTTTCGTTCATCTTGTTGCTGCAAGCTTTCAATACTGGAAAGACACATGCGTACCGCGGGGGTTTATGCGCATTTACAACAATAAATATGTGTTACATGTTTCCATATATACGCTGTACCCTTAACACGTGAAATGAAATTCGCTTGAAGTAGAAATACTCCATTTTGACAAACTATGTACACCATCTCAATTACCATTTTCCTACCAGCATTTCCTTTCCACAAACAAGGACCTCTATGGCCCGTGATGTGAGTATTGCTGCTTCTTCCGGAGGTGTACCGGAACCTCGTCTTTAGGTGCATCTGGGATAGTTTTTTCAAGTTTCTGAGGGTCAGATGATGTTAGCAGAATCAATTTGAAGGTGACATGAAAAAGAGTTTTTCAGAAAGTGCTACAAAAGAAGAGGTATTTATTTTGGTTGGGATAGACTTACCAGGTTATCGAATACACATTTGTTTAATTTCCATTCTGCTGGCCGACATTGCCATAACTGCTGGTTGTTGTTGTCTAAGCATGTCCAGTGCTTTCGAAATTCAGCAAGACAATGTGTGTTTATATCCTCGATGCTATTCATCTCACGATTAGCATAATCCTATCCAACCTGTGACTTCGCTCCATAGAACGAGGTTGCGTCCATCCCCCCATCAAAAGCCCCCTATTCTGACGATAGATTCCCTACACGCAATAACGCGCAGGAGCGAGTATTTTACTTACACACTCTTCGCGCAGCGAGTCACCCTCCTGCCCTCCTTCAGGCAGTCCAATTCTCCTCTTCCCGGCTTCTCGGTCTTGCATTGCATGAAATCATCGTTATATGCCTTGCACCTCGCTCCGATGAAGAAACTTGCACTTAATAACGGGGCGGAACTCGCTCCAATCTCTGTCACCGCTGGGATCGAAGCTGGGAGGGGAGTGGTGTCTACGAGGGTGGTTTGATTGAACCTGCGGGCAGTTAGTATTGGGAATGGCCACAGGAGATAAGCCAAATGAGATGTGACTTAGAAGACCTACCTGGCTTCGCGGCCTGCCATGATGGAGTTTTAGAGGGGTTTAGGAGGCTGTGGGGTGTTCAATTGGATTTGGGATACTGGAGCTTCGACGTGAGGTTGGACCTGCAGGAACAAGCTCCCGTTGGGCCTGAGGCTGCAAATCGACAAATGCCAAACACTCGGCGATAAAAGAACCATCGGCGATTAGATCAACCTTATCGCGATAAAAGTTTTTGGACAATCGAAAACTTGCGACAACCTACGACCATTGAACCCATCTGCGACCATACACGATGGTTCCTGTGCCGGAACAAAAGAAGGACCCAAGGGCTTGGGATGCTCTTACGCCTTCATTGGCGGAGTGGATTCTAGATGCAATTGCTGCAATGGGGTTTGCGAAAATGACACCCGTCCAGGCTTCGACAATTCCCCTCTTTATGGGGAATAAAGACGTTGTCGTCGAGGTATGAAAAACCTCAAAGCGCCCGACTTACGCTGATAGAAGTAGGCTGTTACCGGTAGTGGAAAGACTTTGGCATTCCTAATACCGGTTGTGGAAAAATTGCTGCGACTGGAAGAACCACTCAAAAAGCATCATGTCGGCGCGATTATTGTTTCGCCTACACGTGAACTGGCAACGCAGATACATACCGTCTTACTCTCCTTATTAGCATTCCACGAACCTTCGGCAGAGGCGCTGAAACCATTGGAAGATGGCGAAAAGAGACGACCGACGTCTGCACTTACTGTCTTACCCCAACTTCTTCTCGGCGGCACGACAACACCTGCGCAAGATCTTAGTCGATTCTTAAAAAACAGTCCAAACATACTCATATCGACGCCTGGGCGGCTGCTCGAGCTTCTGTCTTCTCCTCATGTCCATTGCCCTCAGTCGTCTTTTGAAGTATTGGTTCTAGACGAAGCGGATCGACTTTTGGATTTAGGATTCAAGGATGATTTGCAAAAGATAATAGGACGATTACCAAAACAGCGAAGGACTGGTTTGTTCAGTGCGAGTGTTAGTGAAGCTGTAGGGGAAATTGTAAGGGTTGGATTGAGGAACCCAGTCAAAATCGCTGTAAAAGTGAAAAGTGCTTCCGGAGATGACAAGAGGACGCCAGCGAGTTTACAGATGTCTTATCTTTTAACACCTGCGAGCCATAAATTTCCAGCGCTTCTTTCTCTCTTAGAACAATTAGACCCGACACCCCAGAAAAGCATCATATATCTTTCGACGTGTGCTGCTGTCGACTACTTTCAGCACATACTCTCCGCGTTATTACCACAAAACTTTTCATTAATACCACTACACGGGAAACACCCTCCGAATGTTCGCCAGAAGAACTTTTCGAGATATGTCCAAGCTACCACACCTACAATTCTCCTTACGACAGATGTTGCAGCACGAGGATTGGATATTCCCCAAGTTGATCTCGTTGTTCAAATCGATCCTCCTTCTGATCCAAAAGTCTTTCTCCATCGCTGCGGTCGAGCCGGTCGAGCTGGTCGCCGTGGTCTAAGTGTTATATTTCTTCAACCTGGAGACGAAGAGGATTACATTCCGTTTCTGGATATCCGTAAGACGCCGATTACACCTCTTACCAAGCCAGTAATACATGTAACCGACGAAGACGCTAAATCGACGACTTCAAAGATCAGATCTGAAGTTCTAACCGACCGGGCCCTTTATGATAAAGGTCAACGGGCTTTTGTCAGCTGGGTACAGGCTTATTCGAAGCATCAAGCCAGCAGTATATTCCAAGTTTCGTCTCTTGACTGGACAGATCTTGGCAACGCCTGGGGACTTATTAAACTTCCAAAAATGCCAGAGCTGAAAAAGTGGGAAGGAGATAAATCTCTGGGTGTGAAGATTAGTATGTCAGAATACGCGTATAAGGATAAAGCGCGCGAGAAGGCGAGAAGGTTAGCTATGGAAGAAGAGAAAACTAAGGCACCATTTGTGCCAAGCGAAGAAATGCTTAAGAAGAGGAAGGAGAGAGAGGCCTGGAGCCACAAGCACGAACAGCAGGATGTCAAAGAAATGAGAAGGGATAAAAAGAAAAGGAAGAGAGAGGCGGAGCGGTTGGAGAAGATGACACCCGAAGAGAGGAAGAAGGAGGAAGAACTGCAAGCTTTAATCGAGGAGGTGAAAAGGAAAAGGATTGACGATGAGGCTCATGAGGAGTGGAATGGCTTTGATGAGTAAATTAATAATGTCAAAATGGGTATCTAATGACTTGCTACCTCGCCTCTGTGTGATTTTGATCTTGTTCGCCTCGAGTTTGGCTTTGATTTCCTTTAAATTTCAATGGCCGCCTCTCCCCTTCTGCCAATGTCCCTTTTCCAGCCAAGTCCCTATGCTTTTAAGCCCATGCTTCTCTTCTAAATCCGCCCACGGGTTCTCATTGAAAGTAGGATCATAATAATCAATATACCACGTTGGATTCCTCTGCCCTCCATGATTACCACCCCCACGACCCCCTCTATTCCCCACAAAGCCTCCTCGACCAAAATCATTATAACCAGGCGGAGGTCTCTGTGGAAGATTCGAGATGTGGGGTGACGCAACACCGGGCGGAAGTGAAGCTGGAGGTGGAAAAGACGGTAGCTCTGGTGGCAATGATATAGTATTTGAAGGCGGAGGCTGTATTGAATCCAGTATTGCGTCAATCTGTGTTTGTGCCTCCTTGTTTTCGCTCGATTGTATCTGTACCTCCACCGGCGCAGGCTGTGAAGTATCCAAATACCGCGGCCCATCCTCATCATCCTCAAGCTCAATCTCCCTTCCCTCGACCGGAATATCCTGATCAGGCCTAGAGCCTAGATAAACGCCGCCACCTTGTTCCTCCTCCTCGTCGTCGTCGAGCAGTATTTCCGCATCATTACTCCTTAGTGGGACAAATGCGGGCTTCTGCCCCAGAACTCTGCTCTTCCCTAATGGGATATCATTTCCACCGCTGCCTTTCCCCTTCTTTCCTCCGCGATCTATCTTCTGCAACTCCTGTCCGTCTACGAATGCATCTGTCGCGGCGTTGAACTTGCGTTTTTTGTGTGGTTGCTTGCTTGCGCCGAACGACGAGAACCCCATTGCCGCAGCCATTGCGGCTGCTTCGTCGTCTGAACCCGGTTCAGACATTTCGACAGATCGAATTAGAGTATGCAGAGTTCGCATGCCAATGCCGTGCTGGACGTTGGGGGCTGGAGCTCGTATGGATAGTATCAAGGAGGGGTCTAGGGTGCAAGGTTGAGGAAGGTTTAATAAACCGCGAGATGCAGCTGATTGGGGCACAATACTGGGCAATAATTGAGGAATATAAGTATACTCTAAAGGCGTCGCAATACCTCTGCTTATATCTGTAGTGCTGAAAGTTGCCGCGGTCTCAAATTATTATGGCTAAAAGGTAGGTGTTGGAGGTACAAACTCTGTGAGGTCGGAGTCTAGCCTCAGAGGGACGATCACAAGTCCACCACAACTATTTGTAGTGACGTAAGTTACAATTCACTGATTCAGAAGTTCTACGCCGTATTTATTGTAAAGATCTATGTAAGATATTTGCGAGTATAAAATGTTGTATGATCTTGGTAAGGCGTTTGTAAGATCTCTCTTGTTCTATACATTTTAGACGTTCGCCGCAATGATTGGTTGAGACATAACTCGGGTATAGCCCTCCTTTAAGGGCCTCTTTATCGATATTACATTTACTAGAAATTGGAATGCAATATCGAAAATTTTGTTTGCAAATTGCCTGTATACATGAAGCTTGAGAACATGGTACAAACCATGTAGAAATACTGCATTTTTCGTCTCCACGACTACGACATAACTCAATTTCCTCACTCTCATGGGCACTTTACCTCTGTCCATCTCGCGAGTAAAAAAAGAGAAGTCAAAGACGTAAATCCTGTGAGTCCATGAAAGCGACTATAATTTGGAATCTTACATTACATTATGAACAAGAAAGATACTTCTGGCTACCAATATTATCTTCAACATCGACTGTTTACTGCCCGCGAAATACTACAGCAAGAGCTTGAGATTCTACTCAATTTCAGGGCGTCGCGTAGGATTCTTTTGTCCTTTCTCTACTTAGTAGACAAAATTCTGTACCAATTCTGCAGTAACACAACCTTCTGCACCCGTGGCAGGTCCCCATTTCAACCCAGAATGCTATAACCCTCGTATGCTGTCGTTTCGCAGGCCAGAAAGTTCTCACCAGCGGCTTCCCCAGTCACGTTGACTTTTGTGCCAACAAGACCGTACTCAGTAGAACCACTGCCAGCCCCAAAGATGGCAAGGACGTCTCTTACTCCTTCGCCATCTTCAATGTGCATGTAGTATGGAGAATCTTCACCGGTGTCGAAGTCAAGGTATGTACCCTGGAAATAGGCCGGCGTACCGGGATACGCAGTCGGACGTTGAAGAATGAACTTGTAGATGCCCACGGTACCAGACGGATCGACGTTGAGAGAGAGATTGGGGAGGTTCGGGGTGACGACAGAAATGGCGAACCTTGCGGAAACTGGTGAGGCTGGGGTAGTGGTTGGAAGTGCGGTGGTTAGAGTGAGGAAAAATGATAGAGTAGAAAGTAGAGAAAACATGGTTGTGAAATGTTGGTAATTTGCTTTTGAACCTTTAACTATTCCGACTGAGTGTGAATTCCGGAAGCCGCTCTGACTGATTGATTGTTTTAATGAAGATGCTGCCACCTAGATACTCCGAGAGAGGGTGGATTTATACATCATTTGAAGATACTTGTAAAACTTTGAGCAGGGGATTTCCTAACTGGGCATCCCGAACGACGAGAAACGTCATTGATGCTGTTTGTGTCTATAATAGCAGTTCCAAAGAAACAACAAAGTTTGTTAACTAGCCTGGGACGATCCGCGAGCGCTAGAAAGCTTCGAAAGACCAATAGAAAACATCGCTGTGCCGATATTACTCCCCTCAAGAGCTAAGCGTGTAGCTGATGCTCAGGCGAACGTTAGCGTTGACATCAAAGGTGATTCGAAGCAGAACTGTTTTCACATAGATAGAGCCACTTGTCTCGATTTGGAAAGTAAAATAGTGGTTTACGCACAGATACTATGAGAATGATCAGCCCTCGTCACGTGCAATGCGTAACAATACTAATTGTTCCTAACTGCTTGAGTATGCATAAATGGGCACTCATTCGACATCCACTGGGTATGGAAATAGAATTCTCGGCTGCTCATGGCCCACTGACTCTACGGTCAACCACATGTCCATCATAATTATGACGCATGCATTGCAAATAATAGTGCGACCATGCAAAAAAACGGTAAAGGTAAACATCAAAAGATCTGGGGCACTCTACAGTCTTCTTGCTGCTGCAATGGTCCAGACATTTCTTAATCAAGAACGGAGGAAGTCGTGGCCTGCGTTCCTGTGGATATCGGTCCTATGTAAACGCCGGATATAACCCTGCCCAAACTCCTAAAACAGGAACGAAGACAGTATGTCGTACGTACAGCTCCGAAAGCTATTCGCCAACGTCCATCTCATCTTTAGCCGCCTCATGAGCTTCTTCTGCTTGCTTGTTCTTATCCTTACTCTCGTCCATGGCTTCTCGTTCCGCTTTCTGGTCTGGTTGGCCGAGCACATCTATTATGACATTCAGTATAGCCTCTTGATCTGCCTCGTCAGGGAAACGGTCAACCATTTCCTCGACGATTGTATTCAAATTGGCTGCTGTTGTAGGTCGCAGATTTAAGATCATTATAATCTCTCCTTTTGTGAAGTCCCAAGGTCGCAACCCTTCGAGAAGTCTTTTAATAGTTCCTTGATCATATGGCAAAGGACTTGAGCCAAGCGGTGATGGCGGCGCGCGAAGGTATTCGAGGAGCTGGACAGAAGTTAGAAATACGTCGTTGCAAGATTGTTTGATGGTCCAAGATCTTGATACCTCAATTGATAGCGTCGCAAGATTTCCAGGCCGCCTGTCCGATGGATCGAACTTTACTAGTTTGCCTCCTTTCCCTTTCTTTTCTTTTAATCGCTCAATTCTTTCATTTTTTCGACGCTCATAACGCTCCTCTTGTTCGACCAGATGGCAGTACACCTCATAATTTGTCAATACTGCTGATTGAGCCTCCAGAATCTTCATGCTGATAAGCTCGGGCTGCGCACTCTCGACAGGATGTTGCCGATGTTGGTTGTCAGCAATGCTTAAACCTCAGCGATTTTCGAAATATTGCTGGCCTGCCAAAGCTGCACGCGACGTCGCGAAGAGAAAATATTCGTAGCCTTGCAGAACCGAAACTACCCCACCATGCCGCTAATACCAGCCGGGTTTAGCCTAAGCTCGCCCGCTTTGAACCTTTTTTTTCTGAAGCTCTCGACGACACAAACGATTTTCAGTTCTTTGTACATTCGCAACACCACAACTCAAATGGAGTATACAATTCAGGGCCAGCTCGTTACTCTCCTCCCTATATTATAAGACCCGGCATCTTACCTCCCCTTTTCTCTCACCGCACGTTCGCGATCATTCGAGCCGCAGAGCCTCTCTTGCGCACGCCATTGCTCTCGCTTTCGTCACGGCCGCGGCTCTTGTCCGCCCACTTAACGAAATCCCGCACCCTCACCATTTTTTATCCATTCCTCAGGTCAATCGTAAGGTCAATTCCATTCAAACACCATCATGGTTCGCAACATTGTCGTCCTTGGGGGCAACTCCCACCCTCAGCTCATTCAAACCGTTTCCGACATACTCGGGGTCAGCCCCTGCAATCGCATCCTCAAGAAATTTTCGGTCGGAGAAAGCCGCTTGGAGATTCAAGATTCCGTACGCGGCAAGGACGTCTACATAATCCAATCTGGAGGTGGGAAGGTAAACGATAACTTCATCGATCTGTGCATTATGATATCTGCATGCAAAACCGGATCCGCGAAGCGCGTCACAGCAGTTCTACCTCTTTTCCCGTACTCTCGACAACCGGATGTACCTTACAACAAGGCTGGAGCTCCCCTGTCCAAAGCTCCCACCGATGTCAACAGAAACGATTTTACTTTCGAGAGTCGACCACCAACACCAGGCCCTGGCCATCCACAAAGTCAAGGCCTTGCTAATGGCAATGGCTCCGAGGCACTACATAAGAAGTTGGCGAAGACCTCAATGGACCAACAGAACGGACACACCTACACCAATGGAATAACCCCCAGACGATCGGATACGACTGATTCCCTTCAGTCACTGACAAATGGTCGAGAGCGTGATGGGTCTACAAGCTCGCAAAACGGGTATAGCTCTGGTCAACCGACTTTCACAACTCATGACTATGAGAATCAAGCAATGGTTGCCAGGAACATGTTCAATCCCAAGCCAGGATACAAACAATGGGTTGCACAGGCTGGAACGCTTGTTGCCGATCTTTTGACCTGTGCTGGGGCAGACCACATCATCACCATGGATCTCCATGATCCTCAATATCAAGGATATTTCGACATTCCAGTGGACAATCTATACGGCAAAAGCATTTTGAAGAGATATATTCAGGTTAATATTCCCAATTTCAGAGATGCGGTCATTGTGAGTCCCGACGCCGGAGGCGCAAAGCGAGCGACCGCAATCGCAGATGATCTCAATGTTGAGTTTGCATTGATCCATAAGGTAATACTTCCTAGAACCCTCTGCCTGCGCAAACTCATATCCACTAGGAACGTCGACCTACTCGTATCACCGACCGCCAAAATGCTACCATGATGCTGGTGGGAAATGTCGCAAACCGTGTTTGCATTCTCGTGGATGATTTGGCCGATACATCAAACACAATTACCAGGGCCGCTAAGCTGCTGAAAAAAGAGGGCGCGACACACGTCTATGCTTTGCTCACCCACGGCATATTCAGTGGAGATGCTATCGCCCGAATCAATGCCTCTGCTCTCGACAAAGTTGTTGTGACTAATAGCGTACCACAAGAGGAGCACCTTCGCTTGTGCCCCAAGCTGGAAGTTTTGGAGGTTGGTAGTGTCTTTGCTGAGGCGATCCGCCGAGTCCATCATGGAGAATCTATCAGCGCCCTCTTTTGGGACTAGGTGGTAGGCTGTAGGCGTTTCTTACGGGATTTCGTTATGTTTTGGAGAGGGCTGCATTCATTCTGGCGTTCAATGGAATAGATGGGTGTTGGTTATCTGTGGTAGTAAGCTCTGCGCTATGCCTTGCCTACCGCTATGCCAGATACAATTGCTATACCCATAAACTGCTCTGCGGATCATACTGATTTCAATGATCTATGGGAGACATAGAGTAAGTTCTATATGGTTTCCCACTGAACGCTTTCCCAAGTGCTGGATCAAGGCGTGTTTGCGATATATTGTTTGATTGTAGAGAGTTGTTAGAATAGAAGGTCTCAGTTGGCAACTACTGCTCAAAATACCGAGTAATTGTTCTCCTGGATTCATGCGTTCGCTTACCTGTGAACTGTGATTTTTGTGATCGTAGTGACAACATGACGTCTTGTTGGTCAAAGCTGTCTATTTTCAAATCCACCGTCAGATCGGAATTCTCGCGGCTATTGGTACGACATTAGTCGCGCAATTGTCAGCCGGTATATATTAGTCTACTACCACGTTACAATTTGCCACCTGATGCAACAGCATGGTAAGTAGTATCGTATTTCTCATCACACTCTCTGACCGCTTGCTTTGCAGTTCGTGCATTGTTAACACGACGGTTTCCATCTCCATTTTCGATACCGGGAGTTAGTATGACGTCCGATCTCGTATTCAGCATCGCAAAAGACGCTTTTCTTCACGTGGATCATCTCAAGAGCCCGAGTCCTGTCTTCTGAGTCCCAAATAGACGATAAATGGGGGTATATGCGACTATTACCATGAAACGTATAGATGCCGATCACCTTCAAGTCCACGCCAAGCGTCAGTCTATCCAATGCAATACTGCACGAAAACGAAGTTTATCCGCTGCGTGGGTTTTCCAAAAAGAAATTGCCCGGTTTGCAGAGCATATGCACACCATTTACGCTTTCCGTCATCGTATAGGTCTCGCTTAAACACGATGTGCAAAGCTTTGACTGGAAGGTGGTGAGTGTGACTTCTATTTCGGTCTGTCCGGAGAGGAAAGGAGCCTCCTTGTTGCAAGCGATGGGTTTAAACTGATTGCCTTTTTGGTGATGGTAAGGGAACCCCGGATTTGGGCGCATAACGGATGCGGCATTCCTCTTGAAGATCGGAAGCATATACGAGAGGTGATCCCTAGGCTAAAATGCAGCAAAGTGCCGATTTGGAGGCTTAGCGAGTGGGTTAGTATACGGGAGGTGTCGGTGTATGATTGTATGGCTGAGGATCGTCACGACAATTCCAATGGTGAGTTCTTCGTTTCTTCTAGAGGTTGTTTGTTTTTGGAAACATGCTACACAAGATGTACGTGGAAGGTTGCCAGTTGGTTCGCTAATAAATCAATAACGTTTAGGTTTCGAGGTTTGATCCGAGGCAGTGGTTGAGATTTGTACTCTTTACCTTTTAGAGATGCCGATCCGAAGCGTAGGTAGAGCCCCATCGTACCTATGCAGTGTGCAGTGCCACTCGGTCGTAGCCGCCCAAAAGTAGGGGTTCAGAGCTAAAAGTTTTGCTCTGCTTGTACTCTTCTCGTATTGAGCTTTCAGACGTATGCCAAGACTTACACTTTACTCTGGAGACGGCGGGTACCAAAGTATGTCGAAATGAGAAGGGCCGGGGCTACGATGTAGAATACGAACATTTGTTGACGTTGATCTTTTGTTGAAAAGGGTATATATGGTTGTGGAATATCCCCCATTAGGTCTCTCATCATCATCATCAACTCACCCATCTTCATCTTCATTCTACAACAAGAACAAGAACAACAACTACAACACTTCATTACCACATTTCAATCAACACAAATCAAACAGTCAACTTTAACTCTCTTACTTCAAAAACAACCTTCAAAATGTATACCAAGAACATCCTCGTTGCAGCTTTCGCTACTCTCGCCGCTGCTGCTCCAACAGCCAGAAGCACAGCCGATGTCCTCGGTCTCATTGCAACTCACAGCGGTGATATCAACGTTCACCTCCGAAGCATCAACGAGAACGGTCTCAAGTTCTGGATCGGAAAACCAACTACAACATACTGCCCATCCGAAGTTGTAACCAACTGCCCTAACGGCACCTTCACTCAGCTCATCGCCTCTACCGACAGCGAAGGCATCTCCATGAACGTTGAGGTTCCAGGAGGTCAACAAGCATACGTCGCCAACGACGGTTCTCTCTCCGTCACCCAAGCACACTCCGGCTCAACTGGCACAAACGGACTCCGCGGTCCATTCTCATACACCCCAGCCGCCTCCGAAGGCACCGTTGGCCAACTTTCCTTCAACGGAAACGGATTCCTCGCCTGCCCATCCGCAGAAGCGAGCGTCTACCAGATCTTCGCCGCTGGATATCCAGGCTTCGTCGCTCCTGAGGGATGCATCGGTGTTGGACTCGCGACCTCTGTCATTGACTCTGCTCCAGTCTGGCAATACATCTAAGCGACTCTCACTTCACGGTCAACACACCACCGGCTGTATGATATCGAGGAGGATAATGGGATGCTTTGAAGTTTTATAGCGAGCATGCTTGGTCTCGGGTTTAAAGGAGACTATGATACGACTTTCCTTAATGTTTCTGGACAGCATGAGTAGCGACTTTGGGTTTTGGGATTATTCCATATTTCTGCATGTGTATATTACAAATACCCTACGACTTTCCTTAATAGATAATGAAATGGTTATAACTTTGTTACAAATACGCTCTAGTTTCGAGAATGTGATGTTTTGATCAATGAATCTGGTAAGGTATGATATCTAAGAATCATGTACCACTTTGGCACCAGTGTCACGACTCATGAATCAAGAACCCGAAATCAATAAGTTCCTTTTTGCTAGTGACATGTCTCTTAAAGAAACTACAAACAGTGAGTTAAACCTAAGACTTTGTATTCATTACTAAGGATGGCCAATTTAAGTTATGGTAGTATAATAGTCTACAAAAAATTGGATTGAAACGTTGAGTCCAGGAGAAGAGAGTCGACTTACCAAATTCTCCATACCTGATAAAACTTCAATAAATTTATAGAGCAAGGAGGCTGAAGGAGACTTTCTGTCTGTGCTTTCCTAAATATCTCTAAGATAACGTCAGATATGCGAGACATACACAGCTGAATTGGATCATGTGTTGGATTTTGCAATTCGTACATGTATTTCTACATGTCATTTTGGTATATTTACTAAGCACCCATCCGACTTGATCTGATTACCAAACGCCACAGTAATGCTTGCATCCTTTAAACGCCCTTTTCCTATCATATACGCCAACATTTGCAAATCATAGCCACCCCTATTTTTCAGCCGCCAAAACCATCTTCTCCCTCTCATTCCTTCGCTTCTTGAATTGGGCCTTGGTATGTTTCCTTTCGTTCTCTTCCTTTCTCTTAATCGCCTTGAGTTCTTCATTCTTAATTTCGCCGGCCTTCTTGACCACCTTTGGAATATGTCGGTGTCGCTTGATCCGCCTGATTTCAGGCATATGAGCGTATCGTTCCGACAGCGCTTCATTGTACTCTAGGGATTGTCGCTGCTTGGCTGACTTGATGCCCTCTCTTTTCGAAGCTTGAGCTCTCCATAATCGAATGTTTCCATCGTCTGATCCGGAAAGAATGTACTTGTTATCTGGTGTCCATTTGGCGGAGAAGACCCTCTGCATTCGCTTCGTGTGATAGATATCCCGCGAGTGCCCTTTCATTCGGCTCCACAGTCTTACAGTACGGTCATACGATGCACTGACAAGTTCTTCTCCGGTGGGACTGAATTCTACATCCATAACCGCTGCAACATGGTCTTTTAATACGTTCAACGCTCTATTCATCTTTCTCATATCGAAAACTAGAGTATGTTAGTACTTGAAGTATAGTAAGCTTTAAGGTAAGAATCTTACTATAAATGTTGTGGTCTTCATTGGCCACAGCAAAATTGAAGGCCTCCATTGGATTCCAAGAGATCGAGTTCGAAGCAAAATTTAATACAGTCTTGGCCAAAGGCATGGATGTTCGTAAATCATAAAGCACAATTGATCTGTCTGTCGCAGTCGAAGCCAATATAGAAGTTTCAGTCTGATTGAAAGAGACAGAAGTGATCGTATCTGTAGCATTGGGCCATTTTATAACATCTGGGGGTGCCGAGCTCTTCTCCAAGTCGTATATTGAAATAACTCCGGATGATGCTGCAAAAGCGTTCTTCGATCGATGATGCGACAAGCTTGTGAAAGCGTTTTCTCCTAGCCATGTAGCAGTCGGTGGCGCGCCAGCGGTCGAGTTGTATGGTTCCCATAGCTTAATTGAGCGATCGCTCGCACATGTTAAAAGCCTCTTGTCTCTTGTCCAACACATCCCCTTCACAATGTTTTCGTGTGCGCTGGTATTCCATATCTCCTCTCGAGTAGTCAAATCCCAGACTTTCACAATTCCATCACCACTTCCACTGGCAAATCTCTGTAAAGAATTTGGATCTTTCGCTAAAGTATAAACTCCGTCGACATGACCCTTTCCAAGCTGCGCTATAAACGGCGCAGCAAACATGCGCTCAATTTTCGTGGCATTGAGTGCTCTAGTATATTCTCTCGCTCTTTCGAAAGGATGAAGCGCTGGATCGAGGTTGCGGGGTTGTCTTGCGACATCAGACCCGGGAGCTTGCGCAGATGCGACCGGCCGACTGAGAGCTTTGATTTTCTGTTTAGCATTTAGTTATTGCAAAAACAATTCGGGAAACCTTCTTACCATTATGCGCTCATTTTATTGTGATATTCTTTCTAGAAAATCTGCAGAATAAAGTCGCGAGGCGGAACCATAAAAAAAGTTGTCGGCCGGATCAAGTATTACCCTAGCGCCAACCGGGGTGGATGTGAGCTTCAGGCGTTGCTCAACACGCAAGCGCAAGCTGCTCTCAGTAAACATACCAATTCCAGAGTTCCTCGAATATCCCCATCCGAAACAATGGCACCGGCAGATTCAGCAAGAATTGTAGAGGCGAAGAAGCTGGAAAAGACAGAACCAAAAAAGGCGGAATCACAATACAATGAAATCATTTCGAAGCCACCTTCAGTAACATCGGACGCTGCAGTACGGGAATATGAGACTGCGCTGGTCAGTTTGGGAGAATTATATCGAGATCAGAAGTGAGATAACTCATTGGGACATACATCAGCGCTTATTGACCTCTATACAGGAGGGTAGATGATCTAGTAGATCTGATTACGAAAAGCCGGACAGTGTTATCGTCATTTGCTAAAGCGAAGACTGCGAAGCTAGGTATGGTTCTGCGAGCACCTAATTATCAGCGCTGGTAATCCCGTGCTAATGATGATATTCCTTCAGTTCGACAGCTTCTCGATCTCTTCCACGCAATTCCCGAAACCACAGACACCCAGATATCCGTTACGAAGTCATGTATCGAATGGGCGACCTCCGAACGACGAGGATTCTTACGGCAAAACCTCGAGACCCGCCTCGTCGCGCTTTACATGGTCAAACAATCGTACTATGATGCGTTGACCCTCATCAACAATCTACTCAAAGAACTGAAGCGTCTTGATGACAAGCTCGTATTGGTCGAAGTCCAGCTTTTGGAGTCGCGCGTGTACCACGCATTAGGGAATGTCGCAAAGGGTCGAGCGGCACTCACCAGTGCCCGAACGAGTGCAGCATCTGTTTATACACCTCCTCTTCTACAAGCTGGATTAGATATGCAATCAGGAAAACTCCATGCCGAGGACAAGGATTTCAACACTGCTTTCTCTTACTTCATTGAGGCATTGGACGGATACCATACCCAGGACGAGCCAGAAAAGGCGACAGCAGCATTACAGTACATGTTACTATGTAAAATCATGCTTAACTTAGCCGACGATGTAAACCAGCTTATGACTTCAAAGCAAGCTCTGAAGTACGCCGGCAAGAACCTCGAAGCCATGAAGGCTGTAGCTCGCGCCCACTCCAATCGATCCTTGGAAGAATACGAGAAAGCGCTTGGAGACTATCGCCATGAGCTGGGCAGCGATCCTTTCATCAGGAACCATCTTCGAAGACTGTACGATGCTATGTTGGAGCAGAATCTAATCAAGGTGATTGAACCTTTCTCGCGGGTGGAAATTGACCATATCGCCAAGATGGTCGGTTTAGATACCCAACAGGTTGAACGTAAATTATCACAGATGATTCTCGACAAAGTAATTATTGGAGTTCTGGATCAAGGTGCTGGGTGTCTCATCATTTTTGATGAGACCGAGAGGGATGAGGGTTATGATGCTGCGCTTGCCACAATCGAGAAGCTGAGCAGTGTGGTGGATGTATTGTATACCAACCAGGCATCTATGCTTGAGTAAAGCGGGTTCGGTGGCTAAACAAAAGCAATTATGGTGACTGGCAAAGGTCCAATTGTAACATAGAGGCGCCTATTTGGGGTCAAGGAATGTGATATCAATGAGAATTTTCTAGCAAGTATAATAATGAGTTCCAAAACATGATATTGGTGAAAATGAACAATTTGGGTATTCGCTATCCTACTGGAAAACTCAACATAAGACTGACAACGTCTTTAGACAACCAACCCTAAGCCAAAAAACTATCTTTACTTCAAATGTACAACTTGAGATGCCACAAATACCGTTAACAGTCCATACCTCCTGCAATTCCCCACTCGCTTCCTAATTCCTACACCTTCGTGGTACTCCAAGACCTCGTTTATTCAACTTTCCAAGATCTTAATTGTCCAAAGACTTCAAACAACTACCCTCCTCGACCCTCTAACTTCCCCCTCTGTCGTCCTGTCTCTCCTCTCGCCACCTTTAATCAGCGCAAAGACCCGCATAGCAACGACCTTCTCCTCCCAGCCAGCCACAAGACCCCTAAACTCGTCAACAACCTCGAGATGCCACTGTTCCAAAACCAAGCTCTCGCCTTCAGACCTCACTGTTCTGCCGAGCAGTTTTGAGATGACTCTAGTTGAGTTCCTTCTCCGACTCTGATTGGAAACATCTGATGAGCCAGAGCCCGAATTGGGAGATTTACTTGGCTTATGGGTTTTCATGATCGATTCTAAGAGCAGCCAGTGGTCTTTGGACCATGTTGTCGCAGAGAGAGGCTGTTTCGGCGATCGCGGGGCTGGAGATGACGACACGAATGCTACAGCTTTTGATGGAGACTCGAAGGGTGAAGGGCGGCTCGCGGTGGGTGTTTTAAGAGGGGAGCGAAGACATGATTTAGATGGTGAGGTTGCGCAAGTCACTCGGTTGGATGGTAGCTGGATGGTCTCGGTCCATTTGAGTGTCCTTTTACCGATCTCTCGATTTTCCTTCTCGACAGATGATCTTAATGAAGAACTTCCGTCGTATGGTCCTTGTGAGGATGAAGCTATGCCCGAGATTGTGGCATTTACCACTGGGATGTTGGCTCTGCTTTGGAACAAAGGGTTTGCCTCTTTTTGAGCAACATCACCAAACAGAACTGACTTTCTAGGCGAGGACTCCTGAACGGCTGAAGCTTCAATTCGAGTTTTAGGTGCGAAACCCATCTTTTGAGGTATTGGAGTGAACGATGCCTTGTCTCTTTGCTGGTTAGTTTCCGCTTCGACAGTATCATCGTTGCCACTCTTGTTGTAAGAACTGCTCGGTTTCCTCTCTACCTGAGAGGACCGCGTAGAAATAACAGGCAACTTTGGTGGTGAATCACCCCCAAGCAGAACAGAAAGGTTAGGTGCGCCGCTGTCGGAGCGACCTCGAGGTTTGAAGTTTGACTTTTGAGGGATCTGCCATCCTGAGAGATCAAGATCCGAATCTTCAACGGGTTGATCACGAATGATAGTACGGCGAGCTGTCACAGGTCTCATGTCGGCATCCTCAATGACGTTCCCAGCGATGGCGTGTTCCTTCTCAACAAGTTCTGAAAACTGCGACACCTCGTCGCTATACACTAGCCTTTTACTATTTTTCCTCCACGGGCTGGGTATCTTACTTCTTCTTGGCTTCTCTAGATTCTCAGGAGCGTGTGGCACAGTCTCCTGGGGGGGATCCGGTGATTGATGAGGCGAAGAAGAGCCCATTGTCTCTAATAATAGATCAAAGTCCTCATCCTCATCGTGGCCTGAAACTAGTCCGTCGTCCACGTCAGAACCTATCACAATTACGTTCCTCCTATCGGCAGAAGATATTTGCTTGCTCACTTCCGCTCTCTCAGCTGCCCATCTTTGCTCCGAAGTCAGCTTGCTCATGGCTGCAGCAGATCTGTTCGATAGATCGATCTCTTCCTCTGGTTGCCAGCTCATCGCGTCCTCACTCCGTAGAGATTCGAATCTTGATTTTTGACTCCCACCGGTTTGATCCCGAGGAACTCTATTACATGGCAATTCGAGGGTGTATTGCTCTTTGTCGTGAAGCGACGGGGATCGATGGGCGCGGGTCGAGTTACTAAATGGATCTTCGTGACTGCTAGAACGGGTCCAATTTGAGTTGTGTGACGAAAGTGTAGCAATATTTGCGGATAGCGATACTTTTGGCCGATCTCTTTCTTGTTGAGATGGGGAATTTTGTGAACCACGAGTGGCACTTGAAGATGTCCTGCTTGCTGCTGGACTTTTGAATGGGCTTCCCAAGCTTTGCGACCGTGATCGTGGGGACGAAAGTGGAACAATTACATCTTGGAGAATCTGACCAGTCCTAGCGATGGGAGACAACGTTGGGCGCCTGCTTTCTGGGAGACCATGGGCAAGTCCAGTCTGAAGTTTAGGAAGCTGGATCGGTGGCGGTAAAGAGGGGGAGGAGAAAGTAATAGCTGGTGTCTCAGCCATTTCGCGGTCCATATTTCGATGTTGGCGAAGATGCGCAGTGTATGTATATCTTCTCGGTGCTACTGACGGAGGTGACGATGCCATATATGAGTCTGCGGGCGGTGCTTCCTCTCCAGAGGGATTTCCGTGGGCCGAAAGCTCTTGATCCGGAATAGAAACTTCGGTAGCTGAGCCAACAACCTTACTAGGCATTGAATCGGACGTCGGCGATGGAGTTTCTTCTGGAGTTAGTAGTCGCGGACTCGTCGCATTGACAACCTGGGAAGGAAACAAACTCTTCTTTGAACCAGTGACAATAAGATTACTAGATGCCACTGTTTTTTGTGTCGAGCCGTTCTTCTCGAAGATTGTCGTTCGTTTGGCTGCAGGTGTGGCAGCTTCAAGGATGGAGCCTGGGATTGCAGAGAAAGAGTCTTCGTATAATGGGTCGTTTTTGATAGTTGATGACATTGATGCCTTTTTTTGAACTACTCTCTTTGGAGTAGCTGCTTCGAGAATTTCTGGCGCAATGCTAGAGAAAGAATCTTCCATACGGGTGGCCTTCTTTGCCAGTAATCTGGAAACATGGGATTTGCGCGTCGAATTGTCCGGCTCACGCGTTGACTGAAGATTCCTCATCTCATGGGTGGTGTTCTGTACCCTGGTTTTCTGGGTCTTCTTTGGACTTGCTGCCTCTAAAATTTCTTCGGGGATTATGCTGAATGAATTCTCCTCGACGACATGCGTCTCTACTATAGAAAGCAGGCTCTTATTTCTTATTAGATTCTCCGGTTGCTGCACGTCGGCTTGAATCCAAGGGCTGCTACGAATCTCTTGCAAGGATTGTACAGAGTCCACAGATATCATGCTGAAGCCTTCGCTCTCCATGATAGTATCAAATTCGCGTGGCGCTTCATCATCAGCCTCTTCCTCGACCTCTAGTTCCTTCTCGTACCCATCATCCATACCTTGATCAACGATTGAGTGCAATGAAATTGAGCCACGCCGCGACGAAGCGGCAGTTGATTCTTCTTCGTTCTGTTCATATATGTCGTTCGAAAGATTCGAAATATGTTGATCGTTTGACTGAGAGGGTATATTCGACTGATCAGCTATCCTTGGACTTGACCATCCAGTCCGCCGGGGTGTCTCGTCGCCAGGGTGAAATCTGGCGATCACAACATCACCAACTTCAGCATCTTCTATGGCGGATGAGCCTACAACAGGATATGTCGAACGGTCGGTATCACGTGTTGACCGCGAGACAGCTTCGTCAACACTACTACGCGAGCTCGACCCATTCTTTTCTGATATCACGTCGTGGTCCTTGGATATGCTCTTCCTCCTGGTCCGCCGTGGTCTCGGTATCGTAGTTGAGATGTCATCTGAAAAAGGGCCAGCCTTGCGATGCGGCGCTTTCCTCGCTCGAGACACCGATCTCGATTGTCCCCTTCCAACCTCGACATTGCCTCCAATCTCGAGCATTGCGCTACCATCCTCCTCGTTTCCTCCCCCAAACGTTTTCCTTGCTCTTTTCCCCTTCGGAGTGCCTGCTCGCCCTCGCGCTTTTACCGGAATCGGTGTTCCCATTGACTTCCTTGGCCTTCCCCGCCCTCTTTTGGGCGTGGCAGCATTTTCATCCTCGTCCTCGAGCCCTTTGACTGGAACCCTCGTAGTTGTGGTTCTGACCCTTCTTGTTGGCATTGGCGAGACATCTTCAGGTCGCCCGTTTTCTCCATCAGAGCTCCCAGCTTCGACCGTGACCCTGATCTTATGAGGAGTGATGCGGTCCCCAACATCCAACTCGAATGTTTGTTTCTTGGGCGAACTCCCCAGCAACTCTAACTGGGATGAGTGCCGTATTGGTCTTTGCGAACTATTATGTTGTTTGGAGGGCGATATAGAACCTCTACGAGCATTCAGTGACGTGCGTCGCGCTATTAGATGGCCGTGAAAAGTTGGAGAATCATTGAGGGGATCGGGAGAAGAAGACATCGCGTCCAGAGGAAGAACCGCGAGCCGTATTTCCCGGGAGTTACAATAAAAATATCTTTGATAAATAGAGCAGCAATCGCCGTGAAGACAGTGTATGAACGCGTCAACGCGTATGTTAATGAGGGGACGATGAGTGCGTTTGTGTATTCAAGTGCTGCATAATAACCCACATTGAATAAAGTTGTGTTTGAAACCTGACTGTTTATTTTGAATTGCCCTATGCGGGTTAGCTTGAAGCTTGGACTTGTCTCGGCAACGGCCACGCTAAAAGCGTGTCCTCACTTGCTCGACGGAAACAAACGTTCTGTGGACTCTGCTGAATCTCCTTGGTATTTAAATGACTCTCCGGAAAAAAATTCGGTGATTTGGAGGTGATCTTAGAAGCTAGCTGAGCCTATGCAACCAAAAAAAATTGTTCAGGCAGACACTGCCAGAAATTTTTCAATCATTTCGGACAAGCGAACCCCTTATTTAATTTCTTGACATCAAATTCTACACAGATTCAAATTCTTTTTGGCCGAAAAGATCTGACCTGTCCTTCACGAACATAGTATACGAATATGGCCCCAAAAATGAGGTCTTTCTGTTGGGTATCACACAACCAATCCTACCTCCTGCCTAAGCGCCAAAATATAGTCCTCGAGAGCGCCAGAAACGGCTTTATATCCAGGGTCGGTTGCGTCCTTGAACTTACAAATTTCGGAATGGTTCCCATTAATTCCTCGTACAATCTCCTGTCTCGCATGACCTACTAGGGCTGATTCATAGGGTACAACCTGGAACAGTGTGAGCGCCGTCTTACATCATTGCAATATAGCATACCCTATCTTGAAGCCCATACAGTCCTGACATGGGCTTCGTCTCGAAAAATGAGTGGATCATGAACTTGTTGTCCTCGAGCATCTGTAAAAAGACCTTTCTTAAATTCTCGAGCAGTTCGCTGTTTGCGTTTAAGCCTTTTAAGACCTTCTCAGACGGGCTCTGGAGCGCAAATTTGGTCAGATTACTTGCTAAAAGCCCCCAGCTTGTTGAGGTACTTCCGCCATGAGGAGTTCCGAGAAACAGAATCGCTTTGGTAGAGGTATATATTGGCAAATATTGAGGTTGATGTACTGATCGCTTCGAGCTATCTAAGGCCTACAAGGACGTTGAATTAGTTGTTAGGGAAGCTATCAACCCTCCTAGAGGTCTTACCACTTTGACCAGGATACCCCCCAAACTGTGTGCCACGAAAATAAGGGGACGAGATGGCTACGATGAGTTAGTCCTTGACACTTGGTAGTATCTAACAAAGTGATTGGAGCTGACGAGTGCAATGATCTATCAAACATCGAATTGAAGGCAGCAATGCCGGTCAATACTTACATTGTGTTTACGTTCTTGTTGCAACGCAATCATAAGATCATTTCCATGCTGTGATATGTTGTGTTGGTTGCTTGTCCCGAAAAATTCGGTAATGACCTTACTGTCATAACCCCAAGTCAAGATTCGCGCCTTAGCAAAAGAGTCTTCATGAGCGAGAAGATCATATGGCCAAAACACATTTTGCTGGTTGCCGAATGTTAGTCTCGAGGTTGATGATAGGGAGAACCGTTTCTTCAACAACTGTGGCTGGTAGGTCCATGTCTGCTCAGGATGTCCCTGAAGACCATGAACGAATATAATACTTATTGGTGTATAGGTAAGCACACATTATAATATCACAGCGGGCTTGGTGAAGACTTACTCAACCACGGCGTCCCCAGGATCGAAGATATGTGAAAAGCCAGTCGAGTTAATATGCGGCCGCCGTACCGAAGGTTGGGAAGTTGGGTCTTTTGCAATTGCCGTTGATCTGGTCATAGACTTTGCAAGTACTTCAACGACGGGAATAGTAATATCGTTTGCCTCGATCAACGGTGCCACAGAGACAACTTCCTCATGTGTATAGTCCTTAGTTCCAGAAATCTGTCTAAGCACTGCTGAGTTGTTACTAGCCTGTAATGACTTTCTGGCTTCACTATCACTCCTCTCTTGGCCGAGTTTATCCTCCACAGACTTCAAAGGATCACGAGCTCCGGATTCAATCAGAATCATGAGGGCCTCAAAGTGGCCATGATCATTTGCCGCCTTCCACGCACATCCATACTTACCCCTTGCGCATTTATATTAATTGCACCTCCGAGCTTGAGCAAGCTGCGAATCACGCTTGAGTGGCCTCCAAAAGCAGCGATTTGTAATGCAGTACACCCTCCCGCACCTCTGGCATTGATGTCCGCACCAGATCCGAGTAAGAGCTCTACTATAGGTGCTTTTCCAGCCCAAGCAGCTGCTTGTAGAGCGTTACCATATGGTCCCCCGTCAACATTGACATCAGCTTTCTTTTTGAGGAGGTACCGTACCACTTCGAGCCGTCCGCGAGACGACGCAGCAGAAAGTGCGCGGCCATGGAGTTGACTTGTTTGATCGATTTGAGTACCTTTATGAATCAGTAATCTAACTACAGGCAAATGGCCTTCTGCTGCCGCAATCTGGAGCGGCGATGTTCCGGGAGGACCTTTAGCATTGATAGCTGTTCCTCGTTTGATTAGGATATTGACAATGTTTGCATGCCCAGATACGGATGCCGCATGTATGGCAGCTCCATCTGGTCCAGGCTGACCGTCAATATCTGCCCCAGCGTCAAGAAAAGCAAGTACTTCTCGCTCAAGGTTCGACTTAGCTGCATCAACGAGCGAATACGTCAGTCTCTTCCGGCCTGCCTCGGTCTGGCCTTCGTTGGGTTCTATGAAAATGCTCTTTCTCCACCAACTTCGCCTGACTTGATATGATGTCCCATGGGAACTTCGCGGAGATGTTGATTGTCCCGACCGGGCCTGGCTGGAGGCCACTTTAATCCTTTCGCTTCTTATCACACGGGCGGTATCGTAAAACATTTTCTCAGTGTTGAAATTATTCTTCGCCGATGCCTCCACAAAGCTACATCCAAGCTCGTTGGCTAGTGCAAGCCCTTCTTGCACCGAAACTTCTCTCTCTGTGACGCGGTCACATTTGTTTCCCACCAGGCATACTGGACTTGTGATCGTGAGGTTTGGATGTGCGTCCCTCTCCTTCACGCTCTTGATTTGATGATGGAATTTCTTTATTCTTGTGAATGAGGATCGACTCGTGATAGAGTAAACAAGCACAAAGCCATCACCATCACTGATCCATGCATCTCGCAGAGCCGTATACTCTTCTTGACCGGCAGTGTCCAATATTTCGAGCATGCAGGGTTTTCCGTCGATTATGACCTGTTTACGATAAGAGTCTTCAATAGTCGGTTCGTATGTTTCAACAAAGTGTTCTAAGGTGAGCTATGTATAGGTGAGCTAATTGCTTCGCTATTTGGAATCTCAGCGGAAGTCTAATTACCTGGATGGTCAATGCCGATTTACCAACGCCTCCATCCCCTAACACGACCAGTTTGTATAGGACCATACCAGCCATTACTACATCAGTTGGATGGCAATCTACATGCTAAAGCATTGTGGGTTCCGGGGGGCCTAGACGTTCTCAACTACAAGGCTGGGGTTAGAAGACTATTGAGGCTGAAAGCAAAGTGAGGCTGGACTGGAGTTACTGGAATAAGCGAGCAGGAGCAGGTTTGCTCTATGTGTGTAAGGCGCAACCTGTTAAGCGCTGTGGCTTGCTACCATCCCAAAAAGGTTCGAGACAAGGATTTACCGCAATGATTGGAAAGCAGTGTGAATATCAGTCCATGTCTTTGCTTCGAAAAGTCAACAAAAAGATAACATAACTTGAAATAGAATTACGTTGGAAAGGGGTGCGACGAGATAGTTGTCAGGCAGTAGGTTGGAGTAAAGAGAGCCAGACATTCGTTAGAACTAAATCGAGTGATATGACCTTCCTACAGTACCGGAAAATCCTGAATATCTTCCTGCGAATACATCATCTATCGTGTGTGGGTATCTTATTCTATGAAATTGACAAAGCGCTCTTCCCCATTCATGACAAGTCGGACTGGAATATGACCTTCGTGCAGCTTCAATGTAATCCTTGTGGTTGCACTTCTCAATGTTGCGTTGGCTTTGTCCTGTGCTTTTCTGTAAAGTGTTTTTCTCTCCTCTTGTGACATCTTTGCCACCTCCTCGTCCGTTGCCCATTCGTCTACTGCCAATTCGATGGAGTACTTTTGGAAAATGGTCGCTAGCGCAGCCATGACCTTCACCTGTGCTAATCTGCGTCCGATACACGATCGTGGGCCATCGGAGAATGGAAGGAAAGCACCTCGAGGTGGATGAAATAATTTTCCGGAGGAGTTGTTGCCAGTAAACCCTCCAAACTCATCTTCATCATGATCCGAGTCTTCTGCTCCACCTTTGGCACTCTTTCGATCATTGACAAGCCATCTTTCAGGGACAAAATCGTCCAAGTCTTCGTCTTTCTCGGAAATCTTAGACGGCTGTGAAGGCCAATATTTAGGATTCCTAGACAATCCAATTGTGTTCAACGCAATTCGGCAGCCTGCTGGCACCATGAATTTCTTTCCACCAACAACCAATTCCTGGTCGGCATCTTCTGCGACTGACTTGGGAATGGCAATGACGGGAGGCATGAGTCGGAGCTCCTCGTTCAAAATTGCACCCAGAATGCCGCCCAAGAGGGTGTTGATTGTCGAGTCGTAGTCCCAAGTCTCTGGCTCGGCGTCTCCAAAAATATTTTCAACTTCTTGCTGAGCCAAGCGCTGAGAACGTGGGTTTATTGCGAGTTGTATGAGAGAGAAATGAATCGAGTTAGCTGTAGTTTCGTGTCCTGCGACAATCATGACAAATGCGTTGCCTAAAATGTCCGAGTCTGAGAGTTTAGCTCCAGTATGCGCTTTCTCGGCATCAATCTCCTTCCCCTTGCCGTAGGAGCTTTTGACTAGATTCCCTAAAATGTCAAGACCTGCACTCTTCTCACCAGCGCGAGCCTCTTCAATCTTTAGTGCCATAAGTTCCTTCATATACTGGCGCCAGTTGATAAGTGATTCGTACGAGTCTTTGAATACTTTGATCGGAACAAGCTCTGACTAAGTTAGCGTAGCAAATGGTTAACGAGCTTCGGAATCTTACTCATTGCCCATTCTGGGAGTAGCAAAACAATAATCATCCGCTCAAGCAACTTCTCCAAAGAGTGCTCGAAACTCATTGTGTGCCCACCACTTGGCTCGTTGCTACTGAAGATGGCTTCTTCTTTGCCATGCTTCGAATCAGGTGTTTCTCCCGGCCAAAGTAAATGAACGCCAAAACCGACCAAGGAAATAATGTGTAAAGTCAATCTCAACGCATCGCCCGGTACGTCTTTCAAGGTTCTGTTTCCTTTACCATCTGGCCCAAGCCATCCCTTCAACATCCCCTGCGTTTGCTTGCATGATTCCGCAAATACCATGACGTTATTTTTCTCATTGAATCCAGGCGCAGAAACCTTCCTGTGCTTTCTCCACTCGTTTCCTTCCGTGGTGATGATATTTTCTCCGAAGATGGTCAAGATCTTGTAGCTTTCCAGAGGTTTTGGGAAGTTCTCGCGTCGAGAGGTGATTTGATGAGCGGCTTCTGCGTCGGAAACCCAGAGATTCATTGCGCCAGGAGACACTGTCATAAAGACATCTCCTGTTTTCTTCATGGGCGCGTAGCATAGCTCGTACACCCAGTCGGCTGTAAGGAAACTATATACGGTTTAGCAGCGTACAGGAAATGGCTAAGTCAACTTACGGCAACCAGGACTCCGTCCATCTTTGGGGCAGTTGATCAAGCAACGGTTTTAGAATCTTTTGTGTGAGAAGCCAAATTAAGTTGTATGTCGCAAAAGCTGGATCCCGTTCTGTCAGCGATTCCCTCGGACTCAGAATGGTGAAGTACTAAACTTACGTGTTACGATGTATGGTATGCCAGACCTTTTCGCGTGTGCAATATTCTTCCTCAAAGCAGACAAATTCCCATATACAAAGTAAACCGCCGCGGCCGTCAAGGCCAAGACAAGGACTGAAACCATTCTGGCTGTGCCAACGCAAAGAGGTTGGGCGAATGTGGATGGTGAATGGGTGGGACTGAGGAAGAAGATGGGAAGATGTTGGAACTACCTAACTACGCGGTAGGAGAGCTCAACATGCGACTACGCAGAGGAGAAGAAGTGAAAGAGGAGACGATTGGAATGCACATGCATTTTCTATTGAGGAGCTGATACATTTATCCGATGGACGATTCTTTGCGACGACTGCAGGTGGTTCGTTCCGAAAGTGATGACGGGTACGCTGCCACAGTTGGTTCGGTGGGTAAACAGTGGACTCGACAGTTCGAGCCCAGAAAGGACCCCTCCACGTCCTCGGCAACGCAAAGACGACCACCCGCGTTTTAACCATGGTGATGCGGCCAATCAAGAGCAGATGAAAACGACACTTCCGTGCGCCGAATTCCTTCGCACATCCCCCTGGCAGATCAAACGGGTACTCGAATACGACGTCAAGGCGGCTTTATCGTGGATCCCAACGCGATAAGGTTGCCCAAGTTGCCGCACAATTTGGTGTCGAAACATTGAATTGTTTCTGAAGAAAGCACAACCCTCCTATTTAGTGTTCCTCATTCCTCATCTTCCGCTTCTGCAGAATGGCTCTTTCAATGACACGTTCATGGACTGGCCTCCTCGCTAGGGACCGATGTATAACAAAGCCAACTTTGCGTACCGCAAGCGATATTTGAAGTCACCACCGGCCAGGTCAATTGCCGTAAGGTCTTGTGCTGTTCGGGAATTAGAGTCGCGCAGGTGGTTGCTAATAAGACCAAGCTTTCTCCGTGAAGGAAATGCCAATACAGTCCGTATCATTTCCACGCTGGGTCGAAAATATTATGCTGGAGATTTTGGCTCTCATGTGAATTCATCGACACGAATACGAAGTGGCGACGGGCGCATCGAGTTCGAGCAATTGAGGAGGGCCAAGACTGCTATTGCTATTGTAATGTCTCATTCGGGAAGAACAGAGCAGACAGAGCAGGTGCTTCAAAGTTGATGATCGAAATCTAACCAAGTTGCACCTAATAGTCGGGTGGAGCCCTTCTGTTGTGCATACAAGTCAGCCTCTGGTGGACATTGACTTACTTCGAGGTATGAGAGAAGCTGTTCGATGTAATCTTTTTGCTTGGCTAGTCCTGCCAGTGATTGTACGTTCCACATCTCACCATCGCAACAACATTTTGAGTGGATGGTCTTTCAAACAGAGCCTACAGTGGTAAATATTATCCAAACTCTAGAATCTTTAGAAGGTGGATGGCAACTGTCACGTGTTGCCAGGTTTAGCGCATGGCTTCTGCGGCCTAAGCGAGCGCACTCTGAAATCCGCATCGAAATTCCAGGACCTTTTAGCGGCGAGACGACCAACATCACGACAACTTTTCCACACGACCACCGGACGAAGAACAGTCAAAATGGTAGGCAATGTCTTTCCTAGAAGTTGTGCGGAAATGCGAGAGGAGAAGGTTGATGTCGGATCTGATGGGTTTACCTGCGAGGCATACTGCGGCGAAATCACGAATGCTTTCGATCACTGCGGCGAATCCGACCACGAAATCGACTCGAAATATACACCTACAAGAATCGAGTTGTGCGATTGGCACACGTCACCATACGCAGACCAGAGGATGGTTGAAAATGAACGCCTGGGCAGGAGAAGATTTGGGCGGCTCAAGATTCAAGACCAGGATGAAAGCTAACCTCATACTCTCCGCAGGTCAACGTTCCTAAGACTAGACGCACCTACTGCAAGGGCAAGGACTGCAGAAAGCACACACAACACAAGGTCACTCAGTACAAAGCAGGAAAGGTACATCAAGGTTCCCCCAGAATTTAAGAATCATTCTGACTCGACTCGCCAGGCCTCCCTTTTCGCCCAAGGAAAGCGTCGTTATGATCGTAAACAATCCGGTTATGGTGGTCAGACAAAACCCGTGTTCCACAAGAAGGCGAAGACAACGAAGAAGGTCGTGTTGAGATTAGAATGCACATCCTGCAAGACAAAGGCACAATTGGCGTTGAAGCGATGCAAGCATTTCGAACTTGGGTACGTTTCCATTTTTATACGGGCCTCTTCTAGGCCGGGAGGGAAATCGATCCCGTCATTTATTTCATGTGGACTAATACAATTATTACAGTGGTGACAAGAAGACCAAGGGTGCTGCGCTTGTTTTCTAGATGTTCTCTTGCAACGACTTCCTTCTTCATATGGGCATGGCGTGGCACGGTGGATTTTGCGTGCTTGGAATGGCCGAGACGAAATGGCAAGGGACAGCATAGACAGGGTCCTTGTAACTTATTCTCCATGGCCGCGGAAACATAGCAAACTTCGCTGAACATCATGAGCAAACGTTTTGAATGATACTGTGAGATTTGATCGATGAGTTTGTGGTGGTCGAGTGGCAGGTAGACTGTGACTCTAATGGTACCATGTTATTCGTTTCCATCTATTAAATATATGATTTATGGGGTTGCCATCACACAATAACATCAATTTCGCGAACCGTACCTGTTCTAGATCGTAGATGAACAATATTAGACAAATGAGCATTTCATAAATGAGTATTTTAAGACATGGCGGTATCTACTTTGGTACCTACAAAAAATAGAGCATTGCATGCTCTAAGCCCAAAGAGTAAAACGCGGCATGTAATTGAAAGTGGTATTTACGGTGATGTGTTTGAAACGTCAAATATCCATAATTGTTGTAGACAAGAAATCATTTTCAGCTGTCAAATGGTTAGCTTTTGATTTAGCAAGACCTAGCATAAGAAGCACGACTATAGGTTTTGCAATAATCCATTTGCTGATAGTACATGCTTTTATTTACTAGTGAAGCCTCTTAATGTATGACCAATACTTCTAACTAGCTAGTATATGCAAGACTTAATATTCTCAACAATATCTGTGAATTTTGTAGAGTCGAAGGGAGAACGGATACAGAGCTGATGGTCTCTAGTTCCTGGCCCCACTGCAGCGGAGGTGGGGTTCGTAGTGGCCTCGGGACTTTGGGAACCTAAATAGAAATTTTGCGCACAATATAATTTTGAAAACCAAAAATACTTTCATCAAATCAGCATCAACGCCCTCGTAGCTCAATGGTAGAGCGCGTCACTAGTAATCTTGAAGATTATGTAATGACGAGGTTGCCGGTTCGATTCCGTCCGAGGGCATTTGTTTTTGCATCTTTTGTTCTTACAATTCATATATTTTGGCTCTTTCCAGTCTCTAATATCTAATAAATTTTTGTTCATTGTTCGGGCTTTGCCGAGCAAGAGATTCAGTAACGTGACCGTGCATGGACCCTGAACATCCCATGGGGAGGACTTCAATAACACAAAGATCTCGATTCAGAACATTTCCTTTGCAAATGCTGTTATTTTGTGCTGATCAAACATGTATCTGTACTTCCAGTTTCAGAGACACTTGACTACCTTACATATACAATGAACGTCTAGAATTATACTGTGCATAAATATAAAACTAAATTTTAGATTCTCCCTGGCAATAGATGTGACTTATTTTATCCGAATTATAGCCGGCACAACTATTCTTCTGGTCGCGAATTGCGACGCGACAGACGCATCGTCAAACACTTTCGCATCCACCATCACAATCCCCAACCCTCAATATGCCATCCCCCTCAAGATCCAGATCACCGACCAGATCACCGTCAAGAGGAAGACCCCAGTCAAGGTCACCATATTCTGATGCACGACGATCGATTTCTCCCAGATCTGCGAGTCGCAGTCCAAGAAGGAATGGCAGATATAGAAGCGAAAGTCGAAGTGTTAGTCGTGGAAGAAGCCCGAGCCCTATCAGAAGCACAAAGGTTAGATGAGCCACCCGGTAGTGAGAGACGATGATCTAACCTTCTACAGGTTGTGGTGGAGAAGCTTACCAAGAATGTAAATGAAGACCATCTCCGAGAAATATTTGGCTCATATGGTCAGATACGAGATCTGGATATGCCTTTGAATAGACAATGTAAGTCTTCTCTGGACTTGCCATTTTCAGTCGTACCGTCGCTAATTCGCACAGTCAATACGAATCGTGGTACAGCTTATATATTATATACATCTGAAGCCGACGCCGAAGCAGCAATTGCTCATATGCACGAATCGCAGATAGATGGGGCTGTCATAAATGTCTCAATTGTTCTTCCTCGTCGCAAGTTTTCTCCATCACCGCCACTTGCGAGACGAGGCGCAAATATTGATCCTAGGGGCCCGCCTTCAGCAAGTTTCCGTGGGCCACCAGCTCATCGTCGTCGATCACCACCTCCAAGTTATGGAAGACCAGAACGCAATACCGATACATACAGACCACGATCAATTTCGCGCTCACGGTCCCCTAGGCGCCACAGAACTCGATCGCGGTCATTCTCATCCAGATCTCGATCGCCGCCAAGAAGGCGTGGAGGGGGTGGTCGGCGCGATAGCCCAGGACGTAATGCTGGTGGCACCAGGAGACGACGAAGTCCGAGCTATAGCAGTTACAGCAGCTATGATGATAGAAGTAGAAGCAGGAGTCGAGGCCGTGGAGGTAGAAACCGCCGATAAATGGATGTGTCGAAATTGATATAAGCGCAGGCGTTTGGGGAAGGAAAATTGTATGAGTATTACGTATCCGGGTCATGCGACGAAATGTCCGTCTAAATCAAAAGCTTCCGAAGAATTGAAAGCATTGCTAATTTTACTTACTCTTTTGTGGATCCTGATAGACATTTTGTCTTGATATATCCAGCATAGTTTTGGAAGGTACGTTGTACAGCGTTTTTCTGACTCAGACAACCCATGTAGGCCAATATTCCCTGTTCCCCTTCTTTTCCTTCTGCCAAAAACATCTTTATCACGAATACCTATATCCAGATTGTCAAAACACAAAATCGCACTGTGAAACACTTACCAAAGTACACACCTCCACTTAAGTTTAATTACATTACGCTTCTAACTGTTAAACAGAAGAATGACAACACCTGCAGGCTTATTTGATAATCTCCTCAAGCCACTGCCTCAAGATTCTACTGGCTGTGGTAGATTATGGGAAGATCCGAATAGCAAGAGATGCATACATAGCGGCTATTTGAAAGATTTGAAGAAGAACAGAAAACAGGAGCAAAAAAGCGAAAGCAAGAAATCTCGGCAGAAGGCCCTGCCACCTGCATCGACAAGCCCGAAAACTCCAAAACGTTCTGCACTTGAAGCACCCAAAATCAATACCTCTAGGATACAATTTGAGCCAAATATAACCAGGCAAGTCAAAACCGCAAAACCACTCAAGGCTTCCAAATCTTTTCAGCTAGAAGCAATAAATAATGGGGGCCTTAATCATGATGGCCCATCTGCCAGAAAGCCTGCCATGAAGAGGAGAGCAACGTTCCCCTCGCTCGACCACAAAAGAGCCAGCAAATCAAGAAACGGTATCACTCGCGGACTACAGGTAAGGGCATACTGCACGGACGACCTTTCCCAGGGGTTTCCATATCCTAAAGTTCTGGCTTCCCATGGAATACGAAGGGCTGATTGGAGAATGTTTCAATATGAGCTTATCAGTCCTTTGTTGCGATGGCGCGGCCATGGAGTGGGTGTAAGTTTTCCGCGAGATTGTTGCCTTTCCAGCCCCGTTCGAATCTTGCGTTAGCACGATGATGTACCAACAGCAGCAATAATTTGAGCGCCACTGCTGACTTTGTTCCGCGTATTAGATTGGCTATTCGGTAGATTGCATCTGTGATATAGCGGCTGTATGGGATCAGCAATACTTTCGCAGAAAAGGCTTAATTATGAGAATTGACATGCCAGGCGAGGAGAAATTCGGTCTTGACTTCATGGACTTGTATTACGAGGGTATACGCAACAGGAAAACATATAATGTTGGCCAGAGTCTTATCGGAAAGGGCCATAAGGGCGTCATGAAGCGAGGCCAACTCAAAGATCTTGCAAGAGTTCGTGAGAAGATGTTTCGAGGCACCAGGATTGTGCTGGATCCTCTCACCGTCGTCGACAACAAGACACTCTATGAACAAAGAGGTTGGCTCCAATGGGACAAGCAATCAGCAGCAGCAGAAAGATCTCTTCTAAAGAAAATGGCCGAGGACAAGTTGCCCGTGGATAATGAGCCATGGGATTTCAAAAAGATGGCTAAAATTGACAGAGTTGATAGGTGGCCGCCCTCAGTAAGCAAATGTTTCGGGTAGCATTTCATGCCCCTAATTCCGAGAAATTTCATACCCGTCGTCCATCCTATCACCTCACTAATACTTGACCCCGGCAGAAACACCTCTATTATGACAGATGGCGGTGCCGGCAACACCAAGAACATTATGCCCACCCCAAGAGAAAGGCATTTTACCAGCCTGATTTCGATTCTATGGACCAGAGAGGATATCCGAAATGGAGCTCAGTGGTACCTTGTGACGAGGTCCCTCATCAAATACTTCGCAGAGGTCCTATTGAACATCGCTGCGAACGACCCCGAGCCTGGCTGAAATGCCTCTCGATCGGACGCCATATTGCAATTGAGTTTATAAACATACCAGCACATCACACCATCGGCGCTAAGATTATCCATGTGTAGAAGAGACTTGTCGTGGCACAAATACTTTGATCGATGAAACTCTGTTAGGATATGGTAAAATCGGTAGAACAGAATCCTAATAAATTATATCCAGACAAAGAAGTTCGCGAGCACGTTGAACCCAGTGTCTCATGCATTTAATACAAGGTTAGTCCACCTGTGTCATTCGCTTCACTCATTTTTCTATGTAGCTGGTTACTTGTTAAATTGGTTAATTACACCTCTAGAGCAGGTGAGCTGTCGTTGAGTCCACGACGTGACCCACCAGTCTGAGCTCCAAATGTTTAGTATGACCCCCAAATGACTAACAGAAACGCTATTTTCCTGCTCGATGAATGGGTTATTTGACCATCAATAACATTCACATTTCATATACTACTTTTTTTGAGTATTATAAAGGACAATCGTAGGTGATTTACGCGTTTGCATCATCAACGGTATCATACTATGCATGCTTGTTGGCATCAAGCCTCTAACATATTGTACGTAGGTACCATTACTTCCCTGAGACCAACAGTCTCACAATTGCCAAGATATAAGCCCCATCGCGCTTAAGTACCCATTCGGCATCGATGTTGCTGTGCTGTTAAGAGCACATGATCGGAGATAAGAGACGCGTCGGGGATAAGGGTTATATAGTCAGGGACTTCTTGTACTCACTTAGCTCTTTCCTCTCCTTCTTTAGTTTCAGTACCTCAATACATCTGACCCCCTATGCCTTCTCTCTCTACCTACTCCGAGACCATAACATGTGCCTAATATACAACGCCGCAGATGCGCTGTCAGGTACCATGCGCCACATCGATTATCATTTGAAGCTTCATAACCAATTGGCCTGGGATGTTGGTTCGTCTCACACGTGGTCTGGACCTCACGAAGTTTCATACATTTGTATACGTGATATCGAAGGGGCAATTACACTCAATAAAGATCAGGTGTTTTGGGTCTTCTGGCTTCTGCAATTAAGATTTGGAGGGCGACCATGAGGAAAATTTATGCAACTATCCAATACATCGAACGGTGCAGTAACCAACAGCTTCTGTACGAGCCGAGCTATGGTATTCGTACCAACATATGTACAGCAACGGGGGCTGACTTCTCCGGCGCAGTTCTGAAGCAAATTCAGGGAGCTCAGGGCTGAACGACGACCTGTTGGAAATTTCGCTTCAGCCAATTCATCTCAAATTGTTGGTGATGTTACTCTTGGCGTTGTGATAAATATCTAGGAATCCGCCAGTCTCTTGTAGCGTTAGGGCCACAGTGTGTTCCTATGGAGTTATAAGCTTCCTCGAAAAGCCTATTCCGCTGCTTGGTTTTACTTGAACAAACGGCAATCATGTTACTTCCGGAACCTCTTTTGTTACTTCTCTTGCCGTCCCTGGCAGCCTGTGTTCGACTTCCTCCCCTTCAGTCACGACAAGAGGCAGAAGTTTCGAAATGGATACCATTTTCTGATGCAAGCATTCCCCAGGACACTTTACGAATGTTGTCTTACTAATAAGTGTTACAGATGCATCCCTCTACCTCGTTTGCAGCATTTAAGCCGTGCCACACTGATGGACATGATTGCATGATGTTCGATGTAAGTAATTTGTAGACCCTCTAATATGATGCTGGTCACAACACGCTGGATATTTCTCCTTGTTCATTCCTTTCTATAATAAATTCTCTATGGTCTATCGTTTCCATGATTCGCGACTGATTCCGATTTACAGGTTCCTCTAAATCATAACAAGCCTGACGGATATCGAGCTTACGTTCCCTTATTGAGGTTCAAGTCTACGGCGGCACCTACGAAAGGAATGGTCTTGCTGAATCCCGGGGGGCCCGGTAAATCGGGTGTGGATTGGTTTACTGGGATGGGAAAAGAGATGCAGAGAAGGGTGGGTGAGAATTATGATATCGTCGCTTTTGATCCGCGGGGAATCGGATACAGCATTCCATCAGCAAACTGCAACCAAACCGATCCCAACGCGGTAGGGCGGAGATATGAATTACCTCATGGTCCGTTAGTTCCTTTCGACAATAGGTATATTAGGGAGTCCACGGCCTTGATTGGCGAAGTCTGTCAGTCTGTTATTGGTGGGGAGGATCAGGCTGGCCAGCACATGAGTACAGCAACCGTTGCTCACGATTTGCATTCAATACTCGAGGCATACGCAGCGTCTCCCGAAGCTGCGAACGTTGAAAATGCAGCACTGCTTAATTACATCGGATACAGCTATGGAACAGTGATTGGGCAAAATTTCGCATCTATGTACCCGGACAGAGTGGGACGCATGGTACTTGATGGAGTTGTCGATATAGAGGATAGTGCTGTCGGTCTACCACTTCGGGCCTTGGTGTCGACCGATGATGCATTTGCAACTTTCTTCATCTACTGTCACCTCGCGGGTCCTGACAAGTGCGCCTTCTACACAGATAGCAACCCGGGGGACATTTTCTTACGCTTTGAGTGGATTCTTTCTCGACTGGACACCAACATTGCCAACGCATTGGACTGGGCGAACGCGACAGAGATTGAAAATGATCTATACATGTTGAAAAGATCAATTTTTGACGCGCTATACAGCCCCAAAGCATTATTTCCAGGTCTTGCGACTCTTTTGCTTGACATGGAAACTCACTTGAAAGCCCATAACCTCAGTGCGGTGGCCCAAGATTTGAGCGGCGCGGGAAGGCCGCCGCGGGTCATACAGGGAGACGATTCGTGGATGTCGGGTGTTACTTGCACGGACAATTCCAATACTGCTTATAACGTGACTGACCAAGAGTTCATTCAATACATGAATCTTTTGATGCAACAAAGTTATATTGGTGGAGAGGTCTACGTGGCCAACTGGTACCAATGCGTAGGCTGGTCTATCAAGGCTGTTGAGACATTCACTGGTAAGTCATTCGACCGACCCGCACAGCAAACCGATCTGATGTCTAACTCTTCTGCAGGTGCGTGGGGCGGTAAAACAGCGACACCAATTCTATTCATCGGCAACTCCTGGGATGTCATCACACCTCTTATGAAGTACGTTATAGCGGTCATTAGACTTCGAAATCCTCTAACTTGTAACAGCGCACTAAAAGGAACAACACTTTTCAGCAAGTCAGAGGTTTTAATAGTAAATGAACCAGGGGTGAGCTCTCCAAGAAACTTTAACAGAAGTCATCGTGCAACAGTTGAGCTAATTTCTCTTCAGCATTGCACTGCTAACAAATGTTCTGAAGCCAAAACTCGCGCTTACTTTCAAGAAGGCACGATGCCTGGTGCAGACAATTTCTGTGTTGGACTTGAAGAAGGGAATGGGCCCTTTGATACAACACTCACTATGAGAATGGAGGATAATGGAGCGTATCGAAGCATCTTGGGTAGATTGAGGGCGCTAAGATTGAAGACTTACAGAGCGCTCGACTTCTCTTAGTTGAGCATGCGCGATCGAAAAGTGGGTTTGGAGTTGTAAAAGTACCTTGGAGCAAAATGGAAAGTATTTGGTGTGGCTTAAATGTACTCTGTTTTGATTTGGAAATCATGGGCTGTAATCATCAGAGATGGAGTGGCTTTTGTACTAGAATTTAGACGATTTAATGACTTAAAGATCGGGAAGACATATTCTCTAATCCCACATTCGGTCCGGGGTGACCATGAAGTCCGTAATGGTTTGAAATAGCTACCTTCTACAACTTCAAACTAAACTCGACTTTCAATTTGATTCAATTACCAACAGGGATAGTGTAATGGATTCGCCTGGTAAGATACGAAAAGCTTATTTGTTTGTATTGCCTGAGAAAACAAAAACATTTCTCTGAAATCCCCTTTTATGACTTAATGGCAAATGAAAAGCGAGGAAAATCTAGAATGAGCTTAATTTCGGGGAGAGTTTGATGTGATGTTTCTTATGTCTTGTATCTAAAAAAAAAAAAAAAAAAAAAGAAGTACCATGTCTCAATCACCGTGCGGGTTGCCGTGCAGGTAGGACTTGATCAAAATGTACTCATTTTTCAATAAATATTCATACCCGCGGTTTGCTGCATACTGTTTTGATTCCCAAAACTGCTTACTGTAGAAGTGCGTTTTTTTGAAACCAGTTATGAACGATGCGCTCATTAGACAGCGAAAGAAAGCCAGACATCTAACGCCTCCACTTACAACCCCATCTTTGCCTAAACCCGAAATCTAAATGCCGATAATTATCTGAGCACTCAATTACTCGTTCAAAATAATGGTTTCTTCATGATAAGGTGACAGTTGAGAAGCTTCCTAAAGCGGTCTAGCAATCATGGGTCGCCACATTACCCGGGGCCAGTCAACGGGGAAACAAGCTTCACCAAGCTTCAGTCTCCCTCCTCGGCAAAGCTTATGAGCCAGATACGACGCTGTACCTGACAAGTCCCCGCACTAAGTGTTTCTTTTCTCAAAAATATCTGCACAAGTTCGATGCCGATCTCGCTTATATTGCTTGATCAAGGAGTTCGTACAGGGGGTACCGTCCTGCTGCATCTTATCATGCAGATGTGTGTTGATTAACCATAGCTATGGGCCAAATGACGGATCTGCGATGGGTATGTTGTCGAGGAATTGGCCTACAAAAGGATGAGCGGCCCCGGGGTTTGGCTTTTGGTCAATTGCTTGTTGTACAACTTCCAAGTGTGTCAAAATGAAGACCGCTCTTTTCGCCGTTGTGGCTGCTGTCCTCGTGGCATCTGGCAATGCAATTCCTACTCCTTCAAACCATGTGTTACACGAAAAGAGAACGTCATTGCCTAGACCGTGGGTCAGAAGTAATCGTGTTGAAAGAGATGCAATTCTCCCAGTACGGGTCGGACTAATGCAAAACAATCTTGAGATTGGTGAGGATCTACTGATGGAAGTGTAAGTCTACCTTTTGTACCTATCCAGCATGGAGCCTCCTTTTATCGGAAACGTTCCAATTGAGATGGGTCTGGAGACTAACTAATAGACAGTTCGCATCCATCATCCCCAAAATACGGCAAGCACTGGACGCAAGAGGAAGTCCATGACATGTTTGCTCCATCTACGAGCGTTGTCCAAGAGGTTCGCGATTGGCTCGTATCATCTGGTGTAGCAGATACTGTGATCGTTCACTCCGAGAATAAAGGATGGCTAGCTTTCGATATTCCAGCATGGAAGGCGGAGGAGCTCTTCCACACCGAGTACCATGAGCATTTTCATTCTGCATCTGGCAAGGTCACTGTTGGTAGCGACGAGTAAGTGACAAACCAACAACAAGAAGGACAATGCTAATTTGCCAAAGTTACTATATTCCCGAACATATTCGAGAACATATCGACTATGTCACCCCCGGTGTCAAACTATCCGCTCCCTTGACAAAGAGTAAAGTAAAGCGCGACGTGCACAAGGGACATTACAAACCAGGTCCGTTCAAAAAGCAACCTCCGAAATGGACAGGCCACCCGTGGCCAAAACCACCAGGAGCAGGTTCGCTGCCCCTCAATCTGCAAGGTTGTGATAGAAATGTTACCCCAGCTTGTCTGAAAGCATTATACAAAATCCCAGATGCCCATCGGAGTGATCCAGCAAATGTTATGGGACTTTACGAAAGTGGTGATACCTATTCGCAGGAGGATCTGAATTTGTTCTTCGCCAAATACGCCCCAAATGTACCACAAGGAACTCACCCAAAGTTGGACTCCATTGATGGAGGTCAAGCTCCGGTCGCACCTAACAGCGATTTCAACACTGGAGAAAGTGATATTGATATGGATATCGCCTACTCTCTGATCTATGTGAGTCTCGTCCTGTAGTCGTAAGAGTTCAAATGAGACTAATCAGTTCGAATAGCCACAAAAGATCACCCTTTACCAAGTGGATGACAGTGTTGAAGCTTTCACAGATGGTGGTTTCAATACTTTCCTCGATGCGCTCGATGGTTCGTACTGCACATACACTGCATACAATATCACCGGAAATTCGCCTGGTGTAGATGCAGTCTACCCGGACCCAGCGCCAGGAGGTTACAAAGGCCCTCTTCAATGCGGTGCCTTTAAACCTACCCGAGTAATCAGTGTCTCGTACGGAGTCTCTGAATTCGACGCTCCGGTGGCCTACACAAAGCGCCAATGTAACGAGCTTCTCAAGTTAGGTCTTCAAGGTGTGACTTTCCTCTGGGCATCTGGAGATTATGGAGTTGCTTCATTCCCCGGAGATGACAACGACAACGGATGTCTTGGTACCGATTCAAAGGTCTACAATCCCAGTTTCCCTACCTGTCCATACGTCACAAATGTTGGTGCCACTCGACTCTACGAGAATCAGACAGTTTTGGATCCAGAATCTGCACTTCAAGCAAACCTTGGAGGGTCTGCTTCTCTATTCGCATCGGCTGGTGGATTTGCGAACTATTTCCCAGTTCCGTCGTACCAGAAGGTAGCAGTTGGGAACTACTTGAAATACCACAACCCAGGGCTTCCATCGTACGTCGCGAATGCTGATGCCACAAACATTGGTGAAGGTGGTGGGGTCTACAACAGAGCCGGTCGTGGATTCCCAGATGTCTCTGCCAACGGGGCGCTCTTCCGCGCATTCAATGATCTTTCAGATCTACATTTCTACGGCACCAGTCTTGCGGCTCCAATCTGGGGTAGTATCGTGACGTTGATCAATGAAGAGAGAACAGCTATTGGAAAAGGTCCAGTTGGATTCATTAATCCGGTACTTTATGCTAATCCGTGGGCCTTTAACGATATCAAGAATGGTAGCAACCCGGGATGTGGTAGTTCTGGTTTCAAAGCGGTTGATGGATGGGATCCTGTGACGGGTCTTGGAACACCAGCATACCCATCTCTACTGAAGCTGTTCTTGAGCTTGCCATAATCCTTGTAGATGTAAACAATTAGCAAGAAATTCCATGATTTATGAAGAACGTGATGCCCCCTGTTTGAAATTTACTTCGTAGACCTAAAATCTCTTCAATCTTCTTGCAAGGAAGTCGAGTTTCAAGTTAGGCTATCGAGGGAAAAACCTCGAAATACATGTCCTTGACCATAATGAGCATCCTTCAGGAGGGTGTAGCATTATCTCGAACATGTGAGCAAATGTTGTCCGGCTTGTTATTGAGTGATTGTCGCCAAGAACAAAGTCTTCGCCACGGAAGAACTCCGGTTTTGTCAGCCAAAAAAAGTTCCAAGGTTCCTTGAACATCAACAACGATTTCAAATCAAAGTCGAAGACAAGGGAACAAATCGACGCGAACCGCCGACTCAAAGATCTCCATAAGAAGCACAGAAATCCACACAGAAATCCAGTTTGTCAATCTTCTGTCTGCAACCTATAGCAGACGTCGCACTCCCTCCAAACCTCATCGCAATGTCTTCGTCCCACCCCCACCAAGATGAAGATCCCCACCGCGGGGTCGACGAGAATGATGAAGAAGAGGAGGCAATGCTCGACCCAAACGATGCTGCCGAGGAAATTGTTGACGATGGGGACGCTGCTATGGACTCTGGCTCGGAAGATGGCGGGGAGGACGAGATAATGCAGGAAATTCATTTACAAAACGATTCCGCCGCGCACTTCGACAAATTTAAAGATAGCATTTTCACCATTGCACAACACCCCAAATTACAAAATATAGTGGCTGTTGGTGGAAGTGAAGGTGAAGATGCTGGTGGTATTGGTTATATCTTCGATTCGACGCCTGAGCCTTCACCGGTGTTGCCAGCTTCATATCAAAGTAATCCAAACGAAAGGGTGGAGAGAAAAGGGCTCGAGCCGATATTTACATTAGAGGGACATACGGATTCGATCAATGCGCTTGCCTTCACATTTCCTGCGGGCGAATTTCTGGTTTCAGGGGGGCTAGATGGGAAGCTAAGAGCATATGCTGAGCAGAAGGGAAACTGGTCGTTCCTGTCCGAGGCACAGGAAGTTGAAGAAATTAATTGGTTGGCGCCATGTCCAAGTCCGACTTATGCTAACACTGTAGCGCTTGGAGCAAACGATGGCTCTGTTTGGGTTTATACTATCTCGTCAGATCCTTCAGCGCCTCTGCAGATTGTCCAATCATACTTTTTACATACCGAATCATGTACAGCTGGAACTTGGTCTGCGGACGGCAAGCTTCTGGCGACTGTTAGCGAAGACGGCTCGCTTTATGTATGGGATGTGTTCGGAGAAGCATCCGCTGCAGGATTGACTCAAGACAATGGGCAGACTGTGGTTGGTCTCACAGCATTAGATCAGAGATTTGCTGTCGAAGGAGGATTATTTAGTGTTGCAATCGCACCGCAAGGAGCATTCGTTGTTGTGGGTGGTGCGGGAGGAGCTATCAAAGTAGTCGGACTGCCTCGGCTTACTTCTGGAAACGCCGCATCTAGCTCGAAGGCGAAAGGAAAGGGAGGCAAGGCCGCTGGAAATGCTTCCGCATCAGCGGGACAAGCTGGCCAAATTCTTGCTGATATTCAAGCACAAACCGATGGAATTGAGACTCTCTCGTTTGCTCCCCCGCCTCTTACTCTGCTCGCGGCGGGTAGTGTTGATGGGTCAATTGCTCTTTTCGACTCGGCGCATCGCTGGGCAGTGAGAAGACATATCAAAGAAGCTCATGAAGAACACTCTATCGTGAAGGTCGACTTCGTGAAAAATCAGCGGACAGGAGGCTGGCTCCTCACAAGTTGTGGTATGGATGGCGTTGTAAGGAGATGGGATACACGAGGTGGAACTGGTATGGCAAATTCGGGCTTTGTTGCTGAATGGAAAGGCCATAGAGGAGATGGAGAGGGTGGTGGTGTTTTAGGATTTGTTCAAGGAGATGGCAATAGAATTATCACCGCTGGTGATGATGGAATTAGCTTGGTGTTTGATTCACCTGTCGCTTGAGGTGTATGAGCTATTTGTTGGTTAAATGTGAGAAAGACTTATTTGTTTATAGAAAGTAAAAATTGGAATACCCGATCGTTGCGCATAATATGGCTTGTTAATTTCAGCTTCTACTCGGAAATCATGGAAATAAGCTCGCTACACGATTCTGACGTACATCTGCTAAGCATCTAAACCCTCCGCTAATCTTTTCTCGGGCGTTCAACGATAACTTTCTCGCTACATGGCCATAGTATCGTCAAATTCAGATTGAGAATGATGAAAATCCAATCATATTATCTTCTTCATCAGATCAGCCATACCACGGTTGGCCTCGTCCAAGAAACTCACTTCCATGTTACTTCACAATACAACCCCTTCTCTTCGATTGTACTGCACAGTCCAAGCCGCCTTCTCCATCTTCTCTTTCCCAAGTACTTCCCCAATCACAAACAACGCCGCATCCATGCCAGCACTGATACCTCCTCCAGTCACAATCCTCAAGCCCTTCTCCTCATCAATCGGATTCGCCACGAATCTCTCTTCATGATACACCTTCCCACCTTGCGGTTCCAAGATAGTTTTCAATTTCTCGGTGTAAAGCGGATGAGTAGTAGCGCTCTTCCCAGCCAACACACCAGACTCAGCAAGAAACAACGATCCAGTACACACACTCATCAAAGTCCTCACACCGCCATCCTCTCTTTTGGGCAGCTCACTGAAAGTTTTGATAAGAGAAATGGGTTCCGCTCTTGTAGGCAACACGTTCTGGCTTCCGCCGCCGGGAATCAAGAGGATGTCGAACTCGGCTAATTTTTCGTATGCCTCTTCGAGCGTGAGGTCTATGTTGATGGATAGTTTGGAGTGAGCGATGATATTGGGTTCGCCGCTTGTGATAAAGTTCTCGAACGCGGGCGTTCGGAGCTCTGGGTTGGAGTCTGGACCGTGACGGCCCCAGGAGAAGATTTCGTAGGGGCCGATTAGGTCCATTGGGTCGAATGAGGGATGAACATGGCAGAGGACTTTAAGAACTCTTGGAGTTGTCATCTTTGCGAAGAGGTCAACGAAGTTGATGTTTGAAGTGGTTAGAGAGTGTGGGTCGTTGTGGTTTCGATGGCCGTTCAATTGCTTATATAGTAAATATCCAACATAGTCTTACTCCATCAAGCACTTCTACATTGCAGCAATCAATGTGAGTCACACATCCCATGCGTTCTTCTATACGCCCTTTCCAGACATTTGTTGACCGGCACAACACCTAGACCAACGGATGTAAATATATGAATTCTCACCCGGACTGAATTATCCCGAATCGGATATACGGAGATAAATTTTTAGAAATGCTGGGGAAAAGTTCAAACATGCCACATTCATGTTGCTATCTCCTTATTCGTAGTTGCAACAAGTTTCGCTAAATGTGCTTCTCAACTAAAGATTTTACTCTGAGATTGCCACCCATTTATGACAGCGGGTAAACTCTTCTGGGGGTTCCTTGCAAATAAATAATGAAATTTTCCCCACACAACGCGACATTAGATAACGTCTTGACAAGAACAAACTAAATGTGTATTTAGCTCGACTATGTTCTCGAATTCATGTCTCTAGACCTAGCAGCGGATGTTGGAATAAGCAAAAGAAAACCAAAACAATACAACAGCAGGTATTCGCTGGTGGTCACCCACCCAACTACTAATCTGCCGATCTAAGGCTTGTGTATGGCAGAGCGGACGGGATGCCCAATTCTCCTTAGTCTGTGGCCGCATGTGACAGAGATGTTCCAAACAGCACATATATACAATTTTATTTATGGAACGTGGACTATTATCTTCGTTCTGACACTGCAGTAAATCTAGAAGAATGAGGTTATCATTTTCGGCATCATGGAGATATGAATTGCGTATCACATTTGGTCAGATAATGGACCCAACTTGACGAAAATTGCAATCGAATTGCGTTTTGCCGGAGAAAGAGCATGGAGAGCACTGCAACAATCATGTATTTAAGGCACTAATGTAACTTTTAAGTGCTTGGAGTCCATCGTGATTTACGGTCAATTTCTCATTAGTACTTCTAAAAAAACAATATTGAAACGTCTGAATTCGGTTTATGTTAGTAAATCTCGATATTTCAAGAACATGCGCTTAAGCGAGTCTACATATTATAGTGTACGTTTGACTTACAATACACTTGCCCTCTTTAAGCTAGGATTGTATTGAAAGATGGTAATAATCTGTTGTATTAACTCTTTGTTAAAATGGATAGTGCAGACCCATTTTCTTTCCCCTATTTCGTGAAGTGTTAAAATTGGCCGGAACAAAATGTTGGATTTTGTTGAACTGAGTCACTAGTGAGTTAAATAAATCTCTCTATCAGGACCTGAGTTAATTTATTTTGGTTTAATTCAAACTTGATTCCATTTATGATGAAGTCTCTTTTATGCGTCTTAAGTATTCCATTGGGTTGTGTTTTAAATTACGGCAGCACTTTTCTGGAAAACATTTCAATTCATTAATTTCAAATATACTTCGGACACTGGCAACATCTCAGCAATAGGATCTATGTCACAGAGACAGGACCCCTGAGTACTAATAGATAGCATGATGGCTGAAATCATTGCTTCTTGTCATCACATTCTCATCAATTTCTCTATTCTAACTTGTCATGTGAGACAACGTGTTCATTTTTAGACATAGCGAGATATTGGCATGTAAAACCCCTAAACATATCTTGTTACTACCTCATCCCATGAGAGTATTACTAAGTAGTTACAAATAGCCACAATCATTGAGGCTTTCAAGGCTGATGTGAATAATAACTCACTGTTACTTTCCTCGGTGAAACGGAGGATTGATAACAGCGAGTCCACGAATGAATACGGCGAGGCGGACAAGGCAAACTTCCTACTATTGAAGTTTGTCATCGTCCGAGTATAGGAATAGCTCTTCGAATTTTAGTAAAGCACTTTATAAGTAATCTCGCTTTCCCAAAAAGGTGGGGCGAGTCGCGAGGTGCTTATTGAACACAATGTAGCCGAAACCCCGTCATCCATACGTCCGAAAACGGAGAATCTGTTAGTATTGAATATGCCGTTCGGCCCCCGAATGTAAGCCACTGTGACGTCTAGACGCTTAGGCAAGCAGCCTTTTGACTTGGAAAAAGAAATCCGAAAAGATGAGGCTGCAGTGATGTGCATTAGTACATATAATGTGTACTGGTCAACTTGTCAGATGATGCTTCTGGTGAGAGTCAACTACACTGTTGCATGTGGGCGTCGATACTTTTCAGTCAGCGGAATCCTGAGGTTAGACTAGGGTTGCATCCCACTAAACTGGATCCAGTAAATCCGACAGAAAGTATATGATTGATCAATTGATGGAACATTACACGGATGTAAGAGATAACAGTTCTTTGGCTGTCCAGACTGGGTGGCTATTGAGTCGTACGGGCCACTTTGTGCTCCCAATCACTTCTCTAGAGTCGCAGGACGTAATCTTAGTCGTATACGCTTATTCGAAGTGTGCCCGACTACCGACATATATAAGCTCAGCTCTCGCGCATCAGAGGTTCGTAGGGCTGTCTCAAACCCTCCCAGCTCACCTCTGCCTATAAAGGCGGACAGGGCATCTCAAACACCCAGGTCATGCTGTTGTTTGCCTACAAGATAGGAGAGCCAGTCCTTCTTCAAGATAGCAGATTTATATCATTCTCATACACCATTATTTAGAGTTCACACTCAGCCTTATGCATCACCTGATATTTCAGCAGCCTTACGGTTGGCTACACGCGGTGAAGCAAACAGGCCATCGAGATTTGAAGGCTCTGAGCGATGCAAGTAATTAGATCTCGATGACCCTCGCGTATTCTTGCCTTCGTGAATCGATGGTTGTGTTTGAAGGACACTACTGGATGCCTTCTGGAAGGCCATCTTCCTAGCAGATGTAGTATCCCACGTCTTCCTGCAAGATATTGCCTGGCCAATAAAACATTTGGGCACATCACCATCATCAATAAATGGCCGAACCAAGAAATTCTCTGCTATGTGTCATTTTGTCTGATATGAAGAGATAACGATGGAAAAATGACTGACATCAGCCGCATTGCTGATCGCCCAGAAAAAGGAACTTGAAACATGATTTTCGTATATCCAAGGAGATGTGAGCCAGCAGAACGTGGGAAACACACTTTTGACACGAGACACACAGCCTCACACGTGCCGTAGAGGGGGTGGAACAGGAGAGGAAAGAGCTACCCTGGGGTGTTGCATCTTCCTTCATGCGAGGCTCGGAGCCCGGCGTATCTGCCAATCACTGGAGTCAATTGACAGAGATAAGAACAGTACACGTACTTTGAAATAGCTATAGCAAGGCCGGGTAGACAGCTATCTGGTCCGGACTTTCGGTTTTTCTGGAAGCCACTGTGTGGAAGGTGTGCCCCACCATCATTTCAGTCCGGTGAGCCAATTAGTCGTGGCGACCAAAATGAATTTCTGCAGTTCAGGTGGGTTTGGTTGCCTTGCTCGCCTAACAAAGAGAGAGATGTACGACAATTCATAGCCTGTTTTGTTTTGGATCCGAAATTACCGACGGTAGCGACTTCAATCAAGCGGAACTGATTTTTTTGAACAGACAGTATTAGAATTGAAGGGGGGGTGGGTGATTATTATATAGAAAATGAATGCGATCCATCCACAGTCTGAAACAGTGAGCACTGTTCAGTTGCTGGCGGAATACATCTGCAATGTGAATTCAGTTATGGAGGGTGGTATTAACCCCGCAGATGTGGAGAATGAAGCTCCTCTTTGAGATATATGCAGTGGTATCACATCATTATGTATGATAATTAATTAGGGTATGTGGCCCCCAGCTGGACAAGGCAAGAACTTCAAGAAGTGAGGCAACCAGAGCGTACTCGCTTAACGAGAACGACAACCTAATATGAGTGCGGAGCTTCTTCCCATACCACTTTTAGATTGATACGCATTGAGATGCAACATCTTGAATATTGATAGCATTTCTTTTGACGGCTAATGAGAGAGGGGTGAAGTGCCAGGTTTAGCCTTATCAAGCCCCACGTTCCCTACCAGATCATGGGTCAGAGATAGGCCATCTATCTGGAGTCCTGGTCTAAAAGTCTATCAACCGACTACTTTGATGTTGCAAATAGAGCATTATCTACCGGTACTCCGACAGTTTCAATACTCAATACTTACTTCAGTGAATGATTGGAGGACTGTGGAAAAATTGATGCGACATAGCATTTGTACTTCATAATGGAAGTATTGCACTGGCTGCAATTATGCACTGACAAGCAGCAAAAACCTCTGATATGTTAAGTTGGGTTTGAATCCTGAGAGGAGGAAATTGAGATTTCCTTGTGCTACTAAGAACCCATTCCTGCTGATAATTACTATATATAGAACATATAAATTACGCCTCGACCTCTTTCAAGTCATCTTGACAGAGAGCGAAGGCGTTTTTTACCCACTGTCATTTTGAAATAACATCTTTCAATTGCGTTCTCGGGGTGATGTATGGCTTTACTTTTGACCGCGAGCGAGTGAGCTGCTCATACGCGAACGCAAAGGATATCAATGTCTGCTCACTCCATTTCGGTCCCAAGAACGACAGACCGAAACTTGGCTTGTTAGCAAAGAAATCTGTCAAGAGGACGTCAGGGGATAGTCCTTACGGTATATTTGGTGCTGTCTCCGCCAGATTCCATACGGACTTTTGGACTATGCTGCTCTGTGGGTAGGAGCCCATTGGGACTGTAATTACTGGTAGACCTCCGTAGGCGGCCATATCTGGCGCATAGTTCGTCGGCAAAATTAATGCATCAAGGTTGAACCGTGCCAGAGCGCCTGTAATCCCGCCCTCTCCGCTCCAACGAAGTCCTTTCTGATAGGCTTCCCAAAATTCAGGATCTGACTGTTTCGGCCCGGCAAGAGCCGCCTGCCATATGAGTGTGTCTCTCTCAGGATAATGTTCAGCTGGAGAATGCTGTGTAAAGTTGAGCAAATCATTCAGTAAAGTTATGTTGTTGGGGTTGTTGGTAAGTTCTGAGAGATATTTTGGAAGCCCGGACACGAGGTCCGCTCCAAGAACAGTAAGTAAGACGCGATCCTGGTCGTCTATCTGTTCTTGCTGTGCCGTATAATTGGCGTTGTCTATAATGATAGCGCCGGCTTTCTTCATAACCCGAATAGCTTTTTCGAAGGCGTCCAGAATTGGTTTTGCGGAGCTATCCACCACGCCAAGGGTTCCGATCGCGTTCCTTGCAATGCCGATGCGTGCACCCTTAAGACTAGAAAGTTTCAGTCCCTTGCTGTAGTCTGGAGGACTGTCGAAGGGCTGCGCAAGAGTGTAGTTGTCGTCCGGGTCCTTACCAGCAATTATCGACAGAAGCATGGCAGCATCAGTGACCGAACGGGCCATGGGTCCAACTGTATCCTGACGCTCACTGATGGGAATGACCAGCGATCTCGAAGTCAATCCAACCGTAGGCTTGATACCGACAACATTGTTGGCACTGGCTGGAGACACAATACTTCCACTGGTCTCAGTACCTAAAGAAGCCCATGCAAGACCAATGGAGCTTCCTACACTACTCCCAGAAGAGCTTCCACTGGGATCCATATCGGGGTAATATGCGCCAGTCACCTGACCTCCATATGCAGACCATCCACTTGAAGTGTTGAATGATCTGAAATAAGCCCATTGGGACATGTTGGCTTTCCCGAGGAGAATAACACCAGCGTCCCGTAGCTTCTTAGCAACCGTTGAATCCCGGGGTATCGTAGCACCGACAAGGGCGTAGGAACCTGCCGTATTATTCATCTGGTCCATCGTGGCAATGTTGTCTTTGAGAAGCATTGGTAGGCCGTGCAGCCTACTACGGACTTTTCCACTAGCCCGTTCGGCATCAAGATCAGCTGCAATAGACAGGGCAATAGGATTAATATCGTTGACGACGTTGAGAGTCGGATTGACTTCTTTGATACGGAGTATGTAAGCCTCGTAGTCGATTAGTAACTTTCTATAAAGAATCATGGGAGACAATACATACCTTGGTTAGATCGACACTATTCCAACGTCGGCGTTCCAGCCCTTCCACCAGCTCTTCAGCGGAGGCATCAAGGAGATCTGGATAGGAAGCATGAATTGCTGATTTGGGAAAGTTGGCATATGGCAAGCCTAAAGATTGAGGGAGCCAGCACAACGCAAACAAAGCGACAAGCATTGCAAAAAAGAATGACATTTTAAGCCCTGAAATATTAGAAAAGCGCTTGAAAGATGAATTCTCACGTCCTGAGCCGTGGCCTTTATGCCTATCGGGATTGCGGAAATTCTCAGGAGTGGCGTGAGGCAGCTGCTTTGAAGCAAGGGATTTTGAACATATTCGCGAAGAGCCACCGTCTGGATTGCCAGCAGTCGCCATCCTTTATCAGAAAACCTTTACTATACTCAATCTTGCTCAAACGAGCTCCGATTCACGCCACCTTGATGAATATAGATTGACGCACCCCACTGCGACAAAATTTTGGAAACTCTCAAGCAGCGGATCAAGATATTTGTGGGAGAAATGGAGCGGTGGTCAAAGATGAAACTGAATATTATTAGCAATTCATAAATTAATATGAATGAGGTGTAAAATGATGAGGATATCTCCTCATCTTTCGCAGATGAGCATCAGGGTCATCGAACTACGCCAGCGCAGAGCTAAACCGGAAAAAGCAGGTCCCAACATTGCTTTCTAAACAATTAGATAAATCTACAGGCCTCTTTATGTATTATCAGGAGGAGATTCAATACACGACTGCATGTTGCGGGTGGCAATCAGGTGTAAATATATGTATGGGTCTATATTCATGAGACGAAAGAAACGCGTCGTCGCGAAATTTCTCCTTGATAACTTGGTCATGTGATGTGAGAAGCATTGAAGCGACGGCGAATAAATGCCTGAGGATGAAGGGCTTCATCTCCACCCATGCAGCTCCACTTCCAATTCAAATTCGACATCACTTCGCAAGATTTCGCTCGACATTCCCGACTTGGAATACTGACACACTGTTAGCCGAAACACGTACTTTTAACACACGTCGATTCTCATGACAGTGACAGTAATGGAGGATCTGTCGCTCCGAATGAGATTACTCACCATCAGCAGCTGTCCCAAAATGGCACCCGCGCAACGTTTAGCAAACACATATATGAGCCATTGAGACTCGACTTTGGCAAGGCAATCGCTCATACGACAACAGTATCAGCCTTCTGTGTCTTGAATCTCTAATCCGCTACTCAGCTGCCATGTTTACTCGCCATGAACGAGAATATCTCGGAACGACGAAAATAGCGTTTCCGAAAGAAATGCAACACAATGGGGAAAGTGCCGCTGGTTCATTCGTAATATGTACAGTTGGAAGGCTGGCGAAGGATAGACGACTTATACTCTAGATATTGCTTCCCCTCCCTCTCCTCAGTTGCGGTACTGCTACCATGGCTGTCTCCAGCACTAATCTACATTAGCTTATGCTTCAGATATCATGATCCCTATCTGTGTCGCAGTCTGGGGCTCGCAGTAGCGGTTAGAACTACCGAGTCTCATCTGACTGATACTGTTTGGCGCTTTCCCGAACAGCGAAGCTTTGTCTGAACCAGGGTTGACGTGTGGCTCGTCACACATGGATATTGTTGCTTCCGCTGCCGTTACAAAGCAGATCAGAAACTGAAGCTTGCAGCAGGAACGTTTGATATACGATGGTCTGAGGACCTTCTTGATCAGCTGATATTTTTTGTTAGCATTAATTGCCTGAATACCCTTTTTAATGAGACTTTCCGTTTTCTATAGGGTTTCGAACTTTGTCCACATCAGAAAATTTGAGGCTTGCCGACTGGCTATACAAAGTCGACCCACATCTCATTCAGATTTTTAATTGAAGCCTTTATCGCGAACTCTTACCAGTAGAGTGTGTATCTCTAATCACGTTTCTGTTGGGCACAATCTTCGGTATCTTGCGAGGCGTGTTGAAGATATTTCGGCTAAATTTACCACTGGGAGCCTCCCAAAGTCATCATCCTCCTATAATTTGCTCAGAGGGCAGATTGTGGTACGTGGCACAGGCATAGTAGACTCTTCTCACGGCCCGGTATTCGGGAAAGCATTCCGACGAATAAAGATCTGTGGTGACCCTTCTTTAGCATTTGGGAGGTGTCTACCCTGAGATTATATCCTAGATAACCGTCATTCTCACGCATATCGCCTAGCATGCATCTACTTCAATACTCTCCAACTCTATCTCTTAGAACTTGTTTGTTCTTTGTATCTCTTTTAGCATTCTCCTCTCAGCAGAAGTCTCCAAAAAGAATCTCAAATCTTTGAGGATCCCCCAAGTATTCTGTCAGCATTTCTGTCATATTTCAACACAGCACAACAACACATCCATTCCGTGACCATCATCATCTGGGTCTGCTGAATCTTATAGCCTCAACCATTTCAGCCTCGTCTAACGACGACGGTCCAATATGGAGGAGGTGGGTAATGATGAGGCGGGGTCTGTTGTACATGTCCTTTCTCCATCCTTGTTCTGCAATACCACACTTTAAATGGCGACGAATATTGGATCTCAATTGCTGCGGTGGAATTTTTACCGTGAGATAGAGAAGGAGATATCTCCGGCGACACGACTCCGTGTTACTCGAATGGGCGAATCGTAGTTTGTGGTGCTAATATATACCTTAGCGACGCAGCACAGCATTGGACCCTATTTACAACAATGTACTAACATAGATATCATCACATACTTTCACGATCGCACTCTTCCTTATACAAAAGAAATCACTTTTAATATCTGGTCAAAAAGTTGAAACTTACTGTTTCTTGGTGTCTAGCATTTGTGCCTCGCGGCTGCAATTGGCTGCACTTCACCGCTCCCATTGGCACTTACACCCATTTCCATATCCACAAACAACAGTGCTGAATCGTCGATTGAAAGTAGCGCGCTAATGGTTGCCCCTGTACACTACCAATCACACCGCTACACGGACTCGAACTCGCATACCCGCTGTAAGAGACTGCCGTTTATTCTGCATGCTTGGCTAGCCTCTGACAAGCTCGAATTTGTCGGTTCCAGCAACTCAAAGCTTTTCACTGCCACATAAGTACGATGCACATAAATTAGCTTCACGTTTTTACATTTCTAGCGCCGGTTCGGATGGTACTTTGTACAGGGGTTAGCAACATATTTCGACCAGAAACTAAGAAGTGATGCTGCAGCATCCGGGGATACCTTCCATATGTCCGCAGCCTCAACTTGCTGTCATTGCGGCCTAACAAATATTTCAGAGGAGCAGGGCGGTCCTTGTATGGTATTGCAAACTCGTGATATGCATTGTGATTCAGAACAACGCATTGAAATGGGACCCTACGTGCTTACAATCTTCGCGCAAGTCAGTTAGACAACAGCAAGGCTTCCAATTAACTGTATACAAGTTCTCCTTCATTCAAGGCAATATTCGTGAGCTGCAAAGCATACTCACTTTTCCAATGAGGTTGTGGATCTCCCGCCTAGTATGTGAGTTGCAAAGTCTGTTGGTGCCCAAGCCAATCTCAAGACTCACACATTCCGCTAAGTAATATCCACAAATCCTTACCAACAACTTATTGGACTGATAATGCCAAAGCATGTTATGTTTTCCCAGATTGTGGATCTAGCATATTTCTTCTACAGCCTTGCATCAGAAACTCGTTCTTCGTTGTCGCGGCCGCTATGTAATAAAGTCGGGCAGTCACCGAATATCATCACCTGTACGTTCAAGTACCAATAGCTTCACTCAAAAATAAGGCAAAACGAAAACAAACACGAATGACTATGTACGTATAGTCGGCGTGGCCCAACGTAGCCGTAATTGAACGGAGTGCTGCAAGTCCTATGTTACCAACAAATGTATGATCCTTAAGCTTAGTTTTCGGTGAAGCCCATATGTCATATCAAACCAATCACCTGGGCCGAGCGCGAGCCAACATACGGTTAGGTTCCAAATTAAAGTTAATCAATTCATCACTGGGTCAACACTACTCAGCGAGCAAAATTGACGCCTCAACTCCTGTTCACAACAGAGCACACCGAAATTGCCAACTAAAATATTCTCGTTGCCTCATTATTAATTGGTTCAAATTCAAGATAAACAAACCACGATCAACATTGCCGACCATGGCCTCGGGTTATGCGACCGCCATTGAACCACATTTGCCAATCTCAGCCGCACCCGACATCGATCCGACGTCCAACCAAGACCATTTGATCAACAGTAACAGCCCTACCGAGAATTATGATCAAACGAAGACGATAGACCCGTGGTGTACTGATTAACATACCTGTCTCTCAAAGCAGACGAGGCAAATCTAGGGCGGGCAATATTGGACATAAAATCGGACACAAGACCCTATGAGACCCGAAAGACAGCCGCTGTATACCATTGCCCTTCACATAGGGCGCCTAAGAGACCGATTTATGTGGTGCTTGGAATGTAGACGCTGAAAGGATTTATAATTAATTTCGGTTAATATAGGGGATATACTACACGTGATCCTTCCGGTTTCATAGTATCGGAAACCCAACTTCCATACCAAACGCCTCATGATCTTTTTGACAGTTTAGGAAGTTGACAGATTTATGTTTCCGTTCGTAAAGACCAGATATTCCTTGAGTTTTTCAACGTCACGTGCTGCGGCCGGGTTTCTCGCCTCCCTTGCCACATCGGCGCCACCCGTCCACTTCACCTTCCTAGAAAGATAGATTGTAGGATGCGTCATCAGTAATGATGCATGAGAGAGTCATACACAGTGAAGGCGAAAGTAGAATTTTCTGTTGGTTGAATAATGCTGTCGCGTTAGACTTGTGTGAAGAAGTGTGAATAGTGACTTGGTGAAGGCAGCCTGGTCGCCCCTGAATACGGCTTGGGTTAAGCGAGCTTGGCCCAGTCATCGGCGAGTTACTTATCCCCGACTCGGCTCGACGTCGTCGAGTAGCGCAAGAAATTTGTGCTGTAGACCACGATGTTGTGTACTATTTGAAGGTGCAATATTGTGATGTCAGTCGTTCGCGGGAGAGTGAGTCAATCTTACAAAATTGCCTCAACTATTGAGGAATTAAGCGAGAATAAAAGCCCCAGAGTTGAGTTCGCCGACTACCGTCATCTTGCCGTCCATCGTTGGCCATAGGATAAGATTATGATCCAGAAAACACTTGCTTCTGCATATCAGTAGTCATTAATGTGAGTGACTGGAAAACCCCACGCACTATTTCTCACTATCTTCGCTTGGCTCTCCCCTGAATAGAAAAAGTAAGGGGAAGCGACGGGAGCTTCCATCTTGGGCCGACACAATAATACGCCCGAGAGTCTCCGTTATAAGCAGAGCCATGCAAAGGGAGGCAGGCAACGAGGAAAGCTGAAATACAGCTGTAGTAACGAAACGAGGCAACTGACTCTCCGCAGGTGTCGTCTTTAGAAAATAGATAAGTGACCTTGCACAACTGAAAGGTGGCACCGCTATCGATCAGAAGACAACTCCTGGATCATCAATGTTCTTCAAGAGAACTTGATCAAGGGTGTTTGACTCACCGTCTTTCCCAAGGCTACGAAAAATGTGGTGCTAACCCATCGTCGACCAGGGCCTATCGACATGAAGAGAACTTCAACGGAGCCGCCATATCTAGGCTTGTGGATTTGACAGGGATTTCTCCATATTTTGCCCTACAAGTCCATCATGATTTGTCCAACCACATTTCAATGTTTGGTATTGGCACTGTACCCTTTGTCGCGGTCAGCTTGAGTTGAATGACTCCTGGCCACTAAATCTTCAATGACTTGTGCGTTGCATTGCAGCTTTGATTTCGCCTGAAAATTTTGCCCCAAACAGGAGAGTAATCGATAAGCAGATAGCTCAGAGGTGTTACGTGAGGACGGCTGCCTGGTCGTAGAAAGTGAGCTCTTACATTGGAGACGTTGCCCAAGTATTCGGAAAGAGAGGACAACGAGGCCTGTCCGCCTGACAATGGGGGCGAATTGAGCTCGGAGTTCTAATATATATTAGTTCTCAGGAGGTAAATATTGAGGCTTGGTGCCAACAGGTTCTTCTACTGGCTTAGATTAGCGGTCTGATGAAATAATTGCGACGATGTAGTGCGACTCACGACTGTAAGACTTATCATTGCATATCGTCTGACCATATGTTTAAGAAGAACGCTCCGTACTCCAGCGAATGGCATGTTTGTGGCAAGAACCAACCTTGGAAAGAATCATGTGGCGATATACTTCGTTTTGTACCTTTCGTAGAACTTCTTCTCGTGCTCGCTTAGTACTTGTTGTCCCATGGATGCCGGTCTTAGCAGTAGGTAAGCTTGTTAACGGCAGCAGAAAATAAAACAATACGAGCTGAATTAATCTTTCCTTGAATGTCGACAAATCATCCAGGAGTAGTAATCCATACGTTGCTCGACGCGCAACGTTTCTTGAGCACAGCCACTCGGGGGAGCCGTTGGCTCGCTTAACTCGTATGACAGTACCTAGGTACCCGTAGGTAGCTACCGTCATAAAACCTGCTGATACTGTACCAAAAAGTCCAATCACGGAGCATGTACAATACTTTAAAGATTGGTGGATATAATCTATGGAACGAAAATAAACATGAAAATGAATTCCAACTCGGGTTTGATATGAGAGGAACGCCCCGGTCAACGGTCAGGCACCGATTGAAAGCACAACGATATCGAGTCGGCTTAATTCATTCTTTAATCCGAGCAAAGTATTGAATCAGATCGAGAATAAATTGATGTGCCTAGGCAGGCTTGAAGATACGGTCTCGTGCTTTATCACGATTAAATTTACCGAAAGTATTGTAGGCCGCCGTGACTGCTTACAAACATAGAGAGATCTGGCGCTTGCGAGCGGTACGTAATTCTTTCCTATCGAGAACTCAATAAAGATATTGTAACGATTCATTCAGTGATAGACGTTAGAACAATGATTGGCAGTGAGGTCGCATAAAGTGGCTGACGAACCATACTTGCTTTGAGCTATTCACCAATGCAAGGAGACTTACCTTTAAGTCACCGCCTATTCAGGGTCAACCAAAACGCAATACTCTTGCTTGTGGCCATCTATGGCAGATCATCAGTGTTGCCTCTGTGTTGCTAGTGACGAGGAGCTGAGATGCCGACGAGTGGTGACTAGGTTTCCAAGTCTCTGCTAACAGCGTCAGTAATGAATGGGGACGAGTCCGTATCTGGTTCATTCAATGAGGTGTGACGTGCGAGACAGCAAAGACCCCGCGACTGGCTGTGGCTTCATTATAGGACAACTGTGACGTTCGAGGAATATATGCAGCTTCTGTGTACTCGCTCTAAGCTCGGCTGCGAAACTTCATTCAAAGGGAAGAAGAATGTGTTGCTAGCTTGGCACATTTCTTAGAAATCTTCGAGCTTCTTCTGGAAGCGCATCTCCTAGTGATCGTAATCACTTGCGCAAGCTGACAGACATCTTTTAGACAATGCAATGGCACTGCCTGGACTACGATTCAACCCAAAATGCTGCGCCTTTTTTGAAGGGGTCAACTGCATGTGCTTGTTATCTGTTAACTCGACCTGTTTGAGATTTCTCCGGCTTTCAAATGCATCAAATACACTTGAAAGACTTCCTTTTGAAAATGAGAGCCATTCATAATCCATTCAGTCGAAAGCGGGTCGTTAAATATCCTGCCTAGATTCATGCACTCCCCATTTCCTTTTCTCCTATATGATCGGACATTATAGCCAGATTCAAGATATTCGGAGCATGGATGAGTTGATTGCAGCCCTGATAAAAAGCTGTCTGGACTGAAGCGAGCCAACTCCAAGAGCTCGCTTAGTGGAATTAAAACAGCTGTTGACAAGATCAGCCCTGAGTCCCCTTGAAAGCTACGTTCTATACAGTATTTCGTACCTGGACAGCGTAATAAGGAAGGTGAAAGTCATTGGTCACCTCATATTTGACATTGTCACCGTTGTAAATTGCTGAATACTGACTAACCTTTGAGCCCGTCATTTCTCGTAAGAGAGTAATATCCAGGCTGATATTCCCTAAATCCTATTGGGACTGAAACTTTGACGGGTATTCATACATATGAGATATATGTAGGGAGTTCCGTCAGGGCTCACCCTCAGCCAATCCATCAGCCTTCTTCGTAATCGGGAATGCTCGGGCCGTCAGAAGGCGCTCTTCTCATAATTGGTATGGTATCCTCCAGCTAGAAATGACTAAACGTTTAATCAGTCTTTCCAGCTCACTAATTTGCTTTGCAAGAAGTTGAAGCGATTGAGGTGTTAGTCAGCATCATCTTTGCTGAGTCCATAGAAGATATCGACAAAAAACCTAAATAATCAGACACACTTGAATGGATGTTGGTGGCGCGTAAACGTTTCAACTAGAGATTCATGCCCCAAATTGATTGCACTGGAGGATTCTGTGAGGCAGCCGCAGACAGAGTTGGGCAGATAAGAGAAGAGAATTCAAGTGTCAAGCTGTCCAGGCGTTTTGAGGAGTTTCGGGCGACAGAACCTGAATTGACAAAGGCTATAGAAACCAAGTCAGGGAAAAGAAACAAAGGCATCGAAGCCTTAATACGTGGTTCGGATTCCAGCGGCGGAAGACATTCTTCGGGGAAGAATGCATGAGGCTCTGCAATTCCACATTTCACGCCATGTACATAATAGTTATCGACACGAACACTGTCTGGGCAGACACTGTCTAACCTGGATGCATGTAACTCCGTACTGCGGTTATGATAGTACGGCTTGGGACCTTAGGCTGAAGCTGGCTGTACTTGACTGAAACTGTGTTATTAATAGACGTGAAATTGAGGAATTGGATCCGCGCCTGACACTGCAATATTGTCAATGCGAATGTTGTTTTTCTTCCGGTCTGATCGCTCGGAGTCGTAGCACATGTGCCACTGCGTCTGCTCCAGCTGTCACCGGCCCAGCCCGGCTCTCCTGTCAACAATATAAGCAGACTCAGAGTCGTTGGCTTGGTCGCAATTCTGCTAAAACGTGAGCAGAGACCCGGAGATGTTTAAGGTTCAAGTATAAGACGTCCTGTGCTCCAATCGTGTTCCACTGTTCCAGGTCTGATATGGGCAGTCCTTTGACTCTTTTCGGGTGCTGCTGAACGACTACTCCGCAGGTTCGGTGTCCAGATCTGGCAGCTAGCTGCTACTCGCACGACCTAGGTATGCTGTTTGCTGCCTAGAAGGCTAGAAGAGGTCGTGGACAGCCCTGGACGGAGACAGCCATTTATGAAGGAAGGCTAGGCCGTCGGCAGCCTCACTTTCGTGTGAATGCCTAAGGCGCCCGCGTCGACTGTGCGAGGCCACCACGGGACGTGTGGGCATTCGGTGAGAAAGAAGGGAATACTGGAAATCAGAGGCGGGGATGGGTTCCTATACCCTTTTGTAGTCCGCATAGACGCGACCTGTTGCCTTGTTCTGGCAACCCACAACGCAGAGCCTCATTTTTCTTCCCAAATACAATGTCTTTCGCACCATTTTGGGGTGAATACATCGCCGTTGACTCGCCCTCCTTGCCATTCACGGCTTGATTCACGGTCCGGTTGCTGCCAGAGCCATTGAAGTCCCAGATTTTGTTCCTCCTCTCGCCAGTCCAACGTGGTATCAGACTTCGGCGCGAGAAGTCGTCCCAGTGAGCACTTCCGCCCCCAAAAGCAGAACCAGGAAACGTGTCTAATCCGAGAGCAGCAATGAGCTCTAAGCAACCCAAAACTACGCCGATGGCCTTGGACCAGCGGTGGACGCAGCACCAGAGGCTCATAAACAAATCCTCGCAGTCCTGGGCGTGTACGCATTGCGCGGAACATCCAATTTTCACGAATACTGATGTGCTATGGGAGCACTGTTTGCAGCGGCATTCGGACAAAATTCCACAAGACGAAAGCGAAAGGAGGAGATACCGCTCAAGATTTGAGGCAGAAGCACTTTCAAAACGGAACGCTGAGAGTCCGTCGAAACGGTTAGTTGTTGAAAATCCTCCAAGAAAACCGTAGATAAGGCTGTCGCCGATTGACTGCCTTTCCCGCGAGACTACCATCATCCACAGCATCTCTCGTTCGGGCTTGAATCTGATTGTGCCTGCAGAAAGGATGAGTGGCAGCAAAGAAACCCCGTTCTGAACGAACTACAAGATTCCGCAGAACCCCCACCCTCGAAGCGTCCTTTGAGCGGCGATGCTGTTGCCGGCAACAGTAGAAGCCTGTCGCTTCTCAAAGAGTTAAAAATACGCACACCTGGAGGCAGTGAACAAGATGGCATGCAAGATCTTTCGGAGGACAGTCAGACCCCCGAGCAGCCTAGAAAGAGACCTGCGGTTGGAGAAGGCATCAGCGCCGGCTCCGCCTCACCTTTCCGCGACTCGTCGCTGTCGCCTCCTCCAGAGAGTACAAGAGACCGGCCAACGTCGGCTCCAGGATCAGAGAGCAAACAAAAGAATATGTTCGAAACGCAACGACCGCATGTTGAGAAGAAACAACTGTGGACCCCACAAGATGCACCTCTATCCCGATCCTCGTTCGACCCCTCCAACATTGCTTCGATTCAGGCACAACGATCTAGAGCCCAAGTCCTTCAACCGAACAAGCATCGAAAGTCCTTTCCAGCGACCCAAACCGCCTCGAAGACACCTACCCTGGCGCAAACCGCGTCATCGCCCCCAAAGACGGTCGGAAGATCATCGCAGGGGCTTCAAGGCTCGATGCGCGAAGACTCTCTGGACATTATGCTACAGCCAGAAACGAGGCCAATCTCTCAAGAGCAGCTCGTGGCGGAGGTCAAGGGTATCTACGCCGGGCTCGTAATGGTTGAAGCCAAATGTATCGAAGTCGATAACAAACAAGCAGCTCTTGCTCAAGCTGATGCTGGAAACCCGCCAAAGCTAAATAATGAGCAATGGCAGGCTCTGATCGCTCTTCACAGAACGCTCCTTCACGAACATCACGACTTTTTCTTAGCTTCCCAGCATCCTTCTGCGAGTCCTGCTTTGCGGCGATTAGCCTCCAAATATGCGATGCCAGCTAGAATGTGGCGACACGGTATTCATTCCTTTCTTGAACTCTTAAGGCATCGTCTACCAGCTTCTCTTGACCATATGCTGGCATTTATCTATTTGGCCTATTCTATGATGGCCCTTTTGTACGAAACGGTCTCAGCTTTCAAGGACACATGGGTCGAATGTCTGGGGGATCTAGGCAGATACAGAATGGCAATAGAAGACGATGATATCAGGGATCGTGAAGTCTGGACTGGAGTCGCGAGACATTGGTATTCCATTGCTTCGGACAATTCTCCTACCACGGGTCGTCTATATCATCATTTAGCCATTTTGGCCCGACCGAATGCTCTCCAACAGCTGTTCTTTTACGCCAAATCCTTATGCGTCGCGATACCCTTTACCTCAGCCCGAGAGTCGATCTTGACGTTATTCGAACCGGTTTTAAATGCAGATAATGGTCAAGGGCAATACAGACTTCCACCACTTGACACTGCATTTGTCAAAGCACATGGTTTGCTATTTACGAATCGAGACCTCGAGAAGTTTGATCCTGCAGTGAGAGAATTTCTCGGCTTACTTGACACTCAAATCGGACGCGTTACGAGAAAATTTATGGAACAAGGATACCATATTTCAGTTGCTAACAGCGTAGCTATGGTTGGGTTTGCCGCTAAAGATAATGTTTTGATGAAAGCGATCTCGTCTGATCATGATACTGAAGATATTTCGATGGCAAATACTTCAGACGCGGTATCTCAATCCATGATGACGTTCAAGAATGCGCAGCGTCTCAGTAATGCCACTACAGAAATCGTCTTAGAACGTGTTGGGGATCCTAATGTTCTACCATTCATTCATGTTACTCTTGTCTTTATGTTCTTCATGGCACGGCACCCCGCGGCTATGAATCTCTTAGAAGCAGAATTTCCATGGCGGTCTTTGGCAATTATGCTAAACACAATCTTGGGGTCATTCCCGAAACCCGACCGTATTGCAGATGATTCTTTTCCTGTGCTTGAGAAAGATGATCCTCGTCCATTTCCAGAAGACTTTGCTGTCCGCGGGCTTCTGTGGACTGAAGGCTACTTCCCAGCAGACTTTTTCACTAAGAAGAAGATCGACGAGGAAGAAAAGTATCATGAACGAGCATCCATGACATCTCAACGCAAAGAGCGAATACTCTGGCTGGCTTGTCGTATTGCTTCTCTTGGGACGTGGCTTATCTATGATGGCAAGAGGTTTTCCGTGCCGTCGAGTGGTGAAGAGGATGACTTGGTACCTTCAAGAGTCTCTACCTTCACTTCTGTCGCTACGTCGGGAACTTTTGATAGAACTGGCACTTGGGAATCTCAAGATGGTGAAAAGTCTGACGTCGAAAAAGACATGTCTTCCCCAACCACGGAGCATGCGACAGAACTTACTGCGCATGATTGAGTCTGTGCTGTCAAAGATTACAGGTACTGCAAGTAGGGACAGATTTAACTCTGACGGAATGCATTTGTGGATTCAACTCCTCACAATATTTGTTCCCAAATATGGGAGCTCTCAATGTAAGAACTCTTCTCATCGTGCCTCATTGTAACCACTAACAGGCCATCAGATCCTATGGACGAAAATAAGCTCGTACAAGAGTCAACAAAATTGAAAATCTGCTTTGTCGGCAAGACTTGTCGCACCAATTCGCGGCAATATGAATGCTATTCCAGCTGGCAGCCAGAAAAGGCGGCAGTTGTTGTAAATATTCTACGTTGGATTCCATGGCTTCATGTCATCTATCCCTTAATCTGGCTTGGCCCAGAGCCATATTTTAATGTTTCTACGAGTTTCTTTCATCACAACGTTGGGGGCGGCCCCGTCTGGAGTACGACTCCCTTTACGTCTATTTCCACCATTCCTTCACTTCAGGCTGTGCTCGCCTCGTTGGGACTTGGGGAACAAACTGTACCATATATGACAATGAATACTTAATATCTGAAGAAATAGGAGGCCACTCCAGTAATGTTGATTTCACTGTTTGCTGGTGAGACTATTATCTTCAAGCCTTTCGCATAGCAACGCACTAATAGATTATCGTACTCATGCTCTATACAGTCGAAAAATCTTCCGGCCGAATTGAACCCCCCCTTCTCATTGTTGAACGAGCAGATCTTCAAACTCGTATTTGTCAAAACATATGTACACTTTACACTCCTGACCCCTCGTTACTCGCTACAAACTGCGAAGGAGAGCGAGACAAGCTGCTTTCACTTCATTACCGAGACTGTCTTTCCTTTCTCGAATGTTTTCAGGTCTGTATTCTTCTTATATCATAACAACATGCGTCAAAATCTCTTGACACTCGGAAACAACCACGACCCCGTTTAAGATTTATCCATATTGACTTGAACTCTGAACAGGCTCTTCATGTAGGTATCAAACTTTACACCCTTCTCCCGTGTTCTCGTCCTGATCAACTGTCAATAGACACTTCATTGCAGCAACTAGCATGGTAAGGTAAAATGACTTACTACGTCGACGAGCTACGCCACGAAGTCGGTACCGACGAAATATGCCTCCTCTTTGCATGAGTGCTAGGATTCCAATTACTACTTGTAGAGTTCCTATGACGACGTTTGCGGCTAGTTCACCTGCCATGTTCTCGTCGAAGTCGATGGTTTGGTATAGGATCGAAGTTTGGGATGAGCCGATATTTTCCAGTAAGATGATAAAGTCTTCTGGATGCACAAAGTCTTTGTCTGCGACGATAGTGGAGAAACTATGGTGAAGTTTCCGGATTTAGATTGGGTAGGTGATGAGATTGTGAAAGCATAAAGTATAAAGTAGCTCATGTAGTTCTTATCACATATACCGAATCATCCCGCCAAGTGAACTCTGAAGTATTTGGAGTTCAATCTTAAAGATACAAAGTGGGCCTTCGAGCATATATAGAAACATTGTGAGCCTCTACGGAAGAGGGACCTTGATCGGGAAGCAGGGAATATGTCTTGCGATCACTTTCACATTTACAGCGAGTAAGCCTTACGCACAATTGAAGATATGGCTGCTTGAGGCTTCTCGGATTGGTCGAATTTGTTTAGCACCGTCATGTTATCATGGTTGCTGGCACGGACTGTACAGTACGTTTGTACGGTAGAAGGACAGGTTCAGATTGGGGGTTACTTCGTTTGACAATCATAAAGCGCCACTCCTCCCTCCCGCAGCGAGGGTCTGAAATTCAGCCAATAGGGGCAGAATAAGAGCAGAGCATGCATCTGGCCAGCGGGCCAGCAATGGACCTGTTTAAAGATCCTCTTGGGGAGTGGCCGTTTCGTACATCAGCCCACGCCCCTGCCAGCCGCTTCAGGTTGTCGTGACTGGGTGGGTAGTAGTAGTACTCGTCGTACTCGGTAGCCATGCAACGCGGCACTCAAACCTGCCACCGGCTATCATGGGATGGGATCTGGCTGCGACGCAGAGGTTATTGTGGAATCTGAGTCGTAACGAATCAGAAGCTGTTCAGGCGGTTGGTGGCTTGCTTCGTAACCTTAGAATATCAACTGGATGCAACTCGCTGGTGAGTTGTGGTAACACTACCTCCGAAAAGAAGTTATCATTGGTGAAAAGTGATATTTGTCTGACCCGAAGTTGGGGAAGGCTATACTGATGCGGCCTGGATGGGCGGCCGAGAAATGAACTGGGGGTTGCAACGTATGCGGATGTGGGGAACGGTTGGTGCTGAGCTTCTCGACGAACGCCATCCATGACTTGTGGGAACGCGGACAAAAAAGCTCGAGGTAGCTTACAGCAACATCAGGAGTAGGCGCGGGGTTATTCCGATGTTTCGTGGAGCCATTTTAAACCCACAAAACACACAATCAAAGCCAGATATTTCTCGGTTCACTCTTAATTGATTTTCCTGATGCACTTGCCTGATTTAGTCATACGTAATCTCGATCTGTAACTTAGGATTATAAATGATAAGTACTTGTGGTCCATGTGACTTATTATGAATACAATATTCAATAGAATTCATGTAGAAGAACCGGAAAAGGTCGCTTCTTAGCGGTACAAGCACTATTTCAGGTATTAGTTTCTCTGAAACCGCCGCAGTAAGATAACAATGTCATTTATTAAGGTTTTGATGAGGCAGATACTCATATGTATGAGAAACTCATATTGGTTATGTGGGTTCTTATTTGATAGTATGTCATAAGATTAGACCTGAAAGTGTTCGCTGTAGAGTCACTTGCGTAAGCCCGCTTCAGCTCCATGTCAATATCACTTCTTGTACACGACCTCAATATTCGGTGATGGTTAATCATACCACTTTGCAGATTAGTATCATATATGTGTTTTATGGTATAACGAAACTTTTTGAAGTGTTCCAATCCTCCTTCGTTTATATTATTCAGGCAACTGAAAGGCAGCTGCATCCGTCACCAAGTAGTCGACCAAGTCATCGCAAATTCAGAAATTAAATGCTAGTATAATTCTGACATCTAAAACGTAAATATTAAATATACGACCAGATGTATCAGGTTAGAAATTCTTGATCTTGTGTACACAAAATGGACCATTTCTGTCCCTGGGCGGGCGGCCCACCCCCCTTTTTGTCTAAGCGAGAAAACATGTGACCTAGGTGTTTACGACTAAAGAATTTTTTTCGCGTGAAGAAAGATCGACATGAAGGATCAAAATCTCTGGAGACTATTTCCAAGCGCTTAATTGAGCAAAATTTACCAGTCTGCTCCGTCATGTCACAATATATCCAACGATGTTCACTAAACCCCTTTGGTCCGAAAATACAAGGCAATACAAGGATGCAACCCCGTATACCCCAGCTATAAATGTAGCACCTCAATTGGGATATAAACTACGCCTCTATGTTCAATTCCTATTCAGCAATTAGGCAAACCATTCTCATCGTACATTTGATACAGGCAAGAGTACTTACTGCGACGGCGATTAAAGCGACGAAGACGAAACCTCCGAAAAATACCACCCCGCTGCATCAATGCTAGTACTCCGATGACCACCTGTATCGTCCCAATAACAATGTTTGCGGCGAATTCTCCTGCCATGTGTCCTGATGAGATGAGTTGTGGGATATGAATACTAGAATGTTATAAGTACTTTGTAAGAAAGTCTTGTAAAGGCGGGAGAAGAGTTGTACTGACTTATAATATGTAACAAGTGATAGGGCAGGAATAGATTTGCTCTACAAGCGAGGAAGAAGGACTGGCCGATGAGAAGAATTGGTAACGCTACAATTAGATTCGGAGGCTGTGATAGTATCGAATTCGAGAGATGACTTCTTGCATTTGAGAACAGTCTTTTGTAAGGAGAATGTGTAATCCAGATGTATGTTGTGACAAGACAGATTGGTCAATGTATAAACACGTGATATAAATAAATGGTACTGCTTCGAATGCCAATGCGACTTCCGAAGGAGGGTTGTATTAATGAGCAGACTTCTATTAGAAAGGTGGGTGGTTGCTGGATGTAGACTTGTTTGGAATTATAGGAATGTTTTGGCCATTTTCAAAACAGCTTTTCATAGTGCGAAAAACATCGTATATGAGAAGAAAATATGAGGCTCTGCGTTGTGGGTTGCATCGATAAGGCAACGGTTCGCATCTTTGTGAGCAACAAACCTTACACTGAAGCTCACCCCTTCTCTCCCCACACTCAGCATTTCAAGCGGGATAAGGCAATAAATGGGCAAAGTGCACCGAGCGGCTTCATCCAATCAAGAACAGTGGTAAAACTGACGACCAATCAGAAAGTGATTTCAACAGATGTAAGACGCCTCTCTGCCCACATTCGGCAAAATACTATAACGCTGCATATTGCAGTGGCTTATGGCTCTTGGCTGACTTTCTTTGGGTGAGTGCTGTTCTGACCGCTTGAGAAAAGAAAGCAGCTGCATTTTAAGCTATATGATTTATGTTTGAGTGAGCCCTTTAAGTCACACTTTCAACATACTTTCTTGTAGTAAAAATCGAACACCGTGACGAGGGAGATCCAAGACTTGGACAATTCTTCAGATACTCGGAATTTTACCAAGTATGCCTTGTACACCTGGCTCTGACCTGCAGCAAACTGTTGGAGGTGTCGTTACTGACAGAAACCGGGCGTAGCTACCTCGCCACAATCTAGACACCCGTTCTTAACCTATCAGAGTGTTTTCATGCCAGATAGAGCCGAAGTGCTGTACATGATGCTGTCGGTCGGGCCCTCGATTCGAGCCTGAGGCTAGCTCACAAGTGATCTGAACCGGCGTAGTGACGTGTAGTAGACAGGGAACTCGAATACGGACGTTATTGTATGCGAACGGAAAAGTAGGTAAGTTCTTTGATGGAGGGGGGGAGGAGGGAGGAGGAAGTCGTTCGTTCTCGGAATAGGCGCAGGATGTGGGCAGTTCAGGCGATGGCTTGTAAACGGTGATCGGTAGAGACGAAGGGGGTCGGTCGTTCGGGAAGTGAGTATATCTCACGTCAAGCGCCCGTCATGTTTCATGTCATTCGGGGTTTTTTTCTTTGTTGTCACAAAGCTTCTCCGTCGGCATACCGTGATCCGCATCGACATGACCTCGAGGCTCGCAGCGAATAGGACGAGTGGCAGTACTCTAACTTCAACACGGCATATTACCACGATGTGTACCTTCAAAAAGAGAACTTCCGAATTAACCACTGGAGGGGTTACCTTTTGTCTTTCTTGGAAACCGTCGTCCCTCGTGGGAAGACTTCACCAACCGAGAGAGTTAATTGACAAGACAGAGTTCTCGCTACTACTAAAAGTGCAGTTGTCATTGCGAGCATTCTCAGCTTGTAGTAGAGCTAGAACTATATTGGGTTTCGTTTTTGAACACTAGTGGTGTAAAGCGTAAGAGATTGCTTGGGCTCTATGAGCGAATGCCAGCACAAGAATTTTTCTAGGAAAATTTCGATACCCATTGAGATGTTCAAGCGGTTCAGCCACAAGTACACCTCATCAATGCCAGGAACTTGAGTATCTTAACACCCTATGAAATCCACTTCTAGCCCTTGTTAGTACACCCTCAATTCCTTTCTCCTTCTGACTGAGACTACAACTCTTGTGTTCCGGTCCCTCGCCCCAATAAAGTGATGAGAGACTCAATAAAAATAGTACATCAACGCATAGCCAACTTCAACCAAGAACTAGATCAATCTCATCCCCACCCTCTCCATCCCAAGCTTCCTTTAGAACACGGCCTAGTCCTTTTCGGTAGGCTATGCCATCTTCCCACTCGATCCAGAGAACATAATAAAACTCAATAATCGTGAAGCGTCGAGCCTTTTCGTACGAAGTAAGTCGGTCGTGTTCCCAGGACTTAGCTTCACGAAAGTTACCCCAATCAAGCAATTCCCGAGACCGCATTTCCCAATCTTCTGGGTCCAACCTTTTAGGACACAAGAGCTCGCCTCTTGATATCGCTACCATCTCAAAGGTCTTTCCAGCGAGATCGCCTCCAATGTCGTCTGGACTAAGTAGCAGGTTCAATGCGCCACATCTTTCACCCTTGCCATTATTTAACGCGACTGTCATATAATGAGGAAGTAAATGATCTGTGGCACCCAATTTTCGACCGACCTTGAGCAAACACCTCTTGACGTGGCCAAAAAGGTATCGCGCAGATATAGGTGGTTCTGTCTCACTTTCGGATAAGGGAAGTGGATAAGTGCTACAGCCCACTGACGTCGATGTATTCCCTACTTTAGTTTCCTTATAGACGTAATTGTTGTTGAAATACTTTTTCCAGTGCAGATAGCCGGGCAGATCCATGCCCTTCGGAAACGCATCAAACTTCTCCCATGAACAAGGAGCAGTCTTTATTCGGGTTGCGTTTTCGAGTGTATCACCAGCGTACCATTGTACTAGTGGAAGAACTTGGGTAGCCCTCAAGAGATCCCGGCCTTGCTTCCGATCTTCGTTAAAATTCAAATGTATTTCCCGGTGGACGAAGTGACGGAGCCACGCGGAATTGTCTATCTTCCCCTCCCAAGCTACCCACGACCAGCTGGGCGGACTTTCAACCAGTGATGGCGCACGACGTCGTTGCATAACTTCTTCAGGCTGCCAGAGTAGAGCCGCATCAAAAAACATTTCTGGTAAACCACTGATGAATCTACCTGGAAATGATGAACTGAGCAGTGACAAAAGGCCCGTGATAGCGTGCAACCCGTCAGAGGGGTAGGTCAGTTTCCTGGTTACGTAACGAGATACAAGCCGAATATAGAGAGCAATGTCCGGAAATTCTGTCAGGGACATAGGTTTCCAAGGACTTATTCTAGATTGAGCTATGTGTGAACCTGAGTGCCTAGCCTGGTTGGCTAATAGCGAAGCTTCATTCCAAGCAGACTTATTGCACTCCCAGATGGCTACTTTGTATTGGAACATAAGCTTTCGAGGAGATCTACTATAGTCAGCACCAGTCAGATCAGACTCAGAAGTATGATTTACAAAGCTAATTCCTGGAAGGTCCATCCTCTAGAATACCATATGCTGTCAAAAGGCTGAAGATTCTCTTGAAAATCACCCTTCGAGAAGGAAGACACTTGACGTGGTTCCGTAACACCTTGTATTCCACGCAAACCATGATCAGCATCCCAACCACTTGCTGCGACGATTGTCAAATAAGCATTCGCGTATATTCCGGCCATCGCCTGGATCTGAGTATGTTTGGATTCTACATCATCTTGTACAACACACAGAGCGTCGACCCAAAGGTACTGAATGTTGAGCTGCTCCACAAGTCCAATAGTATCTCTTATTGTCCTTGGAATTTCGTCTTGACGATCTTTCAAGGAGTTCAGCTCCAGAAGACATTGTAGATTATCCTTCACTGTCTTGAGAGTTGCGGAACCCCCCCAAACGTAGCTTAGACATGCATAGCGGAAACTAGACTCAGTCCATGTCAAGCATTTTTTTTTAACATCTATGAGAAGAGCAGGCCGTGCAAGGGTCGACGAATCAACCCCCAGAGGTCGACTGCACATTTCACCGTGCTCAGAGTCACAGGTTCGAAGCCAATGTCCCAACATCTCAATATCAATCCAGGCAGGATCAATCAGTTTCCGCTGCACACCGGGCATATACAATCGGTTTTCTCCATGCTTGTCTTCGTCTGATGATGTATCTAAGACGCGTGTTTCCTCCGCTGAGTTGCTCGTTGTTGAGCTCCCTGTTTCGCTGCTACTATCCATCGATAATTCAGAGTCTTCCGAATCTACATTTGCGTGAATTCTCAGCGGCGGCGAAGGACTATGCCGTGTGAATTCTTGATTGTGACGATCGGACACCCATAAATGGCGTTTCATTTGAGTGAGGATTGTATTACGTCTCAATTGTGGTGGGTCGATAAGCTCGTCAACAAATATCCAACTGTGTTGGCGTAAAATGTTTGGACGGGAGCCTTTAAGATATTTGGACGAAATTTTTTTCATGCCATCAACAAGTCGTGTCAACGGCATTTTCATTGCTCTAAACTCAGAAATCTCTCCGGGACGTTTGACTTGTACCGGAGTCTTTCCCCAGAAGTTCCGCCAGGTCCTCGTGAGAAGACGATCCGCCATATGTTCTTCTGTTCTAGTTAAGAATATCTCGATTTTGTCGCGCAATAATTCAGCTTCAAAAACAACAGCGGTACTTGTGCCGGCACCAGCAGTGAGTCGTGTAGCATGACTGTAATTTTCCAGATCATCTAAGGCATCATACAGGTCGACGAGAAGAGTTTCAAGTTCGGGCAAAAGTTGCTCAGTCGCAGTGGGAGCCATCACTAGCGTTTCAACCTGTGAACCGAAGCTCCAAGTAAGAAGAATGAAGCCGACAAGTAGTATTGCGAACAATGAGGCAATTTCATGGGAGTTTGAGGGTGTTAGTGATCTCTAGCCATCAATAACGAGGAGTCTGCCAGATGCAAAAGATTCAGCCTCGCTGATGCCAAGCACTGCGAGTCGGGCGTGAAAGTGTATGACAGCACTAAGGACAGCGCTCTTCGTAGACGGATGGATATTCGAGGGAGAGGTAGAGGGATGATTTCTAAATAACCCCCATTCGGAATCGGGATCAGCCTCAGCTACGGAGTAAGCTTCTTATTAATTATCCGATGACCGGCAAGAACCCTGAAATGTCCAACCGGTAGAATGCATGGTCCGTCCTCTCCGGACATATCCCCGACCGGTCCGGCCCGGTCACTAATGTCTTTCGATTGCCCTGAGTCGTTTTACTCGGAATAAACAGATCTGGATTGAAGGAAGTGCTTAATAAATGGATCCGGATATTCTCTAAGCTAGTAGATATTCGCCAATTGGGAGCGCGGGATGAGGACTTCCAGAGCTACCACGGCATTTTGGATCAAGGAAATGAACACAATAGTTGGGACTTCAAGGCAGAGCTTCAAATGCGGACCTTAGCAAAACGGCGGCGGCGGCGAACATATAACTGCAACTTATTTGCATGGCAATGTGAGCCAAGATGATGGCACTTTGTCGACGAACTATTTCACTCCCCAATGACATAGGTACACCCCTCGTTCCCTATCCAAACTTCATGGATTTTCCCAGCATCGACGTCGATGCGATCTCCCACCCCGTAGGTTGTCTTTTGCGAATCTTTGTCCTTTGGATATGTAATTGTGAGCTGCCCTTTGAGGATCAAATGGGTGGTGAGACCCCGGTGAGAGTGCGGACTGTAATGGGCCTGTCTGTGGCAAATTGTCAGCCTCGAACGGTGGTCGTCCCATTTTGAGTGCCCCCTATGGATGGAGGCACACTCACGGGCTGTCACTCCAAGTGAAGACGTGAGAAAAACCCCACGAGCGGACTTCCTTTTCATAGTCGCGTTGCGATTTGGTTGCCATGATGGTGATCTTTATTCAGGGTGTCAATGTATTTATTGGAAAGATTGAGTGGAGATGTAGAGGAAAGAAGGTTGCGCCGATGACATAGCTCCAACTGGCAACACCTCGGCAAACTAAAAACATTTCCCTCCAGCTTCTTCTTTCAGGCACTCAACCAACCAAACCAAACAAAACATTACACTCTATTTACAATATCCAGAGAAAATTGACCATTTCCATACTTTTGTATTTACCGTACTTTATCCAATAATCTCACCGCCTATTCCTGCATCGACATGTGTTTCGAATTGTCTCGATGTTTGGCAGACCCTTGGAATGATCTTCGGCCCCCACGACGACCGTCAGCGAACAGCTGAATGCAAAATGGAGCCTTGTACCCAACGGCCATCTCACAGCCTCAACCCTTTCTTTCCAGACATCTGCGAAATATAACTTCATCCGCAGAGGAGCCTTTCCTCGCTCTGGTCCGCATGTCACGTCTGATCTGGTTCGAAGGTGCGTACACACATACACAATATACCCGCATATAAACCCATCTTCACGGTATTCCCCCGCATCAACCCACGTCAGCGGCCCTCAAATCAAGGCGATTCACCATCTCTGCTGGGCTTCGTTGGCAGGCCCGCAACCACATTCATTCTTCCAAATGCCACTCGTACAGCCTTGTGGACGTGAGTCACTGACCCTGTTTGTAGTCGTATAAGACTGCGATCTCAAGCGCAATGCCTCCAGGTCTTCTGGCGCCCTCGGGCAATCAATTTTCTCTCCACAAACTGATGGCCATGTCGACGATGCTATCCCCAACCCATAATACACATTTTCGACCCTTGATTCAGGCCGGCGGAGGAGATGCTGAATCCGATATTCCATTGCATCAATTGTACCTTTCACACGATGTGCAGGAACATCTTCGAAGAGTTTACGACGGGTTGCGGGGCAAAGATGCGAATCTCTCGCGCGACAAATTCCTCGTGTGGCTGAAAGAGGTCCAGCACCATACAATCCAGAATCTCGACAAGGACTCGTACACGTTTGAGCTATTCCTAGAAGCTATCTATTACAGTTACGGGCTCGAATCCATCAAACACTCCAACCCGGCAGAGAAGGACCTCACCAGACCTATCAGTAACTACTATATCAGCAGTAGCCACAACACATATCTTATGGGAAACCAACTTTCCTCCAAAAGTTCTACCGAAGCCTACAAAAATGTAAGCATCACGATCGTTTTTATTCATCTTTAATTAATCAACCAGGTCCTCATCCGTGGATGTCGCTGCATAGAGATTGATGTCCACAACGGGGAGCTACCGGAACAAAAGAGCCCAAGCCCTGCTCCTGATGGTAGCCGCTCCCCTATTAAATCCTCTCTCCAATCCCCCACGAAATCGGAGCATAAACGTCACATATCTGGGAGTACTCTGTCAAGTCGAGCTGCTGCTGCGCTTGAAAAGGCAAGCGAGAAATATGCTACTGCAAAACAGAAGCTATCGGAGATGTCGGAGAAGGATAAAGATAAAGGGAAAGGGGTACGCAAAGTGAAATCAAGGGAGAAGGAAATAGAGCAAGAAAACACTAAGGACCGAGAAGTGTCCCAGGAAGTGGCTTCAGAAGAGCAGCGTGGGCGTTCGTCGACTTTGCAGACTGGACATATTACAGAACGGCCCGTTTCAGTAAGATCCATGAGGAATGGCGAGCCTCTCGTCCTACATGGCTGGACTTTGACTGCTCCGGTAGGGTTCCGGGCTGTATGTAAATCGATACGCGAGAGCGCATTTCTCACTAGCAGTCTCCCCATCATCGTCAGCCTAGAAGTTCATGCAGATATGGAACAACAGGAGAAGATGGTTGATATAATGATGGAAGAATGGGCGGGATACCTTATCGACGAAGCCCACGAAACGTGTGATCCTCAAGAGAGACTTCCGCGTCTCGAGGAACTTCAGAACAAGATTTTGATCAAAGTCAAGAAAGCTGCACCGGAAAAGGTCGATACAAGCTCTACGTTATCTCCATCCATTACAAAAAGCGATGTGGATTCGTACCAGTCGGGCTCCGAGGATGAAAAGGCGATCAAAAAGAGAGCTAAAATCTGTGAGAAACTCAGCAATCTGGGAATCTACACACATAGTGAGCATTTTAAGAGCTTCGACACTCTATCAGCCAAGAGTCCACCACACGTTTTCTCAATTGGTGAAAACCAAATCATGGACCTGCACTCGACTAGGAAATCCGACATGTTTAATCACAACCGAGATTATTTTATGCGAGCTTATCCGGCTGGGTTCCGTATCGACTCTTCAAATCTTGATCCTTCTGTGTTTTGGCGGAAAGGCATTCAAATGGTCGCTTTGAATTGGCAGAAACTCGACGAAGGCATGATGCTTAATGAAGGAATGTTTGCTGGTGAGCATGGATGGGTGTTGAAGCCTCCTGGATATCGCAGTGATCCAGCAGAGCCGATCCAGATTAAGACGTTGGATCTGGACATAATTGTCTACGCTGGGCAGCATATTCCACTTCCGTCAGGGACGACGGCTAAAAGTCTACATCCATATATCAAATGCGAGCTGCATATAGAAAAACCTGAGGATTCAGCCATCTCGGATGATAAACCAAAAGTCCGCGAGAGTCGAGCGAAAGAAGGCGATTACAAAGAAAAGACTGATCACCTCAAGGGAGACCACCCGGACTTTGGACCTGAGGGCGTTCATTTGACGTTTCGGGACATACCAAACGTTGTCGAAGAACTTAGTTTTGTCAGGTACGTTATCCGTATTCCCAATGGATTTCCTTTGACCCCTTTTTTTCAATGCCAAGTGTGCCAAGGTCACTTTCTTTAGTTGCCTTGGCCTACACGACAGCAGGAAAAAATCAACGTTCAATCATGCCACCTCATCACCGCTTCAAATCCGACCACCGGGTCCGAATCTCGTATGGAAGATTTACTTCTCTATTACTTTTCCGGGGTGCGCTGGCAACCTGCGGTTCAGCGCAACGGCCCGTGTTGGTAGCTTCGAACTGAATCAGTGTTGTGTTAATCCGGGTGCACATGAGCGGGTGCCGCCGGCGCTACATCTGAACTGTTTCTGAGAAAACTTTTATTAGCGGAACCTATTTCTTGAACCCCATTTTGACATTTGCGATTTACATATTTGGAGCTGCGGCTAACCTTTTTGTTTAGATTCAAAGTCGAAGATGCAAATTACACCAAAGACGAATTAGTTGCATGGGCTTGCATTCGGCTAGATCGTCTACAGCAGGGTTACCGCTTCATCCATTTGTTTGATGTGAAGGGTAGCATGACGCCTGGTATGATCTTCGTCAAAATTGATAAACGGCTGAGGCCTTCCGAATACTGAGGTCTATGAGTGTGGAAACGCGTATTTTTGTTAGCGTTTATTGGACGTGGGAGCGTTTTGCATGGACGGGAGGGATTGTGCTGTGAAAGATGTTTCCCTGAGCAATGGAAGGATACCCCTTTTTGGGCGGCGTTTGGCAGCATAGCAAGAGGCTGCCCCGGAGTTATAATATAGACGAGGCACTAAAAGTTCATGGTAGTGCAGGAAGTCTTTATCATTTTAGCACGGGTTTAGCAATATTTGAGATTATTATTCCGTCTTCAACTTAGAAATTGCTTGTGTTCATGAAATGACGAGGCGGTGTAGATCTCCCGAACGCTAGATATCAAACAGTACTCTGATGCTGTTACTCTAGCCTGACCCTACTTATTCGCTGGCTCCTATGATCAACATGTGATACTTTCCAGCGCTTAGTGCTTGCTACCTTTGCATTGGCAAGGGACATATGCTAGATTTCTCTTCGTCATGAATGCTCATTTAGCCAAAATAGTCGCAAAGACACTACTACAATAAAATCTCTTGCCTTGATCGATAGTACAACAAGACCCAGTGGGACGACATACCTCATCACCACGAGAGCCTGACCACAACATACACGCCCAAGCCAGTCAATGTGCCACTTCCCCACGCCTATTTGGTTACACCAAGATGTTTTCTGTACTACAGAAAGAGAGACGGGAAAGATTTTTCTGGGAGGACAAGACAGAAACGAAGGACATGAATGAGGCTTCTGGAGAAGGGAGCACAGAGCACGAAAAATTGTGAAACGTGATCGGATGTTGTGGTTGTGTGAGGAGGGATAAAAACGTGTTTGCCATTCTTTGTGTAGGGATTTGGGTAGTGGTGTGATTTCTGGGTCGGACCAGGCTATGACGGAGCGTGTGAGGTGAGAGGTATGAGGAGTTTAGGGGAATGATGATGAGTGGTCCTGGATAGACAAGACAATATCTCATATGGTTTGGTTGTTATATCTCCTAGGTTCTCTCAAGAATGACAGCTGCCTTCTAGATGCTGCGTTTAGTGAATGTCAAACCATTCAGGCCTCCGAATACAATATCCGATCCTCATGACTTACCTCGCCAATGGATGTGGAGTCTTGCACCAGTAAAAAAGACGCGGACCATATAAGTCAGTCCATTTTGCGAGTCAAGAGGTTCAACATCGATAAGTATGCACGTCGTTTGATGCAGGAAAAGAAACTTCTCATGGGAACCTGCTTGCATATACTCGGTGAGAGAAAGCACTCTCGAAGCAAAAGAAAAGAAAAGAATGACTTGAATGAATAAATGAGTATTCAAGTAGCCGCCAGACTTGAATTTCAAGAGAGGTTTGTGCTACAGAACGCACCCGTGTATTCGATATAAGCCTCATAAACTGTCAAGCCGTGTGGAACAGTGCATCCGGATTCCGACTGTAGATATCGTGATTATCTAGATTCATTTATACCAAGCAAGGTGTCCGACAAGAGGCCTATCTCAAAGTGCAATTCGGCCCTGGATGTGCAGAAATGGCGCAAGGAATCTTCCCGTACTCGCCTGAGTGGTTGTCCTGCGGCCGACATGGAATTACGGGAAGTTGTCGAAACAATGCGGTTGTGGCTGTCGCTTACCGGGCGATTTGATCGCATACATGTCTATGGCCGAAAGCGCAGATGGTCATATTCGACTTGCACAGCTCATAGTATTAGAATGCCAACAAACATCGTGGAGATACTGGCGTGCTTTGAATTACTCCGATGACACAGGTGGATGATTGCAGATGGTGATTTGAAGCCAGCCGCTGGCGACGTTTCTGAGACATGAGCGGTAGGGTCGCACTCAGTGGTCTCGTGTGACCACGGCGTCGAATATGTGAGCAACAAAAGCAATTAGATGTTTGTGAAGGACATTGACCACTTGAATTCAAGTCTCCCGCATCGACGCCACTTGTTGCAACGTATGTTTCTAGCCAGTCAAATTGCTGGTTGAGATCTGAGATCGACAGTAGTATCGATTTCCGACAGTATGGACCCGGTAAGCATAGATCTAGCTGTCATCGAAAATGTAACTGTCGAGGTAGCAGTCGATGGATCATCTGGGATTGCGAGTTCTCTTTATTTGTCGCATTTTCGTATGCTCGTGATAGTTTGTCGAAGGTAAGGCAGTATGGAACAACAAGCATCAACTTTTGAGAGGGAAGTCGTTTGGTAGACTCATGCATTCACAGAAACGGTCCAAACTCCCTTGACGAAGGGCAATATAGACTACCGCAATAATCTGCGAAATCTCCGAAAAAGAGTAAGCTGTACAGAGGTACAAAGCTACGTCGTACGAGAACTTGGGGAACGTTGAGATATCCGCATCTCGAGTTCGCTTGTCGCTCCTTCCAAGGTGCAAACCAGGTTGCGCCCGCCGTCCATATTTTTTTGTCGACCCAGGAACCTTTCTAATTAATCAATTTCAGCACACTAACCTTTGAAAAAGCCCCTTAGGGTCGATCATTTTCGCAAGGGCTTCCCTTTCCTCGGGGCTCCGTCAAGGGTACAGCGTTGCACTGACTAGCTTCAGGGCAAGGTTTCGGCATGGCACCCGGGGTTGCTTCCGCGATGCTGGGAACGGCTGACCATTAGATCTTCTTGTGGCTTTTCGACGTCAAGGGACGTAAAAATAAATGTGTCGAGGCCTGCTTTTGTGACAAGGTATTGAGTGATCTGTTCGATGTTTGGCCGTGATACAGCAGCGAATATGAGTTTTTGAATCCAATATAGGTGACATCGCGGCAATTGAAGCTCCTTCGACTAATCGATTATGATAGTACTTTCGTTTAGTTTTGGATGAAACACAAAGTAATTCAGGCCCGAGATATCTTTCCTTTGTGATATGAAAGGTGTTTGCGACCACTTTCTGTGTGAATATAAGGTCCCGTCAGTCTCGTGTTCAGCAGTGAACATTTCGTAACAACCTTTGAATTTCATCTCGTAGACATGGCTTGATATGCAGGCATTCAAAGCAGCTGATATTCCGTCGATAAGGTGGTCTGATGTGATTTCTATGGACCAATTGGGGACTGTTCGGTCTCGAAGCTTCAGCTGTATGAAGTACAAAGTATTTGTTTTTTGTCGAGTGGATAGCTGAAATCCAGTAGATCCTATTGTCCGCATCAACAATTTGGTCAATATGGGCCCACAATGGATCAGATCCGTTTCGTCGGGGCAAACTTACTCACTTCTCACATTTTGTATGTTGAGAATGTTTGTTCGCTATTGACGATGCTAATTCTACTGCGGTCGGCCATTGGATGAAGTTGTATTACTGCTCCAAAAAGCGTTCGCGTAGACGCGCCGCTTGCGTGGACATTTATTGGGGGGATGCGGAGATATGATGATCTTCTCGGGCCCGCAAAGCGTGAGTTGCCGAATACGGTCGTGGATTTGATGTAAAGCCTCTGGACGATTCCCATTGCAGCTGAACTTAGCGGTTTAGAGTGGAAACTTTGACGGTTTAGCAGGTAAACTATAACAAAGATGGATTTCTTTGCACGGTCCGCTTTTCAAGTACAGAACCTCAACCGCGTTTTTGGCTAGCTCGAACTTGCGCCGACTAACAAATGCCAGCATCCCTGTTGAACTCTCGATGTTGCATTGTTGATTATTTCCGATGATCAATTGATAATGCGCGGCGTTGCGCTTGGAAGTCAGTAGTAGTCGGTGAAAGGCAATAGAGCTAGGAGTCGTGGAGTTTACGAAATTGACCTGAGAGAAGTGGCGGCCAAAGCGTTGGCGAATTGACGACGACCCCCGGATGCGGGAGGGGAAGCACCTCAAACAAACATTTTCGAGGCTTCATTATTATTCTTCCGGGGAAGAAAAACAAATCCTTGCCTGTAGAAGCCGAGATTGAGTGTTTGCAATGCAAACATAATCCTCAATGCAGGCAGGAGGTATTTAGCTTCCGCCTATCTAATGAAGCTATCAGGAGGGTTCCCGATGAAGACTCTAAAGTGACTTACTGGATTGTGCCGCCATCACAACATGACCGAGATTATATAGCAGAGGTCTTATGATTCTGATACCGCATAATTAGGGATATCTCAAAACGAGTAATCCGATATGTTGAACAAGCCCTATGAGGCGTCAACGAAGATCTTCGCTTGCGATAGCAGGTCCCGTAGCAGTGGGACCAAAAGCAAATTATGACAAGTCCAAGAATCATCTGCTCTTCAGGGCCATGAATTGTAAGTCCGTGTGGCTCTATCGAATCGGCTTGCTCGTCTTCTGTAGGCTCCCGTGGTGCCGATATGACCTCTGTCCCGCCTACATCGGTTAGTTCAAGTCCAACAAGTCATGCCCATCTAAAACCACAATTCCTGAGTTCTCACCTAGAAAATAAATACCCATAAATTCTTGTGACCCTCGTCAGGTTTCACTCAGGGATCCCTCCAAATCACTCACCACAGACAAAGAAAATTGACTGTGCTTGCCCGCACCAGTAGGTCGTACTCAGGCCGCTGAGTGAATTGCAAAACGGATGCTGGCAGATCGTCCGGATAGAGTTTCTAGTATCCATTTGACTTATAGCCTTGCTGCTGTCACTGTCAATCGTTCGGGTATAAAGTTGGTGCTATCTCCCACAATGTACCGACAGATCTCAGACTTATCATTCATCAGTTCCATGTCCAATACTCATCGACAATAAACCAACACTTCACTTCAACAATCCACCGTAGCGTGACATCTCCTCATTTCGCAAAGCTCAAAGAAACGGATACGCCACTCGAATTCATCATGGTCTGCAACTCAGTCTCGTGTAGAGCCGGAAACGACAAGACCTCTTGTCTCGCCAATACCCGCCAGGCCGCAGCTGGTCCGTTGAATCCAGAGATCAAAGTCGTCCCTGTGAGCCATCATCGTTAGCGTAAAGGTATTCACCAGCTAATTGATACGTAGATGACCGGAGTAAGATGCCCAACCTGCACCGCCAACGGACAAGAGAGTTGGGTCATTCCAGGACGCGCATGTGGCTATTGTGGTACCAACTGTTGAGCGCAGGTAAGAATTGAAACGACCCGCACGACTGTGTATGTGACTGACCGACAGCAGGACACGCGAGAGGTAGTCGGCCAGTAGTTTGAACTGCATAACAAGTGCTCAGCTTGTAGTTTGGATGTCCAAGACAACATTGATCATGCTCTACGAATCGCACCATAGATGATAAACGTTTTCAGGCGTGATGGTTCAGAAGGGATTTGGCGTTTAAATTTTGAATCCATGGAAAAGTTGCGGTTTCGGTGTGTCTGTGTAATAAACATTAGTAGACAATATTTCATATGGAATGGTAAACCAAATGCTCAACCAGACTACACATACAGGAGCCCTCACGCGTTCACGATCGATAGTCGATGTAATGTCGCCTGGATTGCCGGAGGTGTGATCATGAACGAGCATGTAGTGTAATGGAATGCAAACGACAATAGTCTCTGCTCGTGAGTAGGCACGATTGGTATTTGATGAATAGAAATGAGTTTTTGCACCTAATATGACAACAAAGATAAACGTCGTACTGCAGCGGCAGTACCCACAATACCAGGTTCCATGGTCCTGGATTGTGGGAATGAGTCTTTAAGTATTAGAGGAGTGAAGCGGTTAAATCGAGGATAAAACTGTCTTATAGGCACAATCCTATCTCGGTGACTATGGTAAAGATGTTAGCGCGAGTAAACTCTTTTGATAATGAGAATGGCTTACCCCTGTTTATTTGAAGTTGGTAAAGTCGAGACCTGTGCGACGAATCTGGTGCAAGATTGACCAATTCCATCTTCTTTCTTGCGAACACGAATCCCCGAGCCAATTCTAGAGAGAGTGCGGTGGTACAAGTCTCGATCAACAAGGGCCGTTTCTGACAGCTCAGATCATGCCCGGACATACCTCCGTGAAAAGAATGGTGTTCGTCGTTTTTGTGGTTTTGGAACAGGAATTCTAGGCATGTGAACGAATTGCCTCCTTTATGCAGGGTCCTTTGCTGACCCTGGTGGCGTCAAGGAGTTTCGCTCGGTGTTGTTCATAACTGGCAATGCGGCTAACCGATTCGACCAATCCACGGGGAGCAGCTGCAACGGCTTGCGAATTGAGATATATCGATTTGATATTCGTAATTCAATCAAAGCAGGTGTGTCATGTTCACACCAAGATCTACCGACTCAATTTTGGAGTTGATGACTGTTGCTAGAGAGCAGCGCAGGAAGGATCGACCAGCGAAATCACGTTCTGTCGACTCCGATGTATGTCTCAGCCAGAATTTGCTAAGCAATCCTCAGGCATGTCAACCTTCGTAGTTTGCGGTTTTTGGTACCTGAGGTGGCTGTAGGAGGACGGCGCGAGGACTTGTACCTTCAGGCTAAAATCTTCTACAGAAAGATCTCTTGGCAACATAACAAGAGGGTATATATTAATGGTACATTCCAACATAGCTTCCTTAATGTAAAATAACACCTAAGAGGAAGGTCCTAGCGCCAAACTCCCAAATCGCAGACGACCCGAAAGTCTACAGTGACCACGCGAAACACTAAAACTTCTTCTCATCGTTTTCGTTGACTTCACCATGGCCAACAATATCCGAAAACCAACCTTTAGCTTTATTAATTTCGTCGGTGAACCATGACCAAAAATTCTTCTCTTCTTCAGAGACAACACTATCATCCCCTACAACAGGACGATCGACGTTTGCATCCTCAGGAGTATCAACGCCAACCATTGTGGGCGGTACAACATTCGGGTCGGCCGCAGAACTGGCTTCGATAGGAGATATTTCGATGACTGGGTCGGCACTAGAGATCTCGGACGCCGAAGTGGCTGGAGGTGCAGACTGTGTAAAAATCTGAACGGGGGAAGCAACGCTTTCTGGCTCCGGAACCTGTGGGTCGATAGGTTCAGCTGGGGTTGTTTCTGGAGAATGCAGACCAATGGTGTTGAGAGGCAGTCGCAAAGTACCATTATTGGGTTTTGGGTCGATGCCTAAAGAATCGCAAACGATATTGTAAACTTCAATGTTTTCTTTGCATACGTTAGCATAAAACTTATGACAGTACGAATCAGAACATACGGAAAGATTCTACGCGACTGTTGGGCGCATGGGGAAATGCTGGACCTCTCGCAACAAAAATAGCCCTCATCAGTGGATGCTCATGGTCATAGCCATGAAGTCCTCTGGGATGGTACACAAGGTTTTTCTCTTTCGCTTCCACGACGTTAAACTCGCCTTTCGTGACAATGGCCCAGCCCGCCTTGGGAATTATCCACAAGGGCGCAATACGCTCGTTTTTCGAAAAATGATAACGCTCCGGCATATCTTTGTCGCGAAGGTATACCTCATAGTTGTCGTTGCCAGAAGAAGCTGCTTTCAGACTGTCATATATTCCCTGCAAGTGCGCTGAATCCTTAGGACGAAGTCCATAGAGTGGCCAACCGTCTGTGTGCTCAATCAAGCTCGTATCGATAATATCCTCGAGTTGTATAAAATTGGATACCGTGGCCATTCCATGATCGCTCACAACAACGACATTGGCAATTTTTGTCAGATTTCTCGCTTCAAGAGCTTTAAAGAGACTGTCCAGCATGCTATCGACTTCGGCAATGGTTGTGCGGATTTCTGTGCTGTTTGGGCCGTAGAGATGGCCGTCTTGATCAACGTTGGGAACGTACGCAGCAATCAATTGAGGTCGCATATCAATAACCTCTGCCATTTCGCTCTCCTCGCCAGGTTTGTCAAGCAATTCCAAAATCCTGTCCACCTTGTTTGACAACGGCTCCTTTGGGTTGAATTTATCAAGGAACGCTGGTTCCACGTCCATTATATGGGCTTCACTCCCGGGCCACATGTGTATAGCTGTTCGAATCCCTTGGTTCTCTGCTGTAACCCAGAGCGGTTCCCCTCCCCACCATTTTGGTAACATAGCCAAAGGATTTGTGTAAAAGAACTCTTCCTGTAACTCTACATCCCAAAAAGTGTTTCCAACAATCCCGTGAGACTCTGGATATAGCCCCGTCACCAGCGTGTAGTGATTGGGAAATGTAACAGACGGGAAACTCGGGTTCATATATGTTGGTGATACTCCTTCTGCGATGAATGAATTAAGTCTAGGTGTAATTCCTCGATTCAAGAAATCGGCTCGAAAGCCATCTAGACTGATCAATATCGTCGTTGGAGCAAACAGAGCTGTCCCATTGCTAATCAGTTTTTGATTCATTTTGATTCCATTACGTCTCATGGACAACTTCCAAGCCACAAGCACCAGTATCGAGAAACCAACTGCGATTAATAGATGGAGAAAGCACCACATCCTCCACTTCCTGTGCGTTTGTACCTTATCGTCGTGGAGACCACGTAGACCGCGACGGTCAATCTCATCGCTTCCTTCTGTCTCGCTGCTATCTCCAGTTGCGCTGCCTTCTTTCATGCTGCCTTCTTCCATTTCGTACATGAGCTGACCATCCTCTCCGTTTTGTGCATCGGCCATCAATTGGCCCTTTCTCTTCGCTCTCCTCTGTCTTCTGCGGGTACGACGGTGCTTCTTTTCCGCTTCCTTTTCTCCAACTTCGCTCTGGCCTTCGGGCATCGGCAGTTCACTGTAGCTTTTGGAGAAGAGCTTTTTGAGTGGACCGGTAATTGCGATCGCGCTCCCCCTTCTCCCACGTCTTCTGCTATCTTCTAGCAACTTATCTCGCTCTTCCTCTTCAATCAACAGTCCCCGATCGTGAGCGCGAATGTCAGCACTGCTACGTGCTCCTACCAGACCGTCATCCTCGCTGTCGGTGTCCTGGTCACTACGCTCACTGTGTATGCTGGATGCATCGTCGTCGTAGTTTTGCGGCGCAAGAAAAGCGGAAGATGTGTCTCGAGGAGGCGGCATATCGGGCTATGTTTGCGACATTAGTCACACTTCTTTCTTGATGTGAGATTCAAATGTCTTTGTGTCTGGATGGATAGTTTCAAGCCTCGTGGTAATATGGTTATGGGCTGGACGACTGCAGGAAGTAGTGCCACTCACATTTGCGGTGTCAACCCCACAATGATCCTTGCTAAAAATAAATGTGGCACCGCCATTCTTCTGTCACAAGCGAGCCGAGCTACGTCTTGTTAGCGACTCTTCGTTTCTACGAATGTAATCTTATTCCATCCTTTTCAATTCGAGGTAAAAGAAGGCAGGCTACCGGGGTTTCATCCACTCTCTTCTAAAAATTTGCATCATGGCAAGGTTGCTTTTTATTTAAAATTTGCCATGTTAGGCTCTCAACATCATTCCTTCACCACCAAGTTCCAACTCGATTCGCCGAACAGGTTGAACATCGATATATCCACGGTTACGACAACTCGCACACTTACGCATCATGCGTATCTTGTAATATTGCAATCAACCACCACCGTGAAGCAATTTACCTGTTGATCTTCATTTCTTACGTATATGGCTTACCGAGCATCGTGGATGTCTTTCTCGTCCCACGGCACCTGAGGGATCGATGTGTGACAAAATTTGCGACTGCAACCCCGGACGTATCTCATTTCTACTTCGTATAACCATGAATAAACACCGGTGGGGCGTCTGTGCTTTACACTCGACTTTACCTTTTATAGTAATGATAAGTCGAATCATCAACTCCTTATTGGCAAGAAATCCTTGTTTACCGTAAGTTCTAGAAGACCCACTGGTGTTTATTCATGGGTATACGAAGTATATTGGTCAACATTGCACTACATATCACAACAATAAGTAACTTATGAGTATCTTCCAGCCTATCTTATTGCTGCCTGGTACGACCCCTGATAGCACCTGAGGTATTATTGCACCGGCCATGGGAAAATGTCTCAACCCCACTTCCAGCTGTTCTGGGCACTACAAAACCCTCGTCTTCCCATGGATTCATACAGTAGAATGAACCCTTCTTGCAGATACTTCAGATTCCAGCGTTCAAGCTCCGTTGATAGGCAACCGTATCTTTACACTTGAGCATTCTGCTACCAAAGGGCCCGCTCCAAGCTCTCGCCCAGACCTTACATATTGTGTCAAAGTCACAATGGAGATTATCTCTTGCTTCATTGTAAGTCGTCATATCTCATTGCTTCTGCATTCCGATAGTATCCCTACAACACACATGCATGTTCAAAACCACGCTCAAAATACTTCTTGACGAACTATAGATGGGGGTATCACTAGTCGTCAGCATGATCATGACTCAGTTTTTGTAATGCAAGAACATCTCCCATGAAAAAGGACTATGAGTCGCGGGCGATAATTGCGAAGAACCCTGTTCTGGAGAGGCTTACTGACGGCAAAGTTTGTAAGGAGGGTAGGCCATTGTCCATCCGAGGCCGCTTATACTACTATAACGTCTCAATTCAGCCCGTAACAAAAACATTATCCAATTCCGATATTAAGCCAATGCTAATTATACATCCTACAGGTTGTATTATCTCAGCTCCATCGGGGCCGGTGCCGAACCCGATGCTAAGTCGGCTTTCTTGTCGGGAATGCTGTGATCATCACTCGTTGAAGAGTGCTCGATACCCTCCACCACCTCCCTTTCATGAATGGCGTGTTCAACGTTTACCTTCGGGCCTTTGAACCATTTGTGCGCCGACACGAACCACCAGACAATAACAAAGAACATCCTGAAAGACAGAGATTAGTCAAACACTCCTGCAATAGCACGAACAAGTAGTACTTACGGAACACCATACACCACAATAGTCCAGTTCATCAACTCGGCGGTCAAATTGTTTCCTCTAACAGACGGAAAGCAGAGTATGGGCATCATCACAAGAATGAAAGCACAGGCCATCGAACCGATTGGCTTGCTGAATTTGCCTAGGTGCCATGGTCCTCTTCGGAAACGGTCGCCGACGAAAAATACTCGAATGAAGATCGGGATGGTAAAGGCGACAAAGGCCGCAATGGCCCCCACCGAGAATATTGCTCCAATGGCCACAGATCCACCGAAGATAAGGAGTAGTAAAGCACAACCGATAACCGTGTTGAACCAGACGGCATTGACAGGTGTAAACGTGTGCATGTTTACCTGCTTGATCCAAGAGGAGAATGGGAAGCAATCGTCTCTTGCATACGCGAACGTAACTCGAGAGGCTGCAACCATACACCCTTGGCCCATGAAGAAACCGCACATGATTGTGAGCGACAATATTGCTAGCGCCGTCTTTTGACCCATGACCTGGACGAGGTAAGAGGCCCAGGGCTGGCCGAGATCCGATTCTAGAACTGCTGGGATATCTGCCACAGTATAGGCAACTACCAGTTGAAGAGCCCACCCAGCAAGACCTCCGATGCCAGAAGTCAGCACAATGGCACGGGGTGCTGCTATTGCTGCGTTACTACACTCCTCTGAGAGATGGAATGGCGCGTCATAGCCTGACATTGTCCTGCGATGTATGAATAAATAGACAATCAAACATAAACATCCAAAGAGTGCTTACCAAATTATTGCAATAAAACTCATGAGAACTGCAATTCCATCAGGCCAGTCCGTCCCATTTTGAACTGACCAGACTTCCTTTGAGGGAAAGAATTTGGGATGAGTGTCCGATCCAGTTACAGACGCCGGAATCATGATAATGACCACTAAAAGAGCGATCTAGGAATGGACCAGTAAGTTCATGTGTGGGAGGGTTGGAAGCAGGTAGACTCACGATATTTAGAGTTGACCCGACAGAGTTGAACCTCGCGATCCAAAGCGTAGGCATACTCGAGATACACCCATGGATACACATCACAAACACCGTTAACAGGAAGGTTTGGTAGTCCGTTGGCACGTAAGAAGGATGAGTGATAGATGCTGCGGCTAAGATCATCGCAGAAAGAGCATAATCGACAGAAGGCGCACCCGTCACTTGAACCATCCAGTTCGACCACCCGGTGATCCACGCCACAAAAGGGCCATATCCTGGAGGAGCAAGAACCGCTGCCGCATAGTACAATCCACCACTGTTCGTCACCCAGTCAGGAAAGTTATCCATAACGGCTCGCATTCAACATACCTTGTTGGCATACTTGAGCACAACTCGGCCATACTCATAGCAACACACTGAATAAAGAACCATGAGATGAGCCAACCCCAAACCATACCTCCCGGTCCAGCGTACCCCATTCCATAGTACAAGGTGCTCGCGAAACTCGGCAACAGTCCCAGAACAGCGAAGGATACACAAAATGTTGTCCACAACGAAAACTCTCGTTTGAACTCCTGCTTATAACCAAGCGCAACGAGCGCAGCCTCGTCCGCTGTGAGGCCCTCGAAATTTGGAATATCCCCATTTGGCAATATCGAAGTTACTGAAGGCTTGCGAGGGTCATACTGCGGGGTACCGCTCGCCTTGCGTTCCTGAAGGAGAGACATGTTGTGCTGTGTTCCTCTCCGGTTCTGGATGTATTGTGGTCTGGTCTCACCAGCTTGGCGGCTTCTTGGGAACGAGGTGGACGTCGTCGTCTACTTATACGATTCGTTCGAGGATCGCAATGTGAGGTGCGACAGTTATCGGGTGTAGGGTTGCGGATCGCCTCGTGGTGCTACCATCAAATCGTGGAGCTACAAGGGTGGACAGCGGCAGCTATCAGGGTCTATCTCTTCTTTGGGAAAGTATAACCTCTACCACCTTGCTCATTTGTTGATGAGAACAAGAGGGAAAGGTTAGGTTTTTGAGCAAAACAGTTTTGACGCGGGAGCTTCGTTGTGTTATTAAGCTTACAATCACTTCATCTTGGCCTCTTCTTTTATTACCACCTTTTCATCTCTCAATTCCTCTTCATCCGCCACATCTTAAACAGCTTCAAGCTATGGCTGTATGATAGGCGTGCAAACCTGGAGTTCTATGGCTTTTGATTGGTCTATACCTTTCAAGACCCTTCGGGATTCATTCCGTCAACGTAAAGATACGCTTATCTCTCGCCTATGACGAACCGTCCTGCGCAGCCTGCAAGCTTGATGTTTAAGTGGGCCAATGAAGATTGCCATCTTATGGTAATTTGAGACTTTGTGAAAGCTTGAAGCGTTGTTACAGGTATATGACTACCTGGGTACTGTAGGTATGTGTTCTGCATGGCATTACTTGAGTGCACCGTACGTCATGTGTTCCAAATCGAGGCACATTACCACGTTACAAGTAGCAAAATGCTGGTCGAAAAGAATTACAAGTGCGTTCATAGAAAGTATTTTTCAACGCTCTCATGTCGCGTGCACATACCTAATCAGAATATTAGAATGTGGGGAAGTTTCTCTTACGTTATGACGGATAAGACATCAAAGTTCCTTGGCTTGGCTTGTTTACGGGGATTAATTTAGGAGGGGTCCATTCAAGACGCGTTTCAAGCGGGGCTCTGCTTCTTTGGGGTAATATTGAGACCGTTGATAGTGAGGCTTTAGTGTACAACTTATAGTCTCAAATTCGTGGCTAAAGACTGTGTTTGGTTGTTTCATAATGTTCATGACAGGATATTTTATGAGAATCTACTAAGCAGTGTTGGGTTTGATGCACGTGATTTTAACTGCTTTTGCAACACCCGCTCAGTAAATCATTTAGAATTTCTGTTCAACAAAAGACTAAATCATCATTGTGAGCCCTGGGATGTTCTCCTAGGTCTCCTTTCTCACTTGAATAAGCTGATAGCTTGTCTTCTGGAGATATAACCTTATGGATCAAAAAGTTTCCGATAGAGAAAATATTTTCACCATCCGGGAATATATTGGAACCGTGGCAAAGCAAAACAAAAGACAACCTTGGAATCGCACGATCCTGCGAAATTTGATTTTCTATTGAATTATCTTTCTGCATTGACGTTCTGACAATCACTTGTCCAATATCCACGTGACAAACAATTGTTGAATGACCCACTATTCTGGCTGACTCGATAACCCTCTATGATCGAGTTGCGGTGTATGGAAGTGGCCTTCTTTCTGCGACCACTTTTCAAACATTTCGACAACTGCTGCTGCCTGAGTATATCACGTGTTTTGTTCCAACCTCACGATAACATGAAAATGAGCAGAGATGAAGTTGATCAGGGACTATAGCTACCCCGCCTCCCCACAATACGGTACCTGAGGAGGCTTGTGGTAAAGAGATCAATGCTCATTCGCGTCGCGGCCAAATGGCGCACGACAAGCCTTCCAAGAGGGTGCATCATCGTCCGCCAGAGCATTCGTTTGTTCAGTCCAACACCGGTGTATGAATCAGTTGTCCGTCCCGCGCAAGCGATGGCTTCCAGTAGCTTACTGCCCTCAGAAATAGCAGACATGAGAGCCCAGCCTGGTCAAAATTCATTCAACAATTTTCTTCCGCGGTACGAATATAGCCCGCTAGACCCTTCTACCCAATCCATACGCCTGCTGCGACTTTTCCCGTCTAAAGGCGATGATTATCTGATGGAGTGTGACATTTTTCATACTACACTGGACCAAGCACCTCCTTACATTGCCCTATCTTATACCTGGGGTGATCACTCAGGCTTGAAACAAATACTTGTGCGAGATAAGGTGGCACCTGTGAAATCAAATTTGTGGCATGCTTTGCAACGGATACGCCCACGAAGCGGAGAGCCCTTGATATTATGGGTAGATGCGATATGCATCAATCAGACAGATGTTGCCGAAAGAAGCGTCCAGACGTCGAGGATGCGGACCATTTATCAGAATGCTGAGAGTGTGGCTGTCTGGGTTGGCCTAGGTGGCTCTGACACCAAGCTAGCGTTGCATTTTGCAAGACGGCTGGATTTGTGTAATAAAGAGGAAGCCAGCCGGCTGATTAGAGACCCGGACAAAAAGTCGGCGTTAGTAGCGCTTGTTACCTTGTTTCGACGACAGTACTGGTGGCGTATATGGGTCATTCAGGAAGTAAGAGAAGAGAAGCCTTCCATCCACTCATACCGTCACACTCGCTAAAGAAAAATCTAGGTCTCTGTTGCTAAGAAAGCTGTGGTCTACTGTGGGATTGAAGCTATCACTTGGTCTCAGCTTGACCGAATTTGTGATATCTTCAAAGAAGAAGAAGAGTTCCTCCTCGATCTGTTCTACAAGCGGCCGAGTTTTGTTCGCACTCTAATCTATGGAGGTCCTCGAGGTCTTCAATTATCACGTTACTCTCCACATCTCCAAGCTCCTCCTTTGTTGGAGCTACTACTTACCCATAAGAGTAAAAAGTCAACTGATCCGAAAGACAAGGTCATTGCATTAGTTGGGATCTCTCAATCTCGCGAATCGTTTGGACCTATCGACTATTCGCAATCCGTGCAGCAAATTTACACCCATACAGCCCGACATATTATTACCTCTTCACAAAAGCTTGATGTCATATGTGTAAAGCAGAATGATTATGTACGAGAAAGCTTGCCAACTTGGGTGCCTGATTGGGCCCGGCCTTTGAGCACCCTGGGTGGAATAAGACTACCACTCGGGTTGCATCATCGAGAGCCAAAGTTTACTGCAGCTGGTGATAGCATTGCAGAATACGAATTCCTGAAAGATGGATATATTTTACAAGCAGTAGGCTTCAAGGTGGACATCATATCAACTGTAGGAATGATATATAAACACAAAGGCGCAGCTACAAGTGTTGAACCGGCTCTTCACGTCTTCCACGATTGGTGGAACTTATTTGCGGCATCTTTATCTCATCCGCAATCTGTGAGTGCTCAGGCTACGTTTGCGAGGTCTATATCTTGTGGTCATTGGGCATTTGAAGAGGAAGATGGAACTTACGAAGAGAAATTACGAAGCATATTCAATCTTTCAGAGGCTTTGCTTGCGGGAGATGACGTTCTAAGGATAGACACACCGCCACATACTTCACTTGCTAGCTCTGTTGTTTCGCTAGTTGATGAGAGCGATGATGACCAGATTGATGTTGGTGACAAGGAGCAAATCGCAGTTGCTATCCAAGCAAGTACATTTATGAATAGGAGACGATTCTTTGTGTCGAGCGATGGTGTCGTTGGATTGGCGCCTTGGGACGCTACGGAGGGTGACATGATAGTGGTGCTTCTGGGTTGCCGGCAACCTGTTATCCTGAGAGAAATTAATGGATACTACAAACTGATCGGCGAAGCCTATGTTGATGGATATATGGATGGCAAGGCGCTACAAGCAGCAGATGATGGCAGACTGTTGAAGGAAATTTTCGAAATCCATTGAAGCAATTTGGGGTTCGTTGACAAAAGATTTTCGTTGCCTAGAAGGCTAAAAGGTTCCACAGGCTGTTTAAGCAATTGGCGTGCTGAAACAGTCACAGAGTTAGACATCAAGGAGAGGCTTTGAGGCTCGGAAAGGTCGCCATCACAGTCGACATACGATAATGTCTCGCTCATAAAGGGCTGAAAATGACTTAACGTAAGAGCGGCCGCAGCTGCTGTCTGAGTAGGATCCGCCGGTCCGCATAGTTCTTTCTCACCACAATGCAACGACACTGGTGAAACATGTCACTTGGGCTAGATCCTCCTCTAGGTTGGCACAGTACAGAATGCAGGTTGGCGTATCTGCATGCTTTATCAAAGCAACAGTGGACGGTTACAACTTCATTGGTTTCCTCGAGAACGACCTGCAACCTCGCCCCAGGACTACCTCGTATACCTTTCGAAACTTCTTAGGCTGATTATGCGTAACTCATGTAAGCTGGAAGTTACAAGCGACTAAGTGTACGTAAAATCACATATTTCAAGAGTACCTGAACTTTTCCCACCTGTTTTATTCGACAAGTTTTGTTGGGCTCTTGGTTGGTTGGCGATTTTCGCTACATGGAATCATGCCGTGTATAGCCTCAACGAATTCGGTGACCCAGTAGGGTTATATGCTTTTTGACGCAAGATATAGGAGCAATGAATGGGATTGGTGAATTGGGTATAGTTTGTTGTTGGGTAGTGGTCAGGTCCCATAGCATATTGGCCCTCATAATCCATAGGTCGCCCACTAGTACAGTGACACTACCGTTGGTGTTATGGTGACTTTAGCGAATGGAATCGATTAATTATTTTCTTCTTCGCTTCCATGAAAGTGCTTCTTCCGTAGAGCGAGGCGGACATAGGTTGTGGAATCTTTGGAAATTGCAGGAAAACAAATCTGAGAAGCAATAATTTGGAAACATTATTCTTGTTCGACATACGAATCGCAGCATCGTCATCGTTCACTATTTTGTCGGATTCCAAAGTTCTGGAATTTTGGGTGGGTCTGGGGTAGGAACGCCACCAAAGCTGCAGCAGCGCAGGGTTTCGGCAGCACCTGGACATGGTTATATTTAGAATCTGCGTACGCCATTCACTCTGAGGCTTGAGGATGTAGCTTCACAAGTAGCGTTCACAGAGGCAGCATTGCGACAATACAGACTCGCATGAAAATTTGGTCGAGATGATAATTCAGTTCTGTCTCACGGCCAAAAGAAAGTGCTGGTGGAAGGGTTCGACAGCCCTGTTTAGCTGGGTGACGGTGCCTTCTTGGCAAAGAGCGCAAGGATAAAAGTCGAGCGCGACTTCCCCGCGCGTCCAGAATCGATCGCATCGCATCGCATCCTACGACCGACTGACATCTTTTTCATCGCCTCTCCCCTGCACCTGATATGTACACTTCCGGATGTATTGAATGCATCCAGTTCCCTCTGTGCTACTACCGACTGTAATACCACCATTGGCACACCACAATCAGCGAGGAGTGCGATCTTTTCCTCGTTCCTCGTTCCACCCAAAACCTACCGATTTCCAGCCTTGCCACGGCACAACGGTACAACATAATGGCGTCCACGGCCACCCAAGATGAGGCCATTTCCGAGATCCAGGAGGAGCTGGCCTTCCAGAGAGTTATTCTTGCCTCTATCGACAATTCAGTTCTCAACAGAGACCAAGCGGAACAAGAAGTGCAAGAAGAGATCAAAGCATTGAAGAGAAAGTTGAAGGCTTTGCAAAGGACGAGAGCGGGCTCTTCAGCCTCACAGTTACATTCGCATTCGCAGTCATCGCAGCCTAGTCCGCCAACGTCTTCAGTGCCCGGGAGTTGGCCTGCGGACGTTACGACTGAGGCTGGCCCAAGTAGGAATCGCAGTGGCGCTAGTGGGTTGTCTCCCCCAAATATGAACCGACTTCCAGGTATGTCGTGTTGCATTGCTTTTTCCTATCTGCGTTGAGCCGCATGTCTTGTGCTGCATCCGCGTCCAATTCACTCAAAGTCTCCGTCTTGCAAACGCCAACTAACCTACATGGCAGCGTCGAATTCTCAAAAGCAGCCCGGCATGTCTTCCTCTGCCTCGACGCCGAACTCCCTGGATTCCTTTCCCGATCTACTAAGCCCTTCCTCGATGAACCTCCCAACTAGAAAGCGAAGCTATAGCAAGCATCTCGATGGGGTTTTACGAACTTCCGGTGACGGTCCTGCGAAATCAAGACGAGCATCGCCGAGTCCATACGTGAACTCCTACGGAACAAATCCAGCAACCCCGGCGGGGATAAGTTCCGAGTACGCAGACCCCGCGTTTAGTGATGGTTATTTCAGCCTCGCTTTGTTTGTCAATAACTTCACTTTGCCCCCTCTGAATGATCCTATTTGTCTCAAGAAAATGACACAATTTGTTCGCGGAAGCTAACATTTGTGTTTAGTGATGATGACTCCGATGATTTAGTATTACAGCAACAAAAAGCCATACAACAGGCGGCTGAAGAGAGGAAACGTGCTCAGCGGGACGACGAAGAATTCGTTCGGCGGCTACTATCACAAGAGAGCCATCCATCCCAGAGACCACAGGCGTCAAACACTGGATCCTCATACAATCAAGGTCAATCGTCATTACCGAACTCAGGACCGAATGCTTTCCAACGAATGTCGGGAGTTCGACCTTCTCAACCACACTCCAACGCCCATGTTATGTCGAGCGGTCCTCCAGCTGGCTCTTTCAAACGAACGCTTCCTCCTACTTTCAATAGCAGGCCTATCCCAAATCAAAACAATATCAAGCGCGAAGCAGCCCCCCAAACTGGCTTCAGATCGAATACTGCTGTTTCAAGTACTAGTCAAGCGCGCAGTGAGGTCAGCTTGTTGGATGATAGTGATTCGGACGTAGAGATTATTGCACCGACTGATTTTCGTAGTAATGGCCGCCATCAACCAACTTCCCGTGCACGAAACCTTGGTTACCAAGCTGGTGGGCTAGGGCCATCTCCCAACATGAAAACAGAGTCATCTGCTCTTTCACACGCGTTATGGGGCGGACAGTCAAAGCAGCCCCCATGGATGGACTCCTCCCAGGGGCCTCAAGCCGCGGGACAGTACGTATACCCTGGATCTTATTTCGATCACATGCCTGATGTATTTGGTGCCTATGTCCCCGATCCTACCTTGACGTTTCAATCTCCTCGTGGGAACGGGGTCGCCCATACTGGACTTAAAAATGAAAACACAAGACCTGGACTAAATCATTTCCCCTTTAGTACGGCTAGTTCCTTCGGCCATTCGCTTAGTTATCCATATTCGGACTTCAATGCTCTATCTGCTGGTTCAAATGGGAATAGCCCTTTCACAGATATCAACAAGATGGCCAATTTCCCCGGATACGGGGGTTTGGGCGATCCATCGGCCTATACCGGCCACATGGCTGAGCAGTATGATTACATCATGAACGATCCTCGGAAGACTAATGATGAGATCAAATCTTTGTTAGAAAACATTCAGCCAGACGTAGATTTGGCAAAAGAGAATAGAGAAGGAACTCCAGACGGCCTTAAGTACCCCCTTGTAAGCCTATAAATTCTTTATTCTCTGTCTTTGCGGGTCGCTAATTGAGCTACAGTACGAGCATCAAAAAGTTGCGCTTACGTGGCTCAAGCAAATGGAGGATGGAACCAATAAGGGCGGTATCTTGGCTGACGATATGGGTTTGGGAAAGACTATCAGCTCTCTAGCCCTTATTCTTACTCGGTCTTCTGTAGATGCTCGCAAAAAGGTAAGTCTCGTACTGATGACAGCATTCTCAATGTGATCTAATCCTTTATAGACCACGTTAATCGTTGGACCTGTTGCTTTGGTACGACAATGGGAGCGTGAGATCCGCAGCAAGGTTAAGGCAAGTCACAAGCTTAGTACTCTGATGGTACACGGCGGGAACAAAAAGCATGACTGGAGTACTATACGTAATTTCGATGTCGTCCTTACCACTTACGGAACCCTTGGCGCAGAGTATAAGCGCATGATAAAATGGCAGTCGGAACAAGCCACTCGATACGGGCGAAATTATGACGAAGCTCCTATGCAGAAGCTTTTCCCCCTTCTTGGCCCCAGGAGTATCTTTCATCGTGTTATTCTCGACGAGGCGCAATGCATAAAAAACAAAAATACGCAGTCCGCTAGAGCTTGTTGTCAAATAAATGGCACTTACAGACTATGTCTCACAGGCACACCAATGATGAACAATGTTGGGGAGCTCTACTCGTTAATACATTTCCTTAGAATCGGGCCTTACAACGTTTTTAATACCTTCCAAACCGAATTCAAATGCCTCAGCAGAGGGGATGCAACTAACAGCGAAGCTCAAAGAGCCATGAAAAAGCTCCAAGCTGTGCTGAAAGCTATTCTCCTTCGGCGTACTAAGCAATCCAAGATCGACGGACAGCCGATCATTTCACTTCCACCAAAAACCGAGGAGATTCAGCATGTAGTTTTCAACGAGGACGAACAAGCATTTTACAGCGCTCTTGAAACCAAGACACAAATCCAGTTCAACAAGTATATGAAGGCGAATACAATCGGAAAGAACTATTCCAACATTTTAGTCTTACTTCTACGTCTTAGACAATGTTGTTGCCATCCCCACCTCATAACGGATTACGAAGAAGCACCTGCTGGGGCAGACATTTCCAACGAGACTATGGTAGAGCTTGCAAAAAGCCTGGATCCCGCAGTCGTGCGCCGTTTGCTCGCCGTTGAAGATGCTGCGTTTGAGGCAAGTAAATGTCTTTTCGCGTGTTTAGCACACTCTAATCATAAGTAGTGCCCTGTTTGTTATGATGGTGTATCCAACCCTAGTATTGTTATTCCATGTGGACATGATACTTGTGCCGAGTGTTTAACTAAGATTAACGATCAAGCTGCTCAGGCAGGAGTCATGAACGGCGATGAAGGCGGTGGTGGATGTAAATGTCCTACATGTCGAGGTAAAGTGGACATGAACAAAATTATCGACTACAACACCTTCAAGAAAGTCCACCTACCTAGCGAAGCTACAGATAATGATGCGAACGGTCTTTTTGACAGCGATGGGGAAAGTGATTCTGACACCGACTCCGAAACCGAGTCCGACATCGAATCGGAATCTGAGGATGACGCTAATAGCGATGGTGATCTTCGGGACTTCATTGTCCCAGATGGTATAGACGAGGCTGAGGATAGTAAGGCGAGTTCTGGCTTAGATGACTTGCCCGGGGTGGACAATATTGCATCAAAGCCATCTAAGAAGAAATCCAAAGGCAAAGCAAAGCATGGAAAGAAACACAGAAAGGGCAAAGGCAAGGAGAAAAAGGAGGAGAAAGGCCCCAAGGGAGTCGGAATAGCTTATCTAAAGAAGCTGTCCAAGACCAAAGCAGGGCGGAAAAAGTATATGAGATTTCTTCGCAAGCGATGGGAACCGTCGGCGAAAACGACCAAATGCGTGGAGCTACTGGATCAATTTCAGAGAGAAGGTAGAAAGACGATTATCTTCAGTCAATTCGTCTCACTACTCGACCTTCTCCAAGTTCCCCTTGAGGAAAATGGCTGGAAATTCGAAAGATATGACGGGGCTATGAGTGGAGAAGAACGCAATGATGCTATCAACAGGTTTACGGACAAGCCTGATTGCAAAATCATGCTTATCTCATTAAAAGCGGGTAATGCCGGTCTTAATTTGGTTGCGGCGTCCAGGGTTATCATTCTCGACCCATTCTGGAACCCCTTCATCGAAATGCAAGCCGTTGATCGCGCATACCGTATTGGTCAACAAAACGCTGTCGAGGTTCATCGCATCCTGATTCAGTCCACTGTTGAAGACCGGATTGTTGAACTTCAAGAGAAGAAACGAACGCTTGTCAACGCTGCTCTTGATGAGGCCGCTAACAAACAACTTGGCCGACTCGGGGCACGTGAATTAGCATTCCTCTTTGGTGTCGGTGGTCGTTGAGGACGCTCAAAATATCGATATTCAGTTACATCTTCGTACTATACTGTATAGTATATTGTTGTTCTCAAGTTGATCTGGAGTTTTGGGGGGCTTTTGGTTTGTTCTTTGGTATTGGAATCATCGATTATTGCCAGATCACTGTCATGGTTGCAATAGACCAACCATTACGGAAGACTAATGTTTGGCTGTTTACTTGGTCTTTTTTACGACACGGCGCCAAAAAAAAAGTTGGGAAATGGTATGCGTCGGTAACGCCATATCAAAGCAAGATACCTGGAGCATTTTCAGAAGGATTGTTTTGGGCTGGCTGGCCGGCTGGCTTGGGATTGGTTCGGAGGTTGTTTGCACTAGATCTACTAAACTGTTTGAGCTCACGCTCTGGGATGCTATAATGTATGTATGGGACTAAGAGACCTTATTTGTACCGTTATATATACTATTAGAGTAATTTACGAACTTGATGACTTGTTATTGTTGTTTCTGTACTTGTTTCTGATGTGTTGAAAGCGATGGACGGTTGAAGTGGGATGTTGGGCTCCAATTTCCAACCTTCATATTTGACGTGCGATGGAAGCAGACTTGAAACCCTTTTTTAGGGTAGTTGAATGGCTTTGTATAATAGCGCATTGAGGATTGCTTCACTTGTATCCAACTTTTAGTTATATGTGTACTTTGACTAACTTCTTATCTATGTAGAAATTACAATCGAGTCTATATCGAGACCTCCCAGACCTCCTCATCCCAATATCTGATTCAAAAACCCAGCAGTATCAAAACTCAAAATCTCACCACCCACAACCCCATTTTTAGCAGCAGCAATCCCACCATTGGTCACCACATAAAGCACATCCTCATCCTCCTCCAGCACACCAAAAGCAGCTCTGGTAGCTCCAACCACATACGGCACACCACTTTGCGTCACTTTCGTACCTTCTCTCCCAGCCAGCGTAAACACTTCTCCCTTTCGACTCCCCTCGCCAATCACAAGCGTCATCAAATCCATCGGATCCTGCGTGATCCACGAATTCCCAAATCGATCGATCGTGAAGTCGTCGCCGAAAATACCGGTGGCTAATGTTTCTACCGCGCCGTGGGAGGAATTGTGTGTTGGGTTTAGGGAGATGCGGCAGTAAAGCTCTTGCGTCATGGATGTGAAATACAGTGCATTTTGGAAGATGTGGATACCATTGATCCCGAGTTGTAAAGTTGAGTTTACAGCTATTTTCATCTCCGGGACGTCGATGAAGACGTCGTAGGTGCGTGTGAAGATGTTGATTTTCCAGACAAGTCCCAGGACTGAGTCGGCGACTAGGAGTGTGCCGTCTGAGGGACTCAAGACATCGAGACCGTTGAGGAACTGTGCTTTTGGCATATCGAGAATTTTGACTACTTTTGGACTAGAGACGCGCATGTCTAGTTTCCAGATGGCGTAGGTTCCGGGCACGGTGCCGGCTGCTGATGTCCAGTTCCCGGCTACGAAGTAATAGATGTCTGGGATTGGGGAGGCGATGCCTAGGAGGGAGACGTAGGAGGGGAGGGTTGTGATGTGTGTTACCTCTGAAGGGGAAAGGGGGTCCCAGAGGTAGATTTCGGGTGTGGTGATTAGGGTTATGAGGAGTTGGCCATTGGGACGGATGGCGAAGTTTTCGAGCCAAGTGTTGTTCGGGAATTGGTAGAGGAGGGTTGGTGGGAGGGTGTGGGTTGTTATTGGAGTGGATCGTGTTGGGTGTTGTTTTGGTTTGTTGATAGTTGGGAATGCGTACGTTGATGTTAGCAGCAGCAGAGATGCTATGATGGAAATGGAGAAACGCATTTTGAAAAATCACTGCTCACGAGCTCGCACGACAAGAATCTCAGAGTTCAACTGACAACTTTGCAATCCAAAATCCACGGGAATGAAGTCTTATATATATATATGTGTGTTTCTTGGCTTTCTAGACAAGTGAGTATCTATGTCTTCTTTCGAAAAGAGACCCGCGTACATATCCCTTGAAACATCCGGGAGGGAAAGCTTCAGCGGTGTAGAAATGATCTTCGTAAAGTGGATTTCTCATTGGTCGATGTGGAAGGATATGCCTGCTCAAATGTCCCAAATTCCTGTCCCATGATTATACTCAGTCTTTGTAATCACAGTATTACACTCGACCCTTCTCAAATCTGCGATGTCAGATTAAAGTTTTGCGGACCTGCATACAACCTGCGGGGTATACGGATATGGTTTTCATGAGATAATGAAGTACTTGTGTCTCGTATGTGATTAGTAACTAGCTGATAGCGAATATTTGAGATTAGCCAGTCCAGCTAACTGGGATTATGTTATACGAAAATCTTGTTAGTCAGCGCAGCTGCATTAGCTTTTGGGTATTGACCTTGTAAAAATTCGAAGCCCGTAATTGATGACGGAATGAAGGGATACCGGAATAAGAATAATACAGGGACGAACTACATCAATTTGAACGCTGCAGACTGCTAAGTGACAAGGGATGTGAATTGAGTAAAGTTTTGATCTGAAAGAGGGACCTCATACTTCATGGGGTCAACCATAATTGCAGCGTTCGATTGCTTATTATACAATGCTAGCTGCCACCACTTTTACCAAGAATCAAGTACATATCACCAATTCGTGGCTCCAAGTATCTTCATCACCGGACTCGGCACAGCAGGAAACTCACTTCTACAACCTGAAATGAAAGAAAATTCCATTATCATCCTCTAATTTCTGATGCCATGATTTCGTAAGCGTGCAATTAAAACCATAACTTTACGCACTTGGGTAGCACTGCTTGAATTACTAGGAATGCCTCGTCATTAATGTCTTCGGCAACTCCTTATGCTATAGAGAGTGCTCCAAAAGAATTGCACAACTATATGCCCGAAATGCTCCAATACCACATTGGGGAGCTTACCCTTGAAGGTCTCGCCACTGGCGAGGTTAGACGAGTGAGGCGCAGAGGTGGAAGCCTACCACCCACAGCTATAAGTCTCCTGCATTAATTCTGGTCACCGCTTAGATATTGCTCCAGAGTCATTGAATCCCGTCTTTAACATTCATACTGAGAGAACCATCTTCATTCTATAGCAGTTCATACTTTCACCATGCCTCCAGTCACCAACCAGATGATAAACGCAAGGCACGAAGACGATTGTCGTGGCATCACCACGGAGCGAAAATACTTCAAGGTTGGAAAGTCTTGGATCAAGAGAAGCCAAGGAGTGGCAGGTTAACCCTATGAGCGGAACATTACTCGTTCCACGGTTCGGTATGGAGCGAATTAGAAATGAGGGTGCATCGTTGGAGTTCATCGCCCAACATACAAACATTCCTGTGCCGAAATTCTACAGCTGCTTCGAAGACGATGAAGCTGCTTAGTTGGTCATGGAATTTGTCGAGGGAGTCACTATGGACGAGCTAGAGTTAGAAGAGCGTCAGATCGTGGAGAAGGAACTTGAGGGCCATCTAGCTACGATGCGGAATCTGAAATCTCGTCATTGGGGAGGACCTTCTGGTATTGTAAGTAAAATCAAAAGATTCTAGTGCCTAGTATAACTTCTTTAAAACGCAGGAGTCTGATGTTGTAATTTAGGTGGTCCCGCCCTATCGAGTGTTGAACAACAGTGCCCGTCCATTGTGGAGTATGAAGATACGTGACTCTGAAGACCTTGTCTTTTGTCACAACGACTTCTCGACTCACAATGTCTTGGTTGACCCAAAAACTCTCAAAGTCAATGCCATACTTGACTGGGAGTACGCAGGATTCTTTCCCCAAGAATTCGAAGGCATGTACTTCAGGAGACCAGGCCCGTCCGTAGCTTTAGGAGATGAGGCACATGACGAGGACGAGTTGTTAAGTATCATGAATGCCAACTGTCTTCCACTCTGATGCCGAGGAACTCAGATATGACACTATCAACATAGTTTGACGATAAGTGAACGAAACCTTAATGAACTGCCTCGAGATAGGTCCGTGGCCGGGTTCTCATCTATTATTTGGCTACCTCATGTGCTGCATGGGCTGACGATCAGTGCGAATCGGTTAATATTAGTACTCCAAGTCCTATGCACTGAGAAGATCACGATGTGTAGAAACGGGTTATCGGGGAGGGGTTGATGGGGAGCGCAGGAGTTTAGCCGTCTTTTAGGATAGAATCTTTTTAAACTCCTGCTGTATCTAGAAAAATGAAGCTTCGTATTTACGAGACAACATTCAAACTGATAATGAAACAACGATACAACTTAAAACCGCCAACGTCCTCGCGTGTGCTACGTCTAGCATAACTTGATTGCTTTCAAGTTCATTCACGAAACAAGCTCGTGATGACTTTTGAACATCAAGGGTCGTTAGAATTTTAGTTTCGAGAGCAAACCCATAATGGTTATTGGGGCAGATGAGTTTTGAATGAATTCCGAGATTAATACTAGCCAAACGACGCAGCGACACAGTGGATGTCTCTGGGCGTCCTTTCATTGGATATCAGACTCAGAGACCCGGATCACCAAGGACCTGATAGTCTTGACGAATCAGAAATTATTATTTGCTTCGCGAAAAATTGTTTTCTCGTTCTCTGACGTGTCTGTTGTTGGATAATACTGGTGTCACGAGTAGACTAGCGTAAGCCTCGCCGAGACGGGCATTATTTCTAGTGTGGGACCCTTTTTGCGGGGTATATCACACCACTCGGTGTAACCACTATCACCTTAACATTCGATGACGACAAAAGGAAGGCTTGTGGAAGGGTTCAATGATACGTAGAATGTTTCTAGTTGCTCATTGTACCCAACAATGAACACCGACATGGTCGGTGTCTCCAAGTGTGATCCGTAGACCCCGGGCGATCAATTCGAGATACTATCTGCCGTCAGCATGAACTCCTATGAACTACGAAAACGTCGGAAGTGAATTCCTCGGCGATTACGAACCAACTCGGGAGTACCCAATCAAGAACCGATTAAAAATGACTCGCTTGTACGAAATGTATTTCAGATTCGTGGAGCTTAATGAGACCCCTTTGGCGCGATGCTTACCACGCCGCAATACGTCAAGGGCCGCGCGTGAAGCTTTCCATACTCAGACATGCCGGGCTCTTAAGTGTCCGTCAACCTGAGGGTATATATGCTCGAGTGTCTACCGTCTTGGAACATAAATCATACGACTAGATCAACCAGAGAGCTATTCTCAATTTCGAACATACATTATGAAGAGCTCTTTATTTCTTTCAGCGTTTGCTGCGACAGCACTCGCTAGCAGTATTCAGGATAAAGTGGAGGCATACAGTTGTGCAGTAGGATCTCCTCATGCTACATATCCAAATCGAAACTGACGGTAACTACAGAAATCATGTGTTGATATAACAAAAATAAGCTGTGGACAAGAGGCCGTGAAAGATTTTGAGACATGTCTGGACAAGACAAGCTGTTCTGAACGACAGAAAAATGGTAAATGCTGCTCTGAAAGGAGGGCCCAATCAGTAAACTTACTGATGGGTTCTACTAGACATCTATCAAATAGTCCAAAAGGGCTGTGAAGTGGTTCAACCTCCAATGACAACGACGCCCCCAAGTGTTCCAACGGAACTCAGTCACGAGGAAATGAAAAGAGCTTGGGGACCTTGGACAGGTACTGATGGTCCGTGGTCAAGCTGGACAGGTTCTGGTCCGTGGTCGAGCTGGACTGGGACGGGGCCATGGCCAACGACCGGACCATATTCCAGAGGAGGCCCAGGTGGACGTCCAGGGCCTGGCCATGGCCCATTTGGCGGTGGTTGGGGTCCTTGGGGCTCAACTGGAGCATGGACAAGCAACCCATGGACTTCGTGGTGGGAGGGTAACAACGGTTGCCCGTCTGGGACGTGGAGTGGTTGGACTAGCGTAAGACTCAAGCTCTGCCTTCGACGTTAGACCATCATGTATTAACAATTGTCAGGGACCCTGGTCAACAAACGCACCTTGGACTACCTGGAGTGCTTGTACCGCAACAACGACGGGTAGCTCAACTTATACTACCACCACGAGTGGTAGCGTCGTAACAGGGACCAGTTTTGCAGTAAGGGTTGCAGAGGCGACGGCTGGTGTGACGGGTACCAATTTAGGAGCTTCAATGCTACCTCCGCATGCGGTTAAGTTATTGTTGTTATGTGCTGGTGTTGCGGCTCTGATCATTTGAGGATCTTCCGCTGAGACTCTCTTGGATTTTGGAGTTTCGAGTTCCAAAGCTAGCAAAGACCTAGAATCTTGCTTCCAGAATAGATATAATTGAATGGAGACTCTTCTGCATTTGATTGGCTCTTCATTTTGTTGCTACTAATACCAGTGATGTTGTAAATCAATGTTGTCAAGAACTTGATAAGATACCGCAAGCTAAGTCTACGATTGTACGCCCAAAGGAATGAACAACCGGGTTGAAGTCAGTGGACTATATTCCTATGAAGGTGTTAATTTTGTGACATGATAGTTAACTTACCAGGAACGCAAAGAGAATTGGCCTTCGAAAGCGCCGAATCAAAAATAGCCAGCTGGTGATTTTTGTACCATACTGGAGGAAAAGAAGGTTCTCCTCCAAATTATTGGCTTCATTTGGCGCTAAACGTGAGCTGCATCGCCATTAACAGCTCATGTCAAATGGTTGTTGTTGTTGGAAATTGACCATCGTGAAACGAATTCTAATAGAGTTTGTTTTTGTCGGGGCCGCGCTGGGGTCTGGGCGCCGACCAGAGGGGTCCGTGTAGATCACGTGCAGTGGTGTCGGTCTGGCGACGCTCTCGCTTATTTACAACGTTCAAGCTATAGAAACTTTTATCAACAATAAAGCGTACTTATGTCTACAACAAGATTTACTTCATCGCTTGGAGATACGGTTTACCATTCATTATTGTGCCACGCGAGGGTGTCGTCTCAGAGTGGTAGATAGTTATGGACATAGTAGATTATGAGGCCAGGGCAACTTATGAAGTGATGACGACGCGCGCGAAATCTCAGGGAGTTGCACCTTCCCAACAATTCACGAATAACACGCATTTTGCCCGCGTAAAACAGTATAGACACAACTGAGAATGACAATATACCTATTTACCAGGCATATATTGTATTTCCAGCTGCATGCAGTTTTTCTTCAAGATGTTTCTCTGCCACACCACTAAGCCGACATGACGCCATAACTTTTATGCGATGGTCAGGACAGTCCTTAGGAATACTCAAAGGTCTCACCAGCATATTCATCTGAACATGACAGTTGGATCTTGTTCTTCGACAGCCTTTTCAAAACCTGTAGAAACAGTTTTGGTATAGAATACTAGTATAGTACTCTGAGGAGCATTCAAATGCCAGCTATTCTTGCCGAAAACCCTATATTCTTTGCTCATTTATGGCTACAAAAGTTTTCCTGCAACCATCCCTGTATGATGAGATAGTTGGTTTCTAAACTTGGCACTGATCCATGGATCAATAACTCAGCAGAAAGCCAAGTCGCGAGCTCCACAACTGCACCAAAGTTAAACACCAGAGCTGTAAAGAGTAATATCTATGGATCATGAGGATATGATATCACCGAGGAACTACACGAATCTATACTATTCCGAGGTCAGTTGTTCAGACATGTAGGGTCGTCGGACGATACAGCAGTTGGGAGAATGTGGATGGCGTGTCAAAGGCTATATCCGCTGACAGCATCACCTGTGATAAAGGCTGAGAGGAGACTATTTATATCTGCAAGACTCACTTATCAAAAGGTAGCTTCGGAACAGTTATGATGCCTATACGCAGGCCGCGCGAACATGGTCACATGGCTGATGGAAATGAAGTGATCGATTTACACCTTGATGAGCAGTATCAAACCATTGCTTGCGACGCGTCTGGCCGTCAAAAGTTCTGAAGTCATAACTGCGGTTCATCACGGAGCCAAGCCAGCCGGTGTGTAAACGTTCAACTGAAATACACTAAATCCATCTCGTGAAGGTCGACCCACCAGACGGGGCGTGATTGCACTAATTTCTGTCATATATATGTTCATCGACAGTCGCTGATAGGTTACGTTACGTTCTTTTCTCTTCAGTCGCTCGCTTTCAATCAGTGCAAACTCGCGGTAACTCAACATCGGGTTTTCAATCATTAAACACAATGAGCGTGATTTCAGCCTTTGCCACAACGCTTTCAGCCCTTGCAACAATGGAAGGAGCGACGGACACGTATACCAACCCGTCCTCCTCCACTCCTTCTTCTTCGCCATATTCCAGACCTAACAGCATGACCTCTCCCTCCTCCACTTGCTCCTCCACCTGCTCTTTCCAAGCTCACCACACGCTTGTTTGTCACTGCGAGGATATGAGAATTTCGGGGAGCTCTCAATCTCGAATCATGCCCGACAACGTCGCCGAAGATCTCTCCTTTGACCGCCTCACGATTTCTGATAACGAGGACCTCGAACGCCTCAGGAGTGCAGCCAACGGAAAGACCGCTATAACTGCAACTCACCGCGAGCTCTACGAACGCGAGCTTCAAATCAAAGAAAACAAGTCGACGGATAACGCAGAGCAAGCCCAATCTGCCGGACCCGGACACAATCGATCCCAAGCACAGATTCTGGCCACCAAAGTCGATGCCTCTCACGCTCGTATGCCACAAAACGGGCCCGGTTACGTCCAACCACCAGCCCAATTCAAGAAGTCTCCAGCCCAAATGATTGTTTGGCGCCACAGTTGCTGGCGCGGTGCACTTCCAGACACCGGCCTTGACGTCTCTCATGATCAATCGCCACGCAACGAGCAACATCCTGATGCTAAATTACTCCACAGAATGTCAGAGTTCCACATGAAGATCTTGGAAGAGTGCAAGCTCCAGACGCTTTCTCTGATAGGCCAATACGAAGACCTCGACGAGCAGGTTGAGCCAGATATCGACAACATGAACATTGATGAGCTGGAGGCCGCGTGGATCGCAGCAATGAAGCGCGACCTGTAAAGGCAACACGGAAGGATAACACGTCTTGGTTGACGCAGGAGACATAGGTGTTCAGGTCGGGCATCGGAATCGGCTTTTGTAAGGGGAATATGGATATTGGGTTTTGGCGCTTAAAAGGTTTCTGGCTGGACTTTGGGCGAAGAAATCGAAAGGCGCCTGTTTGTACCTAGAAACACCTTCATCGTAATAGGAAGCACTAGGTAATAGGAACCCATGTAATAAGACTTGTAATGTTTTGAAAGGACCTTTAGTGAACTGTTGATCAATAGGTGTCGTGTATATCTGGAGAATAGCTGGAATATTGGATAGCGTATAGCTGGTCATCGCTGATGGAGATGGAAATGGTGATGGCATGGAAGTGATTTCGTTTCGAAAGTGACCGAGTTTTCGTTATTAAAACATGAGTGTGTTCAAGTAGAGGCGGATGTTTAACACTGACTCTTACTGGCAAGTCAAAGGGAGAAATATGCTAGGGATAGAATGGTCATAATTATATGATACTATACACATTATCTCTTCTTTGAGCCCCTCCCACCCGCCTTTCCCTTCTGCGATGCCGATCCCTTTGATGCAGAGTTCGTCGAACCTCCAGCCATCATCACGCGGACCTTGCCCACTGGTATAGTATTGGTGACCTCCTCGACCTTCCAGCCCTTCAGAAGCTCAACTTCGCGCGGCCACATCCTCTCGGGATCTTCGCTCTTTTCGTCGAGTACACCTTTGGCTTGTGAAGCAATTAACCATCTTCCGATGATCTCTTTAATCGCTTTCCCTTTCTTCTGAGTACCGGGTTGAAGTTTGACTTTGTATTTTGTCTTCGCCATAGCAGACCAGGGAGCACAAAAGGGAATAGCCTCGAGAATCTCGTCACCGCGAAGGGGAGTACCGACAAGCGCGTCGATTGCAGCCATTTGTTCTTCTTCAGCCTCGTCAACTTCGTCGGTCCCCCGCTCCATCTTCTCTCTCCTTAGCTTCTCGTGTGCAGCCGTCTCTTCTCGTGTCCGTCGATGTTGGGCCTTCCTCCGTTCTTTCTGGAAAGCGAGTTCGGCCTCACGTTGAGCTTTCGCTTCCGCTTCAACTCGAGCCTTTTCTGCACCCGCAGATGCGCCAATGAGCTGTTGAGCCGCGAGTCGGTCCTCTTCATCCTGATCCTTGTATTTGTTCGCGATCTTCTTCGCCTTCCCCCTTTTCCCGCGCTTTTTGGTGGCAGGACCTCCTTTCCTATTGTCAGCAACAGTGTTTGGTGTTCGAGTGCCTGTCGTTTGGTTGAAGTCGGTATCATCATCGCTCTCTGAATTGGAGTCGATATCGTTAGGAGTCGCTGTGTGGGGTATCTTGGGAGTATCGTCTATTTCAAGAGCTTCTATCCCATCTGTTAGGTCGTCATTACTGACTTCAGCAATTTTTGGCTCAGTTGCAGTTGATTGCCTTTGAAGAGGATTTGACGGAGTATTCTGTTCTTCTTCTTCGGCATCAGAGGCGTTACTTGTACCATCGTCACTGTCCTGTCCATCATCTATTTCAGGAACAGCGCTTTCCGACGCTACTTCACTTTCGGCAATTTCAGGGGTGTCTTGGTTCGGTTCTTCAACTGAATGACGGTTTTGATCTCTGTCATCTGACACGCGATGCTTCAAGTGCTTTGACTTCGAGCTTTCACTGATTCGAAAGATAACTCCAAAACCTAAGAGCAGTTGCGACGGTGGCAAGAAGTTTTTCTTGCCGTTGACAGAGAAACTCCCGGGCGGAAGGAAGTCCCCACTAGGGGCAGCTTTTGATATCTGTGTAGCACTAGCCCACCAAGCTGACATTCCTGCCTTTGAGTCCCACGCAACTGAACACGATACGACCAAACTACCAGCCTGAGAAAGAGTAGAAGGTGGGATTGGGGCGTCAGGTGTTCTTGGATCGTTCCGAACCACTACCGTCGCTGCCCCTTGAATATCGGCATGAAGAAACGCATCGCCCTTCTTCATGTATTTCTTATAGAGCATCTCGTTCTGCTGCGCATCTTTACCGCCAAGTACAAGATAGCCATCTGAGGATATAAACCAGATGAATTTCTCAAACCACATAAGTCTTCGCACAGGACGCAGCACAGCCTTCTCTTGTTGAAGCCCCTTCTTCAGGTCATGAGCAATCTTCGCCTCCTGACTTTTAAGAGCTTTCGTTGAAGATTCCAGAGTCTTCTGTTCTTTTGTAGCAGCCTGGCGTTTCTCGTCAAAATACTCTCGAGCGTTCTTCCAAGGGGTCAGTCCCAAGTCAATATCGACAGTTAGTCGTTTTTCAACGCCTTTCTCTTTGGGCTCTTTCTGCTTTGTGACTTCATCCTCGCTGTCGGAAGGCGCGTCATCAGTTTCATATGCAGAGTCTTCGTCTTCGTCAAAAACTTCCTCGTCAAGCAGAAGGGTGATTGTGTTCTCCTCAAGCTTTAACGGAAGCTTAATCATGGACGCAACCGGATTACTTCGCTTCTTCTCTACTTCAATGAGCTTGCCGATCTCCACCCAGTCCATTCCCTGGGCCACCAGCCCGTTCACTGCATCCATAGCCTCTTGTACTCGTTCAACATTAGCTTGTATTGCACTCGCCTTTCGCTCGTTCAATGACTGGACCGCTTGTAACCCATCCAACCGCCTTTCTTGGTCTTGGCGAGCAGCTTGGATTTTACGCTGGGCATTCAACTCGCGTTCTTCGAGCTTCGACTCAAGTCTTTGACCTTCGATAGACGAAAAGAACTCATCCACCGTTTTGTTGAAGCCTTCATATTGTAAAAAGACGGTGGCCGGATCGCTTTCGAACTGGGCCGGGCGAAAAGGATGGAAATCATCGTACAGTACATTTTTACTGCTATGTTCAGGGTCAGAGTTCTCTTCATATCCTTCTTTCTTCTTCGCAATAATGAAACCCGTGGCTACCTCGCAGCTTGTTACTTCTTCCATGACTTTCTGAGCTTCCTGCAGCGCTTTCATTAGGTCATCTACAAGAGAATCTTTCTGCAAAACACCCGCTGGCTTCAAAGTTGAATCGAAAGAAGTAACTCGCATTGCATGATCCACAACCATGGGGGGAAATTCCGTAATCGAGACAGCTAATGCTTTTCTCAGCGCATCGGCGCCCTTCTTCTTCGCTTTCTTCCCTGCGACCAGACCCTCGTCACCCTTATCAACCGCCCTCTGAAGTGCATTTTGTAAACGTTCCTTGGTTAGGCCCGGGACACCGTGGTAGTTCTGCCTGTTTTCCAAAGAGTACTGCAAGCCAACGCGAAGCTCTTCTTGTCCTTCTCCGGCCGGAACAGGGCGCAACAGTGCGAGAATGTTCAGCTCTTTGTCTGTGAGGATAATATTTCCAGCTGCATAAAATTCGAGGTAAAGCTTGTAGAGGCCATCACTGAATTGAAACTCGATGATGCGGTCGGTACCTATTTGGCAGACAGAGGTGACTCGGCGTGTCTTTAATACTTTTCGAAGCTTCTTGACGAAGTCGGATTGATCGGACGCTGTCGCCCTAGCATAATCCGTCAGATGGCATCGAAACCCGGAATCTATTATAATTTGTTGCTTGTGCTCTGGCTTCGCAAATTTTATAAGGAAGATTTTGGAGGATAGGTCGTAAATGTTGGAAACGCGAAGGGTTAAGAGGGCATTCGAGAGCTCGTGCGCGATGACCTAGAAATAGTCAGTGTCGACCAATTGTTCAGCAGGGGAGCCGGCATACCTTGACGTCTAAAGACGAAAACCTCTGCTTCATGGTGACAGTGTAGCTGTGAAAGGTAGATTTACAAAGAAGCAGCGTCAAGAAGTGGAATGTGGCGGGGTAGCTAGGAACTGAACACGATAAATCTATCTCGGACCCACACGTAAACTATGACGCGTGAATCTCTTTTGAATCTCTTCCTTCAGAGCAGTAGAATGAGATTATTTACGATTATCACAGGTGATTTGTGCTCGGCCCATCGGCTAAAATTCATTATAAAACATATGATAAAGTCTGTGGAAGCACCACAATTGGATTTGCTGATCGCCGCCCTGCTGGGCTTGGATGAACCACATATTGACAGTTGGCCAATATCTTGAGACATTGAAGACCCAGAATTTGTTTCTGACATGAGTAAATACTAAACAAGACATTTGATCCGGAAATCTTGAAATCCATCATATTCCAAGTTACCCCCCTAATTTTCTTTTAGAAATAGTTAAACAAGCAGAAGGCACCTGGCCGACGTTTCCACATGAATGGGGCCGTCATCAGCTCCTAGACTTTACCACCCTCGGTCTGTGCTTCAACTTCTTTCAACACAAACTTCCATCACCGCGACAGCTGAGCCGCTCGTAGTCCGGAATCCATGGCCACATTTCACCCATTCATGAGACTCCCCTCGGAGTTACGCATCAAAATTTGGCGCTACAATTTCCCTGGACCTCGTGTTGTCGCCGTCCGATATGCTCGCGGTCAGAATAGATATGTCAGTGATAGAGCACCGCCAGTGCTTCTTCACGTCTCCTCAGAATCACGAAGTGTTTTCCTCTCTACCTACGAGGCTCTCATACTTTCACCAAGTCACGACTCGTCTGTGTTTATAGATTTCGAACGCGACACTTTGTTCTTCGATCACCTGAATTGCAGCCCTCGAGGAGACCTGGCCTTAGACTTGGCATCCAGTCCACAGCGGGACAAGATAATTCAATGTGCGATTGACGCACAGCTGTGGGAAGTTCTCCGAGTCTTTCGCCATGATAGCATGAGCGAAATAAGGTTTTTACGAAACTTGAAAACAGTTGCACTTGTACTTCGACACGACCACGATAGGCTACGGCAGAGTCGGACAAGCAACCACGGCGCAGTTTATGTTCAGGTAGATTCCGATACTGTAGCTTCCGAGATCAGGCACGTCAATTGGTATGTGGAAAGTCTCAAAACGGAATTGAATCATGAAGTCGAGCCGAAATGGTTGAACGGAAAGCCCAGCGTCCAGACGTGGATATGGTGATTGCTAAGAGAAGTCCGGACGCATTTCACAACAACCAAACTCCGGAAATGATTACAGGCCTGTCTCAAATGCAATTCTCTTTACTCGTCAGCATCTGTTGATTATGTGCACGCCCCATGATCCTCAGTGCGCTGTGCGACCTGCATAAGACGAGAAAATCCCTACTGGTTTAGAGTACGAGGTTGATATCAGAATTGGAGAAAATTGTCACATCTTGCGATCCGTAGGTGCCACTTACCGATCAAAGAATTTTAGACTTACCTAAGAATTCAAGACAACCTGGACGAATACTGCTCTATAAAAGCAAGCATCCCCACCACGGGAGTATATGTCAGCTGTTGCCAACAGCACCAGTTACAGCCATGAAGCTTTTCCTCAACATCATCTCAGCTATTGCTGTCGCAGCGCTCGTTCCGTTGGACCTACAGAACCGCAACTTCGAAGTAAAAACGACGACAATACCTTCTGAACTGTCAAACAACCAAACTTTTGCAAACTTCATCTCAACCAAGTATGGTCTTGACGGGCCCCAGCTGTCCGGAGTCAATAGCTCATCCTTTGACTGGTGGTATTTCGATGCTGTGTCCCCAGACGCTCAAACTGCTATAAGTGTAATCTTCTTCACTTCAGTCAATAGCGGCTTTCCACTACTTTCGTCTCCGTCAAATGTGACGAGTATCGTCATATCCTTCCGCTTCGCCAACGGTACAATAGGCTTCATTCCTCTCTTCGCTTCAGAAGCAATTATCAAAACAGTTGGCCAAGGATCTTCAGGAACATTTACAGGAACTGGAGTAAGCTGGAAGGGTAGCCCGGATCTCTCAGAATACTGCGTCGAACTCGACTCTCCAGCAATCAAAGGAACCTTCACACTTCAAAGCACGTCACCAGCACATTATCCATGCAGCGCCGTAAAGCCAGGCCAGTCTCTATTGGTCGCGCCACATATTGGATGGTCGAATGCGCTACCCGATGCTGATGCAGCTGTTGACTTTGCGATATTGGGAAGCAAAATGAAGTTCAAGGGATCCGCATATCATGACAAGGTAAGATTCCATCAGCCCCCCGTCTAATTGACCAGCGTTTGTACGTATCCTCATGCTAACCAGACCACAAAAGAACTGGGGTGATCAACCATGGAACGCAAATATGGCTTCAGAGTATTGGGGTCATGTACGCATCGGCCCATACAAGATAGTTTGTACGTAACACCACACCTGCATCCTGCATTAAAAGTGCTGGCTAACAAGAATTAGGGCTCAACGTAATCGACCGCACTGGCACTGAGCACATCTCCGCCTATGCCTCCCGCAATAACCGCATCCTGACAGCCTCTTGTTCCCCGGATAGCCTACTAGTCAGACCAATAAACAGCACCTACCCGCCTTCGATCGCTACAGCCGATCCAACGGCCTTCAGTATTGTACTAAATCTAGGCCATGAAGGCACTTTACGGGCCAACGTCACGGCTGTGGCGGATTTGGTCAATGCTGCCCCGGTCTACAGGAGATGGAGCGGGACGGCTGTTGGTGCTGTGAATGGAGGAAAGCCGCTGACCGGGTATGGCGTCTGGGAGCAATTCAAGTTTGTATAGGATGTAGATAGCCTACTGATATTGGATTGTTGCCTGGTATTCAACTTATGATATTCGTACGAGCGGCTGCAGTTTTAATTTCGATCCATCCTTGGGAATAAATTCTGAGAAGGAAGACATTTGATGGAAGACATTTGATGGAAGACATTTGATTGCTGTATTTACTACCAATAATACATATCTTCTATGAATCTTATTTCCAAACTCTCACTCCGTACATCATGCTCGTCTAGCAAAGGAAGTAGCCAGAAAGAATGAAAGTTGGTATCAGGAACTGACAAATGCATTGTGGAATCCAACCACATCTAAGTCAACGAAATCCAAATCCCAACGCCGGCGCCATGGTATATCAAGAAAAATCTAAAACATGCAACCTTTCACAGATACCCGTCTCCGCGATTACCTGTCTCGTCCGTCTTTACACTTCACATGATGTAATGTGTATTTATGGTCCGAGTGACCTCCCTCAATGACAACAGCGGTAAGTTTTCCGCCCTTCAGACATCCCGTGTCAATTCCCATACTATACTTCTTCATTTGCAGTCCTCGCTTTGAGTCGTGTCCGTAGATGACCGTCTGACGATGCTTCTTTGGCACAGATTTCTGGTATTTATTCCATTCCTGTTGTTTGTTAGAAGATATTTCGGAGGTATCTTTTTGGAATGACATACCTTAGTCCATACCGTACCCTCTCTCTTGTCGCTTGGAACACCGTGTTTGATGGTCCGCATGTTCATTACTTGAACTGGATCCTGCTTGTGCAGACTGACTCCCGGAGTCAGACCAGCATGAACAACCACAACCTCTCCCATATCACCCAAATCCCCCACCCGTAAAATAACAGGACACTTCTTCAGCCACTTGATTCGCTTCTCGCCAAGCTGTTTGACTAACCTCCTGTCCTTGTAGTCCCCATGGTTGAAGCTTTCCTCCTCCAACGTATCTTGTTGCTTGTCCATAGGCTCAGTCGGGCCTGGAAGTCCAGTGTCTCGATGTTCCGCTTCCATATCTGCATGTGCGAGAATAATCCGGTCTTCATGATTTCCTCGGATTCCTGTTGCGCCAAGCTTCATAGCCAAGTCCACCACCCCCTTTGAATCCGGGCCTTTCGAAATCATATCACCAGCCAGTATCAGATGGTCGCGCTTCTCGTTGAATTTGACCTTGTCCAGCAGCGCTACTAATGATTCCTTCATGCCATGTACATCACCCACCACTATCAAACGTCCGCCATGGCGATGCTTGCCGGTCTCTGGAATGTATTTGGGAGATAGGTCCATCAATCGTGTCATTCCCGCCAGGCTGGGCTGCGCGTTCAACCCATACGCATCTTTACCTTCCTCTTCGGATCCCTTTTGAACGCTGACTCCTTCGTTGTTCGTCGATAGGCCCCAGTTGCTGATTGGAATGATTCGTGTTTGGAAGAAGTACGAGTAGGCTCCCCAACAAACGGCCACTGCGAATGCGAAATATCCCAGCATCCTTCTCCTCGAAACTGACGCCCGTGGTTTTGGCATCGTGCCCGCGTTCGGCTCAGGAAGGAGGCCCATTCGATGTTTGTTATGCAGGTGTAGGGTTACAATAGACGTCACGTCTAATGCCGGGTTGTGGGTACTTGGTCGTATAAGTATTCGGGATGTGGTGGAGATGTGTGAATCGAATGCTGAGTGCTTCTTGCTCAACGAATACCACCTGGAAGACGTCCAGCCATCCGTATCAAGTATTCCGCAAGCTACCGCAAGGTTATGTGATTGATGGTTATGTTGACAGTCATGGTTAAGCGGCCAAGTCGTTGCCAGAAGATTTTCTATCACCAGTGCAGGTGCTGATGACGTGGGCCCCTGTCGCATGCAGCCCTTTCTGCAGGCACAGCATTTGTTTTACAGCGGGGCACTCGAATACTCAACTCACTTCAGTCCACTAATGAGGTTGTGTTGCTTCAGCCTTATGGTGTATCTGGAAAGTTGTATTTCGGAATCAAAACAGCTCCAACTCTCTACACTAGCGGGTACCTAGGTACTGTTCAACTGACAGCACGGCTTGTGCCTAATTGACAGCAGACGATACTGAACTACCTAGGTAGTGTACCAAGTTGTGCCCGAAAGTAGTCCTACCGGAAGATCAGTCAACTTGTAACGCATGTGGGACAGAGCGGCCTCTAAATGCGTACAGATGTAGGTATTTCAAGTATAGATCAATATTTTGTGCCCCAGAATGATCGGAATAGCTATGGCCGCTATAATGCAGCCGCTAGCAGTGGGGCTTTCTAACTACCCGAATTTCACTTCAAAGTGCCTGGAATTCAATCCTCTCAACTACGTCACAAATTCGGCCATTATTACCCTCGAGCCAGTTGCTAAAGGGTCTACGATATTCTATCCAAATGACGACGTAACATGCAATCGACCAAATCAAACGGTATCCGTTGATATTTGTCGCATTGCTCTCAATATCAGCACGTCAAGTAGGTCTCATGTTTTAGCTGAGTTGTGGCTTCCAGAAGCTTGGGATGGCCGGTTCCTTGCTACGGGGAATGGAGGTCTTGATGGATGTACCAAGTACGAAGGTAAGGATATGTTCTAACAGGAAGTTCGAACACAACTGCTGATTCTCGATCAACAGATATCAATTACGGAGCCAAGTATGGATTTGCTTCTATAGGATCTAACAACGGGCATTCTGGTACATCAGGTGTCTCGTTCCTACACAATAATGATGTCCTTGAAGACTACGCATACCGCTCGTGCGTGTTTCTCGTGTATTGATTAATGAACAGTAGCAATTGACACTTGCACAGTCTTCACGCTATCACGAAGATGGGAAAGTCGCTGACATCAGCCTTTTACAGCAAAACTATTCTCAAGTCCTACTACCTTGGCTGTTCCGGTGGCGGTCGTCAGGGTCTGAAAGCCGCAGAAAAATACCCCAGGGATTTTGATGGCATTGTGATCGGAGCTCCAGCTCTGAACTTCAATTACTTGAGTTCCTGGCGTATGTCGTTTCTCAACAAAACTGGCTCTATAGGATCGCTTGACTTCATTCGACCACAGGTCTGGAAAGGGTTGATACACGATGAAGTGCTTCGGCAATGTGATGGTATTGACGGTATTGAGGATGGAATACTCGAAGACCCACGAAAATGCCATTTTGATCCTGAACCACTTCTCTGTAACGGCACCGGAACCAATTGTCTAAGTCCAGGGCAAGTGCAAATAGTCAAATCCATCTTCGAACCTCTTATCGATATGACAGGTATAACAGTTTATCAAGCCATGCAACCCGGAAGCGAAATCCTAGCAGCAGACCGTCTATACGCAGGTCTCCCATTCCCATATTCTCTAGAATGGTTCCGTTACGTTGTCCATCAAGACCCAGCTTGGGATCCTCAGAACTTCAGCGACGTAGACATAATCCTTGCCCAAGATCTCAATCCGTTCAACATAATGACCTACCCTCGCGACCTTGACTCGTTCCGCCAGAAAAGTGGCAAAATGCTGATTTACCACGGTCTCCAAGATAACCAAATTACGAGCTACACAACTGATGCCTTTCTGCGACACCTAACTACTAACGCTCCAATCTCAGTTCTCGATAATTATATTCGATATTTTAGAATCTCCGGGATGGCACATTGTAACTCTGGACCCGGCGCTTGGATGATAGGTCAATCTTCTCTCGGTGATGTTGGATGGGGCAGGGAAGAGAATGTGCTTGCGGCTATGGTGGATTGGGTGGAGAGAGATGAAGCTCCAGAGACAATTCAAGGCGTTAAGTTCATTGATGATGTGAAAGGTAATATGGTTCTAAGGCGCAGACGACACTGTAGATGGCCATATGAAAACAGTTATATCGGGATTGAAGGTGGGAATGGGAGATCATGGGACGATTGGAAGTGTGTACTACAATCAGTCTAGTCACTCGGTTGATCACATTTGTTTTCTCGTTGTCAAGTCGTCTCAGTATCCGAAATAAGAGTTAAAACGGATCACAATTTTCACTCATCGCACACCAACGGATTTATCTACTTGTATGTTAATTTAATTTTAAAATTTTATCCAAGATCTAGCTTAATGCTTCTGCTTGCCATCTATGAGGCTCCTAGGCGTAAGCGCTTCTAATGTCCAGAATATCAAGAGGTGTCCCAGATAGGAGATTTGAATCTCTCTTCGATTACGATTTAGCTCCATCCTGAGGTGAAAGACCAATTACGCCAACGAAGACTAAATTGATCTGTAACCAGTGTAATCAGGAGTGTCAAATCATCGCTACTGTTAAAACAGATAATTCTAAGCCCCCTTTCTCGTCGAGCCCTCAGCAACTTAGCAACTCAGCAAATCATAAACCACTTAAATCTTATAGATGTGACTACAACCGAACCAGAACGCTCCTGCTGCATAGACCAAAAGAGTAGCAAAGTCGTAAACCTTGGCTCGCATATTCTCCGCCCTAAAAGTCATCTAACGGAAGTTTCCATGGCAACTCGTCATCCGTTGTAAGTGTACAGGTTAGGTATCCCAACTTAGCATCCGGATTGGTGAAACCCTGAGACTTGTCGTCCATGATAGGATCCAAGCAGCCTTTGATCTCCGATTTCATGATTTCCATTGCTTGATTAAATGGTTCCAGAGCTCTTGTCGACATAGCAAACCGGGCGCGGAAATTTTCTAGCTGATCCTCGGTGCAGTAAGCATTACCTCCGTGTCTGATTGTCTGGTAGAACCGAATGCCTCCATCGGCAGCTGGGGAATGCCAGCCATTAGCATAACAACCAGCAATATATTGCATGACGAGGGAACGACATTGATACAAGTAAATGTCAGAGGTGTAGACGCCACGATCTGGGACGTACCCCTCATCTGGAGGGTGGTACATGCGCATAGGCCAAAAGCTTGTCAACTCCAATTCGACCCTCTTCTTGAGTGCCAAGAGTTCATGGACCTTCCTAGTCATGATTTGGAGGATATTTTCGTACAGTTTGCCCTTGTTTTCAAAGAAGGTCCGATCAATGGGTTGTTTTGCATCGATCTTTCCCACAGCATGGCACATCGCCTCCTTGAACATGATTGGAGACTCGAGACGAGCTGCTATGCCAAGCCACTTTTTCGGATTTGTAGAAATATAGTACCATAATCGTTTGCCCATTCGAAGTAAATTCATTTCGAGGAAGCCGGCAACAGCAGCCGTCGCTTCGTGCTCTTCTGCAATAAGCAAGACGCTCAGTACATTCGTGATGAATTCGTTGTCTTTGCGAGAGTCGTTTAAATCCGAGCCAATGCTATCGGTAAGATTGCGAGTCTTGCCACAAATGATACGGAAGAATATGTCGTAATTTGAATTGAATGGGGAATTGGCATTGCCTTGGTTTTCGAGATCGTCCCAGTTCAATCTACCCTTCCCTTTCTTTCCATCCTACAAGGCAGATTAGTCATAAGCATCATATCGGGTTGACGTGCTTCACTCACGAAGAGCTTAAGTGTTCTCAGACCCAGATCATCGGGCTTATGAACATTCGGAATCATTTCGATCAGCCAAATGGCCGTCTTTCCTTCCTCCACATCCTTTTTCGTGAGATGGATCGGCTTGCTGTTTTCATCGTCCAAGATGGCAGCGAATTGTTTGGACGATTTGCGGAAGTCTACCTCAGATATTTGCCACTCAACACCATGACCTGTCTTTATAGAGATCTCTCCTCCTTTGCATATGAACCCATATTTGTGAGCTTTCGGAGTAACTTCCACGAGGTTTGTCTGTCGCTGCTGCCCTTGATCATCGGACGAGGGTGTCGCAGGTGGTTGGATGGAGCTCGTACCACGCACCACAGACCGATCATAAGAGTTGACTGACTTCTTCTTGCTTGGGGCACGAGAACCTTTCTGCATATTGCCACGGCTTCGGTGATCTCGCGGGGATGCTTCCGACGAAGACCTAAAAGGCACCCATTGTCAGCTTACTAGTACAAATGTTGACGACGCAGATAAATGAGCTTGTAAATGCGATCATCGGAATGAGCGTGTGATTGATACGTACTCGACAGGTTCAGGATGAGCATGGCCACTAGCCATAGGCGCGTTCTGAGGGCTTGGAGGTGGGGCAGAAGAGAGCATTTCAGATTCGAGGGGTGAGGAAGGACCAGGTCTGTTTCGCTGCCCGCTGTTTGACGGCGGAGGAGAGCGCGACCGCATGCCTAGTTGCAGAGAAGCCCAAAGATTTTTGGAGATGAAGATATTCTAGTTGAAACAGAAACACGCGATACTAAAGAGTAAAGCTGAATTGAATGTTGTCGAGTTGGTGACTCGACAGAAAGTGAGTGAGCCTGTCAGGGAAGGTGCAAACGAGAGCAAGTCGTGCTTGAAGGGGAGATCAAGAGAGTAACTTGGAAAACTTGAAGTTGCTGTTTAAATAAGAAAGTCCTGCCAAGAAAATTCCGTTCACCTAACAAACATACCTATGTAGTTTTAGACTATTTCTGTGAATAAAACTGCGTCAATTCATTCACCAGACAAACATGATCATAAAAGGTTTCTGTGAATGGATCCAGGCAACCATCATCAACAGAGAGCATCTGAAATGAAGTTGGTCTTGTTACTTCTCAGTTTGTTACTTGCATTTACATTGATATGATAAAATAGGCACAAGCCAATAAGCATGTTTTCAGGTACAAGCATAGACTCAACTCAGTATTGCTTCCTACTTAGACCAACTCAGGCATATTTATACCATGATTTCCAGATAGAAAAGACCATGATATGAAGTTGGACGAGCTGCGAAGCTAGAGGCGGCGAATCTTTTTGGTAAACAGTGAATGCAATCCAGGCTAACCGTTTTGGCAACGTTCTCGTTCCCAGAATCAACTCAGCAGATCATGTGGCTGTAATTAATAGCTAGCACTTCACATCAACGGACCAAGGAGAAGTGCGGAAGCAACAAAAAATATCCTTGGTAGATCAAAGCACTGAATGGCGGAAACAAATAGTCAGCATTCGTCTTTTATGGACCAAGGCGCGAATAAAACACAACAACGGATTGATGGCAATGGGGATTGTTAGCTGCAGGAGAGTGAACGCAATGCCTGTAAATAAATAACAAGGGGTGAAGCTTGACCCACGGTGCCTTGCGATACCACCATGACAGATCGAAACCACATTCCATGTTGTAAGATCACAATTGAATAGCGTGGAGATCTCTCATAATTCCCTCAGATTAGCTCTCCAAAGTTCTCATTCCCTACACTTACTATTCGACCGCGCCGTGAGGCAATGGTAAAATAGTCGGTTGGGCTGCAATTTTGGCTTTTTGGACACTTGGTCATCACCGGGTATGAAAGATCTCCAGGCTACTCGTGTCAAAAATATCAAAGGAAATCGCACATTCCTCACAAGGACAATACCTTCTTGAAACCTGTGAACAAATTAGCACCAGTTATAAAATATTCGAATAGAAACCTACCAGTCTACTCCGATTGAAAACTATTTCCGCCTTCAGCGATGTATTTAGTCAATTCACTGTCCCTTTCACTACCGATGGCCATCAACTTCAAACCCCCTTAAAGCGTCAAGCCACAAACAGTAACAGCTTCAGTAATGTGTCAAACATCTCCAGATGGTATGCGATTGTCGTCATTGTAGATATGAAATCAAGATTGGATGTCATCCTCGCAAGAAATTATGTTGACAATTTGACATGACTGACAAAAGAACACCAGAGTAAAATCCTGCTAAGATTTCTGTTCATATATACACACATTCTCAACGCATCTGGTTACCCGGATTGTTGAGTAGTGTTAGCTCATGAAAGTCTTCGTCATTGCAGGTGTGGTAGATAGAGAAGAAGGAACATGAGGTTGACGCGACGAATGTATGACCACGCGCCAACTACGCTAGTCCATTTTGGTACAAAACTAATCGCTGTCAGAGACGTCGGGGCACTTTTGCGATACACGTAATCAACTACAGCACCTCTTCCTAAAAAGTTGACAATCTCAGAACACAGTAATAATGGTGAGAATGACTCATTTGAATTCATCTATGCTTTTGAAACAACTCTGACATGCAATCAGGCGCGCAATTCGGAAAAGGCGCAATCCATGCTGTTTCGCTTTCGAGAAGCGCAAGCAGCAGATCTAGGCATTATCGATGTCGGACGAACTCGGCGGCCTAAGATGATTACGGAGGTCGCATCTATACCTACGTGCGAAAAATGGCGCGGTCAAGTGCTGAAAGAGATATCTCGCAAAGTTAGCAAGATTCAGGATCCAAGTCTAAGCGATTTCATGATTCGAGATCTGAATGATGAAATCAATAAGGCGATGAGGGAGAAACACATGTGGGAGGTACAGATACGGAATCTTGGGGGCCCAAATTATATGCGTGGAGGTGGGAAAGTGTATGATGAGGAAGGGCGAGAAATACCTGGGGGTGGAAAGGGTTATAGGTATGATCTTTGTGGCTTGGCTATGATGTTTGCTAATGAGTGTCGTGTAGATATTTTGGTCGGGCGAAAGAACTTCCTGGCGTCAAAGAGATGTTTGAAGCAGCAACGCCGAAACCGCGGCAGGACAAACCATTGGATACGAGGTCAGATTTACGGAAGCAAGTTGATGCATCATATTATGGATACAATCTTGATGAAGAAGACGGAACACTACTAGAGTACGAGTTACAGAAAGAACAAGAAGCGTTCGAGAATTTACTCGCAGGTAAAGATGGTCAAGCGCCTAAAGGCTGGGAGCCGCTGCCCGGTGATGCTGGAGATGGGGAGGCGTGGAAGCTACCTACACCGGAGGAGGTACAGGAGGAACTTGTCGAAAGGAGGAGGAGAAGATTATTGGATAAACTAGGCTAGGTTTAGAAGAAGCTTTCTCGAAACTAATGGACGAATTGATACCCTGCCAACGCTATCCATCTATGCTCCCTGGCCAAAAGTTTGTGCTCCATACTCCCTTGTTTGGATTTGCCTAAGAAAGGTTACCATCTAGAGGTTGCATCATGAAAGGCCGCCTTTGTGGCGCAGGTATTGGATGCAGACTATCGCTTTCTTAAAGGATCAATCATATCAACCTGGAAGTCCGTTGTCCATGGGAAGTAAAATCCCAAGTAGGAGTCCCCCTGTCTGCAACCCTGAAGAGTTCTGGCCTTCTGCTGATAAATAGACAGTGTACTGATTCGACTTATTCGCGCATTCGAGGTAAGGTCCTCGACAACACTTTCCGTTCGAAACCTCGAGTACACTTGCGCTACTTTCTCTATTGACACAACTCACTTCGACCAAACGAATCAAAAACTCCCTTGTTGGGTCTACTGGTTGGGTTTCTTGCGCTCATGAGCATGTACAACCCGTATCGAGTGTACCATTCGAGTCGACGGGCTCATGAGTCTACGGACACAAACAAGACTGGTCATCAGTCTTGCATCCAGAGGTATTGTATCGCCAACTGTGCTAGTGACGCGGTGTCAGAGAATTTCTACCATGTGAAGCCGATACCAGATGATTTCAAACACGATGCCCCTATTTTGCATCTTTTGGCAAAAACAGGCGTTTCGTCTCTTCGGTTGCTTTTTAATTGTCTCTTCAATTCTACGATTCATACCAGCAAAGATTCAGACGTGGGTATGAGCGTGATTCCACTTTTGCATGTTCCCAATCACAATTACTTAATTAGGTAGGTAGGTAGGTATTGTATAAGTTTCCGCTATATACGCTCGCAGTGTTGAACCACAAGTGTCCTTGGTTTGTTTTGTTTCCTGCATATTTTGGGAGTTTCGAGAACTAGACTGACCCTTCTAATAAGGATGAGAGGCACAATAAAAACATAGAATTTCCTCAACAACTCAAGCCGGTTCCTAATAACGTCTCCCCCTTTCACATTCAAATGCCGGGAGAAGAACAAAGATCTCCTGTTCTAATCTCTACGAGGTTGCCATCCGACCGCATCCGAACTTCGTTTGAAAGGCGGCCGAATCGATCAATCCAAATGTGGTTCATACGCAGGTGAAAATTACAAGATGTGAATCTACCCCAGCAACTTGTCAGTAACAGTTCCAATTTTTCACGAACCTACGTATCTTCTTCTGTTGCATGTGAGCAATCCAGTGATGTTAATTTCACTTTAATGTAAAATACCGGCCATTGTTAGTCGCCAAGTCAACAGACCTCTGAACTGAGCTTCAGCTTCAACCATCCAATTCACTCCACTCGGCACAACCATGGAACTTCAGCATCACTGAAATGAGTCACACATGTGTACTTTATATATTTGTTTCGGCAATTCGCGAGGAACGAATCAGAATCAACCACAAGATTGGTATACTGAGGGGACCGCAAGAACGAAGCTAGCTACTGGTGGTGTAGTAAAACTTCCGCACACCGCGACTACCCTCTCTCTCTGACATGAGTCCCCAATTGAGTCCAGCAGTTGATCCCACGAGGAGAGATTTGCTGCCTTCGCTGGTACGATATTGCAGTTAGCTGGATGAAAATAACCACCCCAGTTGTGATATCAAACTTGAAGGTGGGGTGCAACAAGGTCTTAGATAGGATATCAGTATACCTCAGCGTTGAAGTTCCTTCCGTACCTTCTCTGTCATTTATGATATGATGATTCTGACTCGAAAAAAAATTCTCCTCTATTTTTTTAATTTTCTTTTTCATTTTTTTTAGGGTTGTTAGGTTTGCTTCGTCATTACTCGCATGGCTCACGCCCTAGATTCACGGGTTCTGTGATCGCAAACGACAAATTGCTTATCATATATCTGTGTCTAGTACATAATTGGTACATTCTCTAGAGATGGATATTCCGTAACGCCTCGCTATGCTACCAAAATGCCGTATCCATATTATACAATTCATTCAAACTTGGCTTTACTCCTGGCAGTCTGTTCTGCCTTCATCCTCTTCCTAGCCTGGCTAAGACTCTCCTTTATATTTTCAGCCTTTTTGGCTTCCAAACCTCCCTCCTTAACCTCATCTAAGACAAAGTGTCCGAGATTCCCCTGTCTCCAACGTTGTATTATCCATAATGCGGCCGCGTCTGAATCTGGAACTCCCCCTTTCCCAAGTCTCCCAGTTTTCCGACATACCCTATCTAGGAAGAGATTGATATCATTCGTAGGTTCTGAGTAGTGTTCATATAATTCTGGTCCCTGATATTGCTTATTCATGTGGAAAAGTAAATAGTCGCAAAGCGTCGTCGGAGCAATAATAGTGTCCTTCACGCTCCCCACTAAGGCTAATTTCAACATCGCCTCATCATCTGGCACATAGGGAACGAAAACTCCCGGTGTATCAACAAGATAGACACCTTCCAGACCTCTCTCCACGTCCTTCTCTATGATTTTCACTCCACTTGCGATTTTCCTCGTGATGCCAGGTTGTGCGCCGGTGGATGCTGCTTTGGCTTTCTTCACACCTGCCATTCGTAGTGCATTAAGAAGAGATGATTTCCCAACGTTAGGCATACCGACGATCATGATCCGTGTTCCTAGCAGCGATTGCGCATTTTCGGCCAGTTCTTTCGTATAAGCAAGGACCGTCTTGACATCCCGCTTGCTTTTATGATCGGTGAAGAGAGTGTCGAATGGTTTGTGCCACTCCTTGATAATTTCCTCCCTCTAGACACCCGTAGATGGTTAGCCGTTGCCTGTAAATAAAACATTGGAAGTCTGTATACCCTCCGATCGTCGAGGTGGTCTTTACTTCCGAGATCTCGCTTGGTGTAGATTACAAGCCGCGGCCGACCCGCGAGGGTAGATTCAAACTGAGGGTTTCTTGATGTAAGTGGTACGCGATAGTCTCGACACTCTATAATAAGATCTATTGACGATAGCATCGTCTTCATCTTGGATAGACCTGATGCATGATGGCCGAGATAATAGGATCGTGGCAGGGACAATTGCGTGGGAAAAGTTGCCCGAGGTATAAACTGTGCCATTGGGCCAGAGATGAGTCTTTCTACTATGAATTGTATTGATGAGACATTGTTGAAGCCGATTGTAGTCTTTCTGGTGTTTGTTCAGAAGGCTGACGTTGAACAAGGCTGAGACCACTGGAATTTTTGTGACAGGCTTGTGGTCGCTAGCTTGCCGGTAACCAGGCAGGGGTCGACCGTGACGTCTCGAGGCTTATGAACCTCTTCCCTATTTTCATCAACCGAACAGTCAACATAGGCAATGATATAAGTCCTTTATAAACACTTTTCGTATCTACTTTTTGCAAAAATTTTGCATCCTTCCTGTTTTCCGGTCCCAATGTGTGATTTTTCAAGCTTTTCTGGATTGTTTCTGCTTCGTATTGCATTCCCTAGCACAATTCCAATCGCTAGGAACCAAGAAACGACAAGAGCCGGCCAAGCTGTTTTGTAGCTAATATCTCAACACTACGGTAGCACGTGGCGCAATCAGCGCGTTGACTCGTCATCGTCTAGAGCTCTTAGATTTTCACATTGAAAATCTTGCTTGAAAGGGTGTTCGAGGATACGCACCAGCCCGCTGGATAAGATAAGTGGCAGTTCGGGCATGATACTCGTTCCTTATGGTTGTCAAAATCTTATATTTCTGTGTATTATCCTCCCCAAGTCGCACCTCTTAACTTGAAGTTCCCGAATTATCACAATCTGAGACTAATAATAGTTTGTCCACGGCAAGGCACCTCCATGATTCTTGAATCCTGACCCCGTAAGATTTCGTTGAGTGACGAGATATGGGTAATACTCACTTAGCGGTGGAAAATGGATTACCTGCTCTTGATATCGACTCGGCTTCGACTTTGACACACGATGTCCCATCTCGATGCTCATCTATGTGCAGAGAGAAGAGAACCACCGAAACAGAAAGACAGCAATCGCTCGGTCTGGCACATGACTTGCATATCATAAGAGATAAAACCACGTTCGAGAAGGCCCATAACGCTCAAGGGGTGGCCAACTATAACTCCATGGCACCATTCACGAAACAACCACTCCGAAGGCGCTTACAGTCTCTTTTTTCGTCTGGTGGCAAACTCCAGCCATTCCGGCTGCTGAAGCAAGACGTTTCGAACATTAAGAAGCGATATGTATCGGATTGGACTCTCTTCAATCAGTTGGTTTTTGCGAGCGCTGTCTATGTCTTCTTCACCAATATACTCCCAGGAATTACTTTTGCTGGTGATTTACACGTGTTAACGGGCATGACTTGGGGAACGATTGAAGTGGTTTTCAGTACGGGATTATGCGGTATAATATTCTCGTTGTATGTGATCTGTCCTCACTCATGTATTGCAACACTCACTGATTAAATCCGGGCAGATTTTCCATCCAACCACTCACTATTCTAGGGGTCACTGGACCATTTTCTGTTCTGGCCGAAAATATTTACGAGCTCTGCGAGACGTCCTTTCAAGTGAGTGCCATCACGAAATTCTCCGAAACCCGCTGACATGTGCCTAGGTAGACTTTCTCTCCTTAATGGCATGGTCGCTCATCCACGCTGGTTGGATGCATTACTTGCTAGCAATATTCAACGCTCACGACTGGACCATGCAATACGTGACAACATTCAGTGGCGATATCTTCTCCCTACTGAATAGTGTTATTTATTTTCACAAGGCAATTCAAGAACTGCAAAGGAACCACGCTGCTGTTTCCTTTGCTTCTTTTCTGTACTCTGTTATCGGCGCAGTTGGCACTTTCCTACTTGCAGTAACTTTGTCTACGGCCAACAGTTGGAAACCGCTGTTCCATCGATATTTTCGAATGGGCTTGTCTGAATATGCTGCTGCAATTTCGATTATCCTTTTCATTGGCATACCTCATATTGGTGAACTTGCCACATTAGACAAGCAAACATTGGTGGTCCAGACAACTTTTAGACCGTCGAGTCCCAGTAGGGACGTATTCTTTGTTCGATTTTGGGAGCTTCCCGTTGAGTGGGTGTTCCTAGCCATGATACCCGGAGCTATCATCACCGTACTCTTCTATTTCGACCATGAGATCAGTAGCATCATTTGTACCATTGATCGCTATGGGACTAAGAAGCCAGGGGGGTTCGCGTGGGATATTGTGTTGCTAGGCACCACAACAGCGCTCTGTGGAATACTTGGGATCCCACCCGCTAATGGTCTTTTACCTCAAGCACCTCTCCATTCAGAGTCGCTGCTCCATTCCGTAGCGGCTGAAACCCACGTCCAGGACGAGTCAACGGCGCAGGGCAAGGTGGAAGTGGTGGAGAGGCAAGAAATATATGAGCAACGCTGGTCGCCATTTTTGCAAGCTGCTGCAATACTCGTCTTCGTCTCGCCGCCCTTCCAGCACGTCCTAGGTCTGACACCGACATCAGTTCTAGCTGGCCTGTTCCTTTTCATGGGAGAGCAATCCCTAGCTGTGAATCCTATATTATATAGATTTTTCTATATCCTCACACCGCCGTCTGAATTACCACCCTTGCCGAAAGGTGTACCAAGTTATTGGGGGATCCATGGATTTACAGTGGTTCAAATATTAATGACAGGAATCATTTTTTACGTCACCTTGACAACCGCGGCTCCTGCATTTCCCATTATCATAATCGCTCTCGTTCCAGTAAGACTACTGGTTATGAACAGAGTCTGGGGAAGAGAAACGTTGAGATTTGTTGATGCTTGGGCATGCAAAAACGGTACACCAGAAGACGACGAGGACGAAAGGAATAGAATCACGGGACACAACCGCTCAAACTTTGAGAATGAGCAAGATAGAAGCGAAGGCATTGTGGGAGACCATCATGTCTAGGCTGCAACGAATAACATGCGGATAGCTGGAATACAACAGCTTCCATGGATGCTAACCACGGGCACTTCCCAGAGACAAAGCCTTGAAATTGTTGAACGAGAAGCCAGTTGATACATAGCGAATCGTGGCATGTTTGCGTGGAACGTGATGGCCGAACTAAATTATAGCAAGTAGCTTGTCCGGCTAATTCCAATTGTCGGGATGCCGGATAATTCGAGATGATAGCTCTAGCGGCTCAACTATATTGGGGCCCTAAGCTATGTAACTGAGTAGCAGAGAGGACAACTGCTGACAATGTAGGCGGTTCCAGGCCCGGAGACGATCACCCTTAAACTTCCGTAACACTTAAAAGTATTACAGCAAAACTTCTCCGGGGAATTGGGAATGGACAATGGAAAAACAAATGCGCGGACGGGCAGAGGCGCAAAAGGTGGGATGTGAGCCCAGCAGCGGAGATGCTCCTTGGACATGTTGAGCCGAATGAGTAAGATAGACTAGATATCACAAACATGTTTTTTGTAGCGCTGACTGAGAGGAACCTGAGAGCTCTGTGATTATTCAGTTTTTACGAAGTCGAATGAAGCTGTCTCGTTGGTCCGTACATTATCAATTTCAGACAATGCGACGGTGGACATGCTTGTTGCAGGTGGGGTGCATCTAGCGAGCGCGGGCGATATGCTACCGCCACTCCGCTCCGTAATTGCCTCACATGATCTCACCCGGACTGCTGTTGTCCGGACCGTTGCGTGCACCTATTGGTTTCGGGCCTGTCTAGGGCTTAGTAACACCCCTACTAATGGCTTATGACGATAGCTCCAGTTCGTGCCGACGACAGAAACGAGAGGAAAAGCCGCGACTTTGACCCCGCCGTGTTTAGACGTTTCCGACAACACCTCAACAACAAAAACTCTTCGTCCTGCATAAAACGTTGCTCTTCATACCACGAACTTTACCATCCACAACCGCACACTTTGATATACCCCATACACAAAATTACAATCATGCCTAACTCTCTGGAACAGCTCAAGGCCGCTGGCACCGTACGTTTTTACCCCTCCATCGTGTCCCCGCCGGGTCAAGAAGATGGTGTGATGCAACCGACATTGTCACTTTGAGATGAAAATTGAAAGCTTTGCTAACATGAAGTTCTTGATCAGACCGTTGTCAGTGATTCTGGTAAGCAGTTCAAACCTAATTGTCTCCTCAATTGTATGCTAACAATCTCGCAGGTGATTTTACTTGTAAGTCCACCACGCCACTTTTACAGCTTTGGGCTCGTTATCTCGAGCATCGATAGATCTTACGATCACAATCAACACGGACGAGAGGCTAACAATACAACAGCCATCGGAAAATACAAGCCACAAGATGCCACCACCAACCCTTCGCTTATCCTCGCAGCCTCCAAGAAAGAGGAATATGCCAAGCTTATGGACGTTGCTGTTGCATACGGAAAGGAGCACGGCGACTCATTGGACGAAAAGATTGATGCCACTCTAGACAGGCTGTTGGTTGAGTTCGGAAAGGAGATCTTAGCAATTGTTCCAGGAAAGGTCTCCACCGAAGTCGATGCTCGATTTTCCTTCTCCACCAAAGGTTCAGTTGATAAGGCATTACACATCATCGAGGTTTGTCCCCCCCAATCATCCAAGCTAGTGATCCAGCAGCAATAAACTAAGTACCTCCCAGCTTTACAAGTCCATCGGTATCGACAAGTCCCGCGTCTTGATCAAGATCGCTGCTACGTGGGAAGGTATCCAGGCTGCCCGTATTCTCCAAAAGGACCATGCAATCAACGTCAATCTTACTCTCATGTTCTCCCAAGTTCAAGCTATTGCCGCCGCGGAGGCTGGGGCATTCCTGATCTCTCCTTTCGTTGGACGTATTCTCGACTGGTACAAGGCAAAGACTGGAAAGACCTATAGCAAGGAGGAAGACCCAGGAGTCGCCTCTGTTAAGGCTATCTTCGATTACTACAAGAAGTTCGGATACAAGACCATTGTCATGGGTGCCTCTTTCCGAAATGTCGGTGAGATCACCGAATTGGCCGGATGCGACTACCTGACAATTTCAGTAAGTAAACTTCGTTTCCTAATTTATGAGCTATTTTCTCTAACACATCTACAGCCAAATCTCCTTGAGGAAATGATGGGATCCAATGATGACGTACCAAAGAAACTCGATGCCGGAGGCGCTAAGAACCTCGATATCGAGAAGAAGTCATATGTCGACGATGAGTCTCTTTTCCGTTTTGACTTCAACGAAGACCAAATGGCTGTTGAGAAGCTCCGAGAAGGTATCAGCAAATTCGCCGCCGATGCGCTTACCCTCAAAGATATCCTCCAGAAGAAGATCGAGGCATAGATTGCGTTTTGATTTGGTGTTTCAGCATGTGTGCCAGAACCGGATGATGTGGGGATGAGGGATTGAATATTGATACACACATGAGAAATATGGTTGGTGTAAATGGATGACAATGCAAGACTGCACTGAATGTAGCTAAGCTTTATGAACAAAAGGCAAATAAATTGGCCAGGTCAATAATGGAGAAATGATTTTATTACGAGCTCTATCCCGCGGTCGCCTTTATTGCAAATTGTGCTTGCACTTATAATTTAACAAAATTCTAACGCAATGAAGCGTTGGGCCAACAGGTGTAATAACTTGAGACGCATCTCTTGTTATTCGCAAAAAGTTGCAGTTTAATCATTTCAAATAAAACCAAATCAAAGAGGCTAGATTACAAGAACATTGAGATACTCCAGCGCAACACGAATCAGTGGGTATTACTTTCATTGTTCATTCATGAAGATATATGCCATGGTCATACAAAAAAGCCTCCATCCAACCTTTAAAAGCGCTAATCTCATCTCAAAAACAGGAAAAAAGATTAAACACCCAAACGCCATGCATGAAAAGAAAAGTACACCCCCGTTCTCAAGCTTCAAGAAAAACAAAAAAATCCCATATCCCAGTGAATAATTCCTAGAGCCCACATTTCATATCCTATATGCAGGAGCTCTTTTCGCATTCCGGAGGCCGTGAAAGTTGAGTAATTAGGTAGGGATAGTTGCGTGAGACATCTGTCTCGGGGTTGTTTGTTTTAAAAATAGCTCTTCCTCTTCTGTTGTGAGGCAGAAAGCTTTAAGCAACAGCGCACTGCGACCGTTATTTATTGTCTCTTGGACATGCTTTTCCCGGATTTTAGCTGTCGGCAACATTGCAGTGCCTGGGCGCCCATGCTAATGGACAGAAGCTCATTCCGAATGACCCTCGTTAAGCACCATTTCAAGCACGATCTGGTTTGTCGACACCTCTGGATGCGCCATTGCCAGCTTGAGCGTCCTCTTCTCCGCGGTTGCGCCTCCGAACCCAGCCATCTGGCTGTTCGCCGCCCCGGCTCCCAGCGGATTGATACCATAATCGAGACATCTCACATCTCTACCAGCAATCACCTGTCTTAAACGACCGTTTTCTGCATTTCGGACTTCAACAAAATCCGCGTCGAACAAGACAAGATACGCGCCGTACATTGCGGCCTTCTGTGCCCGGCCAACGAACTCCATTATCACAGAGCGCGAAACCTCGCCGTGCTTATCGACATATACACCGCACTCCTCATAACACAACAGGAATTCCGAGTCTGACAAGCGAAACATGCCCAGAGGCTTTTGATCGCGTAATCGAGCCGCAATATTCCCTATTGCAGGGTTCTTTGTGTCGGGTATACTCATAGGTACCTTTTTATCGAGAGTCATTAGCTCGAACCCTTTCTGAGTCGAGATGGCAATATAGCTGTGGAAAAGATTGATCGTGAAGCATTCGGTTGGAATATAAAACTCGTCATACTCCCGGAAGAATTCGGTGCTTCCACCTTTCTTCAAGCTGCCAAACAATCTGGACTTCTTCTCTGTCGATTTTTGGAACACTGGCTCTAGTACTTTGAATGTTGAGTGAAGACTCTCCTTTTTCTTGTAAAACACGAGTGTGCGTTCTTTCATCCTTGCTGTGGCGAAAAAGGATACGTCTCGGGTTCCAGAGAGCTTTTGGGGCGCTTTGCGAGCGGAATCTGCATGTGGCCCGGGAAAATTAGAGACGGGAACTATCACATCAAGGTGATAGGCTATTAGCGATTTGTCGGCAATAATGAGGCACAATGAGAACTCTTCCAGGACAGCTATTTGTGTGACTTTACTGATTTGAATAGACTAGATTGTGTTAGCAATGATTCGGATTTCCAGACTTGTCAACTCACTCTTGTCCAACCTCGAGGATTGTTAGCCTCAGACGTATAAACACCATAGTCTGTACCAATTGCAATCATGGCCTTGCCAAAGCAGTTGAAAGCTGTAGCACAGTTGACTTGCGCTCTACAGACAGGTCCGGGCCGCGGACCTGCACCATAAATTCGCTCCATCTCACGGATAGAACGTTCCAAAGGTGTTCCTTTGACAGAGACTACATTTCTCTGTGCGGCGCTTGACAAGATATCATTCCCAAATGCAGTATCTGCCATAACTCGCAAACGAAAGGGCTCAGCGTTCTGCTCAAACAACGAAGCAGCGTGACGTGTCTTTGCCTCGAGAATCTTTTCGCACCAGTCTTGTCGATTCTGAGCTGTAGGTGCGTATAAGGTGTATACCTCTGTTTTCCCAAGATGCTTCACTCGGAAAGGAAACATCGACTTAGCATCAGTCTCACTTGCTCCAGTAGGGACTTTCGTCACAGAATTCATCGTCGTTATTGACTGATTCGAGTTGGTGTGTTCGAGGGGATTTACTCCATTTGAGGTCCCAGATCGATTGAGTCTTAGGTCGGAACCACCTTGGCCCAATTTAGCCGTGGTAGTAACAGCTCCTACTCCCCTCAGGTTCTTAACTACGGGATCATCGCTAGTGCTCTCAAGAACTAGAAGCTGCATAGGTATTGGCTAGAAATATTAGTATTAGGGCACAAATTGAACAAGAAATGGAAACGTACAAGTTTTGACACATCATAGACGTCCTTCTGTTTGCCTGTGGTCTTATCCCGCTGATTTAACAACTTAGCCAACACAAGGTAATGGTCAAAAAGGATGCAGTGCGTTTCGAGCCACGTAAATCTATTTGCACCAGCACGTTGGAGCTCGCCCTTGAATATGAGTTCCCGTCCCAAATGATCCAAGTTAAGCTCAACTCTCTCCATACCAGGCCGGAGGAAGAGTTTTGACTGCAAGTCGATCATTTCCACCTTTTTAGATTGTTCATCGACCTTAGCATCGCATTCAAGTGTGACGGCTTTAATTTCCTCAATAGCCATGGCCAATGTGGCTTTCTCCTCGGTATCTTGTGTCATATTCTTGAGTACTGTTCCTAGTAACAACGTGTATCGCTGTAATCTGGTAATGGGCGCCTTCAGGTATGTATTCCAGTCCAGTCGACCTGACAATTTATTGTCCCGAGCTTGATCTAAAAATTGTCGGAAAAGCAGATTCTTGTCTGCTTCTCTTCGAACAAGGTGCGTGGCATACGGAAAGCTGGCTGCATACTCTATGTATGCCGTTCTGGCTTTTCTGATCCATTCTCTAAAGATGTCGCTGAAGCCAATGACCCACGGCCCTTGCTCTTTCTGGCGGTATTTTAATTGTGCCAATAGATAGTTCTCATTGACTTCTTTGATGCCCTCGACCTTCCCGAACACGTTTGAGATAAATTTGTTCAATTTTGCTTTTGCAATGATCGGGGGTTGCCAAGAAGATAGGTCATCGCGATACAAAACACGAAGCACGTTTATTTGATCCATAAAAAGATCTTCAGACATCACAATCTCATGTAGGTTGTTCTGGCGTTCGATCTCTTTTCTGCTCGCACCATCAAGTTGCTCCTTGGTGAGTTTGAAAAACGTGACCCAGTCTTCCGTCTTCCTCGCTGGCTCAAGAACTTGTGCTTGCAGATTAATCTTTTTGAGAGTTCGAGTGCAGTGGTGAGAATAACATCGCCCAGGAGCCTCATGTTCATGCAGTTTGGGCGCGTAGCAACCCGAGCCAGTCAGTTGCCACAAAACGCCAGACACCTCACCTTGGCCAAGTTTAACCCATTCTTCCTCTGGAACCAAGATGCCCGCTTCCAACATGGTCTTCACAACTCTTGCACTTAATGTCTCGGCGTCCGCCGTATTCATCGTGGGAACTTTGTGGGTGAACAAAGACACGAGCGCTTCCTCAATAGCCTTCTGCCTGAGATCCGATTCTCCCTCACCAGAATCCCCACCAGTCATCTCTCGGATCCAATCAGCCAGACCGCTCAATGCCCAAGGTTCCTCACATTTCTTAAAATCCGCCGAGGATAGTTTGGAAAGTCCGAATTTCTTGCGACGCCCAGCTGGTAGAGCGGGTAAATCCAATGTAATCGAAGATTGAGGTGTTCCGACATCATAGCCATCTAGGCCACTGGCGGATCGAAGTCCCATGCGTGCTGCTTTTTGTTTCGCTTGACGTTCTTCGGCATCTGTCTTCGAGCGAACTGGTGGGACGGCATGTGGAGTACTACTATGGCTTGACAAAGACGTTGAACGAGGAACATGCTGGCCAGCAGGACTGAGCATGCTCTGCGGGTTATAAGCGTCGTTTGGTGCGTACATTGGCCGTGTGCCCTCAACACTTGAAGAGTAAGAGTGCGAGTAGGCTGGTTGAGCATTACGGTAACTACCCGCCGCCATCAATTGTGGCGTGGTGTTTTCAGAGAGAGGTGGGACTGATGGCAGTGGTCGGTTCTTGTTGCTCGAACCGCCCCCTATACCAGGATGATAGAACAGCTCCGGCATGTCCTCTCGGGTCGGACTATCACTGCCCGACAGACCACCAGGCCTGGAGTCTGATGCACGGGAAGCCAAGGACCGTTCATCACCTTCATCAAAGCTAAGTCGGTGGCCACGGGGATGTGAGCTAGGTCGTTGAAGGCCTCCAGTTCCAGATGTGTCAACCCTTGCAGCTTCAAAAGCGGGAAATGGATGAATGGCACCCTCTCCAGGTATAGCATAGTCGGTCATCCCTCCAAGCCCGGGAGCAGGAGTGTGGCTATAGCTCTCTGACCTTCCAAGCTGGTGCGGAGTGGGTAAAGGCCGGCTCTGGTCCTCCATTTCGCTGCTATGACCAGTGTTAAGCCCTCCGAGTTCTCCCCCATAGGACAAATGCGCTCCACCATACCCTCCACCAGCAAGTCCAAGATCCATATTCTTATAATCGCTATCGCTACTCTCATCTTGGAAATGTGTGTGTTGAGATGATTGGTTGTCATACGCAGCAAAACTTAGAGCACCTGCTCCACCAGCAACACCTTGCTGGGCATCTAGTTCATCTGCCAGTCTCATAGCCTCTATTCCTGCAGCAGCCTCAGCATCGCTGTCGATTTCAGCACCGGTATCGTTCTCATCGTCATCGTCATCCGGGTATTCGCCGTATGTGGATCGATGGTTGTTCGGATTTAACGTAGAAGCTGTCGACGCGTATCTTTCAACTCCACCATGTGGCCCCGACCCAATCGTACTCGCCCTTGAGTCGTATCGGTTGAGATTTTGAATCTCATTATCCAGCAAGTCGCCATTGTACTGACCCGTTGCTGGAGGCCTCATTCGCTGAGACTGCGACTGATCTTTCAACGCGTCACCTATATCAGCAAAAAGCTGTTCTTGTGATAAATCCTCCTCTTCTTGGCCTTGAATCCCTAATCCCCAGTCATCATTGTCGCCAACGGCCTCAGCTGGTGCGTTGGGAAGCGGTCGAAAAGTCGGATGTCGTTGTAGTCCGGTTCCAGTGGGAGAAGACGCAGAAGCTCTAGTGGAATGGCTAGCAGAGCTCCTGGTTCGAGTCGCGTAGGATGCCGACTCATGGTCTTGGTTTGGGTATGTGGGGAGCGTGACAGGTGATGTATAGGCAGAATATTCCGGATACTGCGCCTGGCTCGAGCTAGATGTTCGATAATCTGTCTGATTGTAAACTCCACCATTTGAAGGATATGGGGCTACTGGCGGGTTGTATGAGTGCTGTGATGAGGCAGCTGGATTTTGAGATGCGTACGGATGGGTGTGAGGAGAATCGTAAACAGCGTGCGGCTGCTGATGAGCTGGAGGGGCTACATATTGCTGCTGGGGGCTCCATTGCATGTTGGGTGACTGTGGGACCTGCGGCATGGAGACTGGCGGCTGGCCATAAGAAGGGGCATAGGAATTGTAGCCCGAGACCGTGGTGTGGCGTACTGGAGGTTGTACTGGAGGCTGATATGCCGCTGGGTTATACGGCGTATGTCCCAGGGAGGGCGTTGCAGGAGATGTATTGTTATATGCAGGTTGCGGTCGATACTGGACAGATTGGGAATTTGTTCTGGCAAAATGTTGGGGATTGTACGGTGCTTGTGGTAGACCTGGAGAAGCAGCATTGCCAGCAAATGGTTGATATTGATGTTGATACCCAGAAAGTGCCGGACTTGTACTTCCTATTGAACTTCGACCCGGCGAATGAGGGCTCTGTGCCGAGGAGGTTGGACTCGTCAAGTAGTGCTCCTCCTGTGGCATTGCCATTCGTCCTGGCGGTTGCGGGGGAGCGTATCGATTGTTTCCCTGCTCCAGGTAAGGCGCATCATCGCCATTGTCAAAGCTGGACTGTCTATGCAAACCCGAGTGAGAGCTTGCTTGGTCGTGAGAGCCTGGTGTCCCATATTGGGCTGGAGGCACATGCCCATAGCGTCGCTGTCCATTCTGTCGAAAAGACATCCTTAACACTTGACTATTGCGATGCGCCCAACTGACTGCCGTGCGAATACTGACTCGATTCCAGAAACCTGGTGGGTGTAAGTGCGCTCTAAGATGTCGTGGACGCAGGTTTTGCGAAGCAGCCGGTGGTGTTGTCGTCACCCGCGCAAAGCCTCGAGTGGTGTCTACTACATCCGCGAGCGCCTCTGCGCAGCTATTTACACAATTGGAAAAGGCCCCATGTGCTCGCGAGACTGCAAGACGTCCGATGGTGCTGTCGTTTCGATGCAGCTACAGCTTGACGATACAGCCAAGCGCTGCCAACGTCTGCGTTCCTTCTGCTCGATGGTCGAGTTAGATATCGTACAATGTGGAGGCGGATACAGTCGCGGGCCTCGTTGCGAAGAACGGCGTCGTTGGGCGGGCAAGCAAGCGCCGGTGCTATCTTTTGCGGAGGGGAGGAGGTTTGACGCAACGGAAAGGGTGTTCGAATTACGCCAGTGAGCGAGACAAGTGTTTTGCAGATGAGATAGGGATCGCGAGGTAAGTTTGAGTTTGTGGGTTTGGGTGTTGGAGATTTGGTCGATCAAAAACATGCGATGGAGCTGAAGCAACCAAAGGCCGCCGGAGCGGTGATTGGCTCCCACCACACAACTTGAACCCTCGAGCCAACAACCCTTTTTTGTGTCTACACACGAAGCGGTCCGTACGAGTCCGGTGCATTACAGACAGCATGATTTAGAAGAACGAACCTTGACTAGCAAAAGAAAATCATGGCTCATAATCTCTTCAATATAGAATGGTTTCTCTGGCGCTGGGGCACTTGCTCTGGCAACATACAAAGTCCATCATAAGTAGTATCCACCGGCACCGGATAGAATAAACAACATGCTACGTATATAAGGTTAGACCCGATTATATTACAGGTGATGTCTCCGTTAGAATCTTTGAGTTGTGCTCGAGCTCCGCCACCAGCCCTATGAAGGATGTACCACAAGCATAAGAGCGTGGCTTGTGCGTATGTCAGGATTATAATACGGAGCGCAAATACAGTTCTGAAACGGATATGTCAAGTTGCAGCACTGTGTGACTCTGTCACATGATGTTTAAGATGGTGACGTTATTGGAACTGCTATGTTGGTGGGCTGGGAGAAATCAACAGTAATCTCTTGACCAGTGGAGCAGAATTAGAGCCACAACTAGTGTCGATGATTTTACTCCCATTGCTTGAGACGTGGAGTTTGCAGATATGCAGAGATTCAAGCAATTGTACGCTTCGCTTGAGCGAACTAACAAATATTGTTGTTTGTGAGCGACGAGAACTCGAGGTACGGTCAATCCGGGAAGTTGACCAAACTTATTGAATTATGGTATGTCGAACACATGGCACTTTACACGCCGGTGTACACCTACCTTCTAGGCCTTCTAGGTCTTCTAGTCACAACTTTCACTAGTTACCTAGGTACTTGGAGGCAACAAATAGTTGTCCTAACTCCTGGCCTGAATGACGCCGTGTACTTGTTGCACAAAGGTCTATGTGAGATCGATAACTCGTCTCTCGAGCAAACAACGACGGGTCCACACATCGAGTGCTATTACTTAACTGCGTTGACTCCTCTGCGGCCTTCCGACAAAGCCCATGAAGACTAACGCCTCAAGTTGGCATCAGGGCGAAGTAAGCAAGCGAAACAATGGAATGCATAGCAAGCGAATCAATTTCACAAAATGGGAAATTGTTGATCCATCCAGGCCACACCTAGACACCCAGTATCAAAACTTCAAAAAGACCTAGTCTTAAAAGAGAATCGTCGAGGAACGTTAAAGCTGGGGAAGTGTGTTATGTACCCCTATTTCCCCAGGCACAAACATGCGGAGATCATGCATGGGGTCGTCACGTGCCATATTCTCCATGGATCCATCAGGCCAAAAAGCATCGTTCCACCGGTCACAGCTGCACCGAGCATACAACAAATTCCACATTTCGATCTGGGACGCCACCAAGCAGCGCCACGGCTCCTGCAGCCTCCATAGATATTACTGATGGACCTCAAACGTTCCCCTCCCTCGTCGCAGCATCCAGGTCCAAATCAGCCCGATTCCGAGGACGAAAATGCGTATAGTGAGGAGGAGAGCGGGGGTGAAAATGGAGAGAGGCCCCGGAAAAGAGCTCGGAGGCCAATGTCGGTATCGTTAGTCACAATGTCTCCTTCATCCCTACCTGATGCTGCTGTCGAACCCGAGCATTTGTATCCTTCCATAGTGCAACCCGAAGTCGCGGTGCTTTCCGGCCTAGAGGTACAACAAGATCAACATTGGCTAACTACTCGTCGAAGGTGTGAGCTGTGCAAGCAAAGAAAGGTGTGTCACCTGCTAAAAATCATGCATTCTTCCACCTAGAGCATGAGAGTCATGCAGTCTCAAAAATTTACAAGGAACATTCACCAAATTGAATGAATGTAAATTGAAATCCACTTATTGACTAGTTCGCGGTGGGCAAGATAAGTGTCAGTAACCTTCCATTCTTTTCTCAACTGAATTGGTAGACCTTGCTATTAGAAGAACTTCTAAACTTACTCATCTCAAATAGATTTAAACGGGTGTCATTTCCTCCGAGGACTTGACGAAATAAACGATACTTTACCATGTTGGCCTACAAAATATTCTTGTTTCGCCTGCCACTTGGAATCTAACTTGTCCACTGCGCTTCTCGCTCGATGAGCGCGTTGTTCTTTCCTCTCTCATTTTCATTTTAGATCGGGCCGTAAGATTGGTGAATTCATGTATACTAACATGCATGTTTTCTAGGTCAAATGCGATCGTGGCCAACCTGCTTGTGGGTGGTGCACACGCAACGGCGCAATTTGTGAATATAAAGAGCGAAAGAAACCCGGTTTGAGAGCTGGTTATGGTCGAGAACTCGAACAGCGGCTGGATAGGTTAGAGGATATACTTCGGTCCCATGCTCAAATCCTAGAATCTTCCTTTGCAAACAGCAATAACAGCCTACCAAGCGACCACGAAACGCCACAGAGCTTATCCAGTTTCAGACCTGCCAGCTCTCGGGGCCACGTTCCACATGCAGAGACAGCTCTTTTTCTGCAAAAGCCGTCCGCATTTCCAGTAAATCAGCCAGGAGATTATGGCAATCCGGTTCAGACTCCGTCTGGAGCGCCGTTGCATGGCGATGTCTTCCAACAAGGCATGCAGCAGACTAATCATCAACACAATCAACCTCATCCGCCTCACCCAATCCAGGGAAATCAAGCAACTGAATTTTACAATACCTCTCAACCACCCCTTCCTTCTCCCAGCCTGAACATCACCCAAGGCCACACCGAGTTCACCCCAGACCATGCTTTACCCCAATACGATATTTTATACGCCTTGGTCGATCTGTATTTCAAGCATGTCAATACGTGGTGTCCTATACTTCACCGTCGCTCCACCCTTGATTCCCTCTTCGGTCCCTCTACATTGGATGAAGCTGATCGGATCTTGTTGCACGCAATAGTTGCCACGACATTGCGCTTTTCAACGGACCAAAGGTTAACCGATGAGCGCCGTCGGCATTACCATGACATTTCGAAGCAGAAGGTATTGCTTTACGGCTTGGAAAATTCCTCGGTGAAAGCACTCCAAGCCTTGGTAATCTTAGCTCTGGATCTGGTCGGAAGCAGTAACGGACCCCCTGGCTGGAACTTATTAGCCCTGATTACTCGCTCAGTAGTTCAGTTAGGTCTTGCTGTAGAAACAACAAGCTTCTCGGTGTCACCCGTGTACCCATCAATATACACACTTCGAGCCATGGTATTACCTGAAGCGGATAACTTTATTGAGGAGGAATCACGTAGGCGTTTGTTTTGGATGGTCTATCTCCTCGATCGGTATGCAACGATTGCTACTGCCTTCGAGTTTGCCTTAGATGAGAAGGAGATTGATAGGACTCTCCCTTGCCGGGACGATTTATGGAGTAAAAACAAATCGGTTCAGACAAGATGGTTCCGTACGACCGAGCGAACGGAATATGACATCGATAAGCCGGAAAATCTTGGTGCATTTTCTTACTACATTGAGATTCTGGGAATACTGTCTAGAATCCACAAGTTTCTCAAGAAGCCTGTCGATATTAGTGCACTTTCCGACGTCGAGCAGTGGCAGGGAGAGTACAGAGAGCTAGACAACACACTTACATCTTGGAAATTCAATCTTCCCGGGGATTATAGTAACATGGCAAAGCTTTTCCAGCCTGGTGGAAGCAAAACAATTAACTGTGGATGGGTGATGCTACATGGCCAGTATTGTGGGAATGCTTACTGAGTGATTACTGACTGTGCAACAGCAACTTATCATACAACCGTAATTCGACTGCATTCATCTGCGGCGTACCCTACTACCCGATCACCGATTTTTACACCGTCCTACACAGCTAGTCAGCGCTGCCACGGTGCCGTTGAAAACATCGCCGCATTGGGCGAGTTCGTGGTTCAAAACGGTATGTTGTCCAAGCTGGGCCCTCCGTTCGCCTTCACTCTGTGGGTAGCAGCGCGATTGTTATTAGTACACGGCTCGACTATTGAACACAAACTCAGTCCTCAAATCCAGTTCTTCTTCGATACGTTAAAAGAAATGGGTCGGTACTGGCTAGTCGCCGAACGATACACAGCAATCTTACAAAGAGTTCTTGACGAGCATCGAGAGTCTGAGCGGTCTGCAGGTGCGAGCGGGGAGAGGATCACACCATCATCAGTGAAAATTCTAGCAGATATGAGGCGGTGTGCTTACGATTTGGACTTTTTGATTTCGAGGCAGCCAAAACATGTGGGAATGGTATCCCGAATGCCTAGTATTACACCAGCCAGGACACCAGCTCCAAACGAGCTAGAGTACTTGGACGTTTTCGATTTCTTCAACGTTCCGCGACTACCAGTGGCACATAACGGAGAGCTTGGGCAGGTCCCAAACAATGCAAACGGTGTTGGTGATATACACCTGGGTGAGCTAGGAAATAGCGCTAACGAGTTCAATATTACGAACTTCATGGTAGATCAGAGTTCAGATTGGTTTAAAAACCAGACCTGACCTCTTCCAATGGAAGCAATTAAACGTTGAAGCAAAAAGACTTCATTTCCAATCTTTCTTCTCTTTCCATGGCCTTGTGGAAAACAGTAGATGCGTTCCAGACAGTGGTATCCTCATTTCAGATATCGAGAATGAACGTAATTCGCACATTGCCCCGAAATGTCGACCAACGAGTCGGTCTGGCCGCTGGTGCGACGTAGCTAGGTCCGGTTGTGACTTTCCGTATCGTGTAACCAGAACCTCGTCGCCTAAAGCAACATAGGTTTCTTGCGCGCTGAGCTGCAAGCCGTGGAGCTGTGGAATGGCTTCGCATAGTATTTGCTACGCACTGAGGGATGGAGGCAAATAGCTCAGCTCGCTCTGCATTCAATGAGACCAGCTGGAATCCGCGACCTACATGTATGAAGGCGTCCGCAAAAGTCATCCTTTAATGAAGTCTTCCTTCGCACATCACCTTGGTAGCCTCTCGTCGCACTTCTTACCACTTACTACCACCTCTTAACAGCACGTCAGACAAGATTCTTTGCTGAAAGCTCAGCAGCAAGCAATGTGCGTACACGACTTCGTAGCCTACTTCTGGTGACCTTCAGCGATCTAGCTGGTGCAGAACACATCCCCGAGACCAGAAACGAATTGATCCACAACGAGCGGACCTTGATCGAGTTGACTCTCAATTTCTTACGCAATTGTAGCGATAACACCGGCAGTCGTTGAGTCAAGGCGACTTCACTGCTGCCTCGCTCTTTTATCTGCATTCACTTCGATGACCGGCGTGCCCGAACTATATCTCGGTCGACACACTTTTAGGACGGGAATGTTCGTTGGTGACACAGTCAGCGAATGGTGGGAAGCCACAACGAGGCGGAGCAGATTTCTCCTAGGTCCCAATTGCGATCACGTTTTGCTTCGAAAAGCGCAAAAACATGATTGGCCGCCTTACGAAATGCTCGAAAACGGATACACATGACATCACGGGACTGGATTTGATCTGGCGCAAGGCAGACTTTGGAAAGCACTTGCATATCAGGCACGTCTCATCTAGAAAACGGCTGGAGACGCATGAGACGTTCAATTGCTCCACTGATCTACCGAAACGGCGCCAAAAGACAGACTTCTGGATCATCTTCTCGTTGACTGATCGCAGACAATCGTATTGTCACCTATAAGATATTCCCAAATACGACATTTCTCCAGCAGATTTGCACCATGGTTGAGGATCTGCTGGAAGGATCATATCGCGGGGGGATATGATTACCAAATTCTGTCGTTCGCATTAAAGTCCGAGCACAGCGTCCCTCTGGTCTTCCACCTCATTGTCGACGCCGGCCACGAGCATCAATGACGAGCCTCTGGTGCCCCGGGCGAGCTGAGAAGTACCGAAATGGAGTCATATTCCTCTCGACTTGCATATCGTAGATGCCTCTCTGTCAGAGAACCAGGCTACGATGTCAAATTGAAGTTGTTGATACCGGAACCTCAGGCATGAGGATAAAGATGCTGCCCGAAATTCCAGTCAGCGATTGGAGCATTTACGCGACGATTAAAGTGACCAATGGGCAAATGCTCTACACAGCTCTTAGTACAAACGGTATAATGACATCTCTGGCCGGTAGAGTCACGTATTCCGTATGAAACAGTTTTGGATGGCTTGCATGAGACTTACGAAAATCGCCATATCTGTATGCTGGCTTTCTGAACAGCTTCTTCATTTGTCCGGTACTTGCACGATTCCAACATTTTCTGTCCGTCCTGTTGGCGGCTCCAGACTGTATTTTGGCTGTTGGAGCCTATGATAACTCTCTGTCGGGCAACAGCATAGCCCAGTGACGGACGATTACCATGTTTTCATGAGCTTCCCCTCCCACGGCAATGGCTTCGATGGAAGATTCGTGTCAGCCACTCGTCTGCGATCTTTGAGCCGTCTTTTCCAATCCCACCGCCACGGGATTCTCACCGAAAGGTCAAGATTGGGAGAATCGCTTCTGACGACTGACGCCAGATCCCCACTGCTTTGCCGACAGGCGGATGGTTCGCGCTGGGGGACCGGGGTGCAAACGACGGTTCTCCGTTTGTTCTAAATCTGTCTCGCGTCTGATTCGCCCGTGTTCGAGGTCGACCGTGATCTCGCTTGTTGGCGACCGCATGTCGTCCAGACCGCCCACATCTCGCGACTTCGACGACGTCCCCTACTCCCCTACTCCCCTACTCCCCTCCTCCCCTTCTGTCTCAACGGCCACCTCTATCATTCCGTTCCTGGATCGCGTTACATCATGGCTCTCGGCTTTCTATTTTATCATTCTAAGCCTGTCAAAGGCGTTGCGTTATGCATCTGTCCCCTACCCCGCTCCCGCGCTATTCTCTCACCTCACTCTGGATATCGATGGCCCTGATGTCTGTCTATGTACTACGCGTTCACAGAGAGCGACTGAGGTTGGAATGGGAGCCTGCTCTGGCTGGCTTCACTTGACGTGCACTGCCATGTGCCTCTGGAGCAGTCTCCCGTTTACCTAGCAGCACCAGTGTCGGTCACTTCTTCTGGCCGTCGACTGAGGGCTAGTCCCCGAAACATTACCACTACATGCCACCGGGGGAGCTTGTCCTCGAGGCTGATGACTTTCTTACCACATTTCAGCCTTCCCTCAGTTCCCTGCAAGCCAGGCCGAGGACATACCAGCCGCTTGGGACCTGGTTCTACTTTGACTCCCGGGTGCAGGACCTCGGACGAGGACTCTTCCTGTCCAGATGTGCGGTGGACTGCTTAACGGCTCCCCTGTCGACTCACCCCCGTCCCTAGTTTCCCTTCCTGCATGCTTTCCTGCATATCCTAACGACACTTTTTGACGTCTCCACTTGCTGCTGCCTTCTGTTCGTTAGCATGTCGTTCTCTGGATCTTGAGCTCTATAAGGCAGTCATGTTCCCGGTGCCTCAGATGACTCTTTTGCATCACCATACCATTGTCGTCAATTTCATTTGCACTTTCGTTGCCAGGCTTCTTCAGTCGGTTCATTAATATATTTCATAGCTTCACTGCTGGTCAATCTCAAAGAATTTTCATAATATCACATTTACTCCAAAGCTACCTCTCCACCAAACAACCGCGACCACAAACAGTCATATCATAAGACGTTTTGCAAACAACCTCGCCATCGTCACAATGTGCTACCTAGTGGTTGAGAAGTTCTCAGTGTGCCGCTGCGTTTACTACAAGCACAGCATTGATATGTGTGCGGCATATGGAACTTCGGGGCATACCATTCAAGAGAGGACCGTGTTGGTGGGATATGCTTGCGACAGGCACTCAGGACACCAAGCTCAAGAATCATCTTCGCGAAGCGGATACTCAGACTCGGGTTATGGCACGGCTAGCCATGGATCACACAGACATTCATCTCGTCATCACCGCCGATGAAACATATTGTCTTCGGTAACTGGATATTCATGGCAATCGCGACCAATTGTGCGTTTCGAGTTCGAGCACTGGGTTACATACCTCTTCTCCTTTCGGCGTAGGACCAGTTCGACGCCGCCATCTCAACTGACCGTGCTGCTTGTCGGTCACGATCGTTTGATGGCACACTCCGCGCCTTGAGGAGCTCTCTGTGTAGGAAAGAAGAACATAACCCGCGCATAACACATCGTCGAGCACCTCAGCTCTCCTCTCTACATGCTTGACGAACACTATACGAAACGATCACGAGGAATGCCATGCCTGTCACGAAGTTATCGAAGGCGCAGAAGAAGGAAATCACAGACATACACCATTGGCCAAGTGCCTAACACAATCAGAGACAATTCGACACACAAGTTACGATATAACCACAATTGAAATTTCGGCATTGCATAGCGGGGTTCCAACAAGCATAGCGTCGGTATTGGGTATTTACGAACATTTGGGTTGGCATTTTGGTGTTTAGTCTATTCCTTCTGCAGCACCTATTATTTCTCTATGTCATTTTTTTCATTTACCGACGGCAGCGCGCTCGTTTTGGATTATTTTGCTTTTGGATATTTTGTTAGGAGCATGGAACGGATATGATACCTTGGAGTTTCGGAGGATATGGGCATTGTGTGCCCCACCGGGTTTGAATTTTGGGATTTCACATGTCTAAGGAGACATTTTCTTTTTTCTTTTTTTTATTCTACCGCGGACAGTGCATGATTGATTCATTGCTTGTCTATTACGGTCAATTTAGATTAGAGGAGCTAGACTCCCGCTCAGGCAGCTTTTGCAATTTTCTATGTCTATTAGCTGAAAGGCCAGGGGCCAGAAGGGAATTCAGGTTGAGCCTGTATTACGGGAATGAACTGGAATGTACGAAAGCAATATTTTTTTCCGAGTCAATCTCGTCTTCTCGCACACATGTTGATCATGCTACACCCGAACTTTACTTTTGGGGCGGAGAATTGTTTGGGGTTGGAGGATGCGTATGCAGGAACATGCGTGATTCATACGACGAGGCTATGAAGAGTTGAACTCAGGCAGTCACGTTCACAAAGCACAACTGGACGGACTGACCGGCGCTGGATTTGCACACCGAGATAGATGAATTGGAAAGTCCGACAATATACAGATCCGTCTTCTGAGAATGACTGTTTTCTGTATGTTACTCTGAGGTTTTGCGGCGAGTGCGCTCAAAGGTGCCTGGTGTGCCTATGTGCGTCACAAGACTTATTCTTGGCTTGACATAATTCCTCAGAACAAAGGGTTTGAGAGTTGCTTCTGATTAGGTAGAATACAACAATCTATTTCATTCTGAGCAATTGTAATGTGTAATTGAAACTTGTGATTTTGGTGTAACACCGTACCTGGTTTTGGCGATTGTGCTGATTGCCGATACCGTGACACAGGATCTCACCTGCTTGACTCTATAATAAGTCTTTTTCGCCCGAGACTACTTGGTCTGCAAGCTGCATCTTCCGGCATGAGCCCCATTGTAGCTTGAGAGTTCAGAGTAGAATAAGAGGTCTAGGAGACTTGTCTACTTGCGGCGTAGCACTTTCTAGCTCGACGGTCACTCATCATTCAGACATGTTACTTTGCGACAATTTCTCAGATTCTGGAATTAACAAATAGAGCTGAATATTACATTCCATCCTCATATTACACGCTTGCCTTTGAAGTATCTACACGTAAACCCTTCCAGTTCATAAGTCGGGTTCGCTCGAACTTTACTCTCACCGATCTATCTGTTTAGAAGAGCGTGTCCAGCAAGTTTCAATAGACAGGATAGATCTTTCATGAGTTATATGCCAACGGCTGGAGTATGTATAACTGAAAACAACATCGCCGTTGCTTGGAATATGGAGGGAGAAACAAATAATGAACCTGGATGATTAATGAGAGTACTTTGTCAAGCCAACACGTGAGGTACTGTAAGCAAAAGTAGATGTACACCTAAAGAATGCAGTCAAATTCTGCAAACCGTATGTAAGAGCAGGTGAACATCGCCTGACGAGGGAATGAAGATCTTCGAATTCAGAACGGCTCGGAGATATGCAAAGTAGATCGTGGGTTTGTAATCGAGTTGCATGGGTTCTCCACTTGATATTCCATGGAGATCATCACGGTTCTACGGGGTAAGTAGATGAAGAGTGAATCATTGATCATCGATTAGGTATCAGACCTGTCGGCGTTAGATATGCTACTGCAGCGAAAGTAACAGAGCTCAAACTGCTCGATGATTGGCAATTATGCATGACAGATAACTTTACTGTCAACTAGAGAAATGGACCCAAAATTTCCTACGAATAGCATGCCCAAGTCTAGATTGCAATCACGACATTCGGTAACTAACAAGACATCTACTGAACGTCAACGGGACTACAGCGCAAGAGGATTATTGCATTACAAGAGCAAGAACGGAATCAAGGGTTACATTTCCGAAAAACGGAGAGTGATCAGCAGAATGATACATGTACGAATAAACGCTCAGAAGCAAGCCAGATTTGCATCCAGATCTCATCCCTTACTTCCTCGTCTCCATACACTCCCAGCTCTTTACAAAATGAAAACTCCGCAAACAATCAAGCAGAAAACTCTAGTTTAGAAACATCATAAGAAATACCAGCTCGGAAACCATAACCCCGATATCCATCCTCAGCCCTATCGCTTCCCAGACACCACCCCCGGTGAGATGACGTTCAGCCCAACGGCTGACACGTTTCCAGTGCTCTGCCCCTTGTCAAGCTGAGATGAGTGTCTCCGGACCTGGCATCATGTACGCCGTCAGACGTGCATATACCGAGAGGAAGGCGCTGGAATTTTTCTTGTGTGATTGTTCGGGGCGTGGGTAGAGTTGAGGTTCGGGGTTTCAAAGTCCATGGGGGTGGTTGTACGGCATAGTTGGCCTGTATTGTGATTTGAATGAGTAGGTTGGTTGGTGATTGCAAGTTGTCACGAATAGTAGAAGTGGCTCGCAGTACATAGTAAAGTAGCGTGCAGTGAACAAAAGCTGAGCCTATACACTTTGATAACAAACCGTAACGCGCCATAAGAAACACACCTAACAAAGTAAGTCTTCCAGCGAACCAGGTATCCCACCAACGACCCTTGACCCCATCATAAGATCCAGGAATAGTTCCTCCAGCCCTACAAGTGGGGTCCGCGAAGTGCAACGAAAAAGGACCCTTGTTTTGACGGATGGCCCGAGGAAGAGGCTGTGGTCGATCTTTCCCGGAATATCAGTAGTATGATGCATGCTGCAGCGAAGGACCTGAAAAGGGTAGAGTGACAGGAGTAGCTTCCCGAGGTTAATAACCAATTCCTCCGCTTTTTGATGTATTTGTTGTGGTCATGAACCTTGTGCGAACTCCGAATGAAAACATTGTATGGCTTTTATTAAGTGATGACACCAGAATTACTGTGGTGGGACTATCCAGCACCGAGAAGACTTCTGGTGAGTGGGCTAAGGCAACCACAATAACATCGGCTTGAAACGAAGGGGTCCACCAAGCCTGGAACCGCTACATAACGGTCTTGCATGCGCCTCGTGGCAATTCTTGAGCACGAAATCAAAGTTGTGGCGTTTGTCGCAGTGCTGGAGGCTGGTTTACGATAAAGGTGGTGTGGGGAAAAGTAAGCAGGACCAGAAGCGGCAAATGAGGTGAGAATTGGTTGACATGTCCGTTGGAAGGTGGCAACCGAGTATTCGGAGATGATGGACAGGAGAACATCTCCGATGTGTTGTGGGCATAACCTTAAAATGTTGATGATCATGGAATTTGAAGCGAATTTTTCTGGTTTCTTGATCCTTGAAGTGACTCGGTGTGATCCGAAACGAGTCAAGAGTATTATAAATGGTGCATACGTCGACATGGTCGAATTGCCTATTTAATCGCTAAGTATGAATTGCGCTAAATACTGTCAGGTTGTGTTTAGAAGAGTGGTAGATGAGTTGAGCAAAGATGAAGACGTAGAAATTGAAAATAGGACTGACGTAGTAACACAGCATGTGCATTCATTGATAGACCATCAACAAGCCATAATATCCACTAAGAATAATTTCCGCCTCTACGGTCGTAAACGGCTCCTGCTTAGCTAAGATAAGACGTTATAGAGTACCTCACCAGGATTCATCAGACAAATGCATCCCGAAACGTTCTAATATTCGGACGCTGTGCGAAGTTAAAGTCAACATGAGCTCCCTGGCTCCTCGCCCAGTCTATCGCATCAAGACTAATATGGTTACATTCGTCAAGTTTGAGATGCTTTATCCCACTCTTGACGAACCGTTTGACAGCCACGCCAGTGACGTTTGTGTAGGAGACATCCAACACCCGAAGATGTGGATAGCCCTGAACTACTCTCATCAAACCAGCTTCGTCAAGAAGCGAGGCGGCTAGTGAAAGTTCACGCAAGGTCAGACTCAGAGGGAATTCTTCCGCCCATTGAGCGGCGCTCATATGCCCAGGCTCGTGGACCAACCGATTTCCAATCGAGAGAACGCGAAGTTTACCGTGTTTGATGGAAGCTTCAAGTACTTCATTAACCCAAAAGCTGTCTAAGGGCGTCCCAGCACAGTCAAAGGTTTCGAGAAGTGGAAGTGATAGTGTTTTACCCTCAGGTATATTAAACCCTTCTAACTGCCGGCTGTCTCGGAGGATGAGGCGCCTCAGAGTTGCAGGGAGCATCGGTAACAGTGAGAATTCCGTGTTGCTGAGGTCGAGATCCTGAAGAGCTGTCCAATCCTCAATTCCATGGATATTTTGAAGACGCCAGCCCTTCAACGCTACCGACATGACCCCACTAGTAGCTTTGGCAAGCTCCGACTACGAGACGTTAGTGTTGTAGCAAGAATAAGTCATCGGTGGCTCAAATCTTCAAATTCAACAATCGCTGGACCCTGGCAATACATAGGGTTCTCATGAAGTTGTCTAGAAGATCACCTGGAGATTTGACTCACAACATCTAATAAATAGTCTCCCTCTGCCTTGAGGCATAAACTTTTCAACTTGGGAAGCATAGGCCAAGTCCCGGCACCGGCCAGCCTACTACCCTTGAGATGAAGAAACTTGACATGAGTTAAAGTTGTCCTGCAACATTCAAGTGCTTGTTGAGCAGAATTGATCCCTATAATAGTATTCTTCGATAAGACGATGGACTCTAGACTCTGTGCAAATGGGAGCGAAGCTTTCAGAGATTCTCCAATCATAGTACTTCCTCGGACCTCTAAGTACCTCAGGTTCTTGCAGCTTTTAGTCAGATAAGTCAATCTAGAAATACCAACAAGGCAACGATTAGAGAGTATAGCTCTGTCGAGCTTGTAGTTTGAGCGCTTAGTATATGCTTTTAACGACGAAAGGCTGACATTCTTTTTGGCGTAGGTCGTATCAAGAGTGGTCCAAAGTTTGGGTGAAGACTCTAGTAAGCGTTTCCATGGTTTTGAGACCGCAAGACAGACACTGAATATAGAATGGATTATCAGCAATTTATTCAAATAATGTCAGCTAAACTTACACTCTTTCTCGCACTGCCAGGTTGTGACATATCATTTCAGCGATCTCCAAAGGTAGATACTGCAACGGGTCAAGGCTCTTGCTGGGATTTAAAGCCCGCCTCACTTTATTGAACATGGTTTGGAGCAGCTGTTCTCGTCAAATGCCACTCCTGGATCACAACGGTTTGAAACTCACTGTGCGGTCATTGTCAGTTCCAATTTTGACCTTTGTCAATCCACGCTCGTATATCTTCAGCGCGAGTTCATCCTCTCCTTTTAGCTGTAGAATTTTACCACATCTTAGATAACCCTATAATGCAACTAAGCAATGTCCAGACGTTGACGGGTGGTGTGACAGACCTTCGAACTGTCCGGCTTTGTCTCAATCATCCGCTTTGCGTCTCTCAGAGCTGGTTGAAACTGTTTTAGTTTCTCATATGCTGCAGCTCTGTGGTCTAATGCAGTGAGGAGGAGATGTCCGGTACTCATATCAACTGCCTGATCACAGATCATTATTATTTGACTACAACACAAGTAAATTATAATCATAGAGGAAGGTGAAATAGACTACTGGTGGATTGTGGCTGCAATGGGAAACATTGACTGGTCTTACTTCTGTGAAGGGTGCCAAAGCCGCTTGATATTCTTTCTGCTGGTATTTGCGGCGCCCACGTTCCAGTGGACCCGTAACTACGTTCGGAGCCAGGTCCTTCATGGTGTAATAAATTTTGTAGTGGTTATGGTACTGCTGGGAGCCATGTTGTCGTCGCGTCTTGACGCGATGTGATTCGTAGGGCTAGCGAGAGTCGGGTGGGAAGTATCAGATCCTGTGAGTATATCACGTGACATTTACATATCCCGATTTCGGCATCATCTTGAATATCACACCATTTTTAACCATCAATGTAGGAATACCAAAAGTTAATCCCATAGCAGTTTTAAGGGGTACTGTCATGCTTTGATGCTTTACTCTACATCACATAATGGTGTGCTGCACTGTTAAATTTGACCAGAGGTATTATGTATAGCTAATCTATTGGTAAGGCATGTTCCGTAACTTGACTCGATGCGTTGATAAATATTCTTACCATCCAAGTAAACCAAAATATGGAGCACGCAAAAGTGGAGATTATGGTATATAGACTCTATTACATCACCATTGGTCTAACTCATAAGATAATATGATATGCGAAACATGTGACTATCTATACGAGAGACTGTCAATAGTGGCAAATACCACCAGCATTGTCATCTATGGTCCATGTGCCGGCAAGTCCGACATCAACGATAACTCCATCGTCCTCATCCACCTTCCCTAGGAAGAAATCGCCCTTACCCCTCGAATTGAACTCTCGACTTGCAACTCGTTTTGCCCATTGGTTCAGGGTTGGCTCTCCAGTCTCGTCTCGCGCTTGCTTGAGAAACGGGAGCAAGGCAGTGCCCCCAGTGCCTTTCAAATCCTTCTTTTCGCCAGGCTTTGCCTTGTCTTGACGCGAACCTGTAGCGATATTGACCTTTCTGCGTATCACCTCCGGACTCTTAGACCGCGAGCGTGATTCTCGGCTTTTGATAATGATGTAACGTGAGACAATATTAATATGCTTATCGCGAAATGCACGTAGCATGGCTAGGCACGCATCATATGCGGCCGTCAACTCGTCGTTGCGGCGATTGGACTCCACATAATCACGAATATTTGCAACACCAGTCATGTCTTCTAGAAACCTGCGGTGAGGTCCAGGCATGTATTTGCGCATTTCGAGCAAGAAATTATGCTTTGGTTGAGGAGCAATGCCTTCTTTCTCGGACTCCGAAGCCGCGTCCTTCTTCTCGCCTGTAGGACGGTGGGTAATTCCAAGCACAATGTCGAAAAATTGCAAAATGGAGCTTTGCGCATTGCTACCACCACTGTATTGTCTATACTGCTGTTCGCCCGAGCCATCTTCGTATATAACGCCATCGGGCAGTCCTGCATCCGCCATGTTCTTACTCCCAGCTAAAAACGGGCGAATACGATGGTAAAAGACGTGGGGATCACAGCCCTCGTGCATACGTTGCAACAGACCACCCAGATCATCGAGCCTTTCGGCGAAACGTCTTAAGCAGGCACTTACAGTTGCGCTGTCATTGACTCTCACAGCTTCCATTGCAGTAAGCATGAGGGGTAGAATCGGAGCTCCTCGAGCTTCGATGGCTACTGAAACCAGGTAAAACCATGATTCATCAATGGATCCGGTGAAAGTCGTAAGGGTCGCAAGATTCTCCAGATTGTCGACATGTTCGTCTGCGAACAATGGCTTGAAATTCCACAAGCATACCGCGGCATATGTCGCTACTGGCGGAACCTCAAGATAGTCCGAGATATGGAGTAGGGGAATCGATATAGCGGCTGGCAGACGCTATAGACCCTTAGTATACACAAACTCGGCGCAACGGACTGTACGAACCTCTGAAGGGCTATCACCGCCCCAGATGTAGCCATGTGCCATAAAGCATAACAGCGAATACGCCCTTCGCCATTCCGAGTCGTGTTCCAGACCGGCGGTCGAAAGAATAGGAAGTCGATCAATGACCCCGCGTAGACGCTTGCTTAAGATCAACCCTTGGAGATTTGCCACGACTGCCTCCCACTTGTTATAGTAGGGGTCCGGCAGTCTCTCGAGAGGCAACTCAGCTGGGAGAAAACCATATTCCGGGGAAATCCCATAGTCGCTGAGGACGGGAAGTGGAGGAAGCATGCTACTGAAGTATTGGTGGTTGGTAAAGAGATTATCCTTCCAGACGCAAGGAGTATACAGATCTTGTCCGATACTCCTCAGCCGTTGAATATTCCGTAAGGGTAAATGTCATGAAATGATTGAGACGAGTGAAAATGTCGAAATCCGGTGGGGGTGGTGGTCTGCTTTAAAGAAGGGTGTTGCGCCTTCCACCCCCACCGATTTCTAACGAGGCACACCAGGCCATCGAGGCTTTGTCAAATTCATTGCGGCTTCGGCTCTGGCGGGCGAAAAATGGAATCATCAAGAGCCCCTCTAACGGTTATTCGTGATTGGTCGAGCCACGGGCCTTCTTTTCCCCGTGATCCCCGCGCCTTATATAATCAAGAATCACATGCTTGCGTAGCTTGGCAGCCAGGTACGGAGTTGTCGCCTGGGATAGCTTCAATATGCAACAAAATGCGCAACTCAATGCAGGTATGGCCGCTGTACGGCAGCAGGTGCTGAACTGGCTGTATAGTGTGCTCACTAGTGTATGATGCCCTTGGAATGCCCGTAACAGACCATGCTGATTGTCTGGCCAGGAATATAAAGATGTGAACCGCACATACAATGATGTAGCGCAGACGTTGTCGCATTACTCCTCGTTATCCCCTCGAACCGACGTTTATAGTACGAAGCTCTCTGTCAAACCCGACTGGATATGCGCTAATGCTTCCTCTACAGCTTACGAGACTGGAAGTTCTGCTCTTCTCTTGCATCTTTCGGGTACAATTCCAGTCGACTTTCGAGGGACAACCTATCGATTTCCAATCGCATTATGGGTTCCGCATGGCTACCCACACGAACCGCCGCTGGTTTATGTGTCTCCAACGGAGGGAATGATGGTTAGGCCAGGCCAACACGTCGATCCACAGGGCAAGATATACCACCCATACTTGGTTGGGTGGGCAGAGTATTGGGATGTAGGTCTGAAGCTGGAAATGTACAAGAAGCCGATATTGATGCTTGTGTTGTAGAAATCCAACATCCTCGATTTTCTAGCGATACTGCGGGATATCTTTGCCAAAGAGCCGCCAGTTGTAGCCCGGCCACAGCAACCATCACGGCCTGCAGAAGCTGTAGCTAGCCCTCCACCACTTCCCCCACTACCCCCCGGAATTGGCCGTCCTCAGTCTATAGTCTCGAGTTCAAGCGATTCATCACGGCCTCCTCCTCCTCCACCAAAACCGCAGCTACAGAACTCGCCCGAATCCTTCAGACGAGATAGCGGACCGCCTCTGCCACCGTTACCACCTCAGACAGGACAGGATAGTATCAGATTCTCATCACCGGCCCATCAATCGCACAATTTCCATGGCCACGCTCCTCAGAGGAGTAGCAGTCTCAGATATGAGAGTGCCCCGCCACTACCGCAGCATCCATCACGTCAATCTGGAGGACGAGAAGCAAGTCCTGTTAGTCCAATAACGCCACCGCAGGATGCAAACAGGAGAGGCCCATATAACCCAATCTACGAAGGACAAATACCATATAATTCGCACCCACGCGGCAGTGTAGCTCACCCACCACCTCCTGGAAACAACACTCAATATATGCACCCACAGCAAGGACCACCGCCTCAGCAATGGCAGAATTACGGTCCTCCACAAGGTCCTCAGCAAGCTTTACAAAAGCCGCCGCCCATTCCAGATCTTCTAGATGCTCCATTGACACTTCCTGTTCCCACAGAGGCTTCGACTAACTTGCCTGCACCGCCTGTCCCTCCTAATCCGGAAAAGGACATGCTCCTTCACAATATTGGACGAGCGTTGCAGTCCCAGCGCCTTCATACCCGCACGCAAACCACATCCTCTCTGCCCGGTTTGGAGTCTCAACATAAAGCCATGCTTCAAGCTCTTTCTAATATGCAAGCGGAGATGGCCGCGCTTGAAAATCTCGATACCCTATTGAAAACGAATACTTCAATTTTGCACACGGCACTTCATGATGCGGACGCTGTGATCCAGTCATCTCAGCACCGGACCGCACCGAACGTGGATGAATTATTAGTTGCACCTACTGTTGTTGGAAACCAGTTATACGAATTGGTGAGTGAGGAGCGGAGCTTAGGGGATGCGCTGTTTGTCCTGAGTAGAGCTGTGGAACGTGGAAGAATAAGTCCAGCAGTGTTTGCGAAGATGACGAGAAGTTTAAGCAGGGAGTGGTATCTAAAGAAGGCTTTGGCTAAGAAGATTGGGGTTGGAATGGGATTGAGTACTTATTGATAATCTTTGCATATCACGCAAAATATAAGATATCTGTTGCGTGAAGCCCCTTCGGTTAAGTATGTATTTATTGGGGCGTTTATTTAGTGGGTAAGTGACAGACTTAAACATCCTCGAGTCTACCAAAGCCCGCGCTCGAAACATTGGCCTTTCTCGTCCCCGGCATCGAACTAGAAACCCCAGCTTTTTCACGACACAGCAACATCATCCTTTTCATCTCAACCAATCTCATGGGTTTGGGCTCCCGTAGCCCACATTGTGCCTCTTTGACCACCATGTCTAGCGACACGTTCGTGCTCGCTTGCAATATGGGCATGTCGTCTCTAGCAGTCAGATAGCTTGTGTTTGAGAAGTCCGAAGTCGCATCCTGAGGTAAGTTATAGAATTTTTCCTGTTGGGTTTTGCGTTTGCTACGTCGATTGTTCAGTAGATCATGTTGTACATCTTCGACAGTCTCCTGGATAGTCTCAGGACTAAGAGACTTGAAACTAGACTTGGTCGTCTTCCGAGTGGCCATTTCAAATATAGATTTTCGGCTGTGGAGAGAAGGAATATTATTTTTGCCTGAAAAACTTCGTTTCTTTCTTCGAGATTCAAGCCTAGCTTTCCTCTGAGCGATATCTTCGAATAGTTTTATCTTTTCACCCAGAAGTCTGCTCTTCAATCGTTGTCCTTTAGGTTCCTCTCGCTTAGTTTTGAGTGGTTGGACAACAAGAGACTCGGGAATCTCTATATGGGCTGTACTTGCGGTAACAGTCCCTGGGGGCGTCCGCAGTGTCTCGCGTATAGTCTTTGGTGAGATTCCTGACGTTCTACTACTAAAGTTTGGCAGAGGTGGAGGCGGCGGCGGGGAAGGCCGTTGACTTGGTTTCACGGTTCCTTCGCTCTCGACCAAACTAACTTCGTCTACGAGTGGTTTCGCAGGAGATTTGCTAGACAGCATTGTCTCTTCCTCAACCAGTATTTGCTTCTCAAACAACTTCTTCATTTCTAGGACGCGAGACGGACTAACATCGGCCGGCCACTTGGGTTGGGAAATGCCAGGACTGCTCATAACGTCTTTGCCGACTTTGCCTTTCTGTGGTCTTGTCGGTGTAGTTGGTATATGATCGTTGTGCGTATCGTGGGAGATTTCTCTCTGCCTCTCCATACTCTTAGCTCTATATAATGCTTCAATCTGATTGCCGACCTTTGCTCTAGTTGAGCTCAAACGCTTCCCAATTTCTTTCGAAGAGGCTGTATATCTACCTTGGCCGGATGAAATTGGGGGTGAACATGCAAGACTCTTGTCAATGACTGCCCCACCGTCGGGCGTGTTAAACATGCTAGCACGCAACGAACGCCGCGGTGAGGACTTCTTATTACTATCGGACCCTTGATAATTCTTTTTGGGGCTGATGTGAAGGCTTCCAGGCGGTGTTTTAGGTCCAGTCGAATACTGCGAACCTGGTCTTGTTCGAGAAACAGTTTCCTGCGTTCTCCATGGTGGTATTTCGTTCGCTTTCTTTGTAAAGGGAGTTCTGGGTGATATATTTTCGGCGTGCCATTTTTCCTGCCTTCCCAAATTTCGTCTTACTGAAGAATATAGCGCTTTCTTCTCTTCATGACACATTCGGGAAAGGGGGGTATGAGGAGTAGGAGTACTGATAAGCGAAGGCTTTGCTCTTGTAGTTCTGGGGCTAGAAAATGCTAGACCAAGAACATCATCAGCTCATCATTGAAGCATAGCTCAAAATGTCAAGTTGAAGACGTACCACCATCATAAAACCGAATCATGTCCTTGATACTCTTTCCCCTTTTTTGTGACCCGCTTTCAATGGAATTCATGCCTCCACTCCAGGGCTGAATACGAGGTTTGGTGGGCGAACTCGACCTACTCCTTCCCCTTCCATTACCTAACAGTGAACTCCTTGATCTTCTCGAACTCAAGTTTTTCTTGGACAAGTTTCTCCACGAACTTTTCACTGGCGTTAATTTCCTGATTGTACCCGCGGTTTCCTGTTCGTTAAATATGCTCTCCGACTCTTGTTCAGGATGCGTATTCTCCTGAGTGTCATAACGAGTCTTTCGGCCGGTCGGGGTATGGTTGTCTGGACTGAAAACGGTATCCAATTTCTTCATATGCCCAGTAGCGCCTGTTTCTCCTCGTCTTTTCACGGAGTTATGTGAGACCTGAAGTGGAGCGGGTTGCAGGGCCGGAATCTGGCAGGGCAAACTGACAGCATCGAGGGCTTCGAATTTACTAATGATGGAGAAAAGGTTGAGTGACGAGGTACGTGTTGGTCGAAGGGCTGTATTGGATATGGGTTTCCTCGCGGTGGATTCCTGAGAAACTGCAAGGCGTACCGGAGAGCCTTGATTTGCTGTGGACCTCAATGGCGTCTTTAATTTTTGGTGTGCTTGGTCTCGAGTACTGAACGGAGAGTAAGATGTGTTAAATCTATTATTCTGCAACATGTTGTATATGCTGTCCTATTCAAAGCAGTGCTAAAGTTAGTAGTCAGTGGACAGATGATGAGTTCCTGCTCTCAAAGATTCTTGATACGAGTACACCACTAGCCACAGAACTTCAATCGCTCCTTCCATAAATGTCACATTATGAGATACTCTTGGGACCACCAGGGCACATCAGGCAAAATGTCCCAGAATTTATTTTCATAATTTCGGTGAATCGCGAAGATTGATTTATAATTTATTATGCGAGTGTGCGATTATGTAGAAATGAAGTATGCAAAGTAGAGTGATTCTGTGATAGACAAAAGAGAATAGAAATTTGTTTCCGTCAATCCCTATTGCTACACTTGGGTGCGTTCCATAGACGTACCAAAAAGAGAGCTGAGGCTGTGTTAAATCTAGCCTATTTCAACAGAGCTCATAGTTATGTCGAGATTAAACGCCAAAGTAATTTATGTAAGAAGAAAAAGGTTCAGTAAGTCCGTCTTGTAAGTTGCCTCTCTCATCCGCGTAAAAATCCAAAGGAAACATCACCCAGGCGGACGTCCATGAGAAAGGTCCTTTTGCGATTTGCCGTAAGTATGTGACAGCCAAAGTAATCTGAAGAGCTTCCCAGCTTCTGCCGTAATAATTAGCTACCAAGTTTGCACTTCTGAAAAAAATCTTGGCTCACTCACCAACAGCTGTGTTCACAAAGCACGGCTTTCAACAATTACAGTGTTGGTGACATTGACCCCACCAGGCCTCAGAGCTCGTTCAATGTCAACGTCGTCAGTGTAATCACTCGTCGGCCGTGACTCTCTTCTTGAAGAACTCATATTTCGCGCTGACCTATGCGAGTGCTCAAAAGTGGTTGAGACACTGGTGTTTTTGCTGCCAATTCCGCAATTGGGACATGAATCCGGATCGCTCCACAGAGTCTCGTATTTCCGGTTCGATGCCGCATCCTTGGAGCGTTTGGTGTCAACTTCACCTTGCTTGACGTTTTGGGCCCACAAAGATGTCAATGGCAGGAGTATTGCAGTTAATGCGAGATAAAATGATCCAGCTTCTGGGAATTTGCGAACCCGTGCCATCTGAATGATGGCAAAAATAGCTACAGATTGGTTAGGATGAGTCTGATCATCTGTTATATTTGGCTTACTGGGTATGAACATTGTATAGAATAGCCCAATCACAATGACCTCAAGGAAGACTTGACGGCCCCAAATAGTTTTACTTCGAACCCAAAGCATCATGACTAGTTTGCCAGTAAAGATTCCACAGAACCACAAGATAGTGACCAACTCAGATACCAAGACTGTTCGGGTGAGCCATTTCGCATGAACAAAGTTACTCTGGCCATAGATCTCTAAGATATTCTCCACTCCCATAATGGTCCGGAAGGTTAGGGAGAAGAAGAACAGAAACGCCGAGATTCCAATCATTGTTTTGTTGATCCATGGCTTGAAATGAGATTGCCGTGTGATGCCATGGACTTGTAAGACCAAGGAAAGATTGATGGTTGCCGTAAGAAAAACAGAGCTGATGGCACCGATCGTAACAAGAGCATTATCGGCAGCCCTAACGTAGCTATAGTCGTATGTGTTCAGTGCGTAAAAGGTGTTGAAGTTCGATCCGAAAAAGATGATAAATATCAATCTCGAGATGCAACATAGGACGAGTGACGCTACATTAAGAATGAATATGGCTTGGTTTCCTGGCTTCCGTGTCAAGAGCAACACTGCCATCAACATCACAGCTGCAGCACCCAACTGCACGGCATAGCAAGCAGAGGCACTCAGCGTGTAGTATGCCTCATAGTTGATATCGGCTATACTGACATTGAAAGGCGTTTGGGTGCGATCCAAGATAGTGATGTTCTGCTGGAGAGGATCAAAACCAGATCCAGGAGTTGTAGACATGGCTGATAAATGGAGTGCTGGCTTGGGTAGCAGAGTTGACGAGTGCTACTTTTCTTACTGTGGGTGTTCAGTTAGTGCAATGGCATTTTGAAGTCTAGTAACTTACCCAGCCTCCTTAAGTAGATATCACTACTATCGTCAGGAAAGCAGTGCTGTCAAGCGCTTCAGAGGTCTGGCCCCAGCAGTTGTAAAAAGTTAAGCTGAGAAATATACAGCAGTCTCGTCGTTGTTACTTTCCAATTGGACCTTGAGATGAATATGTTGAATTTTCCGTGTTGGGCTTATGTACTGAAGATTATAGAGGATAGATCAGTGTTGCTCTCCAGAAAAGATTTCAGCTGCGTTGTTTGAAATCCAAATGACACTTCGTTGAAGTTTCCGACTGATTGCTAGACCATGTTGTGTTGTAGATAGAAACCCACCACCCAACGACGAGATTACCTGGTGATATACACTCGATACATTGGCAACAATGCTCAAAGGATTCAGATTGTTGCCAACCATAATGCAAGATTTGCGCCATATTCAGACTTGAGTCTAGAGAGGAGAATAATACGAAGAAACAACAATCATGTCCGAAAGGGGGTGGTGGCGATTCGGATAAATAACTTTCCCGACCGCTTCATATTGTTCTCTGCAAACGAAAAAGCGACAACCCTTCGGAGGCGTTTACAGTTCTCTACCGTCATACTCCTCATATTGTGTGATTATCTACTTAGTTGGGGCCTCCTGCAAGTAGCCGTCACCTATCATCCTTCTGCGGCTAATGGCGGTGGTTCAGATCTCCTTGGACCTCGACTAGGACCACTGCTACCGAATCTCGCTTCTAGTCACTTCACTCTATACCCCAATTATGAGCGGCCTACTGGAGGGACTTGCTCGGTCAGTTAGACTTGTAAGGTTGATTTTTTGTAAAGTATTCAGCGGGAAATTATCTCATTAAGAAGATCATGCTTGTTCTCTCCGGCGTCCCAGGCCGACGCGTGGAAAGTTGTCGTTTCCAAGACATACCTGTATCCGTCGCGGGCTTTCAGGCCTAAACCTCAAGAGGCCACTCGTGTCCCGCTGCTTATTATGGTGCACGGAGGCGGGTTTGTTATGAACAACCCGTCGGTTGACGATCCCCTAGCACGCTTCCTGGCAGATACTTGCAAATGTATTGTCGTTAGCATTGACTATCGCAAGGCGCCGAGACATCCTTTTCCAGCGGCATACGAGGACATAGTCGGATCAATTCTAAATCTCTTTGGTGATGGTGGAAATGACTTGCTAATCGATTAGGACAAGGTCATCCTGTGCGGATCTTCAGCCGGCGGTAACTTGGTTCTTGCTGCTGGTCAAGACTCTCGACTTCGTCAAAAGTTGCTGGGAATTGTTGCTCTCTATCCCGTAGCAAGTCTCATTCCTACCGCGGAGGTTCAAATGGCCACGCGTCCAGATGCCAGTGTCCCGGATTACATAGGACCTATGTGGAACGATGTACTGGATATCTATGCAAGCACAACGGACGTTGCGGTTTTTGAGGGCCCAGGCCTAGTCCAACGAATCCCGAGAAGCGCAGTGATCTGCCAAGCAATGTATTTCTGCTTGGATGTGAACATGACATGCTCTACCACGAGGCGAAGGTGATGGCCGATAAACTAATCGCGGCAACTGCTTCCAACTGTGAAAAGACATCAGATGGTCAAACAACCGGAGGTGTATGCTGGACTCTTATTCAAGGACAGCCTCATGCTTTTGACCATTTTGCAGCGAAAAGTGCAGAAAAGGAGGTCAAGAGAGTACGTGACCGAGATTCGATGTATCGGGATATTGCGCAGTGGGTCAAATATGTTTCTGGTACCGTGTAAGACAACAGACTCAGGTCAACAGTTCTCGCCAGCGCAAGTTGAACTGTAAGAGTCGTAAGCGGTATGCTCTACAGCGGAAGTGCGACGTCGTAGTTTGTTACAGACTAGCCATCCACTTGTTGATGAACGCACTTCAAGGTATTTAGTATGTTTGCTCAAATGTGGGTGATCCTAATGTTTCGTAGCTTGCCCTTTCCCAGCCTCATTGGTGTGAAGCCGTATGCTGTCGCTTTAGACCGGTACGGTCCAGAAAACAGACGCTTATTGATGAATTATTCATTGGGCTGGCGTACTCCTAATGAATTAGATTGAAAACCCTGATTGTCTGCCTATGCATTTTACAAAGAATTACGCTAAGTGAAATTGGATTCTTATTATACGTTGCTTCCATATACCGCCAGGTACACTCATGAGAAATGATTGCACTTAGAGCTTCAGAACCTTTGTACGGAAATCACAACAGCTGCTCAGCGTATCGTGGAATGCCCAGCCATTAAAATCGAGGTATGTTGCACCACAAGCCAGTGACACTCAGTTTGTCATCAGAATTTCAGCCTTCCTACCAAGAGGACGTAGAGCCGTGCTCCGTGAAGCTTATCGGTCTCAGTACAGACTTGACTAGAGGAGACCGCTATTACAAGAGTAGCTGGCATTTTCAGATTCTCGTAGCTATGGGAGAAGGGGAAGTATGAAACGTCTTCTAAAACTGCTGGTATTGAAGTCATGTGTCATAATCGTACAAAAGATCAGTGTGTCGCAAGTCTGACGGAACACCTCTTTATGGTAAATCAACGATATAACCTGTCCAAAAAGCTATACTGATTGATCTGTTGACGGATTAGGACTTTATATGATTATATCTACTATTTCGATTCCGGAATCTCCGGTTGGTCGTTACGCGACCCATATTCTTCTCCATTGAAGAGACGAGCCTGGCTGACTACTAGACTACAACCACAATCCAAGTGGCCCCGAAGTGACAATGCTCATTTCCGAGAACAATAAAGACATTACGATCAGGAAATCACCCAGCATCAAGTGTAAATACATGCTTCAAACCGACAGGAGGGGGCAGTCAAGTCTGTAAGAATCGTGCAGTTCGTCGACCGAGACGTTGAGAATGGCATTGTTTATTACTTGCACAGTTAGGTTATCCTTGACTTTGGAGTTGGCTTTCTTTGGAATTGGCTTTCTTTGGAATAGAGAGCATTAAAGGTCAAAGCCGAGCTACACCCGAGTCTTGGAAGCCGCCGCGCTCCGTAAATTTTAGGGGGCCGGAGTAGCATGTAAGCGATGCCGGAGGAAGCAATTAAATTTTCTCGAGGACTCGAGGACTCTGTTCGGGTCATATATTGCATGTACGAGTAAAGGATTGTCACTCTCAATCTAGACTTCTGTGAGAAACAGCAGAATCGAAGCTGATTGATTCATCTGGCGTCTCGCTCCACCATAACTCGAGTTTCATACGACAAGTACACGCCCAGCTGAGGAGCCATCACAGCAAACCATACCGCGCGAAGAATTAGAGGGCCATTGCTCTTGTTACTCGTCTTCCTGGGCACCCTGGCTAGCTTCCCCAAGTACCGTCCTTGGGCTTGGAAATAGTTCTCAAAGGAGCAAGAAAATCCACCAGAAAGACAGACCAGAAAGAGCTGTTCCTGCAAAACATTAACCCCTGTTGACTCGGAGAAGCCTCGGCCCCAGATTCAAGCTGGCATCCCGAAACATCTACCCCGCCATCAAAATGGCTGCTCGTGAAAGATTGACGGCGATATCCAAACACCTGGATCATCGACCGTTAGCAACACCACGGTCACCAATTGGCAACAGCCCCCCCAACAATCCGCCCTTCCCTTCAACTCGATCATTATATACAGAAAACAAACCAAAAATGTCCACACAACCAGAACACCCAACTCTCCTGATTCCAGGTCCAATCGAGTTCGATGACGCAGTCTTGCAGTCTATGAGCCATTACAGGTAAGTTCCAGACACTGTTGATTTTTCATAACTTTACTATACTCCTGCATACTAAAAATTCGTAGTGAAAGTCATGTGGGCCCTGCATTTGTTGCGACATTCGGAGAAACATTATCAATGCTGAGGAAGCTGTTTCAAACTACCGATACAGCCTCTCAACCATTCGTTCTGTCTGGATCTGGTACATTAGGATGGGATCTGGTCGCAGCAAATTTGGCAGAACCTGGAGATGATGTTTTGGTTCTGCATACGGGATACTTCGCAGACTCATTCGCGGCATGTTTCGAAACCTACGGCGCGAAGCCGACACAGTTGAAGGCTCCTATCGGGTCAAGACCTCAATTACCAGAAATCGAGAAGGCTCTTGGGGAGAAAAAATATAAGATATTAACCGTTACACACGTTGATACGTCAACCGGGGTTCTGAGCGAACTTAAAGCTCTCTCCGAGTTAGTGCACAGAGTGTCTCCCGAGACGCTGTTGATTGTGGATGGTGTGTGCAGTGTTGGAAGCGAGAACATTGAGTTTGACAACTGGAAGCTTGATGGTGTTATTACTGCCAGTCAAAAAGGCATCGGATGCCCAGCTGGTCTTTCGATATCAATGTACAGTGGGCGTGCCATGGACGTGTTCAAGAGTAGGAAGACGCCACCAGGTTCTTATTTCGCTAGTATGAAGAACTGGTTACCAAGTAAGTTCTCATCGTGGCTTTCGGTGGCTTTTCCACTTACTTTATCTAGTCATGCAAAACTATGAGGCAAAGAAGCCGTCCTATTTCGCAACGCCATCACCACAATTGATACACGCACTTAATACGTCCCTGACTCAAATCCTATCTAGGCCGCTTTCGGATCGATTTGCTGCACATCAGGAAGCTTCTCAAAAAATCAAGAAAGCTATAGCTGATCTCGGCCTGAAACAATTAGCCACAGACCCTGCAGACCAGGCGAACGGCATGACTGCGATCTATCTTCCCGAAGGAGTGAAGGCCCCAGAACTTTTACCTAACTTGTTCAAGAAAGGTGTCGTATTTGCTGGAGGCCTGCATAAAGAAATTGCTGCAAAGTACATTAGATTTGGCCACATGGGTGTCAGCGTTGTAAGCAGCTACATTTGATAGACAAAGCTGGAGTAATTTGCTAACTTCTTGCTTAGACTGACCCAAAACGAAACGACATCGACAAGGCCATCAAGGCATTGGAGACCGGACTTTCTGATGTAGGCTACCAAAAAGCATAGAATATAGAACTGTACTTCTCCTCGGTCCCTAGTCGATCCAAAAAGGAAACTCAAATATTTTCGCTTAAGCTTTTCCTTCCACGTTCCGGAAATGATGAAATACATTGGTGCAATTGCGCAGACTTTCCCATGCTACTGGATGTCTCTCTTAACCTTTCCTGCATCCAGTCACGACGCGTTCTTACGGTTGAAGCAAACGCCATGAATGTGTTCGCGATCTTGTGGCGTCGGTAAAGCTCGAGCACGTGCTGAACAAAAGGAATAACAGGAAGAAAGGTAGGCGAGATGGCGCTTCTCAATGGGCATCATTTACTTCATTCTTTCTGCTTTTGTAAATGTCTTTCACTCTGAACACACTTTCCTCTCTGGAGTCTAGATTTACGCGGAAGATTCGGGGGTAAAAATTGATCACCACGAGGTTGGCCACGGCAATCTCCTTTTCTCGACGTGGCGCGTCCAATGGAGCGCTGCAGTTAAGGTGCTATCAATACTCTGGAGTTCACTGGTAGCTCAATAAGTCAAATCAATGAAATGAGACAGGCGTTCAGCTCGGTTGTTATGGCGGAGAACCAATATGGCGTTTTGATGGCGCAGAAGTTGTATAAGAAGGTCATCCCAAGACTTGAATAGATTCGAGAAACCATCCACTCGCTTTACTTCCTACTCATCCACAAGAATCTCTAGAATCTTCATTCTACTTCCGCTTACCCACCATGCGCATCTCATCTCTCCTCGTTGTTTGCGTAGCCGCTATTGCTACAGGTCAAAGCACCACGGTAAGTTGATCTCCCCCTTCGAAATCCAGTCTTTGCTTGTGCACTAGCTAACATATCAAAGTCATCTACTCGTGCTGCCTCGACAACAACAGCTCTATCTTCCTCGTCCAGCAAAGCTTCGTCCGTATCCGTAGCATCGGTCTCCTCCTCCTCCACCCGTGCTTCCTCCTCGTCCCTAAGCACCAGCATCTCCTCCTCAAAGGCTGCAAACGCTTCTACCACCGCTATTGTCACAGCAGTCTCTTCAACCATTAAGGTCTCTACTACCTCCAGTACTACAACCAGCAAGCCGGCAAATGCAACATCTTCTGGTGCCGCGGCAAGCTCTACCGCAAAACCTATCCAGGCCAGTGCTGCCAACAAGGAAATGAGCATCGCAGGTTCGCTAGTAGGATACCTTGTCTTCATGTCAGCAGGTGGAATGGCTCTTGCATTATTGTAGAACTGGAAATAGACCTGAGAATCGATACATGTTTGGTATGAGAGTAGAGGAAAGCAAGACATGGGTTGTTGTTAATTATGAGGTGTTTGGGAGAGGAATTGTTGTGCTTGTTTGTGCATAGAGTGAAGGATTGATAATGGCATCTTTCAAGTTAGTTATTGTACATAAACTTTGTCTCCAATTGAATTCTCCTCCAGCTCTCAAGTCTCCTTTCTCCTTGTTATCTTGAACTCCCCTGTAGAGACTGTAAATCTCATTGTCAACAATATATTCTTAACGCATTTCACGTACAACAGACTTATTGAAATTTGACCGCGATAGGTAAAGTTACTTTCTCTACGGAGTAATGATTTAAATGGTTTCCCAACTTATTTTCTGTCAGTAGGTTGAGTGACACCACTAACATGAAGTTTTTAAAATTCATATATTAAAACTGTACAGTAATCAGTAATCAGTCTATGATTAAGAAGAATATATCTCAGATTTAGATCTAAAGTCTTGGACAGGATAACCTTAAATTCCATAATGAACTTAAACATGATTTTAAGACACATTTCGTCTATCTAGTATCTAACAATATGTTGCACCTTGTAAGTGCTGAGATTTGATCTTACAAGGCTAAGCTATAGGATTCCTAATTATCCTCTCAAATTAATTCCGAATCACAATTCAGTGCCCGAAATGTCTATAGTTTTTGTACCTTCTATGTTATTGTCAGGAAGGACTTCACCTGCTCTAGTAGATGAATCCTCATACGTCTCACGTGATGTCGAGCTTAATTCGCGCTAGCGGATCTCTGCCTGCAATGCTGGGCAGACCGACGGCGTTCCCAGCCTCATTTCTGCCCCACCAAAGATCACTACTACGCATCTCTAGGTCAACAGAACATTTGCAGCAGATTACAACACTACTCACGAACCCGGTTTCTCTCAGCGTAAGCTGCACTCTCGCAGACTTCGAGCGTATCGACGCCTATCCTTTCGAAGAAAAGGTGACATCTTCTGTATATCAAGCGGCGAAGATGGCTCCAACGATTGAAGAGCTTGACGCGACTGTTCGCGGCTTCTACGAGGGCCGTGGAGAATCTGTAAGCCGTACCTTGACACTAATATGGTGCATCTAACTCAAGGATATATGTACTAACGCATTACGTGTGTAGCAAAAAGTAGCACAGGCTACCCTAAACCAGGTACGAGACTTTGCGCCCATGATACTCGCTCGATCCGCTTAATCGCTGACACTTTATATCAGTTCAAGGAAGATCCAGATGCTTGGTTGTTAGTTGATAAGATATTACAGGAGGCAACATATGAGCAAACCAAATGTATACTTTTCCAAAGTCGCACGGATTTTTTAAATGTTTGCTGACAAACTGCAGACTTGGGACTGCAAGTACTAGACAACGTTATATTAACTAGGTGGAAGGTCTTACCCAAAGAACAGTGTCAAGGTGAGCAGGGCTGTCTTCAACTCCAGCCGGCGGTGCTAACAACTCTAGGCATTCGAAATTTTGTCGTCAGCTTCATTATCCAATGTTCCAGCTCCGAAGAGTCTCTAAAAACCCAACGAACCCTCCTAAACAAGCTCAACCTCGTTCTCGTTTCGATCCTTAAGCAGGAATGGCCTCACAACTGGCCCACCTTCATCAACGAAATAATCTCATCGTGCCATACCAGCCTATCAATATGCGAAAATAACATGGCGATTCTGCGGCTTTTGTCGGAGGAAGTATTTGATTATTCGGCTGACCAGATGACTTCTGCAAAGACCAAGAACCTGAAAACGACTATGTGTGCAGAGTTCTCCCAGATTTTCCAGTTGTGCAGTGATGTGCTTAATACGGCCACACAATCGAGTTTGATCAAGGCTACGTTGGAGACCCTTCTTCGATTTTTCAACTGGATTCCTCTTGGCTATATTTTCGAAACCCCAATAATCGACACACTTCGCACAAGGTTCCTTGAGACCCCCGAGTTTCGAAATATTACGCTGAAATGTTTGACCGAGATTGGAGGCTTGCAAACAGGACAACAGAATTCATATGATGAGAAGTTGGTGTCAATGTTCACCGAGGTCCTGACCACCATTTCTAAGATCATCCCCCTCTCTCTGGATCTAAAAACGACATACAGCTCCAGTAATTCCAAGGATCAGGAGTTCATCCAAAATCTTGCTTTATTCCTTACCAATTTCAATGGTGTACATTTGAATGTAAGTAAAAGTTCGACACATATGCCTATCTATCTAATTTCTTGAATAGCTCATCGAGAACTTGCCGAACCGAGACTTCCTTACTCACGCACATTTCTATCTTATCCGTATCTCACAAATCGACGATCGTGAGATCTTCAAAATCTGCTTGGAGTACTGGACGAAACTGGTTCAAGAATTGTATGAGGAGATGCAGTCACTTCCAATATCCGATTCCAACCCTCTACTCAACATGGGGGTCAGTGGTATTTCGAGCTCTGGTGCACCAAACCCAAGTGTTCTTGCCAATTACCCTTTGCGAAAGCACAAATATAATGAAGTCCTTTCCAATCTTCGAGTGGTCATGATTGAGAAGATGGTTCGACCAGAGGAGGTATTGATCGTTGAGAATGACGAGGGTGAAATCGTGAGAGAGTTCGTGAAGGAGAGTGACACCATCCAACTGTACAAAACAACCAGAGAATGTCTCGTCTACTTAACTCATCTGGATGTTGTGGACACCGAGAACATCATGACAGACAAATTGGCTCGCCAAGTGGACGGCTCTGAATGGTCATGGGCCAATTGCAACACCCTGTGTTGGGCTATTGGATCCATCTCATTGGCCATGAACGAAGAGACCGAGAAACGATTCCTCGTCACTGTGATCAAAGATCTCCTCGGCCTCACTGAAATGAAGCGTGGCAAAGACAACAAAGCTGTCGTGGCTAGTAACATCATGTATATTGTCGGCCAATACCCCCGGTTTTTGAAAGCTCATTGGAAGTTTTTGAAGACCGTCGTCAACAAACTTTTCGAATTCATGCACGAATCTCACGAAGGTGTACAGGATATGGCTTGCGACACATTTATCAAGATCGCTCGTCAGTGTAAAAGACATTTCGTTGCATTGCAACCTGGGGAAAATGAGCCATTTATTGAGGAAATCGTTCGAGGAATGCGCAAGATCACCTGCGATTTATCGCCCCAACAGGTTCATACATTCTACGAGGCTTGTGGATACATGATTGCTGCACAACCTCAAAAGAACGCCCAGGAGAGACTTATTGCCGAACTGATGTCCTATCCCAACGCAGCATGGGACGCTATCATCCAACAAGCCACCGAAAACCCACAGATACTACTTGATGCAGATGCGATCAAGGTCATCGGAAACGTCATGAAGACTAATGTGTCCGCTTGCTCTTCCATCGGCACATATTTCTATCCTCAAATTGGCAGGATTTATCTTGACATGTTGTCTATGTACCGGGCGACAAGCCAAATGATTTCTGAAGCAGTTGCTCGTGATGGTAAGAATTATTCCATGTTTGTAGAACCACCCTTAACGTATACTAGGTGAAATCGCGACGAAAATGCCCAATGTCCGTGGTTTGAGAACCGTCAAGAAAGAGATTCTTAAACTTATTGAAACATACGTCGAGAAAGCTGATGACATCGATATGGTCCGCAAAAACATCGTACCCGCGCTTTTGGACGCTGTACTTGTCGATTACAATAGAAATGTTCCCAATGCAAGAGATGCAGAGGTTCTCAAGGTCATGTCAACAATCATCACCAAATTATCTGTACGTTGGACCCCTTTTCGCTCGAAATACTCTGTGGTGCATACCCTTTTTCTTCAGGGATTTCTGAATTAATCCTTAATCAATCTGCTGATCTGTTTTAGTCTCTTATGGAAGATCAAGTTCCAATCGTCATGGAGAATGTCTTTGAGTGTACCTTGGAAATGATTAACAAGGACTTCTCCGACTTCCCTGAACATCGCGTCGAGTTTTTCACCCTTCTTCGTGCTATCAATCTTCATTGCTTCCCGGGTAAGTAATCTCTTGTACATCAACGTTTCACACTTGGGCTAACACTAAACTTGTCATAGCTCTTCTCAAACTTGACAACAGGCAATTCAAGTTTGTGATTGATTCTTGCATGTGGGCAAGTAAGCACGACAACCGCGAGGTTGAATACGCTGGCCTTAACATGTGTCTTGAATTAATCACTAACATTGCGGAGACGGATGCCAACACATCTGGCCAATTCTTCCAGCAATTTTTCGTGCCAATCCTACAAGATGTTTTCTTTGTACTTACCGACACAGACCACAAAGCTGGTTTCAAGTCACAATCTAGCCTACTCGCACGCATGTTCTACTTTGTTGGCCCGGCAGATGGATCCGTACCAAAAATACAAGGGCCTGTGTACACTCCAGAGCAAGCGGCTGCTGGCACAAGTAACAAGGACTTCTTGGGCAATTTCGTCTCGGAGCTTTTACACAACGCTTTCCCGAACCTACAACCGTGAGTACACTGACTTCTGCTAAGGATTCTTCTAACCGTATTTAGCGCGCAAATCAAGGCCTTTGTGGAAGGCCTGTTTACCCTCAATAACTCCTACGACCGGTTCAAACTCAATCTTCGCGATTTCCTCATTCAATTGAAGGAATTCTCTGGAGACAACACCGAACTTTTCGCCGAAGAAAAAGAGCAGCTTGATAGAGACACGAAAGCCGCAGAGCGGGAACGGTTGTCTAAAGTCGGTGGTCTATTGAAGCCAGCTGAGCTTGCCGAAGACGATGATGAGTTGTGACTCAACGAGGAGTTCAGAACCGAACACGGCAATTCGCATTTCCGCGACGAACCGCCTACGACAAAACATCTGTCTACACATGCCGGCCAAGCCATGGATGGTTGGGCCATGTACGATCTGTAATCGTCACTTGACTCCAGCCAACGCATACCCAAAAATCCAGCATCGCCATGTGCTGAACCTCCGATCATGTTTTTTTCACTTTGACCCAATTCTGCGAATCTTATACCACGTACAGGGGCGTTATACCTGACATGGAGTCGGGTCTGGATCGAGATTGATGTTGTCTATCCAAAAAAGCTTTTTTATGTCTAGATTACTTTACTCCAATTTACATTTGCGACTCGACCCACGCTTGCATTCGCGAATACGATACGGCCATGATACCTCTTTCTTTGGTGATAGTAGGGTTCAGGAAAGAAGCATGGATGGATGGGTGGGAAAGAGGATGGGGGACAAATGAAATATGTGAACATAGGCATTTATGTAACAGATGACGCTTACGAAGCGTAAATGATGGTTATTCTCTTCCATTTGACACTCGGCTCCTTTTTTTTAATTGAATTCCCGTGGAATGATTTCTCTTGTGAACGCCAGGTGCCGACTTATTGAGTGGAGCCATTTGGGTCACCAGTATCTGACGCAAGTCTTTGCGCACCTCAAACATTCATTACTACAAAACTCAACATGACAATCATATATCGGAGATCTGAAACCACAAAGATGTTCTTTAAGTCTCAGGCTGTATACCACAAGAAAGTCTTATATCAAAAAGTTGTGCTGATAAAACTTCAGTTGCGATCTTGGACTGCGTAGAGAATTGTGCCAGACACTGGTGTTGTGTCTTGCGTCTTTCTCGCAGGTTTGAACTGTGTGGATCAATATATGTGAAAATAATTGCATGTCGTACCAAGCTGCCTGACCACTTCATTTTGATTGTGGATATTCTTTGATAATCGTGTAATAACGTAGTAATAAAAGAATATGAGCTGGTCCTTTGATCTGTTAAGATAAGTGTCTATATCATCCGCGTAGCATCCTCCACATCTCTAATGGACCTCTGAAGATAAATCAAGCCTGACATAAGAAATATTACCCCTGAGCTGAAATATATCCAGTGATACACATGATACAAAAATAATCTACTATGCCCGTATAAACAGCTCTTTTCTAACACAAACCATGTCCACGGTCCACCAATAAAATCTCCACAACACACTTAATAGCAGCTCTCATCTCCGCTGCTTTAGTATCCTTTCAAATCCCTCCCAAAATGTCGATTCGTTACGGCTTGCCCCGAATGTAGCTACCCGTCTGCAGCACCCAGCGTGATGATTTTTTGACGTCGTGACGCGTCTACCCCACAGAAGGGCTGAAACATTCGGATGTCGAGGAGGTGGAAGCGAGTGAGGTTGGGAATGTGAAGGCGAGTGGACTTGGAATGTGGGTGATACGGGTGGGTGCTTCACGTGGGGGGGAGTTGGATGTAGAATATAAAAAAGGGTTTGGGAGAGACGGGATGACGGGTTGGTCGTTAAATCAACGTAGAAGGCTGACTTGTCATTAGCAATGGCCACGTGCGAAGCTCGTAAAGGGGTGGAGATGTGATTGATAGGCAGCTTTAACGGAGGTAAGGGAGGTAATTTGGGCACCGAGAATGATGTAACGTGTCTAATATCAAGACCGCAACTTGCCCGTTTCAAGGAGATGTATCTAGAAGAGTGATAACTCAAAAATTATGTGCGAGTGTCCGAAATAAAGAAAGTCAATGACTTAGTTGGTGAAGAAATGTATGTCTCGTTGTACGAGATATTCCCGACTCAAGGGATGAATATGCACGGTAATCATTGGAACACGCGAGAGCCATGTTTCTGCATCTCAACGGCTTGAAAAAAAGAAATTTGTGAGATGAATATGATAGAGATAACAAGGGTCAAAGTTCAATTGACAGCATTGGCCTTGATCAGACAGCTCGTCTGCAAGCAAGCAAGCCATTACATACTGCGAAGAAGCACGGCAAGAATAATGATATTTTGAGAAAACGTGGCATTCAAACATGAAACTTCTGATATGTGACGAGAATGAAGACTCGCTTGGAGATGGAATACATCTCGAAGGCTGACAGCTCACAAACCTACGCCAGGGACTAGAGGCATAGCTGCGCCTGTTTTTCGTTCTTTGAATGATATTCTGCAAACCCACAATTGTATTCCAAAAGAGCAGTCGAATCGACCTTCCGTCCATTGACGCCCAAGTATCTCAATGGATACCAATATCAAGACTTGGCGTCTCTCAGGTCACACAAACAAAATGAAAAAAATATTTTCACCTCGGTAAGAATTCCGAGTTGAAGAAGCAAAGAAAACAGTCATACTCGTACGATGTTCGCCCGATGACAGCTGAAGCAAGAGCAGCGACCGACGAACGAACGAAAAAGAAACTCTACCGCCTCCGCGGTCGCAAAGCACAACATCCAAAGATGACCCACGAACCAACTTCAAGCCCTCGCGCAAGCCACGTAGATCTTACGCTAGCTGAGTTGAGGCTTTTGACATGTGTGGGTACTGTATGGTGGAATATCGACAGCCACATCTGTAAGACGCCCATCCTAGCATCGTACCTGAGAAGTGCGGTTCGCTGGAATTTGATATCAAGGATGATGTGATTATTAGGGCCGAAGAAGTGTGCTTTTTCCACTGTATGTCGGGTACGGACCGTAGATGCGGATGTAGGGATGGAGCTTCTGTAGAAGGTTTGTGAGGGGGAGGAAGAAGAATCTAGATGTTTTCCGGAAAACGGGAACGGAAACGGAAGTCTTGAAAACGCACAGAGATGTTTTCTTTGGGATAGCTTCAGCACAAACCTTGTTTGCGCAAGCGGTTTTCGGGCAAGACCAGGCCTCTCATTGAGATGTGGAGGAAACGACGATGTTTTGGGGACAGCTAGTCCGAATCGAGCAAAAGCAAATTTTTCATCCATGAAGAAACTCACTTGAGCCTCTTCGGAAAAGATCTAATCAATGCAAAAGCAAAACAGTAGTAAAAGTAAAATTGGACAAAGCCGATGTACCACGATTATATGAGATATCCATCCCGTGTGGTGTATCTGAGCCATATCTAACCGGGACTCCGTTATCGAGAGGTGAAAATTTTCAACCAACACCACCACCACCAACCGAAACCGAGCACGATGTTCCTTCAGAAGAAAACTCTGCAAGTTTGATTTGGAACACGACGTGTCCTTGAGAAACGCCAATCTCACTGCTTGAACCACTCTATTTCTGACTAACGGCTATGCGAAGTATGAAAAAATTCTTCTTCCTTGGTGATATGAGGCTGAGGCTCAATAGTTGCGCCCATCTCACCTCACGCCTGCAGGACTCGTCCGCGTCCCTCACCTGTCAAATCGTGTACTCGTACATTCTTAGGGTTGTACAGCACAACCAGACAGGCGAGCCGGTCAGGTACCCGTAGCGCCCGTAGAAGCGATGGATTATTATTGGGATGGGATGAGATGAGGAACGAACGAACGAGAGAACGAACAAGGAACGAGATGACGGCGATGGATGAAACAGACGAGGAAAAATTTTCTCTTCTGACTTTCCATCGGTGACTGTGTTTTGAGAAGACAAGCGAGCAGCATCAGTCGATACGTGGACGTTTCTCAACTCATCGCTTACCGGGCGTCAAATTCTTCGACCATGGGCTCCTGGTGGTCTGTAAGGCAAGCACGCAAGGTACGAGAAGCCGGCATGGTCAGCCAGCGTTCCCCGAGCAGCAGCGATTCATCATAAGCATCTTAACCTAAATTTGCATTGTCCTTGAAGCGCGCCAGGTCAGAGTTTCGTTTCCCCTGTCGGGCAGGCAGAATAGGGAGGGTGAGGATGAGCATGAGGTTTTTGATTGATAAGCTTGCTTTGCCTTGCCTTACTGTACATGACATGACATTCAGATGGCGATGCGCCCGGTGAGAGGATGAGCTGCGCGGTGGAAGTTTGGATAACCGCTGCGGATGCAGCCGCAATCCAGGGGATTGGAGCCCAGGATAAAGAACGGATAAAGCCTCCGGGGAGGACGAACTGCATGTACCGATGTGCTTTACCAGGTAGGAAGTTGCTACCGAGCACGAGAATGAGTGTTGGAACCTGGTTGAGATGATGAGACGGAGGTTATTTATGAGGTTGTTGATAGAATAATATGCTTGTGTTTTAAAGGCATTGGATATCATCGATGAGGTTGAGAGAGCACGAGGCGCGTGGCAGAACTCAGTCGATGGTGCAGTCGTGAACTCATTCAGGCGTTGCAGGCGAGGATATGGTTGGAGAAGCCGACAGAATTGGTTGTTTACACAACATGAACCGATCATCTCTCAAAATGCAGTTCATTAACTTTCCCTGCCGGTTTTAAAGCAATGTACCCTCGGCACTGTACCATTTCCAAACGGCGTTGACCTCAACGTACATGCTCCGTACATGACTTGTCTTGCAATTGCAGACTGGATGCGACGGAATCAACCATAACACATGCATCACCCAAATGACACCCATCCTGTTGCAACGCTATTATCCATCTCCCTAATCTTGCACGCATCTACATGTCGATTCCTCCCATCAAATTATCTGGTAATGACCTGGCGCGTTCATGGTGCGGAAACACATCCGGAGCTCTCGCGAGTTGCAATGCATTTCTTCCAGATATGATCGACGACAAGGTGCAACGGCACTCCCGTTGCTCAAAACATAAAAAAGGGCGTCGAGGCGTTCAAAAGGGAAGGTTCAGCAAAAATAGATTAACTATTGCGCAATGCCCATGCTGCCGACATGTGATCCCTAACCTCCATTTCGAAATGGATTTTTTTGCAGTTCGAGCATATCCTTGATTACCGAGTGTTACTGTACAAGCAGCTCCGTAAAGTAGTCGCATAATTAACAGCATCAACTTCTATTATTCTGTTGTGAAACCGGAAATCCGAAAACACCATACCGAGTTATAACAACCAAAATATTATCACAACTCACCTCACACACAACCCAACCTTGATTCAATCCCATAAATCGCTATCCACTTTTTCCATCCTATTTCCCCACCTACAGTGCTCCGTACGGCTGTCGCATCACCCAAAATGCGCTGTCCTTTGCCCACTTTGTGGGGTGTTTGACACTTTGACACACGAGGAAATAAACTCCGAACGAGAGAGACCCACGATGGGATCCAATTTATCTGGTCTTGGCCCTGACACCAGACACGATCCTGATGGCATCGTGAAGTGGAGCGGCCAGCGGCCAGCCAAGAGGAAGTGGAACTCCCAAGGTCAGGATGAAGCTTCCTCTTCGTCACTATCGTGCGATGAAGTCATTTTGTATCTTCATCACGAGATGGATGATTGAACCGTGCTTGGTTGCACTTTGGGATGATGAAACTTTTTGTAATGGAAATGCGAGCGAGTGCTGTAATATGGCGAGATTGCAACAATTGCGTGATGCAGTTATTACTTTGGTTCTGGAAGAATGGCACGTTGTACCTGCGTAAAAGGTTGGTTGGACTTTGTATGGCGCCATCCATCAAAAACCCCAACGCACATGACTTCCATCCTCCAACTTTCCAAACTTACATCGCGTCCTGCGTCTCCCTCGGATTCCCAAACAATGAATAAAACTCCAGATCCCAAGACTCTAAATAAACCTAATCTTACGTACCTCACAATTGGAGTTCATTGGCATCGAAGATCTCGTGCACCGGTCATCTTTCCACCAATCCTCCCTTCCGAAACAAAACAGTGATGATCCTTCTCCCGATTACGAGGATACGAAAAGTCACTTGCTCTTCAGAACGTAGCGATGATTAATAATTGTCTCTCCTTTGGTCTCAAAACTATCGGGTGTGTGTGTGTCTACGCATCATCCCAAATTCCCACATCCAGTGATTCCAGTCACGATACCAAGGGCACATTTTCCACACTAAGATTTGTTCGCCCTGACATGAATGGTATTCCGGATGACCGGTACACCAAGAATTAGATTTTCGGAAATATGTACTGTATGAACCCTCTTTGCAGTGATCGATTACCAAGTTTTGGGTAAGTCGCCGATGATACGTACTGTACACTTGTAATTCACAAATTCAGAAAATATCTCCACGGAAACCCCATCCCATCCCCAATTCCCCTTCCACTTCCAAAAATCTAGACACCTCCAATAATGCAGCCACCATGATTCCCCTTCCAAATCCCCCCAAACTCCCACGGGCCTGACCTCCTAAAAAACCACACTAAAACCCCTAAAAAAAACCGACCGCGATCGCGCTGTCCACCAAATCTACTACCCGCCCGTGCCCTCCACAACCTAAGGGTATGTGGGGAACGCTCGGAAAACCTTATCATCATAGATCGCATCTGTGAGTGACGGCGCTGCGAGCGTTCCTCGGTTCCCCCTGCGCTAGATGGGAAGGGAGAGAGATGTGAGTGAATATCCCTGGGTGTGCCGTGGATGGTTGTGAGGAGAGGTTATCTGAGGTATACTTGCTTTCGCTGGGAGATGTTAGGTCATCCCAAGGGAGAATGACTTTGAGACGATTGAAGGAGTTCACGTGCAAGTTGATTGAGTTTGATGATGTTTCATAGAGAAACGCAATCCTTTATCTCACATAGCAAGGGAGAAAATATATGTTTTGAGTTTCAAAAACTCAAGTACCTGATCAATTGATGATGAGGTGACTCTGATAATGCATTCGCTATACTACTATAGACTCAAACTTCTCATGCCACATCTATATGGTGAGATTCTTATAACCAACAAGCTATCACTGACAGAAACTCTCGAGGCAATGCTAATCCCAGATACAATTTGCCAAAATGCCACAACAATATTCGTTTCATATCAAGGCGCCATGGTACCAAAAATAAATCCCTACGCTCCCGTGCTACACAAATATGTGGTATAGTTCCGCTTCAGATCTCGCCATTCCAATGTGCTCCTAAATTAAAACAAAGTAAAAAGAAATGTATTTTTCATGTTGCAAATAGTGAGTGTCCGCCTCAATTGATGGTTCTCCAGTATGCTCCGATGCTAGTGTTGTTGTATGACTCAATGAAACCTTTTTATGACCAGAAAATGATGTGAGATGTGATGATGCTCCGTTGAATAATGCTTTTTTTGTACAACCCAGAATAATTCGTGTAAGGTTATGAGAACGCCGATCCTATTGAAGAAGGATGTGAGAGGTGATTGGGTATTGTGTTTGTATTCGTATCGTAACAGCAACGACTGGTGAATGAACCAGGCGTGCAAGAACTCCGTGTAAAGTGGTAAATAGAAATCGTGTTGATGGAAATTTAGATGAATGGTAACAGTGTGTGGTAGAAGCAGATGTGTGTTCAGTTGGTCGATTGCCTTCGGCTATATCGAGATTGATCGAACGAACTGGCATAAGCCCGTAAAGCTCTCCTTGACTCCTCTGAGAGTTGTGCTGGTTCTGAAGTCGAGGTCGACGATTGCATGGAGAAGAGACTTGATTGGGAACTCGATGGAGTCAGGGACGACTTGGCATATGATACTGGGGAGGATTGTGGTCTTGTTGGTTGGTAGAAGTGGGAGGTTCGTGGTGATGGAGTGGTACCATATGGCTGAGCGTTGCTGAAGTTATATGCAGGTTCGAGGTGGAATCCCTTGCCGGTCGACCTTGATGGCCATGAGAGCGGACCGTTTGGTGATGTTGGAGAGCATGCTGTAGATCCGGCGTTCGACGAAGCAACCTCGTACTCTGCCAGACGGCAAGACTCTGAGCAGTAGACTCTTCCGTCTGTCTGTTTGTCACAGGCAAGACAGAAGTCTGGTGACCAATCCATAGCATTCGCCATTGAATATATCTTGGATCGTGGAAGCGGAAAAGTAGGAAGCGGGTGAAGGTTGTTGGTGTGCAATATTTTTTTCGAGACGGACAAGCTGCTTCTTAAGCTTTTCTCGAAACGAGCCTCGAATTCTTTGTTTGCACAAAGTGGTGTACACGAGTCTCGGTGAACTCAAGGACTGTGTGACTCAGAAAGCGGAGCCTGGAGAGAAAGGTGATTATTTGAAAGGGTTGTGGTCTCAGAAGAGCTAGGCGGCTATGTGAGCACGAAGACGATGGTGTTGATGAGCGAGAGGATGGTGTGATGGTGGTTGGCGTCGTTTGGAGCGAGGATGTGTCAATCAGCACAATGGTTAAAGGACGACGGAGGTGAGTGTCAGAAGAGGCAGTCGAGCTTCGAGCTGGTGGTGGAGAAGTGGTTTGCAGGGCAGAATGGAGCGAGATGGTCAACCCATATACAAAATGGTTGTGGGTGGAGTTTTGGTGGAGAGCAGCGGGAGTTTGGCTGAGCAGGCCCTTGTCTGGTCTGTTCCTGCAAGTGACCCAGGATGTCCGGGGTCTGCGCTGTGGCTGTTTTTCCTAGGCCGCCAGGCTTGTTTCGACGCAAGCGCGAAAAATGTAGAAAATTGAAAAGCGGGCCCAGAGCGAGACATGACTGGCTGTGGTCAGTTGGACAGAAGTGGAGCGAAGAGTGGAGCTTGTCTTGGCGGGTGGGTGGGTGTGGATGGTTGTCTGTGGTTGAAGCAGGCTTTCCTGTTCAGAAAAGCAGCCAGTGTGGGATGGTAGGGCGGCGAGGCATGTGGCCGAAACGGGGTAGCGGGAAAACAGTGAGAAGGACGCAGAGGAGCAGGCAGGGCAGGCCAGGTGCAAGGACTCAAGGAGGGCAACAGCGCGGGATGTGATGGATTTTCTGGGCGTCTCCTGTGAATAATTGCCTGCAAAATAAACAGCATAATCCATCCACATTTACGGTATACGGAGTACGGATTGTGTGCTATTTCCTCCTCCTCCACGCCACGGTGTTGTCTGCTTGTCTGCTGCCCAACAGAGAACTCCTCCTTCAGAGTCGTCTTTGACGTCTCCACGCTCGACACGCTTACTCAGTCAATCACAATCATCCACATCAACCTGCCCTCCGATATCGTGATGTCGGCGGGTCAGACCGGGTTGCGTCTATTACTGTAAACAAAAACACATGAAAAATCGTTCACGCCCGTCCAGTCTAGATCATACCTGGGTACGGTACGGTTCATGCCACATTGAGCGCAAAGAAGCGAGTGCAAGCTCCCCCTCGGCCTCCCCCGTCCATCCGCTTCAGCGCTGTTCGTGGCCTGACAGCTGTTTTTTCTCCGGTTGCAACGCTAGACGTACGCGAATTCCTCCTGAGTGCTTGAACGGAGAGCTGCCCAGCAGCCCAGCACCGGCAGCCCAGCGCAACGCGGCCACGACTGAGAGGATTCTTTATTGAGTCGCCGGTTTGGGCCGGATGCAGCACAGGACGGGGAGCTGACTCTAACCATTTACATCGAAGTATTATTGGGACTACTGGCGAAGGGAAGGGGAAAGATGGGGCCAAGGGGCAGCATCGAGTCCCTGCACCAAATCATGTACTCCATACAGAGTTAGCCCTCCAAAGTACGTATCTTGCATGATGGGGTGGGGTATTCGATTTCTCGGCCTTCGTCAATGTCAACGGTCATGAGTGAGATGTGGTTTTCGGAGTGAGATATACGAGGATACTCTGACAAGCGCCGATAAATACTCGACCTACAAGCCCCAACATCGACCGAATCTCCTTTGGTAGAGGTTGACAAGCTCCACTCAAAAAATCCCTGGACTGGCTGTATTCAAACTTCAACACGCCGTCGAAGCTGTAATAACCGGTCATATATCGACCTCAGCCAAACAACATCCAGGAGTAACAACATATAAATTATAGTCAAGGGGGAAGACATGCTCCTAAAACCGAAACACCTCGTTGGCCACCCTTGAGTTCATACGCTTGTCTTTTATCAAGAGGGGTATGGTAGTTCGGGCGTCGACAGGGTGGCTCACTATTTGGCAGCGTCTGATGAACTTTAATATCCCCGCTCAGCCTGGGCAGCCTTTTGGAAGAGAGACTTCGATGGCTCGATTCGCGATACCTTCAAGCTGCAATCTCATCGATGGAGGCACAAGCGAGATTTTTGTTTTCTATAGCCGCGAGGCCTCTCACTCAGAAAGATACTGCGAAGGCATTGGTGTCTGGTGACTGGCTGCGGAGGTTGACCTTCTACTCTCTATTCTGCAAGACTGATTGGGCTCTCTAGTTTTAGACGATCTTTCACCTTTCCTTGTCTATGTACGAGTACAGATGAGACGTTGATTGTCAAAACCAAAGTCTCAGATTCGTAGCTGCTAGAGGTAAAAGTGGCAGCATCTTTACGCTTGTGGCATTGGAGGTGGTCTCTTCCGCCAATCAACTTTCCTGTCAACCTCAAACTCCTGCCGCTCTTGCATCTAATACTGACTGGATGAAGAAACTGCTTTTCAAATTGCCTCTTGAAAGCAGCAAGGCGTACCGCACCTTCATTGGTCTGTGTTTGACATTGCAGCTATGCCCTATCTGGATCTACCCGCAGTCCCCCATATTTCGTTGCTGATCTTCCCCTCAACGCCACGCCTCCGGCCGCCTTGACCATGAAGGTGTCCAGCCGTCGATATCGTTGACTTTCTCTCATACGCTCTTCCAATGTACAATAAATGCCTCCTTTGAAGGTGCATTCTACGCCCAACGTGGCCGCGCGCGCAGATGGCAAGCTTTCTTCTTTCTCGGCACCATCGACGTCTATCAGGCCCATTCATTCAGATGGCTCCTGCAGACAAGCCGCTCAAAATTACTTTGTCCGCTTGCTGTTGTCAGTCATCGCCGCTCGACGTCCCAAATATGCCTCAGGAAAGGCATCGGGTATGCAGGCACAAGCCAAATCAGGTAGTTTAGATTTTGACCTGCAGACAACAAACAGCATCGGGGCGAATTTTGACATAGGCTACGGGAATACTGCTGAGATATTACTCAAAGCTCTAACTTCACCCGGACTTGATTCATGATCCAAGGAGTTACATCGAGCTGTGCTTTGTACCGTTTGCAAATAAGAGTGAAAGATGGATGTGGACACGTCTTTCCTCTGGTTATCATTTGAAGTTACTTTGGATCTCGATGTCTCTGCCGCCCAATATACCGCTACGTCCTGGTTTGAAACCAAATATCACTTACCGCCAGCAGTAAAAGGTTACGCAAGTCTGCGGCAACAACTATTGATACTCTTGAGTCGGCGAACAGACCCGGCTTCGTTCCAGCATCCCAGTACGACTCCTTTCAAACAAGCGGCGGTACAAAGTACGAGTAAGCACGGCCGCCGCGACGACACGACTCCTGTCGAATACGTTTGGCAACAGCGGCAAGGCTGGATAGTTGCTTGTCAAGCGGCTCGAAGAAACTTCATTAATCACAAAAACCCTCGAGAAACGAACCCGGTATGTACTTAGCAAGTATGCCGAAACTGAAGGAAAGCTTCAAACATTCTAATAGTAGACTTGTTTGGCTAGAAGGAGTGCCGGTGCATGCTCGATATTATATTTGGTCGACGCAATATCAGGACACTAAAAGCTCATGGAAACAATCAATCGAAACTATTGATACCCCAAAATGATGTAGGCCAAATTGCAACTAACTAACATCTAGCCTGTATGAAAATACCCAAGAGATGCGGCTGGAACTTCTCAAGTTCTTCCTCTAGAGCTTCGAAGTTCTAACAAGCACACAACCAAATTGCCCAGGCATGCACCTCAATCAAAGTCATTGTACAATTTCAAAACCAGACACTTTGCCGACCTCAAAGCTCCTCCCCCTTTTCATATCCATCACATTCTTCGGAAGCAACCGAGTAGACTAAGTTGGAGGCTAAAGTTAACGTCAAATTGCCAAGCCGCATATTCACGTTTACAACTCTACCGCGTTATCTTCACTTTATTTAAAGCGTTCTCGCATGTGGAAATATTAATGCCGGATGCCTGGACTGATATAAAAGTTGGTTCATACTAAGCACCGTGGGGGTTTCGAATATCCTTCTAGGGTGGCATCATCCATCGATAAGTATGTTGATGGCGGTACCATTGTACATTCGGATGAATCGGAGCTTCTCTGAGGTCGGGAAAACTTCACCCCGTGTCAGACTCTTGGTTCAACTTTGGTGTCTAAGAAGAATCTCGATATCTTGTCTCAGAGTACGGCTCATCGTATGGGAACTCAATTGATCGCTCAGCCCTCCGCCCCTCTTTTCACGATAGCAGCCGTCTGGTGGACACCGAATGAGCTGAGCTTTCAAACTCACTCGTATCGGATCATCAGGCGCTCTCTCTACTTGGAGTCGGTTGCAACCATCTTCTCGTTTCGGCGACTCCTTGGGAAATCTTCATACAAAAGGAGTCAACATCGTCAGATCAACCGTCTGCCACAAAAACCGTGCTGATGTCCAAAGACAATTGTAAGGCGCATAAAGCTCATTGTGGATATATGACTTCATCTAGATGTAAATCGCCGAGACAGTGATTCATGATTCAGATGTGTTGCTGGTGATCAAAGATTCAGCAGCATGTGCCGAACAGTTTATCCTATCTCTCATCCCACGAGATTGAAGTACAATAGACTTAGTCGCAGAGCTACGAGCCAACTATCCTCACGATCTAACCAGATGTCAAATGCGGCAGCCCACAGACGGCCCGTGTTTGCACGCTTTCCCCCATCCTCGACCTCGATTCCTCGTGGACCTCGGGATCGAATTTAGCTCCAACTCCAATTTTATAGATCTCGGGGACTTGTGGTTTGAATAGGAACCAAGTCCGCAACAAGCGCGCATCAATATTGGATGTTCTTATCTGCAGATCTGTGAGCGATTGCGAGTCGTCGTCGAAGATATCTTTTCATGCTCTGCATTATTGTACGTAGAGAAAGCAGAAGCGCTGATTCTTGTTCAAAAATCGAACCTCGGTAGATTGGGATGAAGGGTTATCGAATCCCAAACCTGTCTACTTTGGTTCATGGTTCTATGCTAGATCTCCATCTTCTAGTGCCACATGGCTTCTCTGCGAAATATTTGTCTCAGCTCCACACTTGATATTCCATCAGATATCGCCCTCAAACCACCACACATCATTCGTTGCATCTTCTCTCCGCAATACAACAAGCGTGAACCGACATGGGGGAACTGGCTTGCGCAAGCACACAGACCTCAATATGATGAATGTTGAGATTCGCTTATCTGGGAATCATGAAATAGGGGTTCCATTGGCTCGTTAGAGCATACGTCCTGCAAGCACTGTTTTGCTGCATGAAATATTGCTCGATAATTGGATCTTCTTCAGTGCGGTGATTTCAGGACCCTGTTCCTGTTGAGTTTTGGTGCAAGGAACTTGAAATAAATGCACGAAGCAACATCACAGGGGCGAGATTGGCTAGACGAACGCAACCCCCACGCTGTCGAGCTCAAGTTTGAGAAACTTGCCGTTTTAACAAGCTTACCTTCAGGCTTCAGGTCATGATTCACCAGTCATACTCGACAGAAGGTGTCGCGACTCACGCAGTGGCGTAATCGAGATTGGCCTTATGACGGGACGTATAGGAACTCTCCTGCTTTGGGGATTTGTAAGGTCGCTGTCGCTTCTCGTGACGAGTGTACGATGGCTTCATTTCTGCATACTGTGTCTTTCGCCAAATACTCGACAAGTGGACGGGACTCTTCGTGTCCGACGGCAAAGTTCCGACGCAGCGAACCTCCAGGCGAGAACGAGGCTTGATCCAGCGACAGTCCATACTGATAGCATGCATAGAATCTGCTTTGGACAAATCGAATCTCGCGCTTGCAGCATATCTGGCACGTCAATATATCATCGCATGGAGCTACGTGGTATTGCCAAAATCCACGACATGTTGCCGTCGAATACAGCAGGTACGGGTTATATGAAAATGTACCCCCAAACAATAATGATCCCCAAAGACACGTTCCTCTGGAGTCGTGCTTACCAGGCTATTTGTTTTGTGGTTTATATTAATTATGACGTTCATGAGTAAGCGAGCACAAGCATGGGGGTGCATCAATAGACACACTGCTATTGCGACAACAAATGCCGTGGAAAGTGCTCTCATCGCGGCCGTTCGTACGACGTGTTTTGTTTGAGGGATTATTTTGCATCATCTTTCCAAAGTACATCCAACATTTTTCCGACCTGGTGCACTCGGCATCTGCAGGGTCGTTTTCAGGAACAGAACGGCACAGTGATCAAAAAGGTTGACCTGGCCTTTTTTTAGCGATGATTTTCCCGAGTTTCTCTGGCTTCAAAGCGCTAGAAATATCAATATTGAGTTTGACGGTCCCTCCCGCAGGCTATTGCATTTTTCTCGAAATAGAAGTTCCAGGAGCGACTTGACCTCCCAGATTCTCGTCGGAGCTCATCTGCAGACTATCATCGGAGTCAAAGACACACTGTTATAGCAGATAGTCTTATGCTTCTCAAATGCCCGATGCCCTGGTGGTTCTTACTGGGGTGATACGGAGCACAAAGTGACAACGGTTGCACGATCTGAGCTGTCACCTCCCCCACATTCTACCCCGGGCTTTGAGATGATGGCGCCTTACTCTGTCGGGCGTCTGTGATGCAACAAGCCGCTTTATCAACTGGTTACTCTCCCAGAATTCCAACAGTCTTCTTTATTGGATACAGCCAGTTCGCCATCTAATTCCATTGGACATCTGCATGCTTACCGGAAGGATTCACAGTACTATATAATTGATTTGTTCCAAGTGCGTACGATCGCTGCTTTGAAGATGAAGCGAAGAAACTTACGTATAACCTTCATTTATTGCGCGTCCGATGGTTTCTAAGGAGGCTGCCTCTGCCTGGTATGCCACACTTTACCAGAGCAATTAGTAGCGCAATTACCACCTTGTGTGATACAGAACCTCGCCTCGAGTATCTATCACGAATGCGAAGGATTACAAGAATAGTGTCCCCTTTTGAATACATGGAGGAATAGTCGGGCTTGGAAATAGTCCAGTTGCTGGGGTCTTGATAATAAAGAGCTCTAGCTTCGATTTTTTACAGATCGCACTTCCAACACTTCACGATAGCAATAAAAGGGGGAGGGAAAGAGAATGTAACCGAGAGTGCTTGAACTGTGTACGACAAGGTCGCATCGGATTGCCAGTCTGTTGTCTGGTGTGGGAGCTCTGCAGGATGTACTGTCCAGAACGCGTAGGAGGAACCGGCCGCAGAAGAAGAGGTTGCATATGAATTCCTGCAGAAATGGGCGACGACGACAAATCCAACCAAGGAGAACAAGTGGCGATATGACTCCCCTGTCAGAACCGTCCAGCCCTCGACAAAACAGCCCTCCATCAGATCTCTGTACAACACCAGTAGGTAAGTATGTTGGAGGCAAATCAAAGTAACCTTATTCTTTGGATTGTCAGGGAGAGGAATCATGAGTTGACGGAGAGTTCACTTCTACTCTAAGTTGATGGAGCGTAAAATACCGGCATCACCGAGCCCGCCTCTCTACTTCACGCGGCTGAGACAGCCTTCAATCCTCAAAGGAGAAGAGTATCTTCTGAACGGGCAAAATGGCTTGTGTCACGGGTGTAAGGGTCCCCGCAATCTTCACGCACAGGCTGCGCCTTTCTCAGCCAACCTTTCCCATCTCTGGGAATCTGACACACAACACCATCACCATGAGCGGATACCTGTTATTCGTGCCTCACCTGTGCTTGGTGTTCAGTTGCACACAAAGCATGTAGCGGTACACCAATTCGAGTACTCGGGATACGGATCCGAATTGGCGAGCCATCGAAAAAGATATCTCGTGTCACTTTCAAAGGTTTTCAAGTGGAGAGGGCAAACCCCCTTGATTTCCTAGCCTTTCAAAAGCTGTCCCTATCTATGATCTATCAGGTCGTGCAGAGGCTGATCAATTTCTATATTGCCACCCAAGCGTGTTGAAATTTCCAAAGCATGATAAAACATTCTTACCCCGCATTGCGGTGTTGTATTTTGTC